ACCACTTGTGGTATCCCCACACTTGGTCTCCTCTACACCCTTATCTCCAACAAGCCTGAACCATCCTTCCACCAATCCTTCCATCTCAGAGAGCAATTGGTATCCCCAGCTGGCCCCCTCTCACAACAACCCTTATGGTTCGTGTTCAACCTCATCAATTAAGTTTGTCATTGGATCTCAACCAACCTTCGAGCTAGACAGATTGCCTGTACTACTCATTGTTACCCCAAGCTGTCGTTAGGTGTTTCACCCAGGCGACTTACCCCTACTGCTCCAGAACCAGAGTTCATCCTCGAGAACCAATCGAATAGTGCTTACGAGCTTTGCTTAAAGTACGACTTCAACACTTGTGAGCACTATTTGATTGGTTCTCAAGGATGAGCTCTGGTTCTGGAACAGTAAGGGTAAGTTGCCTGGGTGAAACACCTAACAATGGCTTGGGTGCAATGAGTAGTACAGAGTAGACTGTCTGGCTTGAAAGCGGGTGAGACCCCAATAACAAAGTTGATTGACGAGGTTGAACACAAACCATAAGGGTTGTGTTCCTATGTGCTTATATACAGTCCACCAGATCTGCTTGTTGACGAGCAGAGTTGGTCCTGGCCAATTCGGATAGATTGCACCTTGTTGATGGGTATTGTATGATGCTTGTTGACAAGCATTGTGTCATGCTCATTGACAAGCACTCACGTGACTGCTTGGCCGAGCATCCCCCAGGTGTTGGCTGGGTAGCCTTGCCGTGCTGTGCCTTCCTCCAGGCTTCCGTGTTTGGTTGGCGGTTACTTAGTTGTCCTATTGCAGGATGTAGGATTGTAACACGCAGTCACCAACACCTCCACCAACATACAACAGCCATGGCTGCAAAATCAAGGCACCAAAGAAGTTTGAGTGAGAAAATTATTCATATAGCTCTATATTACTCTCCACCAGCAAACCTTGTGATAATTGCTTTTGTGTGTGGCTCTACAGCCTCATTTTTGTGGTATTGATATGTTGAAGATCGCGTGCATTGACCGAACGCGTGTATTGGGTGCACGGACACGGTATACCGCGCATTGATTGTACTGATCACGCCAAGGCTGAACGCCTCACGTGACACCATCTTGTCGTCTCTCGGCTAAGCGCTGCTATTCTATGGATATTTGATGGTCATCCTTTCGGAGGGTGCAACGACCGTGTTGTACTGACTGTCGATACCGTTATCCCTGTGTAGAGTCCTGGTTCGTAACACACCTTTAGCAATCGCCAATTTCCCCGCAACGTATTGCAAAACAATCGCTCATAATATGAGCTAGCACTCTTGCACCACTCCACCACCTCAACTACACCTTTTCACAAGCTGATGCGCACGATTAATTCAGTGGACCTATGTCAGGGGTATCTACTGTTCAGTTCCCAGTACCTGCTATCTACAGCAGTACTGTACCTTTTGTTGGAAGGTGGTTTCCACGGGTGCCTATTACTTGATTGGGCTAGTCTGTTTACCTACTTAGCTGCGTCCCTCGACGTCTGATAACTAGAATAATAACACACACCAAAAACTTTACTTTCAATACCTTATTGGTCAGTGTAGCGCAGCGGGACTGAGCTGTGTGCCTCACAACCTGATTGCACAATGCCACAACCCACTTTTTTGATGCCTCTACTAGGGGGCAAGATTGAGGGGTGAAGTAAAGTGCCCAAACATTTGAGTGGGATATCAGGATGGACTTTGTCAGGTCACTGTAGGCAGGCAATTGAACACAGGACGGATTGGCGCCGTCTGAGGCCAAATGGTATGATATTAGACAAATCCTTGATGGCTACTTGCGGATTCAAGGAATCAAGAGCCGCTCAATTGGAAGGTGGGAAAATCCGAAGAGGGCGGTAGTTGACCCGATGTATTGAATAAGCCCTCATCCGACCTGCACCAAGATTTACAGCAACATCGTGGAAAGAACATACTTGTTTGCAACATTGATTCATTCCGCATCCTGCGAATCTGTCTTTTGATAGTCTACGCTTCGGAACTGTGATGTCCACCAAGTGGACTTTACTAAAAAGATACGACTTTGCGGATCGACCACAGTAAATAGCGCGCAAAACACACGTTGCGGAAAGCTCCTTGATCACCTCAAGTCCTACGAGACGTCGTGTCTTTCATTTGGATGTCTTTCTACAGGTACATGCTGAATTTCGTTGCCTGAATTCTGTTGAATTGAGGAAACAATGCGAATCGATATTCCCCTTTTGATCGAGTACAAGGACCTAGTTTAGGACCGAAGTAAAGCGCAGTTCATGTGTAACTTCCTCTAGATTGAGCCCATGCGATGCACCCGAGCGATCGTTGTCGCTACAGTCTTCCAATGACTGTCCAGTAATTCTGTGCAATCCTGCTTGACTGCGCGATCTATGAGCAGCCAGTCAACATGTACGACGTTTGGTTCTGCAGCATCAGGGCATTTCGCTAAGTATGTTTCCAGTCAGCGACCCATTCTTGAGCGTGCGCATGGTTTGCGGTGGTTGAAGGCTGACTGATGTCGTCTTGGCCGTTTTTGACTCATCTCTGCCAATGCTCATTAGTATCTTCTGAGGTCTTGGTGGTTTCAGACGTCTTACATTCATGGTATGTGTTTGCGAACGTGATTTATTGCTTCATCACGCTGAGCCCAGCATGGGAAACACGACCCTAGATCGTTCCGTGTTCATGTCCATCTGAGCTTCCCATTGTTCTGTTTCCCACTGAATCTGTGTTTGGCAAGGGCTAAAAGCTTTGCCGCCCAGCAAGGGTGACGTCTCCGGGCTTCTTGGCCTGCTGTCTCCTCTTCCTGAACTCGATGATGATCTGAGGCCCGATGACGGCGAAGTAATGGTGGTGATGGGGGACGTTGAGCAAGCATGGCTGTGTGTGCGCGACTGCGATTGCTGTGATGCTCTCCGGGCCGGACACTCTGCGTCGGCGGGCGCGGAAGATTCGTTGAACATCCACTGGAAGAGCGTGGATGCGATCTGGAAAGACATGGCCGACGACATGGTCACTGATCGGGAAATGTATGAAAAAGCGGGAATGCGAACGATAGTACTACGAAGGTGACTTGTGAAGTAAACGTGACTTGTGGAGAATCGAACGCGGATGTTCAGACACAGAAGTGAAAAGGCAGCTGATATATACAACCCCGACTCACCATTTGCAGGTATACTCCGCCATAGCAACGACGCTGTGTAATGCGCCTACCAGTCTGACGCAGTGTCACAACCCACACGGAGCATCAGCGCGAAGGCCGAGTCAACGAACATCTGGACAAAACCGAGCAACGCGAGCACAGCAAGTCTCGACGAAGCAGGCACGAGACTGCAGGCACACTCGTGCGAGATCAGTCCGACCGAGTCCGTCAGACTCATATTGACGTGTATGGTAGTTGATTGGCAAGACAGGATGTCAACGGAGGCTAAGCCTGCACTAGCGCGCATGGCTCATTCACCCGGTGCGGACGCTGACAATGTCAAGTCCGACCGCCTCGAAGAATTCATCGTAAGCAGCTTCGTAGCAATATTGCAAACGTCCATGCTAGATCCGGGGAGTGTGAATGTAAGGGCTGTTAAATAGACAGGCAGCATAGCTCGATGTCTAGCGCGCTGGCTTGCGCTTCCCTTGGCTGTAGAAGGACATTGAATGCGCGGCGATCAATAAGGGGACAGGACCCCGCATTCAAGCTCACAGCAGTGGGACTGTCTCTCGGCAATGTCTCCATACCCCGCGTGCCTCTTCCTCGACACCAGACTAGCATCGCTAACAATCCCTTGTACTTTATGGCCTGTTTATCCGGAATATAATGTCTCTATCACACAAACTTTCTTTATCCTCAAACTTTGAGACACGATGGCCGAGTGGTCTAAGGCGGTAGATTTAAGCCAATCTGAAGTCTTGCTCTGCATTTCTCTGTTCGCTCAGATCTCTACTACAGAAATGTGCGTGGGTTCGAACCCCACTCGTGTCATTTTGCTTTCATATGCAATCAAAACATTTTTTTGCCTTTGCTCGCCGTTGCAACCTGAGAACCTGAGGCGTTGCTGTAGTCGACATGACGTAGCGTGCTGACAAGAGCGAAGTATGCGAATCAAACAACACGTCGTGTGTGGCATTGGAGTTGACTCCTCCCTCACGATGAGGTGAGAAGCAGCTTTAGCGTCGCCTGTCACGCGTTTTTTACACCTCTGACCCCTTTTACTGCTTGAAATCCCAGTCTTGAGTACTCGAGGCTGTCGCCGGTGGCTTTTTGCTGGTGGAACGTGGAGGCAGAAGACATGCTTGCATACCACTCGGTGGTTGTAGATGCATTCTCACAGTCTGACTGAATTCTCAAATTACCTACGGCTTGCTTCTTCCCGTCTCGTAGTCTCCAAGTTCATGCGGTGTTAACTCGAGGCCGCCCAGCTCAATGGGCGGTTGCGCGACTTCAGCCGCATGGTTCTTGTACACTACTTTTCCCTCAGACATCTCATGACGGTGGTAGTCCGCGTTCATCTCAGCAGGATGGCGGTGCTCCTGCACAGCCGCATGTTTCCTCGCGCGTTTCTTCCGCGCCAAAATCCAAAGCGCGAATCCAAGTATCAACCCCAACCCTGCAAGTCCACCGACAATTCCTCCTACCAATATGCCTGTTGCCGGTCCGCTTGAAGCAGATGGAGAAGAGGACGAAAGGGGCGTGATGGAAGGTGTAAGTGAGGTGGTGGGAATATCACACATATCGATACTGTAATACACAAACGTGCTATTCCAGCACTCGCCGATCTGGATCTCTTCTTGGTAGCCGCCGCATATTGTCGTCTCAGGGTCGTTGACGTATATCGTTACTTCACGCTCAACATCAGCACGGTGCCCAGCGAAAGTGAGAAGGATGGCCTAGGTTGAGTTGGGGACGTACCTGCGCAGCCGGAATCCAGGCCTACGACTTGCAAGCTGCCATATGTACCGCTGCGTCTGAAGTCGGTGCAGCTGCCGTTTGGATAGCCATTGGGGCCCTCGAGGCCTTTGTATGAGTCTAGACAATTCGAGTCGGTAAAGAGGGCGATCTGGCTTGCGGCGTAGATGCAATTGATCAGTGCAAACAGAGCGATGTGGATGTTAAGCATTGTGCTGTGTTGATCTGCATCAACCACGCAGCGCGACTGCCCACGTTATCTGTGCGATCGAGGTAGAAGTCGACAACGAAGATTGTGGACGACGCTGAGGGATAATGCAGAGAGATGAGTAAGGACGGAAGGATTCAGGACATCTTTCTCCGAGCTTCCTCATCAGGCTGATGCTTGCAGTATTCCTCCCGTGTGGACCAGGACGATGGCTAGTCATGGTTAGCCATGCTCTCATGTTGCACAAAAAACCGCGGATAATAAGCCCGGGCCACCCAACATCAACGTGGGACGAGATGAACCAATACTGCTAAAACATACCCAATAAGCGCTTTTTCTTCCTATTTTTGACAGCCAGGATGCCTGACCAGCTTGAAGAGGTTATGGGGTGGTTTTATTCAGCGTTGTACTACGCCTCCGCCTGTGTACTAGCGCGATGAAGCCAACCAAAAAGCACATCCATACACCCCAACGCAGCGCCATTTTTGGGATACTACACTTCTACAATGTGCTACACATACCTTGCTTTTTCAAAGATGTTTCATTGTGTTCTTAATATTCCTCCTAGTACAGCTTGTGGCATAGTCAAGTTGCAAGAGCCGCACACTCTCAAGCACAGCAATGCACCTGATACTTGAGGCAGACCCTGCCAGCTTACTGGAGCTGATGCCCACGCTACAGTTGATCTTGGGGCGTCGGAAGGAGTGCGACCCACAAGATGTGTCGAACTAAGATGCAATGCTCCTGCCCCAGCTGATCAGAGAGAACACAATCTCTACCGACATTGCATGAACAATGTTCAAGACAGCCGTAATCGATTCATTCGATACCGAGGCAAGCGTAACTATGTATGAGATAATGATACTTTTCCAACCCAGCCCAGCCCAATCGTGATGGTATCGAGAACCATAGCAATGAACAACCGTAACGCCGTGTATGCAACGCATCAACCACTCACGATGCTCCACGCCTGCGCTTCTCCTTGCTCGGAGACAGTCTCGCTGCGCTCGGTGTCTATGCATCCTCCTTGATCACCAGCTTGCTCTTCTTGTCCTCACCACCCGCCTCGTCATCAGCCTTGCGCTTGTTGTTTGTGTCTTTGACCACCGGGACGCCGTGGGCATCGCGCTCAATCTCCCTGGTCTCCTTGGGCTGGTCGTCCTTGCCGTTCTGGAAGCGGTCACGGCGGTTCTTCCAGTCGTCGCCGTCGACAGAGCCGCTGCGGTCGCGCCTGGAACGAGGATCGTGGCGGTTGCGGTCGTCGCGGCCGCCTCGTCCTCCACGTCCACCGCGGCCGCCGCGGCCACCGCGGCCACCGCGACCGCCCCGACCGCCAGACCTGTTGTCACGACCGTCGCGGTGCTCGCGCCTGTCCGACTCGGAGCGCTCCCACTCGGGTTTGATGCCCTTCTCCCTGCACTTCATCTCCGAGTACTCCTTCTTGCCCATTATGGTGAGCTCGTTGTCATTGAACTTGGGCGCGGGGTCGAGGGCGAGGAACTGCCTCTGGCTGTCCTCGGAGTCGAACTCGACAAAGACACTTCCCTTGAAGGTGCCGTCTGCCTCGCGCCTCTTGCGCACCATGACGGCGCCGTAGGGACGGAAGAACTGCTCCAGTGCGATCTGGCCGGCTTCCTCGCCGCCGAAGCCCTTGACGTAGACGCTCCTGCTGAGGTCGTTGGAGGAGGCGCGCTGCAGGCGGAAGAAGAGATCGGTGGTGGAGGGCGGGTTCTTCTCGTCATCGTCCTTGGCGGGGACGGAGATGGGCTCCTTGCGCTTGACGGCCTCTTTGCCGGAGCCGTTGTAGTCGCCATCGTCGACAACGACGAGGTCCTTGCTCTCGCGCAGCGCGTTCACGATGGCGCTGTAGGGCTGGAAGCGGCGCATGCGCTTGAAGTCGGCAATGTGCTTGATGCTGACGGGGCGGTTATTGGGGCCATCGAGCTCCCTGAACAGGTGCTCGTCGGTGACGAGGTTGTGGGTGGAGAAGTAGAACTCGACCTGGCATTGGTCAGAGTCGTGCACGGTGAACAGTCACATGGGGGGTCAAGAGTCACAACGCACCTGGTTGCGGATCTCGACGGGGTCGTCGCTTTCGGGGAGGTCCTCGAACTCGTTGCTGCGCGCCCTGTAGTGAGTCAGCGCAGGGACGCCAATGGACACGGCGCGGTCACGCACTTCCTGTTCTTGAAGCCGCCTCCGCCGCGGGGGCCACCGCGTCCACGGCCACCGCGTCCTCCACGGCCGCCAGAGCGGTTGTCGCGGTCATCGCGGCGGTCGCGGCGGTCGCGGCCGTCGCTCCTCTTGTCGCTGCCATTGAGGTCCAGGATCTCTTCGCCGTCGTGCTCCGCGGCCTCGGGCGCCTGCTCGGTCTTGATCTGTACAGCTGCGGTGTGTCAGTGTCGAGTGTCGGTCGCCTGTGCGCGCAGCTCACTCTTGGGCTCCTCAGCGGGGGCGGCTGCGGGGGCAGCAGAGGTTGTGTCGGCCATGGTAACTGATGTTTCTGGGTCGCAAGGCAGTAGTCGGGCGGTCCAGAGGTAGTCTGTACGGCGGCAGGGTGTGAGTCGCAGCGTGCAGGCAGACGTTGTGCGGGCGAGTGAGCTTCCAGTGGGGATTTTTCTCCCGCGCTTCTACTAAAGTTAGCGCCAAGCTTGCCCTTGAGATTTTGGCCGTCGATGCCGTCGACGCATGTCCGCATTCACCGAGACGACCCCCTAACACCACGCCACGCCCATCGCCGCCATGAGGAAGAAGCCGAGATTCCACTCGCTGAAGAAGCTGGTAGGCTCTCCATGAACCGTCCGCTCGCTCCTGCCACGCTAATTGCTGGCAGAAAGTCCGGCAGGACATGTCGCGCTGGACGCTGTACAGCCTGTCGCAGCTCAAGCAGCCCAACGTCAGCACGCGCACATTCTTCCAGCAGAAATGGACCGCCAAAGCCGACACCCGCGCCTACCACGGCGAGCAGATCCGCGAGAAGAAGTGGGCGCGCCTCTTCAAGCGCTCCATCCCCGCCGTCGTGCCCATGGACCACAAGTACCTCGCCCGCCACGACGGCAGCGAGCAGGCCGCCGGCCGCGGTGCAGGCGCAGACTCGCAGGACAAGCAGCGCACCCCGCCCATGACGCCGTACATGCAGATGGCCTACTACCCGATCGAACGCCGCCTGGACACGGCCATCTTCCGCGCCCTGTTTGCCAGCAGCGTCCGCCAGGCCCGCCAGTTCTGCGTCCACGGCCTCGTCACGGTCAACGGCAAGAAGATGCCCTACCCCGGCTACATGCTCAACCCCGGCGACATGTTCCAGGTGGAGCCCTCGAGCGTCATGTTCGCTACGGGTGCGCAGAAGGAACGCTCCTCCACCGCCCGCCGCGTCGCCAAAGAAAAGGCGGCCGCCCGCGCCGAAGCCCGCGAAGCTGCCGGCGGCCAGACACCGCGCCAGCCCAAGCCCCGATCCGCGGTCCCGTCGGCGGGCGAGGAGCCCACGCCCGCCGAGCTCAGGAAGCACCTGCAAGCCATGATGGACGACGTCAACGGCGTCCTGGCCGAGGACGTCGGCGCAAAAGACAAGCAGAAGTTCCGCGCCTTCCGCCAGACGGTCAAGCGCGCCATCAGCCTGTGGCGGAACGCAAGCCCCGAGTCCATCTCGACGCTGGACACGCAGTTCGACTTCCTCAAGACGCAGCTCGCGGGCCGTGCCGCACCGTCCACGCCGGCCACAGCGCCTGATGCTATCCAGGAGCCGCTGTTCAGCGAGGAGGACCAGGCGAAGCTGCGTCAGGCCTTCGAGAAGCTGCGTCTCGAAACCGAACACACATCCGCGTGGAATTCACGAAACGCCGCTGCCCCCTACGCAACACCGTGGCGGCCGAGGGCCTATATGAGTGCGTTTGCATTCATCCCCAGGTACCTCGAAGTCAACCAGAACATCTGCGCGGCCGTCTACCTAAGGCACCCCGTTGCTCGACCCGGGCTAGCGGAAGTGCCCACGCCCTTCCACATCGAGACGGGCCAGCTGGCATTCAACTGGTACCTGCGGAGGCGGTAGACGTGGGATTGGTGTACGATAGTGGAAAGACGATGTGGGAAGAGTGTGGACCTGTAGCATACTGTGACTACTACCAGCATCGGGACCGGTGTTTTGCAATACAATTCATATTTGATGAAACGACCCTGTTGATGAAACGACACTGTCCACCGTTGCTGCCCCGTTCCACAAGTGAGAGCAGGTTTCGCGGGTGGGTTCTTCGCGAGTGTGTTCACGGTGGACGGGACATCGGGTTCCAAGACACGCGTGCCGACAGTGAAAACTGCGAGGTTGACAGAAGTACGGCCGTCAGTCAAAAGGAACCTGTCAGATTCGTCTCACCGCCGCATCAAGGGACTTCGGCGTACGCAGATCGTCATGACTGGAGACGTTCAGGGCTGGACAATATCGTTGCATTCGACTGCCTGCCCATGCTTGCCAGACCCCAGCAACACGTGATATCTACTGTACACGGGGATTCAGAGATATTAGTAGGCGAGGTTCCCCATCTGCGCCTGATTCCTATGCAATTGCCAACAAGAATAGACGCCGTATGCGCCTGCGCCTGCTCCAACGCCTTCGTCGCCAAAACAAAGTAAGGAAAGAAAGAAAGACATGCCGGTTCAAATCTCAGAGCTCACTTTCGCTCTCACTCTCGCTCTCGTCCAGAGTATAAATGCTCTGCGGGTGCCGAAGCGTATCCGTGCTCGGTCGCGGCGAAACGTCGACTACACTACTGTCTGGTGTCCAGCGTCCAGACTCCCCAGCTTGCGATGAGGCGCTAGCTGTATACGCCCTCGCCCTCGCCTCGTACCGCACGAATCCGTTCGCCACAAACGACGCGCCCAGATCGGACTCGTATGTGGGCGGCTCGCTGGGGGCGCGGGAGCGGTAGCTGGGAAGGCTGTCGGTGCGGGATAGCGGGCGGGAGGGCGCTTCGGGGATCGTGGAGGGCGGGTATGTAGATGTTACTGACGGGGGTCCGGGGGTAAAGTGTGGGTGGTGACATGTGCAGCGGGGATTCGATGGGCTGGGTGTGGTTGTGCGGCCCTCTTCTGCGCGGATGATGTCGTTGACGACGTTGTGCGCGACGCGCAGCTGTCTGATTTCCTCCTGCATCGCGGTCTCGAGGACGGACTCTTGGTCTGCAATCAGGGCGCGCTTTTCTTCATAGTCGGCGATGCGCGCGGCGTCTTTGCGCCAGTTGCCGCGCCACCAGTTGCGCCAGGCGTGGCGGCGTGCGGCGCGTTTGTAGATGCGCGCGTTGTAGCGCTCTTCGTAGTCGGCGGCGCGCTCGGTGCGGGTGCGGAGGCTGGAACACTTGTGCCGGATGACGGCGACGAGACAGCCGCAGCAGAGGATGCCGAGAGCGACTTCGAGGGCGATGATGTAGGGTGCCTGGCGTTGTTGGGGTCGTGGTGGGAGCTCGCCTGTAGAGCCTTCGTACGGACGAGGCTCTGAGTCCGAGTAAGCTTCTGCCTCTGCCTTCGAGTCTGTGCTCGAGGTGGCGACGTTGATGCTGCCATATCGCTGTGACCCAACATGAGCCGAGGCGTAGACGTCCTCTGGACGGCCCATGTCTGTAGACTGGTCGTCAGGGTGTAGGCGCAGGTAGACAACTCGCCATGCACCGTGGGCTCTACCAGCAACTGTTTTGAGAACACAAGAGATGCCGTCGCAGTGCTTCAGCTCCTCAGTGAAACACTTGGCTTCTTTGCGGATCTGTGAGTTGATGTACTGTTTCTTTGTTGTTACTGCTAGCTGGATGGCCTCAAGTTCAGCTTGAAGAGCTCTGAGCTCCCGGATTTCGTTTTCGAGAGATACTGATGCCGTCTCGGACGACTCTGCGTGTACGGTGGAGTTGCCAAAGCCCAATCGAAGATCCGCCGGCGGGTCACGCCAGATGTCTGACAGCTCAGGAGAAAGATCCGGAACGGTCTGGAGTCGAAGAAGAGAAGGCGGCGATGAGTTCTGCTTGAAGGAGACTGTGAAACCAGAAGGTGTATTGATGGGTATGCCGTCTACGGACTTGATGTTGACTGTCAGGATTTGAGCAGCCTCGTCCGTCTCCGCGTTGCCGTGAAGACAGGTCGAGTTCCATGCGAGGGCCAAGTCACGCTGGGGAAGCTTGTCATTCTGCTGAAGGGTTGCGGGACTGGTGTACTGGTAGGAGCCTGAGCCAGAAGCGTAGTCACCTTCCCATTCTTGAGGGAGAGGAACACCGTTGATGGTGATGTTAGAAGAACCACAAGGCTCGTTGCGCGAGTGAGCAGTGAAGTTCAGAATCTGTGGTTGTGAGGTTAGCAAGGCTGTACACATAAATAGATGCCTGGAGTGGGCCTTACAAGTGACTCGTCATCCTGGTCCGTGTGATCTTGGCCCAGACAGCCAGTGCAGGGCACGCTGAAGGTCGCTTGCGCGTAGTTCTGTTGGAAGTCTACTACAGTTCAGCAGATGCCTAGAAGCGTGGCAAGAAGTGGATATATAAGTACCTAGCTGCAAAGGTTCGTTGTGCAGTTGAGCGACCTCACCGCGGCTGGGAAGCGCTGCGGCGAGCACAGGTGCAACGCACGCGACGGCGGACAGCATCTTGGACTTGAAGGAGCGCATGATGAAAGAAAAAGCACAGGAAGAAACGCAGGAAGAGAAGCAAATATTAACGAACAAACCACCACCACAGGCACACAACAGATGCGGCAGCTGGTGAAAAATGGGAGCTGTTGTCCCAGTGCTTGAGGATCAGGCAGAAGGGCGGCTACCCGGAGGTTTAAGACACGTCCTGTCAGCACACCGTGGCGCAGCAACCGGTCACGATTTTAGTCGAGGTATCCGAACCGTATGCTGTAATGAACGATACAAAGTAATAAACAAGGTGTTTCAAGTGAGCTTAACAGCATGCCTTACTCCAGGGTTGGAGTTGGAGGTTGCAGAGAATGTACTATCGTAGAGGCCATTTGGCAAGAACCTTTCGAGATGGTTCCTTCCTCACCGGTTCAGGCGTTCAAGGATGATCAACGTCTGCAGCGGACGAAACGAGCCTGAAGTGACTACAAGCTGTGGTTTGAACATGCAAATGGATAGGCGACGGTAACAAGCCTTTTAACATGATGTGGGTGCAAGTGATCGATTCTGTGGTGCTCCGTAGGGCTGAAAAGCGCCAAGTCTCGAGCGCATTGACTAGCGATGATCCACAGTTGCAGCGACCTTGACGACAACACTGCTGTTGACGCTCTGTATACACCAACAGCTTCCTACGTTGAACTGCTAACCCAATTGTAATTTTCGTACCCCTAAAAATCGAATCTCTCAGTTTAGTGTGCACTAACGCGCCTTACACAACGACACAATGGTACGTCACATTGCGCCCGTCGTAGAGCGCCCCACGAGCTCTTACTGACGCGAACTGCAGCTCCCCTTAGGCCTTCTCACGGCCGCTACTGGCCACCCTATGCTCGTAGAGCTCAAGAGCGGCGAGACGCTCAACGGACTGCTGGTCAACTGCGACACATGGATGAATCTCACATTACGGGAGGTGGTGCAAACAAGCGCAGACGGCGACAAGTTCATGAGGCTACCGGAGATCTATGTTCGCGGAAGCACAGTCAGTATAGCTGCTGGGTCGGTGGACAGCCAACGCTGACAATGCGTAGATCAAGTACTTGCGGGTACCGGACGAGATCATCGAGGTTGTGAAGGAGCAGCAGGCCAAGGACCAGGCGCAAAGAGGCGGACGCGGTGGCATGCACTCACGAGGCGATCACAGAGGAGACCGCGGAGGCAGGGGCATGCGCGGACGTGGGCGAGGCCGTGGAAGGGGAGGCGGCGGCAACAACAACAATAACAACAACAACAACAACAACAACAACAACGCTTGAGCTGCTTGAACGCAAGGACACCAAATCGAACAAAACGAGCATGAGAGAACGAACGAGGAATAGCTCAGCGACCCGAATGGCGTACGATACTCTGTGCAGAAGCTTTGGAGCTGTGTGACCATTCGACAGAACGGCCGCCGAACTTACCCAAGACGCTCATAGTGAGCTGAATACGATTGATACCCTGGCGACTTGCAGACCTATTTGACGGTGCTCGTGACGTCGCAGATGAAGCTCTCATCAGTCGTGGGAGTTTCAATTTGATACCACAATCTATTGGGGGAATAGCCAAGCAAGCCACACCACGACTGAACAGTATCTTACGAGGGCACATTCTAGTGCAGTTGCAATGCTGTGCTCGCGTTCTCTATCCTCTTGATATGCAGAATACTAAGTGCAGCTAGGATTACTCCAGAATAGCCTCCTCGGCCAGCATGCACGCTGAAGCGGGGTCAACCGCTGTACTTACTCGAGGCTCATTACAAAAGTTCAAGCTCCCTCCAGACCTTTTGGGGGCTACATTTCGAGGCATTGTCTCATCTGCGCCTTCTTCTACGATTGTACAGTTGAATTCAACCCCGATCAGGCTACTCACCGTACATCCTAGCGTTGTGGTTATATAACTTACTCTACATACCTGGAACATACGTCTAACATAAGCGATCATGACAAGCTTCACCATCTCTGACAACGACCTCGATCAGATCAAAGATCAAGTTGCTGTAATCACTGGTATGCCAAGCTGCAGCGAATGCTACAGTGTGTGACCGGCTTATATCTACCAGGCGCATCGTCAGGTATTGGACTTGCAACGCTTCGTCGCATTATCAAGCATGGAGGCAAGGTCTATGCCGGCGACCTCAATCCACTACCCGAGCCTGAGGCAGGTTCGGTACCGTTCTCGAAGGTCGATGTGACGGATTGGAGGGAACAACTCGAGCTGTGAGCGTTGCAATCTGGATAATATGTCCCTTCCTCAAATGACTTACTTACCTCTGCAGGTTCAAAGCTGCAGAGAAGAAGTACGGCAAGATCGACCATGTGTTCGCCAACGCTGGTATTGCCCCAACGATCTCACTGCTTGAAGAGGATGTAGATTCCAGCGGGGACTTGCTTCCACCCAATCTCAAGACCATCAACGTCAATCTGCTTGGCTGCTTGTATACCGTCAAGCTAGGCATTCATCACATCCGCAGAAACCCCAGTGGTGGAAGTATCGTCATAACAGCGTCTGGTTCGAGTTTCACAAGGTTTCCTGCTACGGACTACAGTAAGATATCTCGATCATCGTGAAAGTTGTACGGTGGTTAACAGCGTCGCAGCAACGACCAAGCATGCGGTGCTCGGTCTCATGCGCTCCCTGACGGGGCATCTGTATCCACAACTGCCCATCCGTATCAACGCCATCGCACCATCATGGACCGAAACCGGCATTCTCAGTCCCGCAATCCTTGCTGCAATCGGTGAAGGCAATTACCAGTCTGCGGACGTTCCAGCGCAATCAGTCACCGTGCTCATGGCTGACAAGAAGAGGCACGGAGAGCTCGTGTACAGTGAACGTGGGCATTTCAAGGATCTGGAGAACGGTGAGAAGGGATACCATCACCTGACCGCAAACATGCTGGCTGTCGAGAACGAAGAGAGCCTATCTGAATTGAAGGTAATGAGAAATCTGTTGAAGATGAGAGGGGCAGGCGAAGTGGGAGATGGTGCCGATGGCAAACCTGAGGTTGTTTGACAAGTGGAGTTCGGAATGACCGGAAGCCCATTCCTTCATGCCTTCGTTTCTTTGACATCATGGGGAAGGTAGCATCTCCACCGTGAGTGGAGCCGTCAAGCTCCCGCTTACCGCTCGATATGCGGATTTTGTTCCTATCAATCAACTCCAGACTCATCTTTCGCAAGCCATCTTGCACGTGTAGCATTTCTCTCGGCGTCACATCTGTATTCGTACAACACCATGGCGCTCGAGCCGCATCCTGGCTATGACTTCTTCCAGCTTGCGTATCAGATTGCAGGATACCAATCAACTATCGGACATCCTTCCGCAGAGTGCGGTGCTTGTTTTGACGCCGACTTGTTGTTTCGATATCACAATGTTGAGCGCATCTTGAATTCAGGCCAGTGATGACTTGCATACAGCGAGGGTTAATTGCGCGGCCACAGGTCTCGAAAGGATATCAACGCCGAGTTGAAGCAGGATGAATGTTACTGAGGCTGTTTGATGAGGAGGGGAGGCCTGCAGGGTTCGTATTGATAACCCAAAGTTGTGAACGGTGGATAGTGAATGCATGAGGCACAGCTAAGATGGAAGATGGATTGGGCCAGCCAGACCCCGGCGTCTGTTGTGCGAGCCACGACAGCATCCCTAGCCTTTGCAGAGCCCGGGCTCCTCCGCACGTGAAGGTGCTTCCCCAGACTTCCACAGCTCTCATCCGCGGAGACGAGTCGCTCGCACTCACCAAATGCGACTCCCAGGCCCTGTCCAAGAGTCGTGGCGTAGCGGGGTAACGAGCAGCTGGGACTCCTGTATCGCGACTCTGCACCTGACTTTTCGCAGCATCAAGTACCGACGCTGGCTTCCGACCCCGATCGCAGCAGCCGGCAAAGAGCAAATGCCCCAGACTCTGGGGTCCCCGCGGGGGCAGCCTGTGAGTGGCCCCGGCCTCGCTACCACGTCCTGCGCGTTCCCAGGAGCAGCTAGCACCTCCATAGACCACGCCGCCTAGCGCTCGACCTTCAACTAAAGTGGCTGTTCTTGGCTGTTGCCAAGGTCAACTACGTGCGTCTGGATTCCTGCGACAGATAAAGGTATAAAGAAAGGACAGTGCACCATTTCGAGTTGCCCTCGTCCCAGCCCGTCAGTCTCTCTCGACGTTACGACTCGTGATAGGCATTGTACCCACCATGACCGACGCTCACCTTGAAAAGAACACTACGAGCCTGCACGAGGACCTTAAAAGTGACAACACACACATTGTTGCCGAGCACGGTCACGCAGCGACCGATATGTATGGCTCTACAGCATCTCAATTGACATTAGACGTGAACTGACATTCCCAGCTACGGCAATGCACTCCTCACGTTCGATCCCAAGGCCGAGGCTAAGCTGAGATGGAAGATCGACCTCTACATCATCCCCACAGTAGCTCTACTGTACCTTTTCTGCTTCATCGACCGTGCGAACATCGGCAATGCTCGTCTGGCCGGTCTCGAGAAGGACCTGGGTCTGGAGGGCTACGACTACAACCAGGTCTTGTCGGTTTTCTACATCAGTTACATCATCTTTGAGGTGAGTACTTCCAGCTGAAACCTTGGAGTTGTACGAAGGCGTCGTACAATGTATATTGGCAGTTCTCTGAGGCTGACCTCGAACAGATCCCCTCCAACATCTGCTGCAAATGGATAGGCCCCGGATGGTTCATCCCCACTATCTCGCTGTGCTTCGGCGTTGCATCCATCGGCACTGCGTTCGTCCATGATATTCACAGCATCAGCGGTGTCCGCTTCGTCCTGGGTATCTTTGAGGCTGGCATGCTGCCCGGTATTGCCTACTACATGTCCCGCTGGTACCGCCGCTCTGAGCTGGCTTTCCGTCTCTCGCTCTACATCGTTATGGCACCACTTGCTGGCGCCTTTGGTGGTCTTCTGGCATCTGCAATCCTCACACTGGATTCGTTCGGCTCCCTGCACCGCTGGAGGATGATCTTCGCTATTGAGGGCATTGTCACCTGCGTTCTTTCTCTGATCTCCTTCATCACACTTACGGATCGACCAGAGACTGCCAGATGGCTGACGCAGGAAGAGAAGGACCTGGCCATTGCTCGTGTCAAGTCTGAGCGCGTCGGACAGAATGAGGTTCTCGACAAGCTCGACAGGAAGAAGACCTTCCGCGGTATCTTCAACCCCGTCGTCCTCGTTACAGCCGTCATCTTCCTTCTCAACAACATCACCGTACAGGGCCTTGCCTTCTTCGCACCTACTATCGTGCGAACGATCTATCCGGGCACTAGTGTCGTGCACCAGCAACTTCGCACCGTCCCACCCTACATCGTCGGCGCATTTTTTACACTGCTCTTCCCTTTCCTCAGCTGGCGCTACGACAGGCGTACGATTTTCATGATTGCAGGTGCACCGCTCATGATGGTTGGTTACATCATGTTTTTGGCCAGTACTGAGCCACAGGTCCGCTATGGAGCCACCTTCCTCATCGCCTCTGGTGCGTTTGCATTCGGCGCTCTCTGCAACGCGCAAGGCTCTGCGAACGTTGTAACTGATACTGCGCGCGCCTCTGCTATCGGCGCCGTTGTCATGTTCGGCAACGTTGGAGGTCTGATCTCGACATGGAGTTTCTTGCCTTTCGATGCACCCAACTACCCCATCGGCAACGGATTGAACTTGGCGACCAGCAGCACGATCCTCATCTTGAGCATTGCGCTCTTGTTCTGGATGAAGATGAGCAACAGCAAGCGCGCGCAGATCGATGTGGATGCTGAGCTTGCGGGCAAGTCAGCGGGCGAGATTGAGGATTTGGACTGGAGGCACCCTTCGTTCAGGTGGAGGCCTTGAGCTGGCGGATTGTCGAGAACCAGCGACGTTCTAGCTACGGATGTGTGTAAACAACACATATCGGCTCATACATATCAATTTGAACAAAAAAATTCGTGATTACAAACGATCAAATTGCAGTGCAAGATAAGAAGTTGAACATCCCTGTGCCACCTTGCTTCCCCGCATGGCTGACCCACCACGACGGGAACGAGCCGAGGTCTTCGTCGGTTTCGTCAATCCATCTGAGCGACAAGTCGCATCGATTGTGTCGGCTGCTCCTCAGTTTCCCAATATCCATAGACAATCCCATTGACTCTAACACATCGCCTCGATCACCCAACGTCACCCCAACCTGATCATCTTGCCACTTGTGACACGTACAGCCCACACACAGCTTCGCAAGCCCCATTGCACCGACCGCAACAATGCCTTCCGCCATTGCCATCAAGCAAATCGAAGGCAAGCCGGGCCAAGTATACTACCCGCTGGAGAAGATCGCAATTCCAGAGCCCAAGCCAGAAGACAACGAAGTACGCCTCGTTCCTCCGCAACCCACCACCCAGCCAGCCCACTAAACTACCCAGGCTGTAATAACCCTCACAGCCGCCGCCCTCAACCACCGCGACCTCTTCATCCGGCAACACCTGTACCCGGGCACAGCCTTTGGCGTCCCACTGCTCGCCGACGGCGTCGGGCTCGTAACATCCTCTGGCCGCGCCGCCAAACAATGGCTCAACAAGCGCGTCATCCTGAACCCGGGGACGGGCTGGAAAGACTCTCTCGACGGCCCCGAGGCGCCCAAAGGCTACGCGATCCTCGGCGGCACGAAGAGCAATCCCGCCGGCACGCTGGCAGACCACATCGTGCTGGATGCAGGGGAGCTGGAGGAGTGTCCTGAGCATCTGAGTGATGAGGAGGCGGCGGCGCTGCCGCTCACGGGTTTGACGGGGTGGCGCGCATTCCGGGTGAAGTGTGGAGGTAATGCACAGAGGGGGAGGAATATACTTGTCACGGGGATTGGGGGCGGAGTGGCGCTCATGGTGCTGTTGTTTGCGGTGGCCGAGGGGTGTAATGTGTACGTGACGAGTGGGGATCAGGAGAAGATTGATAAGGCGGTGAAGTTGGGCGCGAAGGGTGGAGTGTCTTATAGGGAGAAGGACTGGGAGAAGAAGTTGAAGGGGATGTTGCCGGGGGACAGGAATTACCTGGACGCCATTGTTGACGGTGCTGGTGGGGATGTTGTTGCAAAGGGGAGCCGGTTGCTCAAGGTTCGTCTTCATACGTACATCACTGAATCAAGACCTATGCTAACAACGATGTAGGCCGGCGGTGTTATCTCCATCTACGGCATGACGATCAGCCCGAAGATGGACTTTCTCATGAGTGCCGTGCTGCGCAACATCGAGGTCCGAGGCTCGACAATGGGATCGCGCAAGGAGTTCGCGGACATGGTTGCGTTTGTGCGCGAGAAGAAGTTGAAGCCCATTGTGAGCCGGAGTGTGCATGGGCTGGACATCAAGCAGATTGACACGCTGTTCGATGACATGAAGAACGCGAGTCAGTTCGGGAAGTTGGTTGTGACACTGGGGGAGGGGAAGGGGAGTAAGCTGTAAAGCAAAAGAGACTGCATACACAGTACGCCATACTGGGTCTTCAGATGTTTCGCAGGCTAGTCTTTGAAAATTCTACGAATGTTACACACAACACAACCGCCCAATCTGCGTCCAAGTACCCTGCTACCGTCCCTAACCTCCCAGCTATCACTACCGACAGCAGTAGTAGCATAGAACACACCCCTTGAATCCCACTTCTTCTTGATAGCAAGCAGCTTGGGGTAGTGCTTCGCGCCATAGAAGTTAATCTGCCGGTCTGGCTCGTGAATATCAGCCTCGTTCAGGTAGACACCACCTCCTACCAAGCTGGGAGCGATCTTCCCCCATGGAGTCATGATGTCAAATGTGGAGTGTTGCGCCAGGCCTCGTTGACGGTGTTGTCGCCCTTGAAAGGGTTGCCTGGTGCCATGTGGTAGGCAAGGACTTGGTCCGCAGCCATTCCATAAATTGAAGCTAGAGGTGAGTGGCCACCTATGAAATGTCAGCAAAGATTCGATTGTCCTGGTTGCGTGTACTTGCCACCAGCAAGACATCCGCTAGTCCATCCAACAGTCTCGCAGATACCCGCAAGCAACGTAACATCATTGCCACGAGCAGCTTCAGGGATCTCAAAGCCCTGAACACCAGCACCAGCCTTGAATGCAGGGCTGCTATACTCATCACTCTCATACTTCTCGATGAACTTGATATCCTTGAGGCTGTGGGTCCAGATGTTGAGCGCACCGGCACCACTAGATTTGTCGATGTAGTCATGGCCAGTGTTCTTCATAACCAGACGTTAATCGAGGTTACGGGCGAAATTCACTTCAAGTTGAATTTGCGCAACGTTGCTGACGTTGACGGAGTAAGATGGGTACCCACCGAGCGTGTAGTTGCCATTAGAGTTTAGCGCTCGAAGGATTTTGTCCCTGTGTAAGGTGAGCAATTCAGGAATCATCGTCGTAAGATGGTTTTTCCAGATGGTGTCGGCTCTCGAACTCGGACTGTCCAAGTGCTGCTGCCTGGACCGAAGATGTGGATGCATTTTGTGGTAGGTTTGCACCGACCCGAGGAGAGCGTTGCTAATCAGCACTCTCATTCATTTGTTCTCCTTGCACTTGCATGTACGTCAGCCAATGGTGTTACGATACCAAGACGTTGATTTGTCCGTGTCATCCTTGCTGTAGTCGGGACGGGCTGTGGCGCCTCCCACGGTTGGCTGAGGATCCGAACGGACGCCAATGTTCAAAGACAATTTCGTCGCCTCGATGTTTCCGCACACAGGGCTAAGCCATTAATATTGTTATTGTATCTACAGTCAAATCTACTACATACTTTGGTATGGCCATCAACCCAAGGTCGAGATCTTTGTTCCATCACCAGGCAACTTGCACCTCAACACTGCACCGGGCCATGTTCTTAGATCTGTCCCATTGTTCCACATCGGCTGGTACGGCAGCTGGTTGATGTTCATGTAGATGTACCCATCCGCCGCGATACTCGCGCCATCAGGCCAGATAATCCTGGGATCCCTCACAAATGAGTGTGTCTGCAGATCCTTCGGATCATAGTAGTAAATGGCGTTGTGCTCGGGCATGAGCTGGTAAATCAAACCATTAGAGTCGCCCTCAAAGCCGTTGGCGTTGCCGCCGCGCTGACCATGATCCGTCACGTTGTTTGCGGCTGCAATCTCGACAAGTGGGCCGCTTGGGGGGGCCAGTAGATTGGCAGTCGGGACGCTGTAGAGATAGTTGGTAGTCAAGGCGGAGTAGTAGAGGCGAGAGCCATCAGGCGAGAGTTGAAGACCGTCAAGACCTTCCCTTAGTGTTTGGATAGGAGTTCCCATCGTCTTCTGGTAGAAAGGACGGCCTTGGTAGCTGGGTACATCGCGGTCGACGCGAAGAACACTTGGGTGCTGAGTGAGGCGACGCCAACTCTCACCGGTCCCGAGGTCGAGCATGATAAAACCAGGCCGTCCTTCATCGCTGCTGTCAACGATGTATGCTACGCCCTGTCCGGATTGCGTAACATTGGTGCGAAGATCGAAGCGGATATCGTTCATGTAAGAGTCTGGAAAATGTACCGATGGCGGGAAAGTGTATGTTGCGTAGACAGTGTCGTTCAATAAATTGATGCCAATGATCTTCGGTCCGCCAGGTTGCGCGTACGGCATCGTCGGTGCACCGCTCGAATCCATGATGGTAGGTCGGCCAGTGTCAACAACCCAAAGAGTTTCAGGCCGAGCTTGGCTTTTTGGAGTGATGTACAGAGCCTGGACAGAGATTAAACCCGTACTGTTCCCACTTCCAAACCCAATGCCGTTCCATGTTGTGTTCAGCTGGCTGACTGGAAGGTTCAGTCCTGGAGATGGGTAAGGGCGCTCCGCAGTTTTGTTGACGGTCTCACCGAGCGTGAAGGTGTAGTTGCCGCGCGTATAGGATGCGAAGATTCGGCCGGTAGATGATACTGCAATACCGATAGGCCATTGTTCGTAGTAGTAGTGGACCTCCTCGATCTCTGGGCCGTAAGATCCAGAGTCGACGCGTAGAATTGTTTGCGAAGCATTCTGGAAGGTGACCTGGGAAGCCGCCACTGCCAGCAAGCTGAGCGCTGATACTAGAACTGACTTCATGATGGTCATTGTTCAAAGACGATGCACCCGTGTCAAGAAACGACGCTGGAGGGCTGGTCGTTCACAGACAAGGGCAGTGCCCACCTTTTACCTGCTTGTGCCATGATGTCACAGTGACTCTGGCGAGCTCGCACAATTGAGAAGGCCAGAGTTCGATTTAGAATCTGATGTTGTTGGTTCGACATCTATGATGCGGGGAAGTCTCCGGACGCGTCAGGTTCGGGTCGTTCCTGCAGTAGCGGCTCCCCACAACCCCCACGTCATCAACACGTGCGAGCGGTACTCGAAGCTACACGGCATTTGCGAATCCAGCTCGAGAATGGTTAGGAGCTCAGCCTGGTCCTTTGTACTTTGTGGTCCCTGATCCTTTTGATGGTTGAAGTCGACGATGAATTATGACGGAGTTCCCCTGACCGCTTTATTCACTCGAATCACCCGAGATAAAACACTCCTCACCGCATTAACGTTATGTGCAGCACCTTTCACCGCAATCTATTCAGTGCTTCAACATAAGAAACTCCACATCTGCCACTGCTCTTCTCTCATTACTTTGGCTGCTTCCTTTTATACCCTCCAGGGCTCTTCGTTCTCATCCTTCCGTTTCCCCTGCTGTTTGCGCTTCCGATTTGCTTTGTCAATTATACGCTGACGCTCCTCTGCTTTTGACGATGGCGTCAGGTCGTGCTATGACGATCGGTTTCTAGGGATATCCGTTGGGTACTCACGGCGTGTGAGTAGTAATACGATAAACTTCCATGCTGGTGCATCAGCCGACGGAGCCAGAGAGGTCCCAGGCTCTTCCTCAATAGTTCCATCACCATCGTCGCCGTGAGGGATGATTGAGTTGCTGAGCCGGGCCATTGAGATCGTGCGTGCCCGTACAAATTCGAACTCGGTGATCAGAATCATGAATTCATCGCTTCTAGTATCATTGAGTGGGTGTGACCATCATCTCAAGTGCCACCCACGATCCGAAGTTGAAAGCTGATACTACAATCAGGCTGCACATGCAACACCAAGATTCGACAGCTATAGACCATAGCGCGAAAGAAATCGATGCCATGAGGTTGCTAGCCACTTGATCGTGCTCACACCAGTCAAGCAAGTATGTTGTCACAAAGGCAACCTAAAGCACTGTGACAGGCCACTGAACTTTAGAAGATCCCACGCTTCTATTTACAGTGTTGGCCGTAAGTTAACAACTCAAGTTGCAGTCGGTCACAGGCCAGCGCTGGAAGCCTCTTTCTTTGCGATAGCCTTTTGGCATCTTTCCACGTGTCTTGTGAAATTATCTTTTCGGATGTGTATCTTTTCTGGTGTAGCGCATCCGACATTGGTACATTTGGACATATGGGCATACTCGATCTTGATGACAGCGGCGTACACGACGTTTATAGGAGATAGGGAAGGATTCGTCGGAACCAATTTTGTGGTAACCAACAACCGGTGCGCAGTGGAAGAGCCCGTGTACGAGCTTGATGCTGTACTGACGGTATCTGCCGGTGACAGCCACGTAAATGGTGATATCTTGGAACTTGTTGTCTCAGAACTACTGATGGTGGATTGTTCAGCTATCAAATTTTGTCGTAGCGACGAACTCGGATTCAAACAAGTCATGTACCTTCGAGCCGTGGCAACGGATCAAAAGATGTGCGATCATCGAGGCCAAGTATGTGTTTAGGGTCAACGGGCGCAGGAGACTTGAGCGCTGTTTCGCCTACTGGAGGTTCTACGACTTGCGTCGCTAGCGTTGTGAAGGATTAACGTGGATCTACAAGCTCTGTAGGCCGAGAATCGCGTCGTGGCTAGTAGGCGAGAGGAGCCAGAAGGGTTTTTTCCGCAGATCTACGCTTTGCTCGCGATCTCCGCCAGAAGAATCCGATAGAACCCAGTAAGACTAAAGCAAGAACGATTTCCATTGCAGTGCCCGCGACCGCACCGGGAGAAACTTGCGGATCCGCGATCGACGACGACGTGTCCGTCGAATTGTTGTCTCTAGGAATGATTGTCATGTTGTCAGTTTCAAGAGGGTCAAAATGTGCAATCTATTGTCGTCCTTTAGACAAGTCGCTCCATCCTAAGCTGGAGGCATGTCACCTGCATGAAGGCGCAAGCCACAGTGGCACCCAATGATGGATCACAATCATCGTCTTGAAAGGCAGCCAGTCGTTGATAAAAGCAGCCCTCTGCGTCCTGATACACCATTGCTCAATAGAGTATGTACGAGTACACCCCCGGCTGTAACTTGAACGTCGTGCTCATTCATCTATATCTCGGTCTATCATAAACATCGCATCGCATTACCATGATCATAACCCAGGTGCCCGTTCCATATCGCGCCCAAAATGCTTTTACACAATCCCGGTCATGTCTCATTTATGCTTTTGGTCTCTACGACTCCTCAACAGAGTCTGGCTTGGTGGTCTCCGCGTCTGTCATCTCGGTGTCCTTCTCCTCGGTCTGAGGAGCGTCACCCTTCTTGGCCTCAGCCTCGCGCTTCTGGCGCTCGATCTCGGCCTGCTTTGCGGCGGCCTCCTTCTCCCACTTCTCGCGCTTTTTCGACTCCTCCTCTTGCAACTTGTCGTTGTAGCGCTGGATGATGGGTCCGGCAATCGAGCGGATGTCCTCCTTCTTGGAGACGTACTGTGCCTTGGAAGCGTCCTCGCCGTCTTCGTACAGCCAGTCCTGTAAGAGTGTTAGTGCGCCGTGGATTGCGAACGTATGATTTCACGTCTTACCTCGATCTGCTCGAGCTTGGCGTTGAGTCTCGACTTCTCATCATCGCTGGCAAACTCGGCGTACTGGTCGATGATCTTGTCCTTGAGTTCGTAGATCATGCTCTCGAGGTTGTTCTTCTCGTTCTCGGTGTCCTGGACGAGCTTGTCCTCCATGATCATAGCGTTCTCACGCTCAGCCTGAAGATTCCTGGTAGCCTCGTCAAGCGAAGCTGTGCCTGCTGAAAGAGGCAGATCGCCCTTCCTCTGCTGCTTCTTGACCTTGCGCGTCTTCGGGGGCTCCTTCTCCTTGTCAACGTCCATCTGCGAAGCATTCGTTAGCTCATGTTCGACATTCGCAGAAGCAGGACGCGCAAGTACAGATTCAGTGCTTTGCTTGCGCCGTTTGGCGGCAGGCTCTTCGCTGGATTGCTCATTGCCGTCAAAATCAATAGGGGAAGCTGGAACACGTACATCACCCTCCTTCTTCTCGCCCTCAGGCTCGGGAACGGGCTCCTCAACCTCGACATCCTCGACGTAGTATCCGGACTCGACGTTCAGCACACCGTGAATGTTCAGGCGGGCCTTCAGCTTGCAGATCATGAAATCACCCTTGGGGTCCTCCTTGACCCCTTTAACGGAGAAACGACCGATCCAGGGGTTTGCCTTGCCTGGCAGCTGCTCAGGCTTGGCGTACTTGGCCTCCAGGTCGAAAGCGTGCTTCCGGTAGAAGGTCAGGATCTTTGTGGAGGGCATGACGTTGCCCTTGTTGAAGACTGTCAGGTTGGTGTCCTCGTCGGGGATGTCCTCGGACTTCTCCCAGGTGAACTCGATGGGGTAGTTGACCATGTCGTGGATGGAGAAGTCGCGAACGCGGAAAACGGGAGAGAGGATAGCGCAGCTGAAAGCGCAACCACGGGCGACAGCCTCGTCCGCATTGAGTGTGAAGGAAAGCTGCCTGCCGCCGAAGTACTCCTGGATCGCAGCCTTGAGGGCGGGCACACGGGTGCAACCGCCAACCAGCTCGATGTGGTCAATGTCCTCAGGCTTGAGCTTGGCCTCAGCAAGCGCCTGCTCGATAGGAGCAGTGGCGCGCTCGAGAAGAGGCTTGATGAGCTCCTCAAGCTCCTCACGCTTAAGCATGCCGCGAACATCGACATCGTTCATGATGGACTCAACGTTAATGGGAGCCATGTTGTTGGCAGAGAGGACCTTCTTCAGCTTCTCAACACCAGCAGCCAGACGGAAGCGTGCCTTGCCGTTCTCCATGACGTTGATCTTGTACTTCTCGTCGAACTCCTTGGCGAAGTGCTCAACGAGGGCCTTGTCGATGTAGCGACCACCGAAGTGACGGTCCCATGCGCTCGATTTGACGGCGAGCTCGCCCTTCTTGAACTCAACAACGGTGGCTGTGTAGTTGCTGTGGCCGACGTTGATGAAGCAGACGCGCTTGGGCTTCTCCTCTGCGGTAGGCAGGTCGAGCTTTGTGATACCGTAGCCAAGGGCAACGGCGGTGTTGTCGTTGATCAGCCTCAGGCAGTTGAGGCCAGCGATCTGAGCAGCGTCGAGAAGGGCGCGGCGCTGGGCGTCCGTGTACCACACAGGGCAGGAGAGGACGACGTCGTTGACGGGCAGCTTGAGCTCTGTGGAGGCGGTTGCGCGCATGCGGGTCAGGTACATGGCTGTGATCTGGGTGGCAGTGAACTGCTCCTTCTTGCCCAGGTAAGTGACTTCAGCACCGACCTGGCCGTTGATGTCGACTAGCGGCGCCGAGACGAAGTCCTGCTCGGCCTGGACATCAGGGTCGTTGAGGGAGCGGCCGGCGAGGCGGACAAACGACGAGACGGTGTTCTTGAGGTTGGAGATTTCCTGGTTCTTTGCGGCCTCACCGATGTATCTGCTCTTGGGCCCGAAGCCAACCAGCGACCTATCAACATGTCAGAAGGGTGTTGTGTGCAAACTTTTGGAGGGGGCGGTAAGGCCACTCACGGTGTCGCGCGGTTGGAGACTTCGTTTGCGATCTATCTGTGAGTCAGCATGCTGGGTGCTGTTTACTGAGACGCGCTGTAGGAGACTCGTGTTATTACTCACCACATCGACACCACGGTTGCGCGCAACAGCAATGACGCTGTTGAGCGTGCCCAAATCAATGCCCACAACAGACATGTTTACACAGGTTCGCGGGGTATCGGTTACTGGGGAAAAAGGGGGGGGGTATCAAACGGGGTGAGAAAAAAGAGTTTCGTGTAAAGTCGTCGAGACTGCAACTACAGCGAAAGTGCCTTGTATAGTTGGAGCAAGTTTGCAGGGCTGGCGGTCCGTAGAAGCAAAACGAACATCTGAGAACCTACGATTTGCCCCGCTAACAGAAACTGGTGGTGGGAGGCGCTCGGACCAACGACCCACCGCACTTTCCGTCACCGCCGGCCAGGGCAGGAACGCGAACGCGAACGCGTCTCCCGCCAAACATCGTGTTAGTGCGGCCGTCATCCAATGTTTTCCAGACAACAACAGGATGAATGACATACCCCCGTACCCTCTCTACAATCGCACGTACAATCTCTACCGTTTGTCACCACTCCATCATGGTGACACTCCTCTTCTCGCCGACCGCGCCCTTCGCACCCATGCGAAACGACTCAAAGAGCAGCTGAAGGGCGACAATGTGCGTGGTGTACAGGTCGACTTCGCCAGTGCAGATGATACAGCTAAATTGGGCCCACTAGAAGACTGTAGTTGGGACTTGCTTGGTGACGAAGATGCTTGGATTGACCACCACCACCAATTGCAAGACCCTGAAGCATCACAACTATCACCGCTTACAGAGGTGCGGGGCGTTCAAGTGAGCCTCGAGTATGAGAAGCAGTCATACAATGCCATTCTTCTGCGAGACCTTCGCAGCGCTGCTGCACCGGATGGTTTTTCATCACTGCCGTTGCTGCTGGTCAAGATGCCAGGGCCGATACGACAAGTGTTTCTGCAGTATCTTCGAACAGCATTCGACGCACACGTTGCGCCGCTGAGACTGTCGTCGACATTCATCACAGGGAGCATGGAAATCTACTTCAAACGTCTCTCGGCAAGCACCTCTACACAGTCGATACAAGACGTCGTCCGTCAGCTCAACGTGCAGCTCGCCTTCCCCAACACAACGACCCTCCTCAAACACGTCGACGTCACTATAGCCGCCACTGACGTTCCTGGCTTCGTCACTCGAGGCAAGCACGTACGCGATAAGCCCTTCACGACAGCTCTATCCAGCTACCTCGCCAAGCACCTCGCCCTCGACATATCTCACTCAAAAGTCCAGATATCACGTATATCATGTAACAGTTTCCACCTAGGCACAGAGCGCCTGAAGCTCGCCGCGCCGGATACACTTGCCGACACATCTTTCTCAGACGAGGGTGGGGCTTCACAGGATGCCAGCGCGGGCCAGCTGGCTGTGGAGGAATTTCTTACGTCACTCCTCCGAGAAGCTGCCGGCAGCGGGAAATTCCTACCTGAGGACTTGACGGTGAGTCTCAGGGATGGTACACCATCATCGACCGCAAGCACAAGAACAGGGAGGAGGAAGAGAGCCGTCAGCGGTGCGGCTGCGACGAATAGCAACCAGAAGCGGACCAGGGCGAAGAGCCAAGAACACGGGAAAAGCAAAGATGCGGATGAAGAGATGGATGACCTGTGACAAATCAGCCTCGCTCTGATGCGCCAGAGCATCTGGTAAGGCAATATATGATACCCCAATTTTTACGAATCCTCTCGATTCGATGTGTTGCACGAGTTTTTTGCTCTCGCGTACTGCGATTCTTTCGGTTTCATATGATGCCTTTATGGAATGTACCGCAATCACTGGCACTCAAGATCAATCGAACGAGGGTCTGCACGCACAAGCTCCTTATGGTTCTATGCGCAGTCAACACTGATATATGCAGCATAACCATCTAGCAAGCGAGATGCTTGCAAGTTGTTCATGTCTTTCTATACGGTTCAACACGTCACCGATAACCTCCCATCGACGAATGCGAGTCTGCTTGACCATTGACAGGGATTCATAAGATTCACGCACATGGCGCAGCTTCACTCGTCCGCTCGTATGGAACAACGCTCTCTCAGCTTCACGCCTCCACACCGAAACTCAAATGAACCCACATCATGGAGGAATGACGACATGCTATCATCAAGCATTACCTTTGTTTCTGGATCTACTTCGCTGTGTTCGTCTCCAAGCCCAGATCATCCAGCAATGGACACGATTCCACATCGTGATAGCCAGACATGCTCTATTTCACACAAGACGAGGGTGCTGATGGGCAGACAGCCGTTGCGACATTCCTCGAATTCTTCAAGCGGATTGCAGTGCGTAATGGCTTAGTAGCACCGACAGTAAACGTTGATGCAGTCGATCATTTTCCAGACAGCATGGGCGACGAAGCGGTTGACGATCTCGGGCACTGGCTCTGGTCCGACGACCGGCGGTTATTCCGTTAAGTATTGCGCAGTTGTGCAGCAGAATAGTGTTCATCTTGCGGATCGTGGTCTCTGACTATCCGGTCTTTGCTACATGCGTTCGGTCTTCGCTTCAATTGTCGAACATTCGCCCATGCATGGCCACCTGAATCGAATTTTGCCGTATCGCTACAGCATTGTGCCGGCTACTCTGTCTGTACAACAAGGAGGATTCTATCGGCCAATGACGCGCCCTGTTGCTGCAGACATCCATGTAACCCCCGCCTCATAACAAAGGAACCGTGATTGCGTCGCCTGATAACCGAAAGGCATGACAGGTATATAACTCTCGAGACGCTGTCATGGAGCCGAAAAACAATTCAGCTTTAAGATGTTTGTCTACACGGTGGAGAAGTGCAACTGTCAAGCGGGACGTCGAAGATCTCGCCAAAGAATACGACTACATTGTCGGTGAGTACATTCCACTGAAAGTCTGATAAACACTAACAGGCTCCAGTGGGCGCTGGCACAGCAGGCACAACAGTAGCCGACCGGCTTACCGAAAACTACACCAGTAATTCTTGACTACACGCACATTTGCTGCCTCACAGCTGATCAATCGTTTCCAACATTGCAGAGACCGTCTTGATGATCGAGTATGGCTCCCTTGCACTAGACGACTCATTCGTGCCACCGTGGAACGTTCCAGCATCAGAGTTTCTCTACAATATCACATCAGTACCGCAACCCAATGTCAACAATCGAACTTTCCCCGTCATCAATGGCCGTGTTGTCGGCGGCGTCAGCGCAGTCAATGGGTAGCTTCACAATCGAGACAGCAGACACAGTTACGACAATTGGGCCAAGTTTGCAGGGAACGAAGGATGGGACTGGGACAGCATCTTCCCTTACTTTAAGAAAAGCTCAACCTTCCACGAACCCACAGAAGAGATAAAGGGGTTCGGTATAACATATGATCGAAGCATGAGGCACCTCGACACCCATCCATGCCGCCTTTCCACCCTACCAGTACCCAGGACAACAGATTCAGTGGAAGGGCTGGGCGGAGAAAGAGGGCGTGCAGGTACAGAAAGACCACGCCAATGGTGACACTCATGGCGTCTTTTGGGTTCCCACTGCCGTGAATCCTGAGGAAAGATACAATCGCAGCTTTGCAGGCATTGGGCACTGGCTCGAGGTGCCACCCAGACCGAACTACCACCTCATCACCGAGCACAGAGCCATCAAAGTAAATTTCGAGCAGGTTGAGGGCCTTCAGAAAGCCGTCAGTGTAGTTGTACAACCAAGATTTGGGAGCAAGACTACCTTTATCCTCAAAGCTCGCAAGGAAATCATTCTTTCTGCAGCCGCCACTCGAACACCACAGATCTTGCAATTGTCAGGTATTGGCCCGAGAAAGGTCTTGGAGGATGCTGGAGTGGAGGTCGTCATGGACCTGCCTGGTGTAGGATGGAATTTGCAAGACTATTCTCTCCATGAGTCTTTACAACTTCACTAAGGACCTTTGGCCGAATCCCGCACAGATCACTACAAATGCAACTTTCAGAAATGGTGCCATTGCAGAGTACAAAGCGAACAACACAGGCCCATACGCACCATACATCGTATGCAGCCCAATCACTTACTGACTACCTCCCGGTGGACACGCCCGACGAACTCGTCGCCGGCTACGCGGCACAGAAATCGATCCTGCACGAACCCTTCCTTTCCAACAACTCCGCCATCCTCGAGCATCTCTTCCAAGGCTCACCCAGAGGCACAGCAATCCTCCTCAAGCCCTTCTCACGCGGCACCATCCGACTAAATGCCACCAATCCTCTTGGTCCGCCAATCGTCGACTACCGTCTCCTCAGCAACCCTATCGATCTACAGCTCCACGTCCGCATGCAACAGTATCTCCGCCACCACTTCGTGACCTCCCCCACCCTCGCACCACCCGGCCCTGTAGAACTCGATCCCGGTTCTTCCCTACCGTCCGACAAGGACGTTGAGAACTGGCTCATCAAGCAGAATAAGCTGTCGGCGAGTAACGCGCACCAAGTTGGCACCGCGGCGATGATGCCAAGGGAGCTGGGTGGAGTGGTGGATGGGGAGTTGAGGGTGTATGGGACGAAGGGTCTGAGGGTCGTGGATTGTAGTATCATTCCGTTGATTCTGGGGGCGCATACTATGGCGACTGCGTATGCGATTGGAGAGAAGGTGAGTAAAGGCCGTGTGCAGATGACGAGGGGCTAACATGTATAGGCTGCGGATCTGATCAAAGCTGCGTCTGACTAGAACCCGAGTATATGGGCAATGGTTATTATGAATTCGTGTGTTAGAGCATGGCCATGGCACTGGGAAAGGGCTGTATCATCAGCCTGAAGCTCTCCTTCTTCAACAGTCTTGAGCAATTGTTGTTGGAAGATACGTCGAGTCGACAGCGGAGATACCATTTTGTCTAGTCATGTGCGAACTTGCTGATACGATTATCATTCCGTAGCTTGATTTTTCGTCTTCTACATCTGATCAGAGGAGCTGCAAACGCACCTGAAAGGAGCCAGTGCCGACCGTACACGGAAGCAGGCAGCCGCCACAGCGACACGCATATGCTTCCATCTCTCCTTTGGCCAGGAAAACATCTAGCTTTCATGGCGACTGGTCTTTCATTGCTTTGGCTGCCTCCATACTAAGATCCAAGTGCCGACCATATTAGCTGGTCCATGACAGGCGACAAGCAGGCCAGCCCTACCAATATCAGCTCGCCCTGGACGATGCTTACTCCTCCACCCTCTCAGCTTTCCCACCATGCACCTCGCTTATGAACGCCACGCAGAAAGTCGGAACTCTGCACCAGTCGGGGGACAGCCAGGTTAACATAAAGCTGCACGATGCTTTCTAGTGTACGGCTGAGGAGTATACTAATGCACGTCTACTCCGAATGGTCACGATTGTACTGTCTTCAGACAGAGTGCTCGGCTCGAGGGCATAGATAAACTGTCCGCTTCCCCGCAGTCAACGTAAATGAATCGCAGCTATTGTCTCCTATCCTTGTTAGACCTTCACGATGCACTTCTCCCTGTTCACCGCTTTGATCGCACTCGCCCTTGGCGTCAACGCCATACCCACACCACCCACTTCCAAACCCTACTCCCTACCCAAACGCCTCATCGCACTAGAAGAGCACGTCGTCTCGCCCTCGCTCGAAGCCGAAGCCCTCGCCGCCGGCCTAGTCCAGCGCTTCCCCGGGGTCCTCGAGAAGCTCAAAGATGTCGGCGCGGGTCGCATCGCCGCCATGGACGCAGGCCACTTGAGCATGCAAGTCCTCTCCCAACAATCTGCCGTAGGCTTGGAAGACCCGGAGGGATGTCGCAAGGCGAACGATGCTGTGAGGGTCGCTATTGCTGCGAATCCGAAGCGGTTTGCGGGCTTTGCGGTGCTGCCTATGAGCCTTCCGGATGAAGCTGCAGCGGAGTTGAATCGTAGTGTTACGACGCTTGGGTTTAAGGGCGCAATGATATGGAATCATCTCAATGACGGGACGTACTATGATTCAGCGCGCTTCGATCCTGTCTTTGCGATGGCGCAGAAGCTCGATGTGCCGCTGTACTTGCACCCTGCTGCGCCTACAGCAGACATCGCATCGAAGCTCTTTGCTGGGAACTACCCTGCAGCTGTGGCTGGGCGTCTCGGGACGTTTTCTTGGGGTTGGCATGTCGATGTTGGAACGCACGTCCTGCGTCTCTACAGCGCCGGCTTGTTCGACCGATTCTCGAAGCTGAAGTTGATCATCGGGCATAACGGCGAGGGTCTGCCCATGTTCCTTGATCGCATCGATTTGACGGGATTGAGGAACGATACGACGTTCAACAAGGTTTGGGAGACGAATATTTGGAGCACGACGAGTGGGTTTTTCACTGTCCGCCAATTCCAGCAGTTGAGGCAGGTCAGCCCAGTTGAGAGGATCATGTACTCGGTAGATTACCCGTTCAGTACGAACACGGACGGCTGGGCGTTTGTGAAAAAGCTGGCGCAAAGTGGTGTGTTGACGAACGGGGAGATGGATGCGTTTGCGTACAAGAACGTGGAGAAGTTGTTGAAGCTGTGAAGACTACTTGCAGACCACAAAGGCTGTATCTTACGGGCATCGGTCGGTTTTCTCATGACTTCAAGGCCTGTGATCTACTATGCCGAATGCCAGCCGCTTCCCATCCTGCAGATTGGTGACATATGTTTCGAACTCCAGGATGTTTTGGATAGCTTTTTCGATATGTCTGAACCCCAGGCTCCCTTTTTTGAAATGCGCCAATTGCCGTGCGGCATTTAGGGAATTCCTGATCTGTCGACCATTCAGTTCCTGCCGTTTGAGGAAGTTCAGCTTCTTTTGTATTCCGTCGTGATCAACATCCTCACCTCCTTCTTTGAGTAACGTCAAGAAGGGTTTCCATGTTTCCAATCTACTTTTATCTACCAGCGTCGCATACTGGATTGTCAACTGCACGCGCGATTTGACTGCCTCATCAACCGTGCCAATGCGATTGGAGGTCAGGATGAAAATGCCGTCGTAGTATTCCAGTGTGCGGAGGAACACAAGAGACGATTGAGTCGCGTTGAAGATCAAGTTTCGATCGCTCTTCCAGGAAGACATCAGCCTCATCAAGAAGCACAACACAATCCCATGTGCTTCCGATGAAGAGGACCGCGTTTAGATATTTCTCGATCGTCTCGGGATCAGTGCCGATGTCGCCACACGTGAGTCTGTGCAGAGGTCGCTCTGCAAGCTCAGCGACACTCTCTGCTGTGAGAGTTTTCTTCCCGGTGCCTGGACCTCCATGAAGCAGTATAAGGAGACCGTCTCCTTTGCCTGCTAGGAAATCAGATTTTGTGCTGGAGCTTCTCTCCAAATGGCCTATAATGAGAGCCTTGATCAACTCTTTCTTTCCCTCATCGAGTACTAACTTGTACCTGTATGTGTCATTACTCCAACGTATGCTACTTATGTATCTCACATATACTTCGACTAGATGCAAAGGTGTTGGCCACAGCCACACTAGGATCCGCACAACGACTGACCCAATTTTTTGTTGTGAAAGCCCAAGGCCTCGATCCTCGGAGTTAGAAAAAGTACGAACGACCCGTCTGGTGGTGCGACGTCGTTTATCGCCTCATTGGGGAATTCTTCGTGCGCAGAGGTATTAGCTTCGGGGGGATGCATCAAGTTGTAGGTCTTCAGATCGACCATGTAGCGCACATTGTTCTACTCAAGTTAGCCTGCAACAGTAAGATGCATGCGCTACGCGTACGGTGTGATCGCCCTTTCCTTCCGACGGGATGCTGTAGTCCACGTATCTCTTCTTGCGATGTGAGCAGATATGTTTCCGCGAACTCTAAGCTTCATTTTTAGCCCCGATTGATCCAATCTTAGTGGTGAGTACGGCAAACTAGAGATTGCAACTCTGTCCGAAGCGGATGGCAAATTGACTGCGAGTTCTTCTTTTTTCTTGAGGAACGTGCCGTCAAATGCCTACAACCAGCAGGATAGTGTCATCTGATCGGAGCTGATGATCGGGGTTGATGTGGTATTGGTGCTTGCAAAAATGTGCAGACCCCCCTGACCTTGGTACAGTGATGCGTACAGTAGGTACGTACCGTGGTTCATGAGACGTACAGCCTTGTGAGTGGCCGTTCACACCACGTTGTTGCCCTGCAGGACATGTACCAGACTGTCAATTCTGTCAACCAAGACAGAAACAGCCACTTATAAGCCTTCATTCTTACACAACGTAAGCCTGTCGTAGTAGTGAACCAAGTGCAGGGGGGTTCGTACATTTCAGCAACCATTATAATATAAGCCACAGGTTCGCGGTCGGCCAAACCAACGACAACTTCGTTCGGTTGGAACGATTTTGCCAAGTGTTTTCTGGTCACGAAACCCTCTCGAAAAACACTCTCTGCTTCTTCGTATCCAGCGGCAAGCTCTTCATTGAAGTATTTTCGAAAAGCCTCGACATGTACCTTTTGGGATAGTTGAAGATCTTTCGTTGCAAACTTAGAGAGGACCGACCGGCAGTGGTAGAGCTGAGGGTACGAGATTACGGTCTTGGTCCCATGCGTCCAGAACTTCAGAATATGTTAGCTGCAGCGCCTTCAAAGCTTCAACAAACTCTTGCGACGGAACGATTGTCTGGACACCTACAGTGGCCTTTCTCGCGTCTGTTTGAAGTACCGAAAAGTATCGAAAGTATGCTGCGAGACTGGGCCAAAAACGGACGCGCTTCGATCTTGGTGCTCCAAGCTGGCGCGCGCGCGCAGACGCAGGCGACGGAACTCGCAACGGACGTCGTGAACCATCTTGATAGGCATGGCCGGTTCGTCTTCTGGATTATCTCATCGGGACGTTCTGCGCGCAAGATGACAATGCAGGAGGTCTTCAAGTCCATCATCTTCCAGGCGCTGCAACAGGCAGGTGCTACGTTCGCGGATATGAGCGAGCAACTGCATCCGCAAAGATCTACGAAACGCACACAGATCGTGAGTGGGTCGAGCTGATCTGCCTCCTCTCTGCAAGACTTCCGAAGGCCTTCTTGATTATCGAAACCGAGGATATGCGTAACATGTACCGCCACGGTCACCAGTGGGCTGACCAGTTCTTCGGACTCGTAGAACAATCGTCGATCGTACTACTAACGCAGGATGTCAGCTGAAGGTTTGCTGCTCCTGTACGGCAGCAAACCAAGCGCGTATTCTCATCGAGACCTGCGGGTGGCGATGCTCCCGCCGTCGAGCTTGATCCCGCCACGCTTGAGGCATTTGGCACGTCAGCTTGGCCTCAACGTCAAGGGCTGGAAACTTGGAGGCAAGAGACCGTAACGTCATGAGAGATCTGCGACTGTTGACTATATACTGCATCAGGAGCGGCGGTGATGACGAGAGTCTCGAACATGCCACCGTGCTTGCCTTTCAGACCGACCTTCTCCTGCTCTACATGCGCCTGCCGCGTCCTCCCAGTCGTTTGATCTGCTCTTCGAGGATGGTACAGCTTTGAGAAGAAGCGGGCCGCATTGCACGTGAAAATTGAGTGGTATCTCCACCAGTGCTAAATTCGAAACCGAGTATCTTTATAGTGTCGTAACCCCGGCTGAGGATGTGGTTCGAGTCCCAACATTCCTATCTCTCAAAGCAACTTCTCAGACCAAGTCTTAGGCCGCAGTGGACTGCCATCAAAGGCCCACATATCAAAGCGTATGTGTATCATGCAACCAAGGATCTAATTATTCCAACCGGTTCCACAATGTGTAGTCAGGGCCAGGTCGTTGCGCAGCTTCCTGTATACCCACCCTCTGCTGTCTCGCTCTTGCCTGCCGTCTCGCCCGTCCGTTTTGTGCTGGAGGAGCAGCAGACGATGCTACAGATCCACGGCGCTGAGTATGTACTTGGCGTGTACCTGGCGGACCGCCTCGGCTGGGTCCAGGATCTCGCAAGGTCGCCGTAGTTGTAGTGCTTTCGCGTTGATTCTGCGATCCTTCTTGGTGTTGCACGCCTTCATTGCGCTTGCCGTTTGATCTCGCACGGGCGCGCTTGCGGTCCCGAAACTTCTGCCAATAGCTCTTACCGTCTTTCTTATTCTGTGAATGGCATTTAGTGCATGCTCAAGAGCAGGACTGCAAAGCACAAACGCAAATCCACAACGCAAACTCAAGTGCAAAATCCAATAGCATACTCAACGCACCCTCCTCCTATCCCTGTCCCCGTTTTCGACCTTATCGTTGGGAACCTCGACTTCATACTCTTCTTCCTCAACCTTATGGTACTTCTCAACCTCCGCTCTCTCGTCCCTGGCACGCGCCGCATCTAGCATGAACCTAACTGTCCCGTTCTGACCTCTTACACCGATCGCGCTGGCGTCCGGCTGGCCCGGCGAAATTGTGCCTGGGGTGTCAGGGGTGTTCGGGCTCGTCGTGTCGACGCTGTAGCGGGCTTTCAGCCCGTTTACAGCAGCAGGTGTAGCGGGCGAAGTGGTGACAGAGGGCGTTTCGGAGGCGTAGGGAGTGAAGCGCGGCAGTGAGAGACGCGAGGCTTCGGTGTTGAGGGTGATGCGGATGTTTATGAATGTTTCGAGGGGGTACAGAGGGCCGATTGAGGTAGCAGAGCGGTGGTGCGTGTAGAGGTCGAGGAGGTCAAGGAGCGTTTCTGGCGAGTGTTAGCTTGCGTAATTTCTGACTATCGACTGGTCGCTCGAGACGTAGAGGTATAAACGTACCCATGACTTCCCCTCGACTTGTTCCCCACTTCGCATACCTACATGCGCCTCTGTCCACCAAAGCGTCTGTGTTCCTCTCGTGCAATCGCGCCGCCAGTTCCAAGCACGCAATCGCCAAAGTCGGCGTACTCTGCTTGAGCGGCGCAAACGTCCTGTACAGATCCACACTCAGATTCCATGCCGTCTTGCCCTCGCCATTTCGGTCGAACTTCAACGCTCTCGCTAGCTTGACCATGAGTTTCTGCGAATATCTATTCCTGAAATCGAACCCTGCGCTCTCCAACATGAGCCTCTCTAGGCCGATGATTTGCTTAGAATGAATATCGAACCTCGGATCGTCGCTGCTCAGCGCCTCTCCAGGCCCAACCTTCAAGTTCCAGCTTGCGCACAAAATCTCCCTGCTCTTCTTGAGCGTGTCTTCGATCTTGCATGCTGTGAACAGCGCGGCCGCACTCGCATCGGCCCAATTGAACTCATTCTCTCCGTGCAACAGCCTGAACTTGTGGTAGTAGATGACTGCTGTGTTGAAGGTCCGGATTGGCAGCGACAGAGCTCGTCGTACCGCGTCAATCCATGTCACGCCTTGTAAGCGCACGGCGTCTTCCTTTGCGTCAGACATCTGAATAGACGCAAGGCATGTCTGGATGCGCGATTGGAGGATGTAGGGTTTCGCGATCTCGATGTAGGAGGGGTGTGGGCCGACTCGTGCAGAGCCCTGCTCTGAGGGGGTAGCGGATGGCGCCATGCTCGAGTCGGAGGTAAGAGAGGGCGTGGAAGGGGAGGTTGGGTTGTAGTGCCAGGCTCTATGTATGTCTGGCGGGCGCTGCGAGTACGGCCCCAGGCGGGGAAGTGGTTTGTTCGGTGAGTCTCCTATGGTTCAGCGAATAGGGTCAATGGAATCGCAGGAGTGACACGTGTAAGCCCTGCGTCGTAGAAATACTATACTGAGCGTGGAGTGGAAAAGACATGAAATAGTAGCGGAGGGTAGTCCCGTCCAAAAGTTTAGGTCATAGCTCCCAGATTCAAGCTTGGCATCAGCATGTCTCACTTGCACATGACAATTGACCAACCGGGTGAGCCAGTGAATCCTGGCACCCAGTTTCAAGAAATGTTCGTAACCGCAAAAAGTGCCTGTTGTTGTAGGCTTGTTCTGCACTCTTCCATTTCATTAAAACTCCAAAAAAAATAAAAAAAAAATAAAAAAAAAGCTATATAAACGTAGAGATTTGCTTACCCTTTAGTTCTGTCTTTTTAGGTCTTGTGTTTCTCCTCTGGTTGTTGGGCAGTAGCAAGTTGAAGGCTGGGCTGCGTTGGTGTTCTAGCAGCTGCTCGCTTGTTTTGGGTGGTCTGCGGTCCGTACTTTTCTTGAAACTGGGTGCCTGGGCAGTAAGCCACGTAGTAAGACCTTGGGTAGCTTATTTGAACGTTGAAGCTTTTGCTTGATATCATCTATTGCTCCTACCATTAGCTCCTCGCCTCCTAGCCTCTACCGTCCCTGCGTGCAGTACGCGTAATCGTAGCTACGTGCCATAAATCCTATACCATCTCAAAAACCCTTCCGCCCCTTCGAGAGGTGGCAGGGCGTACAATCATTACATCTAAAATAGGCTAGAATGAAGAGACATTCGTTCCGCTAGAAAGAACCAAGAAGAAGCTGCGCCGAATGCAAATGCAGAGAATCGCTAAAGTTGCGAATTACGAACAGACATCGTGTGTCTATGCTGCTGTTCGGTTCTTGAATGTGAGAAGGCAGTCGTCCTGATTACGTTAGTACATGTTACATATGTGAACGCGAAGTGAAATGACTTACCATAGGGAAGATAGTGGCGAACACCTTAATCTCCTCGCTCAGGTCGGTGACCTTGTGGTCCCAATCAAGCATCATGCTGGCCTTGCCAATCATGAGCATCAGGTTGGCCTGCGCATATGTCTGACCCAGGCAATAGTGCGGCCCAGTACCGAACACAAGCCAGTTCTTGGTCTGCTGGTCCGCATCACCGGTGATCCATCGCTCGGGCTCGTACGCGTCGGGGTTGGGGTAAGCCTCGGCGTCGTGCAGGGCCATGTAGGTGGTGGGAATGACCATGGAGCCCTTGGGCACGGTGTACTCGGGGGTGACAGGGAAGTCCTTCTTGGCGAGGTAGGGGACCATGATTACGGGAGGGCGGTAACGGAGGACCTCCTTGACAACTGCACGGGTCCAGGGCAGCTTCTCAAGAACGTCGAGCGAGATCTCGGCGTGGATGTCGCCGTTGCGGGCGTCGATGTTCTCCTGACGGACCTTGTCGAGGTACTCGGGGCGGTCAGCCATGATCTGGAAGAGCCATGTAGCAGCGGATGAGGTAGCGTCCTGAGAGGCGAACAGGAAGGTGAAGAGCGTCATGGAGATCTCGAGGTCGCTGAACCAGCGAATGAGCATAGCGGGCTTCTCTGGACTCTCGCCCTTCTCGACCGCCTTGCGGTAGTTCTCCGACTCGATCATGTGGGCGACCCAGAAGTCGAGAATGCACTCCTTCTTGCCGCCGGCCGCCATGCGGACCTTGGCCTTTGCGGCGCACTTGGAGAACTCGTCCAGAACCATGTCAGCGCACTTCTTGCCGTACCAGCTCTTGGTGAAGGGCAGGATGATGGGGAAGTTGACAAGCTCGAGCGCAGCGGTAATGAGGTAGTAGTCGTCGGCGATCTTCTTGACAGCCTCCTCGGAGCAGTAGTGGCCAACAAAGGTCCTGCAGCTGATGGCGGTGATCAACAGACGGAACTCCTGCATGAAGGGAATGTGCTTGCCCTTGTTCTCAACCTGGGAGAGCTGGACGAAGCGCTTGTAGTACTCGTTGTAGATCTCCTCCTGGCCGGGGAGGTACTGCTCGAGCGCCTGGCGGGTGAACAGGCCGTTGAGACCCTTGCGGTAGTCGACGTGGGCCTTGCCGTCGAGGAAGACCCAGTTCTCGGGGCGGAGGAGCTTGTAGGCGGCATCGACGACGCAGGGCTTGACAAAGGTGGGCGAGTTGAAGATCTTGCGGGCCATGTCGCGCGTCGAGGCGATAACGACGAACCTGTTGGGCAGCTGTCAGCATGCGCGCAAAGAGAGCACACGACCACCGTGTAGTGGCGCATCAACAGTACGGGGCATACTTGTGGAAGACGGAAACGCAGCTCAGCGCGCCGGACGACCATTTCTCGTGGTACTTGGTGAAGCTGGGGTTGACCGAGTCGAGGAACGGTCCCATGAACGGCGTCTTCATGGCAGGTCCCACGATAGAGCCCTTCTGCCAGATGTACATGACTGCATCGCCGTCAGAATACAAACTCGGAATGCTTCGCGCCCACACCTACACTGATCGTAGAGAACGGCACCGACAAGCAGCGCGAGCGCCGCCTTCCAGAACGTGAAGCCATTGAAGATTGTAGAGAGAAGGCCGGCAGTGTCGAACTGGGTGATCATATGGGCGACTTTCGCGTCTGCCGTGGGCGAGACGAAACTCGCGTTGAGCGCCATGGTTTATGTCGCCCGGCGCTGGTATGCCCTGCGCAACGAATCCCTAGGAGGCGACAGGTACTTGTAGGTGCTTGGAGGCGTAAAGACCAGGACCGATGCTGTCAAACACAGTCGAGGGCCCTCGAGTCTTTAATTGCCCTCTTGGCGCCACCCTTGACCCCTTCATCGCTGCTCCTTTTCGCAGCCTTGTTGCCAAACTATTCCTAGTCCTGCCTAGTCGCCGAAGTCTGCTTTTCGGGTGCCGGCTCTCACAGGATCCGCTAAAATGCGTTGACCGGACATGCATGATGCGCGCGATACGTTGACACTGCTGCGACGTTGAGCAACCGTCAGATCGTGGACGCATTCACGGTAGTGGTTGATTTGTAGTGTTTATACAGTGTGAGGCTCAAGCTGAAGTCTTGACGTGAACGATGATGATCGCGGCAACGTCCCACCCCGACCCTCGGTTTTCCAGGCACGACGTGTTGATGATTGGCTGCAGGCATATACGCTGACTGATGGTAAATTGCACGTTTATCGCGTCACTCCAGCGTGTCACATCTTCCTCACAAATAGGATTGGGTCACGACATGATCATACGTGACCGAGATGCTGTACGGCAGCTTGTACGTGTTGCGTGCGGTTGGTTGGGAAGCTGGTCGTACAGAGGCCTGTATGATTGGAGCATCGTCGAGATCTGTACGCGCAAAAACGAGTACGCGCCTCGTACGAGGATGAAAAGGTTTCAAAATACGTACAATCGTCTAGATGTATTATCTCTACATCGGAATATCCTTAAGAATGCAGTTTAGACTCCGCAAGGCCTCATCGGACTCTATGCTTGTTCAAGAAGCCTGCCCAATCAGCTCTCTCACCCCGCACGTCAACACCTACAACCCCATCCCCTTCATTCCATCCCTCCCACTTCTCTAGCCCGTACAAGTGCCTCATCGTCGGCCGTCCATGCGGACAGCTCCATGGCTTATCCATACTGCCCATGTGTCTTACGATGTTTTCCATCTGCATATTCTGCAACGTCTTGCCAATCATCACAGAGCTTCTGCATGCGCGACTAGCCAGCAGTTTCCTCACCTTACTAGGTCTTGGAATGTACGGCGACGTAGGTGTTGAAGAGGACGGTGGATTGTCCATGACAAGAGCGAGGAGCTCTTCAAGGTCTGTCGGTGTGAAAGTTACTTCCTTTGACATCGGCAAGCTGGTAAGTTTAGCGCGGCGCTCCTTGTTGGATGTATCCACTTCGACGACGAAACCATTGGCAGTCAACGAGTGTTCGTTGGCGAGAATGATCTCCTCCTCGACAGCGGTGAGCTCAAGGGGGTGCGGGTGTACGAGACGTTGAGAAACGAGCATGGTGGTGGTGGAGAGGCGTTCGAAGTTGTACTTCTCGTCTGAGGCGTGCTGATCGATGATGAATAGATCCGAGGTAGGCGATGTTGAAGTAGGAGGCCGGACTGCGATGATGAAACCCAAGTTGAACTGACCAATAATCTGCATCTTGTTGAAGTCCGTCTTGGTCACCGTGAGACTCAGTCGTTCTTCTGGATCATCCTTGTTTAGCTGCGTACTTGTGGGCAGCACAGCTGTTGCATTTAGCCTTGCTTGTGCAGCGTCGAGATTCAACTGAATGTTGCGGAGATGCCGTGCTATCGATGTGACCTTCGTCTCGACGACACGCTCTAAATGGATAGTGGAGTGTTTGTTGTGAGATGTTTTGAAGAGCTTGTTCGCCCGCTTGAGGTTGATCTCTATTGGGCGAGCAGCTGCCTTCTCAGCCTCGGCGATCAGGCGCGCAATTCTTGCTTCTTCGCGGACCTTCTTCTCTTCTTCATCAACGTACTCTCCGTCAAAGCTCTCTGCTTCCTTGGCATCGGGTACAACTGAATTGCCGTCAAGCGGCTCCTCTTCGAAGGGTTCACCTGGTGGCGGGGCGCTTGAAGACTCCATTAAATCATCAGTCCGGGGCTCTTCAACCGCTTTCGACGCTGCTTGCATTTGTCGGGAGGGCGTCCGTATTGCCATCGGCATACTGCTGTCCTGATCGTCATCCTCTTCCTCTTCACTGCCTTCTGCTTGTGTGCCAGGTGCTGCAAATCCTCGAAGGCTATTTGTGAACAGTGACACCTTCGGGTTCTGGTTCAAAGGGGTGCCAGTCAGAGAGAATTTGGGGGTGTAGATTCTTGACCGCTTGGAAGACCAGTACTGGCTGCCACTTCCTATAGTGGTTGTTGTCGTGGTATCTCCAACGGTGATCGTTGCTTGCTGGATGGGTGTACGCATAGGACGCATACGATCGAAGGCATTCTGTATGCTACTTTGGGACAACACTTTCTGAGGAGTCTGCTTGATGGCTGGAATGGGTTCCTCGTCATCCATAGCGTCTGCCGGGGTAGGGCCTGGCGATCTAGGCGACCGCTCGCGCTCGACTCGTCGGGCATGCATGGATGCTATACGAGCGTTGAAGTCTTGCACGGCTTTCGAAGGTGGCTCCAACCTAATCCGAGACGGAGATATTGGCTGTTCGGGTTCAAACAGCGGCGATTCAGATCTTGGTCGAGGCTCATTTGAAGGTTGGTCAGCTTCAGGTGTTGCACTTCGCCGTCTCACATTAGGATGGAATACTCGCTCCTCTATCACCTTGCTGTGTTCTGGTGAGCTGCTTCTTCGTCGTCTTGGTGGCCGTCTAACCACTCGATCTTCGGCGTCACGCTCCGCAAAACTCTCAATTAGGCTCGCCTTGACAAACCCTGGAAGAACACCATTTGGCACGTCGGTATCCGTAGGCACACTGGATCTCTTTCGACTATCAGGCCTTGCTTCAGCTGCACCTCCCGCATCGCCACGATCATCTCCCGCGATGGATAGCGTGCTGCCTCGAGGTTGCATCGAGGGCGGTCTGAAGGTCGATTGCTGCTTCCCGAGGAGCTGCGCCTGGGGCACGCTCTGGTCGTGGCCAGCAAACAGCTCCGCCAAGGATTCCTTCACCCTCTCTAGAAGCGCCGTTTGGTCATGCAACATGATTGTCCGCTTGTCCGGGCTAACATTGACGTCGTATGCTTCGGTGTCTAATTGTATATCGGCGAAGATAAAGGGCGATTGCGTGATGTTGTACGACTTGTAGACCTCGTTGAAAGCTTTTGCTACCTGGGGCAGGTTGCAGGGCCGCGAGTTGACGAAGAACATCTGCCGATCTGGTGTCTGGCGTCCCTCGCCAACAACAGGCCGCGAGATGTGACCCACAACTCTGACCTTTCGCGAACCTGAATCTTCCTGCGGACTCGAATTCTTCGCACTTTGTGTAGCACCTGGTCGGTTGGAGGGGTCCATCCGAAAGTCGAGATCGAGAGGAATGAGAGCAGCAATCGTCTTCGCTCCATATACATTCGAGATGTTGCCTCTTGTGCTGGGGTTGGCATTCGTAGAAAAGGCAATCGTCTTCTTCCCCTTAGGCATCAGATTGGTCACGGAGAACTTGACGCCCACGCTGATGCACGCGTAAGCGTTGAGTAGTGCCAACACCTTGTTGTATTCTCTCTTGATATTCTTCTCCAGCTCCTTCCGCCGCACAGGTAGGTTGTAGAAGAGCGTCTCGACCACTACTATTGTGCCCTGCCTGGCCGCCACCACCGAAGTTCCTTTGAGCTTGCCCGACTGCTCGAAGTCGAGCTTGGTGCCTTTCGGTCCATCGCTCGCTCGAGCGGTGACGATGTGGAACTTGGACAGTGCACATAGCGAGGACAGTGCCTCACCGCGGAAGCCAAACGTCTTCAGAGAGGATAGATCGTCGTACGTGGAGAGCTTGGAGGTGTAGTGCTTGAGGGCTATCGTGTCGTAGTCGGCTGGTGCAATGCCGCCACCGTTGTCTTGTACCTCGATGGTGTCGAGGCCATTGTTCTTGAAGCGAACCTCTGTGTCACCAATCAGCCATCATGTCTCGATCGATTATCAGGCATTCATAGGCAAAAGTGCATACCTATCGAGGTGGCGCCTGCATCGATGCTGTTCTCGACGAGCTCTTTGCAAACAGACTGCAGGTCGACAATGACCTGGCCCGACTGGATCTGGTGGACTGAGCGCCCCTCAATGGGCTTGATCGTGGCCATGTCAACCCATGGTTTGTCTGCGGAAAGATGCAATGACCTCACGCGAAGTAGGCAATCGCGACGCGTCGTGCTCCGGCCAATCAGACGTTTGCGCTAGGAATTTCCTCTCCAACCGCCCACCACTCCCCTTCTACGTAGCTGCGAGTCACTATCAAGACCTTTACATATACTGTTCGACAGCTGAACCCCCAACTCGAAATGTCTGGCATTCTAGTAATTGACGGGGAACATGCAGAGGACTTGCAGCCTGAACTATCACTTCAGAAGCAGCAGCAGTAAGTGCGCTTCCCTACCATGAGTAAGATACGAACTCACCTGACGTCTATTAAGGATTAACGCAGCCAACACGAGTGCCCGATCAGAATGCCTCAGCTTTAGCACTCTGATGTACAAAAAACTTCCCAAAGAACTGCGAGACATGGTGTATAGCTACCTCTGCCTCGAAGATCGACAGATCCCAATTGGCCCATACTACCATTTTCGAAAATACGAGTCACTCAAAAAGGACGCTGTCCTGCGTTCTGAGAATCGGTATTTCCCGAGGCATGGAGACTTCCAAACTGTACTTCCAGATGGGAGGATCAGGACTGACCACGACGTATACCCGCAAGACGATTTTGTCATGCCCGAGAACCATATCTTCAACCCAAGCTATATGGGTGAAGAAGTCGTGCTTGAGACATTGGAAAAGTACTATGAGAGCAACAGCTTTTCCGTCTGCAACGTGGAAGGCGGTATGGACAATCTGTGCACAATCGTAACGTTAGGTCCTCAAGACTCAGCCGTTGATTTTGTGCCGATTGACCACATTTGCGATCTGCAGATACGCGTCAAATGTGAGCACTTCAACAAAGAAGCCAGCTCTTTGGAATCCAATCCGGGCATTCGGCTCAGAGAGTTTGCTGAAAAGGAACTTTTCCTACGACACACGGTGGATTCTCTGCGCAAGTTTCGGTCCAGGATACAGACATCAACCTCACATAAGCTGAACATTGAGGTCGTCCTCATATCAGATCTGAAGAGAGATCACGGGCATTCCAGTACCTTCGTGAAGGTTCATATTACGAACTTTCTACAATCGGTCCGGAACATGATCTACGAGCTGATGCATGACCGGAGGTGCACCACAGTCCGAGTCACGCATCAAGACGACGGCCTCATGGCATTCCCCAAGAACTACACCGGGCTGTTCAGCCTGACGAAGGAACAATGGGACTATGTAAGTGCAGTCTCACAATCAACTTACATTGGATTCGCCAGGTTGCTAACCCACAATAGGAGAAATCCAGACAACAGCCCAACCACGACTGGACCCACGACTTCTGGATCCTCCCCATTTCAAGCTCGGACCTACCCACGTCAGATTTGCTGAAGCTTGGAGGATACTGTATCGACACCCTAAACACTTTCCTCATCTCGCGATGGGGCATCAATGACATTCTCCGCGAGACCAGCAGTATAACATCCGTCATTGAGGGCCCATATTGGCCCATCGGAAGTCCATACAGCCCTGAATTCGCGTAACAGCTGACTGACAGGTCGGCACAGGAGGGCCCAAAAGACACCGACAGCGAGCCCATTCCAAGCCTTGGGATCAATGAGCTCAGCGGGCCACCGGACGCTTTATTGCAAAGTCTTCTTCGTGAACAGGCAGCTCTCAAGGTGAAGCTTCTTCATCTCGATGATTGAATGGAGTAACGCTAGACAACATATGGACCTGTGGCGCTGTAGCATCTAGAGTCTGCGTCCCACGCATACTCCGCTTTCGCATGTACCTCGAGTGGTGTACTACTGTGCTACACTTTGGCACACATCCATAGAGAGCCACGGATAATCAGGATGCGATTATCACGACATCCCTCACGAGCAATATTGGCGCGTTCTCCGGCCAGGATGAATGACTTCTCGGGTCAGAGCGTGTCTTCGCGCAACTTTCACATCACCATTGTGATCAAACACCAAGGTCCAGATGACTTTGGTTTGTTTCTGAAGGCGACGAGGACTGCAAATTGGCTCTGTATAATATCATCAATGTCCAAATATACGCTCCTCAAGTCGCACGTGTCTTGTCTTTTGGTTGCAGATAAACGCAACGTCTACCCTTACAATTCCCCGACATCTATACTTGCATTACCGGACTGTGATGACCATCTTTTTGTTTCAACGCTCGGTCCGCAGACCCTGCCAGTACTGGTACCGTGTCTGTGCACCAAACGCCCGGAGCACAGACACGGTACAGACCAAGATGTGTTGGCTTACGTTGGCATTGTCAGCACAACTTCTGACGTACACCCAGCACAACACCTTGACCTGACTGCCTCAAAAACTTCATTTTACACCTCAACAACCATGGGTGCTCAACCATCTTCGCCAAAGCCAGATACCACTATACAGGTCATCGGCGCGGGTCTCCCTCGCACAGGAACAGCATCCTTCAGTCTTGCTCTGAACATCCTCCTAGATGCTCCTGTGTACCATGGTGGCACACAAGCAACCCTCGGCCCTCCATCGCACATCCAAGCCTGGATAGATTTACTCTCGCGCTGGCCCCCACACTCACCATCAGACACTCGCACCATTCAAACGCACCTCCAAAACCGCTTGGACGGCTACGCAGCAGTAACAGACTCCCCATGCAACGGCCTTATCCCAGAACTGCTCACCCTATTCCCCAACGCAATGGTGATATGCACCACCCGCGACCCAGATGCATGGGTAAAGAGCATGGCAACAGTCAGCAATGCCGCGACACTCTGGTTCCTGCGCTTTGTGCTCTTCTGGCTACCGGGTATGCGGCACTTTCCCGCTTATATCGACGTATTGCGCAAGCAGTGGATTGTACTGTACGGTCAGCCTGAGCCGGCCACCCGAGAGCACTGGGATAGGCATATGGCGTATCTTAAGCGCACTGTGCCGGAAGACAGGTTGGTGTTCTTCGATGTGAAGGACGGCTGGGAGCCATTGTGCAAGGTGTTGGGGAGGGATGTACCGGGTGTAGAGTTTCCGAGGATCAATGATGGAAAGGCGATCGAGGAGCTTACGATGAAGTTTATTGTGAAGGGGTTGGTGAGGTGGGGGGCCGTACTGTTGACAGCTGGAGTGGGAGTGGCGAGTGTTGTGTACGCGAGGACCTAGGCAGGAAGAGTGGAATCCAAGGAAAGAAACTGCTGCAAAACGCGTTGGTTCCTGCCAGAATGCTATACCTACGTCGATCAGATGTCTAAGTCTTACTGATGTGCTCCAAACTATCTAGCACTATTGTAATTCAGAGCTTGCACCCGCCTTCTTTGCATTCTGTGAATGGGAGCGGATAAGCAACGCCTTCGGATATGACCAGGCAGCATGGAAGTCGCGAATTTCAAGGCAAGGTGACAACGAGGCTCAGCAACGCTTATGCTTTAGCTCGTGGTTTGACTTGATGGTAAATGCGATGTAGGCTTCCATGTACAGGCCATTATATTGATTGTTGAAGTATGGTAAGGTTGTAATTGTGAAAGGATCGAGCAGCCTATCTTTCGTGCTGCACGAAGGACCGCTTGCGTGTCCAAAGTCTTGGAAGGTAGTCGATGCAATGTTGAGATTAAAAGTTAGGGTTGTGTGCTAAGATAAGATTAGGGTTTTCTTTCATCATTCTCAAAAGCCAACTACAGTATGCTGAAAACATGCAAGGCAGCCGGATACTGATACCTGTATCGAGCCCAACTTATGACGTGAGCATGCATGTGATCATGGTGACAATTGTAATTCTGAAGATTGACCGTTTGATCCATGAATGTAGTGAGGAAACATGTGTTCGTGAAAGTTGCGATCTTTACGGCTGGGCGGCAATGATCATCTCCAGGCACAAGCGATGAGTGATGAGCATCTATGAAGATATATGCGAAGCAAGTACAAGTTACTGGTCCGGATGAGTAGTGCGCAATCGCAATTTTGGACCTGAGTTCAGTACGTATCCTGCAGCGTCGTAAAGTGTGGAGAAGTCGGTGTTGCGGGGCTGGAGCTGCCGGGCGAGCACTGGCGCAAGGAGGGACTCGCAGGTCCAAGGAGTAAACAACACTCAATTCAGCCATTGCCAACGCTGCACAGAGTATTTGCACATGTCAATCGATGCGATTGAAGGCGAGAGGCAAGCGTTGACCTCCGGCCACGTCGAAGAGGTGATAAGATTGTTGGCGAGGCGATGTCGGGAGGAATTGGAAGCAGGAGCGACCCAGTCACGTGAGAGGTTGCTCCGTGCAGCACCCGATTCTGGCCTTAGCGTCTTTGAGCTTGCCTAAGAGGTTTTCATCGCAGCTTCCTCCATCACCCTCCATCCACCTCCTCATCACCCAATTCATCTCCACTCAACGACCAACACCTTCACCATGGTTGCCATCGCTCGTTCCTTCGGTGCCGCCCGCGTGGCCAGCCGCAGCCTCACCACCGCTGGTACGTCCTGAACCTGATCGCAACCGCCTGCACCCGCAGCAATTGCATCAAAATCCATCCATTGAAGCCATTGAGCTCCATCAAATAGCCATTGACTTTTATCCTGCAGCCCGCCCCCAGAACAGCCTCGTTGCTGCCCGCTCCGCTTTCCGCAACAACGCTGCCCGCAACGTCATCCAGAAGCGTGGCATCGTCGCCGAGTCCACCGCTGCCGCCATGGTCGCTGCCGCTAAGATCCAGGGTGCTGGTCTCGCTACCATCGGTCTTGCCGGCGCTGGTGTCGGTATCGGCACAGTTTTTGGTGGCCTCATCCAGGGTGTCGCCCGCAACCCTTCCCTCAGGGGTCAGCTCTTCCAGTACGCCGTTCTCGGTTTCGCCTTCGCTGAGGCTACTGGTCTCTTCGCCCTCATGATGTCCTTCTTGCTCCTCTACGTTGCATAGATATGTGCATCAGAGTGGGCTATGTTGACATCGGGTCAACGGTCTGGGTCGCTGGATGGAAACTTTCGTGGATGGGTGTGTGCATAGGAAGGGCCTCCTTTCTACCTCTAGTGGCCGGTCAGATTGTGTAAAACATGTACTTTAGACGAGCAATCTGAAGAGCAAGCTACCACTGAACTTTTCTCTCCTTGACCGAGGCTACAATGCGGAGGCTCCAGTAGGAGCGGTGACGCGAGCAGGGAGCCAATACCCATCTCAATCGACTCAATTGTATCTTGCAAACACATGCCGAACTTTTTTGACGTGATTCTGATGACCTCGGGCCCGCAATGGATGCTGGAGCTCCGTAGCTGATGCAACTTGGCCAGCTGCTGGTTGCCAAGCTTGTTCAACCTCAGTCAAAGAGCACGTTGACGAAGAGGGCCCCAACACCCAACACAACGCCCAGACGACAGCTGAGTTATCTCAATGCCTCGGACGTACCCTCAATTACCTCTGCAGCAGGCGGGTAGATGCCAATGGGCTCCTCAGCTGTTATACAGCTCTACCGCCCCGCTCACCTCCAGCCTCGCAGCGCAATGAAAGCTGTCAATCGCCCTGGGCGTGATAGTCCTACACAACCTTTTCTATGAGAACGTGTCAGGCATGTCGTGCTAGGAGTCGTCGAAGTATCAGCAACGGCTCATCGCTGTCTCCTGCTCGCATGTGTACGTTGCTTCCAAATCTCACTGACCCGTGTACATGGCAACCCTAGCTGGCGTTTTTTTTTTCAATTGGTACGTGCAAGACACTCTCCCTGAGTAACGTTGCTAATTTTGATTTGAATAGATCTGTAGCTCCTCTTATGCGCCGCGTGGACATAGTCTCCAAAGCTCCCTCCCATCGTGAACCACCGACCCCAAATGTTTGGCCGTAGCAGCGAGCGCAATCCCGCCCACACAGCAATTCGGAGAAAGCACATGTTATCGCTTCGAGAAGGATATGTTGGACGATTTGGGTTGTACAAGGGCAGACACTACAGACTGACCTGACCCCATGGGCGGCGCAACAGGTCCCGGCAGCGACAGGGAAAGACGCAGCACGAACAGTAGCACTGCTACCAAGTATATCACCTCTATGCACGACGATGCTCTGATCGTCGTACGGAGCCTTATTGTTGTGAGCTCATCGAAGTCCCGATGTTTCAGATCTGGTTTCGAGATATGGTGAGGCTGTTCCCGAAACAAGCACAACAAGAGCATTCCAAACCAAGGCCATCCGGAAACCAAACGATCCCACTCATCCATGTCCGCTACGGGAGATGCACTAGCTTAGTCTCTCTGGGCCTTGCTTTCGCAGCGCAGATCGTCGCAGCATGCTGATACTGTGTTAGGCACTGATACCAAGCTTCGACTTCTGTTGCAGCGAAGCTTAGCAATGCGGCAACTATGTGGAAGGTGTATATATCGTCAGCGTCCTGAGGTCAATTGAGCCAGTTTCCCCATCATTCGTACCATCTTGTAATCTTTGTGCCGGCCACGCTCCTTTCTGTTCATACTACCTTACCCTATATCTTCCATACACCCTAATCAGTCACTATGAGATTCATTACTTTCGTGGCCGCCGCGGCTTTCTCTAGCGCTGTCTTCGCTTCTTCTGGTACGTGATAGCTTATCAGACTTACACTACGTCACTTACATACCGCAGCCAAGCGCGACCCTCAGGACGACGTCGCCTCCATCCTCGAGGCTCTCCGCGAGAACAACCCTGAGGATGCCGAAGCAGCCGCGGCTGTCATGAACGTCAAGCTCCGTGCTCGCGCCCCCGCGCCCCAAGACGACCTGGACTCGATCCTGGCCGCCCTCGAGGCCAACAACCCCGACGACGCAGCCGCCGCTCGTCAGGGCACCAAGCCCGCCACTACGAAGCGTCAGTCCCAGGACGACCTCGATTCCATCCTGGCCGCCCTTGAGGCCAACAACCCCGATGACGCTGCTGCAGCACGCCAGGGCGCCGGCAAGACCGCTCCTACCAAGCGCGAGCCCCAGGACGACGTTGCGTCCATCTTGGCTGCGTTGGCGGAGAACAACCCTGAGGATGCTGAGGCGGCCAAGGGCGCGATCCAGAAGAGGCAAGATGATGTTGCGAGCATCCTTGCCGAGCTGGCGAAGAACAACCCCGACGACGCGAAGGCGGCTCAGGGTCTGGCCAAGCGCTGGTTGGCTTAGATAGTTGATAAAGTGGCAGGCGAGAGGTAATGGTGGATGCGCCGTGGCGATTGAATCTGGGTAGGACTGTACATAGGCTTTCTTGGAAATGGGATTAACATTGAGCTCGTCTCACTAATGCACTCGTTGAGCTTGAACGCCGTGCTTCTCTTGTGGATGTGAATGCGTTGACTAATACACTCAGCGATACTTCAGCATGTTTTCACAAGTGCACCGCCAACATAAGCGGGCTTAGCGGAGATAGATGACGGCAAGCTGATCGCTGATCCTGCAACGCATGTGACCTTCATCAAGCTCTCACACCTCGAGGGCTCCACCTCACGCCTCCAGACCAGCCCACACCGCACTTGAGGCAACATGAATGGTGCGGAAGCAGCAGACTGAACGCATGACAGTGACTTCGCACAAAGATGGACACGAACTTCTGTTGAAGACTACAGCAGCTCAATGATTTTGTTCTTCTATGACCGCAATCTCGAACATGGTGGAACTCGGGGCATGCTCGAGGACATCGAACGACGTTCGTGCCTCATCGGTACCCAATCATATGTTGGGCCGTTATATGTAATCGAGATGTAGAGTCATCTACCAAACCAGAATACAGAGGAGTCATACGCGCAATAGCATTGATATGAGAGCATCGCTGCGCCGGAGAGCTTCAAGTTCCGTACCCTTACCATGGCGCAGAAAAGGGCGGCTGTTGTGAGTGCGTGGTTACGTTGCCGGCGATTGGAGAGAAATTGCCCCGCTAAATGTGGAAAGCGTCTTCCTCTCGCTACAGGCTAGCGTGAGCAGCATTGCCCCGCCCACGTTCAAAAGCTTTGCAGCACCCGCCCTCTTTCTTTTCTCGTTGCAACGCACGCCAACGTCAAAGCCTCTATCTTGCAGAGAGCGCTCCGTGTCCTGGTCCTATAGCCAGAGACATCTCCTGCAACCTTCGAGAACCGAAACCTCCCGTGCGGGGTATTCGTCCACTACACCGTTGAATTTTCATAAGAGAAGACAGCCACAACACCGCCAAAATGGTCAAGTAAGTACCGCCACGCCACTGCTGCAGCTCGAGATGTCAAAATCTTGAGCCAGCATCTGGGAATTGACAGAGCACGATGCTAACATGTCTCCAGCTTCACCACCGAGGAGGTACGTTGCGCGCACACATGCCCCGCATCATGCGACGATATTCGAGAAATGAGGAACACGGCATACTAACAGCGCATTCAGATCCGTGGTCTCATGGACAACCCGGCGAACATCCGTAACATGTCCGTCATTGCCCACGGTAAGCAGCCTCGATGCAATGCCAGCGCATGCAAGGACTGATCGCTGACCTACCCCGCCACAGTCGACCACGGCAAGTCCACCCTTACCGACTCGCTCGTCCAGCGTGCTGGTATTATCTCGGCCGCCAACGCTGGTTCCGCCCGTTTCACCGATACTCGTGCCGACGAGCAGGAGCGTGGTGTCACTATCAAGTCCACTGCCATCTCCCTGTTCGCCCAGCTTCAGGACCCCGAGGACATCAAGGACATCCCCATCAAGACCGAGAAGAACGAGTTCTTGATCAACTTGATCGACTCGCCCGGTCACGTTGATTTCTCCTCTGAAGTCACTGCTGCTCTCCGTGTCACCGATGGTGCCCTTGTTGTCGTTGACACCATTGAAGGTGTGTGCGTCCAGACCGAGACTGTGCTCCGCCAGGCTCTCGGTGAGCGCATCAAGCCTGTCGTTGTCATCAACAAGGTCGACCGTGCTCTTCTCGAGCTCCAGGTCTCCAAGGAGGACCTGTACCAGAACTTCTCTCGTGTCATCGAGTCCGTCAACGTCGTCATCGCCACCTACTTCGACAAGTCTCTTGGTGACGTCCAGGTCTACCCCGAGAAGGGTACCATCGCTTTCGGTTCCGGTCTGCACGGATGGGCTTTCACCATCCGCCAGTTCGCTTCCCGTTACGCCAAGAAATTCGGTGTTGACAAGAACAAGATGATGGAGCGTCTCTGGGGTGACTCTTACTTCAACCCTAAGACCAAGAAGTGGACCAAGGTCGGCACACACGAAGGTAAGGCCCTTGAGCGTGCTTTCAACCAGTTCATCTTGGACCCCATCTTCCGCATCTTCAACGCGGTCATGAACTTCAAGACCGACGAAATCCCAACTCTCCTCGAGAAGCTCGAGATCAAGCTCACCAGCGACGAGAAGGACCTCGAGGGCAAGCAGCTCCTCAAGGTTGTCATGCGCAAGTTCCTTCCCGCTGCCGACGCTCTCCTCGAGATGATGGTTCTCCACCTTCCTTCTCCCGCCACCGCGCAGAAGTACCGTATGGAGACCCTCTACGAGGGTCCTCACGACGACGTCAACGCCATTGGTATCCGCGACTGCGATCCCAAGGGTCCCCTTATGTTGTACGTCTCCAAGATGGTCCCCACCTCCGACAAGGGTCGTTTCTACGCCTTCGGTCGTGTCTTCTCCGGAACTGTCCGCTCCGGTCTTAAGGTCCGTATCCAGGGTCCTAACTACGTCCCTGGCAAGAAGGAGGACTTGTTCATCAAGGCCATTCAGCGTACCATCCTCATGATGGGTCGTTTCGTCGAGCCTATCGACGATGTTCCCGCTGGTAACATTCTTGGTCTTGTCGGTGTTGACCAGTTCTTGCTCAAGTCTGGTACCCTCACCACCAACGAGACTGCCCACAACCTCAAGGTTATGAAGTTCTCTGTTTCCCCCGTCGTTCAGCGTTCCGTCGAGGTCAAGAACGCCCAGGATCTTCCCAAACTTGTCGAAGGTCTCAAGCGTCTCTCCAAGTCCGACCCTTGCGTCTTGACTTACATCTCCGACTCCGGTGAGCACGTTGTTGCCGGTGCCGGTGAGCTCCACTTGGAGATTTGCTTGAAGGATCTCGAGGAGGACCACGCTGGTGTCCCTCTCCGTGTCTCCGACCCCGTCGTCCAGTACCGTGAGACCGTTGCCGGCACATCGAGCATGACTGCTCTGTCCAAGTCGCCCAACAAGCACAACCGTCTCTACGTCACTGCTCAGCCCCTTGACGAGGAGGTCTCCCAGGCCATCGAGTCCGGTAAGATCGGTCCCCGTGATGACTTCAAGGCTCGTGCCCGTATCCTTGCCGACGAGCACGGCTGGGATGTCACCGATGCCCGTAAGATTTGGTGCTTCGGTCCCGACACCAACGGTGCCAACTTGCTTGTCGACCAGACCAAGGCCGTCCAGTACCTCAGCGAAATCAAGGACTCCGTCGTCTCTGGTTTCCAGTGGGCCACCAAGGAAGGTCCTGTTGCTGAGGAGCCCATGCGCTCCATCCGCTTCAACATCATGGATGTCACTCTCCACGCTGATGCTATTCACCGTGGTGGTGGTCAGATCATTCCTACTGCTCGTCGTGTCCTGTACGCTGCTACTCTTCTCGCCGAGCCCGCTCTCCAGGAGCCCGTCTACCTCGTCGAGATCCAGGTTCCTGAGCAGGCCATGGGTGGTATCTACGGTGTCCTTACCCGCAGGAGAGGTCACGTTTTCGAGGAGAACCAGCGTGTCGGTACTCCCCTCTTCAACATCAAGGCTTACCTGCCCGTCAACGAGTCTTTCGGTTTCACCGCCGATCTCCGTTCCAACACTGCCGGTCAGGCCTTCCCTCAGTTGGTCTTCGACCACTGGCAGATCCTCCAGGGTGGCTCGCCGCTTGACAACACCACCATGCCTGGTAAGATCGTTGCTGAGATGCGTAAGCGCAAGGGTATCAAGATTGAGGTACCTGACGTCAACAACTACTACGACAAGTTGTAAGCGAAGGATATCAAAAGTGTTAGATTTCCTTTCGTTTCGACCTCGTGGAGTTCGACAGTCGTGGGCCTGTTCGAGGCCGCTGGTGGCTGTATGACACGCATGGTTCCCCATTTGGAGCACCAGAGCTAGATAAATGTCGGTCCGGGCAGTTTGCCCATTGATTTAGTCGGGTTCTTGGGCTTTGGACCAAGCTACGGATGATGACCCTTTTCCTTGCCGTTCAGCGTGTAGTGTAGTTTGCAAGAATCGAACTAGATTGCACATACAGAATCCGTGTCATTGATGTTTATACATGCATGTTCTGTGGCCCAGGTCTCGAACAGCTCGAGCTTGCTACGGGTGTAATTTTGCTCGGACGATTTCACTCCTAGTAACTACAGCAGCTTGTATGGGCAAGTGCTTGCTCGCAGTGAATATAGTGGGACACAAGTTGTCAGGTGAGCGCGGGACAAGCTCTGACGTTTTGGCCGTCACGCTAAAGCACGCGCCGAATCTTTGGAGCTCTGCAGCGCTGTGAACTTTCCATAATATACAACCAAGACCAGAAGTACAGCACGCATGCTCCTGGAGTGAGGAAGACGGTAGCCACACGATCATGTTGCTGCCAGAAGAAGACTCGGACGTGTTCAAACGCTGGGTGCTACCCAAGCTCGAGACAATGTACGTCTATGCTGGCTAGGGCGTGGTTGAGGCTGAGAACTGACCGGACACGATAGTTCTGACGCCGATGCGGAAGTGCTTGCTGACTATGTGGTTGCGCTTGTCACTACGAAAGACACAGACGCCAACATCAGGCGCAACTGTCTAGAGAGTCTTTCGGACTTCTTGCAGGATAGTAGGTACTGCGCATAGGTGCTTACTGTCAAGGCACGAGAAGCTGAACCTCCCAGATACTGCTCTTTTTGTGGATGAAGTCATTCGCACCCTCAAGAACAAGAGCTACGCTCCACGCGCGAACACGAACGTCTCGACCGAGGCGCCGGCACCCATACCCTCGATAGTCGGGACTTCGACCGCCGAATACCTCCCAAATCCCGCCCACGCCTTCAGTTCTGCCCCTCTCCATGCGCCCAAAGGCCCAGCAGCAACTCGAGGCTCGAACGGTGCGCACCGCTTACCCGACCGCCCTACTGGAGCCTCACAGGGCGCAAATGCACAAGAGCAGGGTCAGAGGTCGCGGAAACGCAAGCAGAACGAGCGAGACACAAGCCAGTCGCGAGAAGGTCTCGACCTGCACTCGAACCGCCATACTGGCAATGACAGACCCGTCAAACAGACAGCGCGCAGGACAGGGAAGAACGGTCGCGTTGGAGGCTTGAACGCACAAGCACCTGCATTTGCACCAATGCCGAATATGCCTCCGCTCAATCCGGCGTTTGGGGACATCCCGCCATTCGATCCTGGGAATCCCATGGCTTTCCTAGCTATGGCCGCAGCGTTTGGAATCAATTTACCGGGCATGCCTCCTATGCCTGCTTTGAATGCACAAGGAGCGGGCACGAGCAACATCAGATGCGCGGACTACGATACAAAGGGGTTCTGTGCAGCTGGGAGTGTCTGTCCTTACCAACACGGACTCGCGTACGACCCAGATCAGCCCGGGCAGGGCCTGAACGGAGGATACAGCGAACCCAGATATGCGCAGGGAGATCGAAGCTGCAGCGGACGTCGTTCCGGCGGCCGCACTCGTGCTCTTTTTTCGCTACCTGGACCTACATATGACCGCACGAACACTACTATTGTGGTCGAGCAGATTCCGGAGGATAACTACAGCGAAGAAGCTGTGCGAGACTTCTTTGGGAAGTTTGGCACCATACTCGATGTACGGATGCAAGCCTACAAGCGCCTGGCTGTTGTCAAGTACGAAACACACGAAGCCGCGAACGCCGCCTACAACAGTCCGAAAGTCATCTTCGACAACCGCTTCGTCAAAGTGTACTGGCACAGATCCGACACCGACCTCGGTCCTCCCCAGAACAATCACAATGGGTTTGACGCAGATGGCGAGGAAGCTGGCTACGGAGACACTGAAATGTTGGACCCGGAGGGGATCGAACGCCGCCAAGCTGAAGCTCAACGGGCCTTCGAAGAGCGCCGGAAGAAGGCAGAAGAGGCAGCAGCCAAAGCAGAAGAGATCGACCGCAAGCTGCAAGAAACCAACGCCGAAATCCTCCGTGTACGTCGCGAACTCGCCAGAGCATCTGGAGACGCGAACGGGGACATGGAAGAAGACTTCTCCCAAGACCTGGCGACCCTGCAGGCAGAAGCTGAGAACCTGTTTGCGCAGCAGGATGCCGCGGTTGAGTCCTGGCGTGGCAGTAGTCGTGGTGGGTACAGAGGCGCGTATCGAGGTCGTGGAGTCGCACCGAGAGCTAGAGGTTTTAGAGGTGGATACCGTGGGCGTGGTGCGCCGTTCAGCAGCGCCAGAACCGGCGTGAAGAGACTCGACAACCGACCAAGAAGGATTGCTGTCAAGGACGTTGAGCCTGGGAGCAGGAAGGATGAGGCGCTGAGACAGCATCTATTCGTAAGTTACTTTCCAAGCCAGGCATGGAGATGGAGCTAACACCACACAGAACGTTCCTGATGTTGTCGGCACCGAACAACATCCGCAGCAGTCGGATACCCTGATCATCACGTTTGGCGAACGGTATCAAGCTGAATCGGTACGTGTCTTGTCCCTTCTCTTCTCTCCTCAACACGGACTGACAATTCTAGTTCATCGACACCGCATACCAGATCCCGGACGTTGGCAAGCTGGAGATGGAATGGGTGCCTAATGACGCCTTTGGTGGCGTGAAAAGCGCGGACGCACAGGCTGAAGGCCATGATAGCGATGACGAGTCTTCAGCAACTATCGAGGGGGAGGAGAAGGCTGCTGCTGCCGAAGAGACCATGGGATCTACGGCGGATGCGGATATGGACGTTGCTGAAGATGAGGATCAGTGGCTGTGAGAAGGGCAGAACAAGGCCACGAAGGCGCAAACGAAGTCGAGCACGAACGATTTGGCATCAGCGTGGCGTTCTCAGCCCACAGCACAGCACAGCACAGCACATGCACGGAGTATCTAGAGAACATGTAGATGGGCCCAGTTACGACAACCACATCAGTGCAGCCTCTCGCGTGGCAAATCCAATCACCATTCAAAGCCTCAAAGCCTCAAAGCCGTAATCGCTGATTGGAGACTCGTAATATCAGATTTTCCGAATTCTGAAAACAAAACAAAAAAAAAGAAGAAGAAAATACATCGTCATGGTACTGCAATCGATGGATAACCCTATATCTTCCTGATCAGACAGGCGCAGCATTTGCGTGCAGATGTAGAGGATTTGCGTGCAGATGTAGAGGTACACTGCGATCGAAACGTCCTGAAGGTAAGGTAAGGTAAGGTGGTGGTAGACATCAGGCGGATCAGTCCATGCACGGCAGGTCCCTCACAGAGCGAAAGATTGGCACAGGACTCATTTCATCTCATCAATTCATCTCCATTTTTCTCCCCCCCGCCATCCCACAAATGCTAACTTTTGATAGTAAACAACCATGAAACCCATTGCCCATACCCCTTCCCCCCCCCATGAACCCATCCGAGCCCACGTGGCATCATCTCATCGCACCATACCCTGGTATCAAACGCGCAAAAGAAGCATTACTACATACGGAGTTCCGAACGAGGCGGACAGCGGAGAAGAGGAGTGGTATTCAGACATTAGGGGGTCATCGTGACCCAGGGTTGAGCTTTCGGAGCGCCGACACGGACGCGGAGATTTTTGTCGTAATGGTGAGCGAGGCGTATGTATTATGGTGTAGTGTGAAGAACGTGATGTGGTGCTGCGACCGGCTGGCGGCAGCTGCAGGGGTATGACCAGACCAACAGCAAAGACCAACAACAATGAGACTCACAGGCACAAAGCAGTCGTAACGGGAGGAAGTCCTCCCGACGTAACGCGACTCAACGACGGATTCTACACCACCATCGAGCTGATCGGCGAGCCCGCCCGACTCTCGTCGACCAGGTCGCTCATCTTCATCTTCTTGTGCCGTGGGCTCTCCTCCTCGATCTCCTCGATGCGTCTCTTCAAGTCCTGCTCGCGCAGCTGTGTCGCCTCGAGCTCAGCTCTCAGCGCCTGTTCAGTCGCGTGTGCCTGGCTCTCGCTGGTCTCGAGCTCGCTGACGCGGGTGCGGAAGAGGTCGTTGATGAGCTCCATCTCAGACACGCGCGTCTTGAGTGCGGTGTTCTGGGCGGCGAGCGAGTCGTAGGAGAGCGGGGGTTCGAGGTGTGAGCCGTTGATGGACGATGTGGAGCCGGGGGAGGGCTGGCGCAGGCCGAAGCCGTGCATGGAGGGAGACTGGAAGACAGCATCGCCACTCAGGGCCTGCTCGAACATGTGCTGGGGCGCAATGTTGGAGGGGTGGGCGAAGTTGGGTGTGCCGGTGCGCGAGATTGGCGACTGCGAGCGGTCGGAGAGACCAGACGATATCTTGCCTGACGCGCGGCGGTGCTGAGCGAGGCCGAGCTGCCCATCGGCGTCGGGGTGGGCGGCAGCAAGGCCATTGATTGCCTCGCCCTAGTCCAGTTAGCCAAGAACATGTTCGAGCAGTGCAGGTGTGTACCTTCTTGCGCCCTGGTCCGCCCGTCTTGACGCGGTTGCGGCTCTTGATGACATCCGTCTTGAGCGAGATTGGTCGCGGACGGCCGTGCAGCTTCAGAAACAGCCCGCAGGCGTTGCACAGCACAGCGCCGGACTCATCGCGGCGCCAGAGCGGGGTGGTGCTCGTGGTGCAGTTCTGGCAGACAGGCTGGGATCATGTCAGTCATACTCGAAGTAGCAGCTGTGCGAGTGACGCAGTGGGTGATGGCTATCGATTGTCGATGCGATAAGGATAAGAGCAGGATTTATTCATGCGGGCGCCAGCATCGCAGCCGTGCAACCTCACAACACCCAGAGAGGGGACGTACCGGCGAGTTGCCCTGTCCGCCAGCAGTTGCGGGCGCGGCGGTCGCGTAGGTCATGCTGAAGCCATTGGAGGGTTCCCTGGGCGACGTGTCAGTGAGGAGACGAAAATGAGAGGTGCAAATGCCAAGGCCATTGCGATAAGCCCAGCGGGCGCTACGGCCGGCGCCATGAACCACAACCGCAGCCTCAGTCCGCTGCATTGCTGCACGTACCGTGGTGGAGACGGCATCTTCATCGACGAGTCTCTCCTTGTATTATCATTACTGTCGTCGTCGTCGTCGTCGTTGTTGTGTGCTATGGGGCTGGGGCTGGTCGGTGCTAGTGAAGCAAGGGTCGACAAGGCTGGCAGCTGGATTGAGGCATTGCTGCCCTGCCGTTGCAACGGTTGGTGTGTGAGCGACGCCACAGTCGAGCTCGACGACGTCGGTCTTGATTTGTCGCGACCAACCAGCTCGGGGTTGATCGATGGCAGTGTCTCGTGGTCGAACGCAGGCGGGGATGTCGTTCTGATCGCGGGTAGATCGAAAGCTTGCAGTATCGAAGGTCTGCGAAACGTGTCGTGGGCCCGAGGCCGGGGGAGGATCGAGGTAGCCAGTGCGGAAGCCGTGGTGAAGTATTAAAGAAACGCGTTGCGCTTCTTGAACCGATGAAGATGTACTGTATACTGGAATGTAGCTTTGAGCCACACACACACCAAATTCAATGCGTGGAAGCAGACGAGCTTCGAGGGAGCGACTGGGGTGAGGAGTGATGGTAAAAAGTGACGATATGGCAAGTAGAGAACGAGTGTCGAAAGGAGCGTTATCGTCAAAGACTACAAGGCCACAGAACGAGCTTCACGGAGTACTTAGCTGGTACTACACGCTCCATTCCCAGTGCACGCGGATAAGGGGGTCAAAGCCCCCATCCACTTATCCACCCCTAGCATCCCCCGTCTATCGATACCCACCCATCTTAATTTCTGCTAATTTGGCAATCTGCATGACCTCAGTCTTCACAAGCGCCGCTCGCACCCATTTCGGGCGGCGGTTTCTGCCCTGTGGTACGAGGCCGGGCGATCTCCATCAGCGTCCCCAGCATCCATCACAGCTATCGTCTTGCATGTCACGACTACGTAGGAAGGGGCGTTTGGCGCGTCTGTTTCAATCTCCAACGGCTGCTAACACCATACTGTCGTGCAGCCATCGCCGCTCTGTGAACGGCTGCTTGTTTGGTCGTTGAGGCGCGTAGAACGTAGTTCGTGTGGTTCGTCGATGACACACGGCTACCCGCTTGAGCCTCCAGCCTCAGGGGCAAAACGACACGCTAACTCCACAACAGTAGAACGCCATGCACGCACTTCATCTTGTCTGTGCTCGTACGCCTAGCCGGCCAATCATCGTGACTGCAGGTACAATCTGGGGATGTCGCGATAGCAGAGATTGCACGGCGAACGGTTCTCCGGAAACGATTGGGGCGGGCGATGAGATGCAAACGTCTGGAGAATCGTTGGCTTGGAAGCTTTGCGGATTGGCTATTCGCGGCGTTGAGATGGAGGCAGTGATGGTCCTGGGCCACTGGAGCTGAGGATCGTGTGCTGCTCGGGGCGCAGAGATCCGTCTTACGTACCGTACCGTACCCACGTCGCGATCCTGGCTATGGACATGCGATCTAGCCTCATTGTGTCACCAAACACTCCATGATGAGCATTTGAACAAGTAAACAGATTGTTCACTAACGTTTACCTATATACACATCTCAAATACAAAACACACACTATCTTACAACACCTAATACCTCACCCCCCTCTGATTCCCAAAATACCTCTCCTGCATCTCATCATGCGTGCGTGGCATCGTCTCCACCGCACGACACACACTCGGCGCCTTCTCCTCCAGAATCTCCCTCGCCCACTTAACCTCCCTCTCCACATACCCAACGCCGTTCCGCTCATCCTCCTTGACATCCGCCAGCGCCTTGGCCAGCACAACCAGCGTCTTGTACCTGGGCAGCACGCTGTTGCGCTTAACGTCGTAGTGCCTGAGCTCCATCCACTGATACCCCTTCCTGTCGTGGCGCACGTAGAACGGGGCAAGGTTGCGCCAGCCGGGGAAGCGCGGCATCAAGTAGGTTTCTGCGATGGTAAAGGCGGAGACGAGTTGGTTGTTTTGCGCGAGCGCGACGATGAACTCGTTCCATGTGAAGTTGTCGATTACGAAGCCGTTGACGAGCAAGTCGCGGATGGTGAGTTGCGCTTGTTGGAGGAGTTTGTTGGTCGGGTTCTTCTTGGGGTTGCGGTTGATGAGCGAGCGGATGTAGATGCGGGTTGCCTTGACAATGACTTGACGGCGGTTGAGCGCGATGCGGGATTCTTCAAAGCGCTGGATTACGACGCCGTCGGTGAGGGAGGGGGACTCGGGAGGCTCTGGAGCGGGGTTCATGACTTGTTGGAAGGTCTTGATCAGCTTGGACGAGGACTCGCGGATGAGGTCCCAGCATTTCTGTACTTCGTCCCATTCTTTGGCGCGGTAGTGCGCTTCCATAACAGCGGTGAGGAAAGTGGTGGGAGCGTCGAAGTCGGAGGGCTTCATGGTGGCTTCTGCCTTGGCAAACAGCTCTTTGCAGATTTTGTAGGCGCCGCGGGTGTTGTAGAGGGTGATGAGAAGTCCATAGTAGGAAGCGGGCACGATGGACTGGGTATGCGCGTCGATGTAGCGGTTGTGGTTCGGTTGACGATGCGCCACGTCTTGCCCAACATCGCCTTCTGTTAGCATGTCGCGGAGAAGTCGTTCGACGTGCTGCAGATGTTGTCGAGGTTTGCGATTCTTGACCTTCAGCAACCTCACCAGCTCAGCCATACCGACCGTGTTGATCGACGCTTGGCGAGAACTGATAGTCTGCGACACGTTTCGTTCCACCATGCGCTCGTAGGTCTCCAGCGCCAAGTCGTATTGACCTTCTTTCAGAAAACCAGTCATGACGATCGCATAGTGGATGGCCTCTACACGCATCCTGTTGGCCGGAAGGGTCACTCTGAGGATCTTGTACGCGGCGTTCGTCTGCTTGATCTCGATCAAGGATCGCATCAGACTGGCGAAGGTGATGCTGTCGAGAGGGATCTTGTTGTCGACCATCTCCCGGTACAGTCTTCTGCTATTAGCAACGTCTCCTCGCAGAGCATAGTACTGGATCATGATGTTCCACGTGTGCGTGAGCGGGTGTCCGGTCAGTGCACCGGCCTTCCACTGCTTCAGCATACCCTGCGCGATCTCCTCTGCACCGTCTGCGTCTTCGGCGTTCAGGAAAGCCTGGACGTAGCCTGATCGGGCTCGAACGTCATTGTCCAGTGCAATTTGCATCTGCTTTGCTCTGGAGTACAGCGCTTCAAAAGCTTCAATATCGCCCCTGTTCGCACACATGTCGAGCATGGGCCCAAAAGTGTGTTCATTTGGCTCCATGCCAGCATCCAAGGCATTGTTGAAAGTTTCGAGCGCGCCATCGAGGTCGTCTGCACGAACGTAGGTAAGGAGCAGAGTATTCCACATCTGCACGTCGGGTGTGAAGCCCAGGTCCTCGCGGATGCGGCGAAAAACTGCCAACGCTCCAGGGACATCGCCGCGTCGAGCTTGAACATACAAGAGACTGTTGGCTTGCTTGGGGTCTACTTTGCCCTGGCTTGCGGAGAACTCGTCAAAATATTCATTGACTCGCTGGACATCACCGTGCTCGGCGAAGATCAACAACAAGGCTCCTAGGATGTTGGGCGGAAGCGGCTTGTTGGGGTAGAAAGTACGGATGTCGTGCACCATATCGTGCACACGGTGCAGACTGCCGTGGGTTCCATGGTTGCTAAGAACCAAGGATAACATGGGTAGCTGAGGCGGCCATGTTTTGAAGTCAGGGTCATCCACGCGATCGTAAAGATACCACTGTCGATACCTACGGTACAGTTCAAGATGGATCTTCCGCTGGTTCGTGTACTTGCGGTACCGATCAAGTCTGAGCATCGCGGTGATGGCGTAGTTGTAGCTGGCGTCGACTGGTATGTTCTGCGCGTGAAGATCCTCGAAGAGTTTGGTGAACCAATCCCAGATCTCGTCCTCGTTTGGCTTGCGCACGTGCAGGAGCCTATCCATGACATGAGGCAGGAAGCTCTGAACAAACGTGTAGAAAATCATCTTCTTCTTGGGCGTTGACATGAGCTCGTCCTTGTGTTGGCGACTGTACACAAGAAGGGACCGCACGTGCTCCTGGATCTCCGGCAAGTGAGCGGCCTCGGTCCATATCTCTGGCAAGGTAGCCTGTCCCCAACGGATGCGGTATGTTGTTCGCTGTCGGTCTATGCTGAATCGATGGTCAGCGACATACGTCGAGTATACGCGGAGGGCAAGTTCCCATTGCTCGTCGGCAACGAGTCGTCGAAGAAGCACCCCCGTTCCGATATCCGGTACGTGGTGCTCATTCTCAACGAATCTCCCTCCTTTCGCAGCAGTGCGATGCAGACTAACGGCTGGCCCGATTTCTCGAAGTGCAACATGAGCAACGATGACGGCTCGATACGACGAAGCGGTGCGAGCCGCGTCCGGAAGCTGATCGAACAGTCTGATGATGCGCGTTGGCACTGCTGGCTCGTTGTCTGCGCTGAGGTATTCGAGCAGGGGCAGCAGCAGATCAGGGGTGGTGCCAGAGGACCCTTGGGCGGGAAGCGCGTGGTAGAGTTGCCACGCGAGCTCCTGCTTTCCTGGCTCCTTCCTGCGCAGCAGCTCGCCCAGGGACTCGTGCGCAGAGGATGCCATCAAGCGCTCGTGCATCTCCCGCTTCGCTTCCTTTGCTTCTGCCGCATCGACGGCATCGACGGCATTGAGCGCATCTCCTCCTGCCTCTAGCGCAGCTGACCCAAGTCGATGGTCTGTACGCCGGGCGGTAGCATAACCGCGGATAGTGGGTCGATGCAGTTGCTGCCGCCTGGCGTCTGACGCCGCGTCAGTCCGCACAGAAAGCCTCCGCAACAGGGCGAGGGTTTTCTCGGGATACAAGAAATCCAGCGGCGCAGCGTCGGCGGCGCTGGTCGCCGGCTGATCAGCGTCGCCATTGGGTGTTGGGTTGATAGCCCACCATAGTGGCAGGCTTAGATGGCTTGCACCGTGGTGCCAGAAGGTCGAGTGCAGCTTGCGGCGACTGCGCAGACATGGGTTGGGAGCACGAAAGAGCTGGCGTCCGCCGGATTCAAGGCATGTCGAGGCGCGCTCAAGCATCACCTGAGTGCCGGATGCGCAGAAGAATCACCTGAGTGTCGGGTGGGCAGAAGATGCAGCGGTGCAGAGCGGAGGTTGTGCCCAGTCCTGGGGGTTGTCAAGGGCCGGTGCTGCAGCAGTCGGATAGCTACTTCGAGCTTGCAGATATCCAGCGTCCAACTGTGGCGGTGGAGATGGCTGTTCGACAAAACTCGACAAAACTCCAGCAATGCAGATGCAAGCAGAAAGAGGACTCAGAGGACTCAGATGCAAGCAGAAAGGGGACTCATGTACTGCAAAGGAAGGACTGCTACTGCGCGGCGTGGTGGCAATGGCGCGTGCGCATCGACAACCTTTTGCACCCGAATTAATTCTAGAGACGCGGTGTCAGGCGACTGCATCTGCGTCTGCTTATGTAAACTTCCGTCTCGACACCGCGTATCGCTACCCCACACTGCCGTCAAGCTTCAGCTCACGACCGCAGCCATGGACATCACCAAGTACGTCGTCGCCTACCGCGAGGCCGCCTTCCTCCTGGGCGACTACAGCACCTACCGCGCCCAATTGACCCGCCGACTGCGCATCGTGCAGAAGAAGCTCGGGCGGGCGACTCCCAAAAATGCCAAGTATGCCGCAAAGGCCCCCGTGACGGCCGAGGACATTGCGGCGAACATTGAGTGCGTATAGCGGCGGGCTTGCGTGGCTGCATCTGCTGACGGCGAAGGTTCCTCCACCTCCTCCTCCTCACCTCGGAGCGGGCATGGGCGCATGCCATGGCCATGAAGGCCCTCCACTCCGAGGACAAGGCCGACAAGAACATCACCGGCTCCACCCGCCAGCACATCATCTCGCGACTGCACAAGGCCGTGCAGAGCGCGAAGGAGCTTGTGCAACTGCTCTCGGACCCGGCGAGCGGGGCAACGCCGACGGACGTGCTGGAGGCCAGCGCATACGTGTATGCGCTTGCTGGTGCGCAGGACTTTGAGAAGCAGGCCGAGGGGATCAAGGCCAAGGCCGCCTCCCCTCAGCGCTGGGACTCGTGTCTCGCCAACTTCGCCGCGGCCAGGATCGTGTACAGTGCGCTGCACAAGGCCACCAAGAGGGATCTCTTCAAGGACGTCCTGGCTGGGAGCATCGACCCAAGCATTCGATACGCCGCGTACCAGAACCGCATCCCTCGCACCGTTGGTGTCCCGGCCGTTGCGAGGCAGTACTTTCCCCACAAGGACGAGCTGCTGGCCAAGGCCGTGCTGCAGATTGACGCAGCCGCACTGCAGGGCGAGGAGGCGACGGCGTCAAGTAAGCCGGCTGGCGACGTGTTGATGGCGCATTGCTAACGTTCTCCAGGCACCCAGATCACCTGGCGCGGCCGCACCGCCAACATTGTCGATGCTGCCATCGGCCAGGCTCTTGTTTCCGTCGAAGCCGCGTCTGGCAACCTCGGCCAGTCCAGCGCCTCGTCCGCTCCGAAAGACCGTGCCAACGCATACGACGACATCCTCATCGCAAGCCAGGACGCTGTCGACGCGACACGGAGAGCGATGGACGAGCTGGAGAAGGAGGGCGTGGACGAGGGAGATGCGCGCATGCAGGATCTCCGCGTCACCAACCTCGCCGTGAACTATGACCTGATCTCGTGGCGCATCGGCAGAAACAGGGTGCTCATCGGTGCTGACGACGGCCTCACCTTCTCCCCAAACCCGCCCCAGAAGCCAAGGCGGCCGCGCAGGGATGGAAAGGAGTGGGCCGATCGGGAGGAGCCAACAGGTCGCAAGCTCGCAAGACTACGGGAGCGCATCGCCCTGTACGACGCAATCCTGCAGAGTATCGACTCGATCAAGGACCTCAGGGGTGCAGCACGCGACACAGGCTTCATCGCCGAGCTGGACGGACAGCGCGCCTACTTCCAAGCGTTGAAGTGTCTGAACCTGTCACACGCCCACGCCTTCCTCTCCGCACCGAAGCAGGCACTTGCCCTCTGCAGCCGCGCCCTCTCTCTGTCTTCCCACGCAACATCCGCGCCGAACTCAACACCTACCACCGCCCCGTCCGCCACGAAACTCGCCGTCTCAGAACAGCAAGCCTCCACCCTCCAACAGACCCTGCAGAACCTGAACTCGCACTACCGTGGCGTCGTCGCCCTCTCCCAGCTCTCCGCCAACTCCGAAACCGCATCCAAAGCCGGTCGATCCAACGCCGCACCTGTGGTTGAGAGGCTGAACGAGTACCCATCTTCCGGCTCCGTCGATCTCAAGAACCTGGTCACGTGGCCGCCGAAGCTCAAGCCGGTGCCTGTCAAGCCGCTGTTCCTGGATGTCGCGTGGAATTATGTCGAGTATCCGGGTAGGAAGCAGCAGGTGCAGGAGCCGGAACCCGAGAAGGTGGAGGAGAAGAAGAAGAAGAAGAAGGAGGAGGAGGAGGAGGTGAGGCCGCAGGTTAAGAAGGGGTGGTTTAGCTTTGGGCGGTAGATAAGATGAGAGAGGCGAGGGAGTGCGCTGCTCATAGGATGGCTAGAAATGCAAAGGCTTTGTTGAAGGCAGTAAAGCAAAGATTCACGTGTACTGTCTCCGGTCGATCTCGAGTGCCTCCCTCTTCAAGATGTGGACAAGCCTTCTTGGATCGTCGGGAGGTATGCTACGAGGCACTCTCTGTCCAGGTCGCAGAACTCGAGCGAGGCTGTTGCTATAGTGTGTTGTTGAAGACCACGGTTGATCAGAAAACAGACAGACAGTCAAATGCTCGATAGAAGAGAGGATGTATTTCGCTACGTGGTGCTTCGAGATCGGAGTTGATATCGGTGTCGTCCTGTTCCTGCATCTCAGAGGCCATGTCTCCGATTGATCGCTCTGGCTCGATTCTGACTTGGTCTGGTCGTGACTCCTGGATTCCCTCCTTGAGCTTGTATTCCGTGGCGCCATAAGCAATAAGGGGATCTTCAATTTCGGTATGTCCTTCCCGCCGGGCGAGATGAAGCGCCGTTACAGGACGCCGGTAGCTGCACTGTGAGTCCAACCCCTCTGCACCATGTTCAAGCAGTATCTCAAGAATGTCCAGGTACCCTTTCTGAGCCGCCAGTTGGGTGAGGGAACCTAGACCTAAGCTCGCTGCTGTCTCTCTGATTTCGTAAGGCACTGGTGCTAGCAGCATTCGGACTGCTTCCACCTGCCCACAGCTAACAGCATAGTAGACCGGTCGTTGCTGACCATATCTTCGATTTCTAAATACCGCCCGATCTGTGTCGGAAATCAACCGAAGGAATGACATTTGACCAATCTTCGCAGCGGCCACGGCGAAAGCATAGGTTTTCGATGCTCCATGAGTGTTGATCTGTGGCGTGTCGCTCTTTACAATACTCTCTACGAGAGACGTATCGCCAATTCGGACCACGTGGCCCACAAAGCACAGCTTGGGTGTGTCCTCTCGAGGCCTGAAGTATCTGACACAGGCTCCAGCTCGCAACAAGGCTAAGATACAGTCTGGATTCCCACCTATCGCTGCTCCAGAAAGGGGGGTCTCGCCCCTCATATTCGAGAGATTAAGCTGAGCATCTTTGTACAAAAGGAATTCAACGACCGCAATCTGACCTGCATACGCGGCACAGTGTGGAGCCGTGCTCTGATCTCTCGCGCGCGAGTCTATCTTGAAGCCTGCTTCAAGCAGAGTCTCCAGCGCGGTTGTGTCGCGAGTTCTTGCTGAATTCCACCAATTGAAGACTGTGTGCAGTTCGTTTTCGAGTGGTTGAGGGGCTGAGTCCATGTCATTGTTGGTGCGCTTCGTGCTGAGCGATTGAGATTATCGACCAATACTATCCCGATCCTCATTCGGATGGAATCTTTTCAAGTGTTTTGCAATGTTATCTTTTCGTGAGACAATAATTTCGCAGCCCGGAATGGCACAGCCATATCTGGTGTTGCCTACACGGTGTCGTGCTGTAACGTGCGGATTCAAATCAGCACGCAGTCCAAAGCCTTCTTGGCACATTTTTCACACGAAAGGCTTCGTGTGTGTCTTCAGATGTTGACTGCAGCTCTATCAGTTCGAGTGCAGTAGCAGTAGGTATAATCTCACTTGAATCTTCCACAAACATTGAATGTCTTTGCACAGTCCGAGCACTGAAAAAGTTCCAAGGACGCCATGATTGCTAGTTGTGCCCGACCAGATTGTCAATCGTGTGGTTGAACTACAGCTGCAGCATTCTTGAGATTGGAGTCGTAGTCGAAGGGCCAAGCATCAGCAGGGGTACCTGGTCGCAGCCGGTATGGCTGGATGAGTTGCAACCAGCCCAAAAAGCATGCAAGTGCAACCTTATCCTTTAATCATCAGTCGGTCCAGCACTCACTACATCTAGAGATCCATCTTATCAACCTCCCTGTCCAAGGGTCAGCAATCTATCATCTTACCTTGTCGCATCCCGTTTTTCTGCAAACTTCTTCATCATTCTTATACCACGAGAGACCGACACGCGTATTCTCACGATGGAGAACTTTCAACATCTGCATCTTGCGCCGCGCCTCGCAGAATCCAGCCAACCAACCTCAACGAACTGTTGCTCCCCAGTCTCATGCCACTGTGTTTCCCACCACAGGTGAGTTTTTTTTTTAACATCCTGCAGTTATGCCTTGTCTCTCGACTCCAAGCGAAACAGGGTTGGTCCCGCGCCCTTGACCTCGCACCTTGCCGCACCCCTGCGGTACCAATCAGATCGTGGTCTTAATCTTAGCAGCGCCTACCCTGGTTATCTGCCTGCAGCCAATGTGCATGGCTTTGAGATGGATGGCGTGTTGAATGGGTTGGCTTCAGTGCATGATCTGGATTGCTACTACCATGCTTCTGCCACCGTTCCATTCCAATCAATGGTTCATCCTCGAACTACCAGATTGCATTCGACAACTCTCCAAAACTCTTGACCCATCTCGGAGCTGCAGAGAATTTGCATTGCCCTCGAGGCTGTCCTGGTACTTTCCGTCGTCCGGGTGATTACCGCCGTCACATGAAGAAGCACGAAAGTGCGCTTTCATCGACTGCAACAAGGCTTTCTATCACGCCGACAAGCTGCGCGATAACACCCAGAAAGGGCATGGGGAGGCCTCAGGGTTTATGTGACCGGAACCACTTGTGGGAAGGTGAGTGGGGTCAGGAAGGTTGGTGTTGACGGTAGGGATGACTTTCGTACCGGGACCGTACAGCTTCTCTTGAAGTTTGTTGTTTGCTCAGTACATAGCTGTTCGTTATGTTGATTGTCTCCAAACTTGAATACCGTGCACGTCTCTCAAAGTCATGAAGTGAGGTCATGATGTTAACGCGCCTAGCCTGATCCAACCTAGTCTCTGGCCCTCATCAAACGCAGTCACTTGTGTGCGTAGAACACATTCACCCTTCATTCAATACATGCACTAGATCCCATCTACAATCACCAATTGCGTATGTCACGATACCCTATGACGGAGTTGAGGCGTCAGCCCCGTTCTCGCACACTCTGTGGCTTTTTAGCTAATGCAAGTCCCGCCAACACAGCACCACAACTCAGCTCCCTACAACAACACTCAATTGAACATCCGTGCCCATCTACCCCATCTGTGACCTCTGCCTTCTTTCTCAACCTCAAATCATGTTCCATTGGCAGTTTGCGCCCTTCAGCTGCGTGTGAGACCTGTCTGCAGCCTTCGAAGGTATACTCTAACATTGCTCACTGTACATCCCATGCGCTCATGTTACCTAGATAGTAGGCTACATATGCACGGATCACTGTAGACCTAAAACGTTTGTTAGATTGCAGATGGCTTGTAGGTTAGCACTGAGTACCTTTCATGATTTCGAAGACACTGGGCCTGATCCCAGGCTTTTACACCACTCGACGGCCTTGGTAGCAGCGGGAGCCGGTCCCAGCCAGCTCGATGTGCAACCAAGCTCAGGGAAGCGGTCGATCTCATGGCGTACCACCTCACATGTCGTGCCTACACTTGCTTGTCCTTGCTTGAAAGATTGGAACAGAGCAAAATGTCTGAGATCCTCGAGCGGGCTGGTCGTAGAAGCGCGCGACACATAGAATATTCCAAAATGGGAGATACAAATGAATTCCTTGTATCAGCCCGTTACCTTCACTACGTCCTGTTCTCAGAGTATCCGCGCCTTCCCCATATAGGTTAGCGTCCGCTCGCTCCACCGTGTAGATAGACACCACCATAGGTAGTATTAATCCATCACGATTCTACTCAATTCCTGCCCTTAAGGCTTTGTATGATGGCTTGCAAGGGCAGATTTGGGTATCACAACGACTATAAAACACATCGAGGCTGCTCTACCTCACGATATCAGCTTAGAAACAGCGGACCTCAGATATGACCACAGCGATGCACGCTGAATAATCTCAACAGCCTCTGCTTGCTGCCTCGCCCGCTGCAGCTCCTCAACCTCCGCCTCCCAATTCTGGACAGCGTCTTTCTCATCCCTGATAACCATGTCATTCGGTGCCAAAGCAGCAGCCTGCTCGACAAGCGTGGCAGCTTTAACGACATTTGAGGATGCACGCATCAACCTCAAACACTTCGCCTGCCTAAACAGCATCTTACTCGCCTGCTCATTACTCGGGACCCAGCTTGCATCAGCATGCTGCGCGAACCGCGCACTCGCCGTCTCGCACCTTCTCAGATGCTGCAAAGACATCGCACCATTCCTCTCCACCATCTCCCTCCTCGTGTGCTCAGCGGCCATGTCAACCTGCAAGAATGCGGCGCGCAACAGGTTGAGAGTGAAATATAGATCCGCAGTTGCATTAACAAAGTCTTCCCCACCAGACGCTTTGAGGCTGAGCCACGAGGAGCTGTGGCGCATGCGCTCGAGCGTGCGCATCGAGTACGCCCAGGACTCAGATGCGGAGTAGAAATCGCGGTTCTGCCATTGGCGCTTGCCGACGTCGGTGCCGGTGTGGATGGAGTCGAGGGTGGCTTTGGGGTCTGTCCAGCGCGGTTGCGCGACTTGGGAGATAACAGTCTGCGCGATCTGTGATGAAACGGGTCCGCTGATGCTGAAATTGGAGATGCCGCGGAGATGTGCGGCGATGGGTTCGAGGAGGTGTTGTTGGATGGCGGGTGTGAACATCTGCGAGTGGAAGGGGTTGAAGGACACGGTTGCGCGGATGGAGAGGTGCTCGTTGGCTGTTGCGTTGGCGTCTGTCATGGCGCTCTCGATGTCCAGTTGTCGACATAGGGAGGGCAGATCAGCGCGCAGCATCATGATCTCGTTCTCGGAAAAGTTGATTGCGCCAGATGAGAGTGCGGGCTTTGAGAGGGTGAAGTGCATGAGGTAGCCTTCGAACTGCCTGGCTTTGGTTTGATCGGTCGTGATAGCTGGAATCATCTCATCGCCCAGAAACAAGCTGTTGGCATCGAGTCCTCGGCAGGTAACGCGCACGAACTGATTGCGCTTCATCATGTAGTCGAATGCCTCTTCGTGGATCTGCTTGTTTGTGCGGAGAAGAGCCATGGCATCGTAGCTGGGCAATCGTTTGCGCAGTCCACCAACAAACCTAGACTCGTACTCGGGCTCGTCGGTCCATGAGCACAACAACAGATCGTAGATGTTGTTGCGGAGTTCACCTGGCAGATCCAGGAATCGGAAGGGTTGCATCGATAGAGAAGACATGGCGGTAAGGATTCCTGTCAGGTTTTCGCGATAGTAACAGAAGGTGGGATAAGAGTCGCAGTAGGTCGTCGTATATATGGTCGCAAGGAGGTATGTCGCAGTGGAAGATGTTGCTGGGGTTCTGTTGCTGTAAATGTCGTGGGCAGCAGTGTCGCAAAGGGGAATCAATGATCAAAGAGAATATCGCTGTGGATATGTTTGTCGCTATGGAAAATTGTCGCAATGGAGGTATCTCGCACCTATACGCAAGTCAAGAACGGTAATGTCGGTGAACTATAAAGTCTTGATTTTTGTTAAGTAAGGACTCGGGCAAAGAAATTTCGTGTCAAAGCTCAAGCCCAGGTACGGTATATTTTGGGCGATTCGCAGCAGTTTCGCGCGACGTCCGGGAGCACGCCTTCTCTTATGTTTCACCATAGGCCTCGCCCAGCAACCTTTTGCTCACTTCACTGGTGGAGGCGTGGAGCCTATGCTGGGTCCTCCGCTTCTAGCGGATGGACAGCCAGGCAATGAGGAAGGAGGACATGCGGAGAAATGAGGAATTGCACGCTAGGATTGCGGGATGATGGTGGACAAAACCACGCTTGGGTTGCCCGGCACCCGACGCCTCTTCTCCAGCTTTCCCCGTCGGGCAATCATCCGCTCCCGCGGCAGCACGGTTTTCCTTCGACATCTGCTCGGAGAAGGGGAGATAGTTCGGGATGAGGTGTGTTGGCTCCAGGCACTGATCTGCTTTGTGGCGGCAGCAGATGTGGACTCTGTTCCTGAGAGATGAGCACGGCAACACTTTCAAGTTGGAGTTGCGAAAGTTCGACACTGCCTCCACCCCAGCGTGAGGGGTACCTAAACTGTGGATACGACAAGCAACCAAGGGGGAAAGTGCAGCTCTGGCGCTGAGCGGATCCGCACGTGTGAAGAAATGCGAGGGAGAACTTGGTATCCATTGATTTCACAACATGACTATCACAAAACGCCTACTCCAATGCCCAATCGTGGCATCTAGCCTGACATTAAAATAATGCACCAGATCGTATCCCACATCCACCCCACTACAAATCACCTTAGATCTTGTACACTATACCACCAGAGTACATGATTTTGTTCTGCTCATTGAGCGTCTCAAGCGCCTTCTCTGCCTCATCAGCATCGAATGCTTGCCTTCCAGCTCCGCCGCCCAACCTGGCGTTGACAGCAGCGACAAGCGGCTCGACATCAGCAGCATCATTGGCGAACAGCGGCCCGTCGATGAGATGACCGAGAGCGGTCTGGAAGACCTGCAATCGTGCTGGTGTGAGGTCTTGCGACTCCTGAGAGTCGGTCTGTGTGGGTGGGAGTTGCGACTCAGGACGTGAGGATGCGGCGCTGACTTGTGATGAGGGCCCGGCTCGGGACGATTGAGTGTGGTCTGTTGTACGCTGTGTGGTGCGCTGTGTTCTGGGCGTGACGCGGTAGAGTTCGCTGTCGTCCCCCTCTTCATCGTCATCGGCGGGTGCTGGTGTGCGTGTAGCTGTCGTCGTGCGTTGACTGCGTGTAGAAGGACCACCAGTGCGTGGTGTAGCTGTAGTCTCTTGCTCGTCACCATCCTCGTCGTCGTTATCAGACTCGCCTTCGTCTGTTGACATAGCATCCGGGTCACGAGCAGTCCGCCTTCGCTTGCGGCGGTCATCCTCGACGACTTCCTTGAAGAGGGCAAAGCGCAAGATTTGCTCGGCAACATCTGCGTCCTTCTGCTCGACCCTCTTTGACAGGCGAGACTTTGCGTGCGCTGTCGAGAGACGAATAAGTGTTTCGAGAGTACGTGCGGTAATGGGAGAGGTACGGCGGGTTCCCGCATCAAGCTCATCATTTCGCAGCGCGGAGTAGGTGGCAACGATGTGATCAGCTGCGCCTTTGGTAAGGATCGGCTTCTCACGCTTCGCGTATTGAATGTACTTCTTGATGAAGGGGATGCTGAGTACTTCAGTCCTTCTCGATGAGCCTCGGCCAACTGTGACTGTGACTCCCGAGTGAAGCATAGGGTTGAACTTCTCATACACGTCTGTAGGGCGGTTGGCGTCGGCGTCAGTGTCGAGGCCTACACCAAGAAGCTGAGCACCGTCTTCACGGACTGGTGCACCCTCCTCAGTACCCGCTTGCCGGTAACGGTGCATGCGGAGGACGTGCTCTGAGATCTGCCTGTCGCGAGCATCCTCGATGTCGTCAGTGACAACGAAGAGCAAATCGAAACGAGAGAGGAGAGAATCGGGGAGGGCGATATTGCGGTGCGGGTCCTTGTGGATATCATACTGGCCGAAGATAGGGTTCGCGGCTGCGATGACACTGCAACGGGCGTTGAGAGAGGTATGGATACCAGCTTTGGCGATGGTGACGGTCTGCTGCTCCATGACTTCGTGGATAGCCACTCGATCGACATCAGACATCTTGTCAAACTCATCGATACAGACAACACCTCGGTCGGCCAGAACCATGGCACCAGCTTCCAGACGACGCTCGCCTGTCTCCTTGTCTGAGGTAACGGCAGCTGTCAGACCGACCCCGGAAGATCCTCGACCGGTTGTAGCGATAGCAAGAGGAGCGGTGTTGAGCACGAAGCGGAGCAGCTGCGACTTGGCTGTCGAGGGGTCACCGACCATAAGGATGTTGATGTCTCCCCTCAAATGTGTTCCGTTATCAAGGTTCTTCTCCTGTCCTCCCAGCAACAGCAGCAAGATGGCCTTCTTGATGTAATCGTGGCCGTATATCGATGGCGCCAATGACTGCGACAGGAGCTCGAAAACGCGCTTGCCCTTTGCGATCTTGTTGATGTTGCGGATGTCTGTGTCGGTGATGCTGACTTGCGCAATACCGCCGCCAGACTTGGACGAGAGCAGAATCACATTGTTGGCGAGGATGAGTGTGCGGAAAGTCGAGCTGCCGGCGCCGGCATTGCGGTTTCCCAGCGAGCGATAGATACCAACGAGCTGGATACGGTCGCCAGGCTTGACGCGGTCGACCAGATCGTCGTCCATAATAACATCGACAGATCGCGGCAGCTGACCGGCAGGTGCGCGCTCGGGCATCTCTTGGATCGAGATGGTTTGGTGGTCTCTGTAGATACAGTAGCCATACTCGGTGACGAGCTGTGTCTGTTAGTCCTTTCTTCTCTGCTCTTGCATCCTGATATGCTTACCGGGTTGCCTTCTTCGTCTTCAGTGGGGTACACGCTTGTACTCGCAGCACCCGTTGTCATGGTCTGATCTCTGTACTCGCGGAAGTGGAACTTCTGCTTGTTCTCGTTGTAGTGCACACTCTTGACCACCTTGGGCCTCACGAGCGATGTCTTTGTGACGATACCTTCCAGCGACACCATGTGGTTGAGCTGATTCGAGCTGAGTGTGCGCGGGTTGCAAGAGTACTCGCCAAAGCTGCCAATGTAGGCGCAGTAGTATACGACATCGGGGCCAGACTCAGATTTGGGGCGGTCGGCGAACGCTTCAACGACACTCTTGAGGGCGCGGTCGAAGGCCTCTGCGAAGTCGAAGGGTTGGTTCAGGAGGCCGTCGGCCAGTTCGCGGTTGTGTGTTCGGATCTCGTCGATGCTGACCTAGACAATGTCAGTATCGGCTCTTATGGTTAAGTGGTCTTCGACGTACCGTCAGTCTCCTCTGTCCCCTGTTCAACATCACCAGAATATCGGGGCGGTAGCTATGCACGTTAGTTCTGCTTTGTTTACCGTCCGTTATCGGTCGCATTACCTTCGTCGAGACACATCATCTGCGATATAGTCAGTAACTACACTGTCGATAGGCGCGCACTATGCATACCTGGGTCCAAAAACTCCTGCGCAAGACGGATGCGCCTGCGCACCTCCTCGTCTCTGATCACCTCGGTCATGGTGCAGGATGTGCAGGATTTTGAGGTGTAGAGCGTCTATTGAGCGCTCAATCGCTTTTCGTTGCGATCAAACAAGCGTAGAGCAGCGAATACGGGGTATCTCGAAAAACGCACAGTCGTTGTTGACAGGGTGGAGAGGGGCAGATCGGCTGGGTAACGGGACGCGAAAATGGCGGGTGCGCGTCAAGCTTATGCCGCTTTGGGATGACGCGCCTCTAATCATCCACCCTTTTTCGGCGTAGCTCATTCTTCCGTCTCACCTGGGCAGTCCTCACAACTGCTCCCCCACCTCTCAATGTGCCGGCGCTGTTCAGCAGCTTGTCTGTGATATCTTCAACTTCCAGTGAATGGCCTCAAGACGCGTTGGCCAGAGCAAGGTACAGCAATGATGAGTCCGCATATCGCCCTGTCCAGTTCATCAATGCCCACACCTCTGTGCAAGCCTCACGATCCACTCTGAAAGAGTGGCCTTTGCTGCACACGACTGCAGACGGAGGAGGTGAGATGAGGCTCAGGACTGCGCTCACCGGAGATAATCCATATCTTAGCCGGGCTTAAGTGGACTTTAGCTGTCAAGCACCGACGTCACACATCAACTTCGGCTGCATGATCCTCGACGCACTGCAATTTGTGTTTGTTGACTGCACTCGATCCGTCATTGGTCAACAGGGTACTCTAGACACGGTTGTCCAGATAGCTTCATGTTCGGATTTGGCCATTTCTGACGTAAATGCACTATTTACGTATGCCGTCTGGACCCTGCCCGTCATGGTGGGAGACAGCATAGAGCGCAACCTGGAAGTTATGTACCAGACGACACACAAAGCTATTCTCCTCAACGACTCAAGACCGACATCGAACACAACATGGCACCCCGCGTCTTCCTTATCACTGGTACCTCGACCGGATTCGGCTAAGAGCTGGTCAAGGTTGTACTCAACAGAGTTGTTAACAATTAATCAGATCGACAGATTGATTCACGAACGAGCCAGGGCCTGGGACTGGCACCGCTTCACGGACCGTAATGTACAACGTGCATGCCCGAAACGGAATTCACTCAGCCGATCTGATTGATTGTTGACAACTCTGGTACTCGAGAATGGCGACCACGTCGTTGCTACAGCCCGCAACAGCTCAAAGCTGAAGTTTGACGATGCAAACGACTCCAACAGCCTCTTGGTCGACCTCGATGTCACCGACAAGAGCTCCATCGATAAGGCCTTCGAGGCTGCAGTCAAGAAGTTCAAGCGCGTCGATGCCGTTGTGAACAACGCCGGCTACGGTCTGAGCGGGCCCTTCGAGACACTCTCGGACAAGCAGCTCAGGCAACAGATGGACATCAACTTCTTTGGCTTGATCGATGTCACAAGAAAGGCTTTGGAGACTATGCGAGACCTGAAGACTGGAGGTGTGATCCAGCAGGTCACCTCTGTCGGAAGTACGACCAGTCTTGATGTGAATATGATAAGCTAACGGAGTAGGTGTACCTTCCTTCTCCATCTACTGCGCATCCAAGTGGGCAGTTGAAGGTTTCACAGAAGCGCTGTCAAAGGAGCTGAAGCCCGAGTGGGGCATCAAGCTCACATGCATCAAGCCCGGCGGCTTCCGAACTGACTGGACTGGCCGTAGCATGCAGTTCAGTGAAGTCAAGAACGACGTGTACGACCACATCGGCCCGAGGAGGAAGGCACAGAACAGGCATCACACGCAGCCTGGCGATCCAACAAAGGCCGCTAAGGTCTTTTACGACCTGGCTGTGATGGATGACCCTCCTCTCCGCAGCGCTTTAGGCACCGATGCGTACTAGGCTATGACCATCAAGTTCGACACATACAAGGAGAACGTGAACAATTTTTGAGCAGTGGACCAACAGCATCAATGTTGATGGCTACAAGGTACCCAGTTAGATGCAACACGACGTTGGAAAAACGAAAAACATAATAATACAGACGCTGTACCGTTCCAGTTGAGCAACTGCGTCGCATCGAGCGATACGAACGAATGTCATTTACAATCTCAAACACTGGTCGAAAGTCCACCTTGAGTGCCAGAGTATGCACTCGCTAACGCACATTGACATCACTACGCCTTGATCTAACTTATCCTTCTTACATTGTTCGGCAGGTGCTCTTTTTAGGACGGCATGGCGACAGAACAGGCGTTCAGTACCACGGCTCTGCTGTTGTGATCGCAGCCATGTTGCGCCCTACCCGTGGGCCTTGCATTCTCCGGGTCAAGTCCCGAAGAGCCTTCTGACCACGCGAGTCGTAAACCATGAGCACGGGTCGAATTTACCCAGTACTGCGAGATATGAAGTACAAGAGCCGACACTCTTACTCGCCCTGCCGACTACAGCAGCAATTCCTTGATCTCCTTGCACGACATGGCGTAGTGAACTCCGAACCATGGCACCAACTACAACATTGCACGTGGCGGTACTGTGTAGCCCTAAGATCGGCCATACTGCCTTGACGAAACCTGTGCGACTCGGAGACTCGGCAGTCCGAGCGCGACTTTCGCAAAGCATGCGGTTCTTACAGTATGCTATATCAGAGCAAATGGTTGCTGCTGGGATATAATGCTGATATCTACACAGAAAGTCCTCCTACCGCACACAGCCTGACAACGCATTTGGACCGTGCGCTTGGGCTTTCAGGAGGCCGATCCATTGCTTTAGCTGTCGGGCGTGTATATTGCAAGAGAAAATTGGGGGAATCAACAGCTGACTGTATGCTCACGAGAGTACTACATGTGTCTCATGACTAGACTGGAAGCCTCGAAAACAAACAGCGAGGCTTACGTCAATGGCCAGCAGTCAGGGGCCAGCAGTCAGCATTCATACCCAGTCCCTGTTATAGTACTTCACATACTATGAGAACAGTACCAGCGTTCGCAAAACTTGGCGACTGCTTACTGCTCGACTACGGCGCCCATCAACCGCTGCGCCTGCGTTCGCAACAGCTCAATGGCAGTGTCGTCATGACCTTACTTCTTGCCCACCTTTGGTATAAGTACATATCAATGGCTTCGATGGCATCTTCCTCTTTGTCCCCCATTACATCGCATGCGCCGAAGAGATCCTGTGTATACCCGAAGCTTGTCACAGTCCAAGGCCTTCCCTTTCCTAACAGCCATGAGTATCTCAACACTCATCACTCTTGCGACAGTTCTACCTCTTCTCTTCCGCTTCGGTCTCACTTCACCAATTCCGCAAGGTGACACAACCTACTACCCTTCCCCATATCCTGTTCCAGCGCCATGCTATGGGAACAACTCCTGGATCCATGATCCCAGCATCATCTACGAAGACGGTACCTACTGGCGCTTCTCCACAAGTGGCAACATAGCTGTCGCCACTGCACCATCCATCAAAGGGCCATGGACGTACAAGGGTCCTCTACTGCCCGCAGGCACAAAGATTCGAGTCGCTCCGGATCAAGATATCTGGGTACAACCCCTCTTTTCTACTGCGACCCCGCTCACCTGAGCGGCACCACTGACACTCTCCACAGGCACCATCAATCTCCAAGTTTGATGATCTTTACTACATCCACTACTCCGTCTCAACAATGGGCTCGCAAGCCTCTCAAATTGGCCTGGCAACCTCGTCCTCCCTCTCCGGCCCCTGGACAGACCACGGCTCGCTCAACCTCCCCCAACACCCAACTTACAACCTTATCGACCCATACATCTTCCAAGACTCGCCCTCTGATACCCTATACTTTACATTTGGCAGCTACTGGTCCGGTATCCAGCAATTCTCTCTCCCGTCGCACAACCATTTGATGGCACTCGATGGCTCCCAAGCTAAAATCCAGGATATTCAGACGCTTGTGACTAACTCCACAGCCGGTGCTGCAGTAGTTGAGGGCGCGACAACGTTCAAGCACGACTCCTTCTACTACCTTCTCTTCTCGGTGGGCGCGTGCTGCAACAGCCCCACCAAGCCGCCCTACCTCGCGCCGCCGGGTGACGAATACCGTGTCGCGGTGTGTCGAGCTGATGCTGTTACGGGGCCATATCTGGACAAAGAGGGGAGGAGTTGTAAGGAGCAGAATGGCGGCACGACGATCTTGGCTAGTCATGGGGATGTGTATGCGCCGGGCGGCCAGGGGGTTATGAGTCTGCCTGGAGATGACAGCAATGGGGGGAGGGATGTTATCTATTATCACTACGGTAAGTCATTGCTGTGAAGGGACAAGAGAATGATGAGTGGGCTAACAAGAGGAAGTGAAACCAAGTGTCGGGTTCGAGGCGGATCAGTTCTTCTTTGGGTGGAACTATCTGGAGTGGAGGGATGGTTGGCCTGTTGTGGTATGATGGAAGCTTAGCCGTGTATTTGTGAGGGTTACGACTTACGACGTTACGATGATATGATATCTGATGGCTGGCTAGCCGACGGGGGTCTAGGATGGGTGCTGTCTTTCGGTTGAGGGAAGCATCAGAGTATGATGTATTGTTGGCATTATTTTAGCATGTATCCGAGTGTATTGCATCCGTCATAAAGTATCGAGATGGCGATCTTTGATACTCCTGGCTCAATACGAAGGCGCTCGTATTCCTCGTAAGCTAGTGCAAGTTACGAGGCTTCGTGGTCTGCAAAACCAATTGCTTCCAACACAGTTAAAATGTCGATAAGAGACCGTCAGATTATCTACGCTTGACCATGTCGCATCCGCGGAGCACCCTGTGGCTCGTCGTGGCTCGTGCCGGGAGATGTGCTTTAAGTGGAGATCTGGCAGAAAGCTTATCTCGAGCACGACAAAGCTTGATTTTCGCTGTCAGCTCCTGTCTGCAGAGCCAATGTTCACCCTTCCATCACTCCAGCTGACGTTCTAATGATGGGCAAGAGCATTTGCCGTATCAGGTCATTTTACTGCCTTCCTGCAGCTGCCAGGCTTGAGGGTGGGTAAACAGGGCAGAGCTCGTGTGCTCCAGCCCCTTCAAATACCGAAGGCGTCTCACTAGTCCAATCACATGCTTTGCTCGAATTGATGCCGCGCAAGGGCCGGAACTGTGTTCCGAGCAGGGTGGGATGAGGATCTGAGGGACCTGTACATTCTCACAACGTATTTTGGCAACTGCAGCATAAAAAAATACGTAGACCGCGCGCAAGAAGGAAGAATTGTACGCAGCGGCGCGCGGTAAATTGACACATGAAACAATTGTGAATCACATCGATTAGCCCAAAAGACAGCGCCAGCGTAAGTGTGGCTAAACTCGCTCCTTGGCGCTCGTCATCCGTTCTTTCCGCTCACGCATCTCTGCAGCGACTCCACAGTGAATACCGGTTTGTACTGTGCTACACCAGTGTACAAGACCGGTCCCTGCGCTGCGAGCTTCTCCACTGCAAAGCCTCACCTCTCAGCCTCTTTTCGCGCCTCACTCGTCGCATTCTTTCGTGATCAGCACAAGGACGTTTGTGCGCCGCAAACATGTCCGATGCGGGGAAGCAGAAGGGGATGAAAAAGCTCTTTCACCCTTTCAACCACAAGGCCAGCGAGAAACTCCAGGATTTGCAGGAGAAGCTCGAGCATACTAAGCTGAGGGATGCGCATATCAGGGCTGTGCACGTCAGTCATAAAGTCGGCAAGTTCAAGAACTTGTTCAACACCAATCATCGCCATGACGAGGAACATGAGCAGGCCACGGATGCAAAGCGCACCCGTGTTGGAGAGAACCATCGATTCCACTCATTTGCACCCGAAAGAGAAGGCAACCTGGTGAAGTGGTACGTTGATGGCCGGGATTACTTCTGGGCTGTTGCCGAGGCGTTGGAGAAGGCGCAAGAGACCATCTACATCGCAGATTGGTGGTTATCGCCTGAGCTCTTCCTCAAGCGCCCTCCTTTCTATAACCAGAAATGGCGATTGGATCAGGTCCTCAAGCGCCGAGCCCAGGCTGGTGTGAAGATTTATGTTTCCGTGTACAAGGAGGTATGTGAAATGATAAGGTCACGGGTGCTGGCGAGTCTGACAAGTTCTAGGTCTCTGCTGCACTTACATGCAATAGTCAGCACACCAAGAAAGCCCTGAGTAGCCTCATCAAAGAGGGTGAGCCAGGGTATGGGAACATCAATGTGATGAGGCATCCAGATCACAATGTGTTCGAGAATGCCTCCGACATGACGTTCTACTGGGCGCATCACGAGAAGTTCATTGTCATTGATTATGCGATGGCTTTCATCGGGGGACTGGACTTGTGTTACGGACGATGGGACAACAAGCAGCATCCGCTGGCGGATGTGCATCCCTCCGGAATTCAGAACCAGATCTTCCCGGGTCAGGACTTCAACAACAACCGCATCTTGGACTTCGAGGGTGTAGAGGACTGGAAGTCGAACAAGCTTAACAAGCTCGAGTACGGTCGCATGCCATGGCACGATGTCGCTATGGGCGTCATTGGCCCGGCTGTGTATGATATCGCCGAACACTTCGCCCTCCGCTGGAACTTCGTGAAGCGTGACAAGTACAAGCGCGACGAGCGATACGACTGGATTACCATGGAAGGACGAGAAGGCGAGGACGAAGATCTTATCGGAGTACAAAGACCAAAATTCCCTGTCGGTGACTATGTACATCACCCAAAGACGCCACTCTCCCAGAAGAATCTGGACAACCGCGGCACAGTACATGCGCAGCTGGTACGAAGTAGCTGCGACTGGAGCATGGGAATCTTGCCCGAGGAACACAGCATTCAGAATGCCTACATCGGACTCATCCGGAACGCAAAGCACTATGTGTACATCGAGAACCAGTTCTTCATCACAAATACACGGAAAGATGACAGTAGTCCTGTCCACAACCAAATAGGAGCTGCTATTGTCGAGGCTGTCGTGAATGCCGGAAAGGAAGGTCGCAAGTTCCGAGTCATTATCATCATCCCAGCAATTCCAGGTTTCGCAGGCGATCTCAGAGACAACGCCGCTGCTGGAACTCGTGCGATCATGGACTACCAATTCAAGAGTATCTGCCGTGGCGAGGACAGCATATTTGAGCGCGTCAAGGCGCAAGGTGTCGACCCCAACGAGCACATCTTCTTCTTCAACCTTCGGTCGTACGATCGCATCAACGTCACTCCCACACTTAAGAAGCGTGAAGAGGAGTCAGGAACGTCGTACATGGACCTTGAGCAGGCCGAAATCGAGGAATTGGAAGCACCACTTGAGGACGGTGAAGAGGCACGTGCAAAGGCTGCGGAACTGAGGAAGAAGTTTATGGGTGAAGAGGCAGACGTCGGAAAGGGCGATCAAGGTGGCATAATCGATCCCGATTCGATAGCAGACGACGCCATGCTGAACGACAAGAAACCCAGCACCGAGGAGTGGGAAGGCGACCCAGAAGACGAAAAGAAGTACTTTTTCCAAGAAGAACTCTACATCCACGCCAAGCTCTGCATTGTCGACGACAAATACGTCATCTGCGGCTCCTCCAACATCAACGACCGCTCGCAACTCGGCCTCCACGACTCTGAGCTCTCGATCGTCCTGCAAGATAGGGACGAGATCGACACCGAAATGGACGGCAAGCCCTACAAAGCCGCCCGCCTCGCGCACGATCTGCGGTCCAACCTCTGGCGCGAACACCTCGGTCTCCTTCCCCTACAAGCCCTCGACGCCTCCGACGACCCTAATGCGCAACCCCCCGGCGAAAACTCCCCCAACGACCCCCAACCCGGGCCCGAAGCAGATTTCGTCTCCGACCCGCTCTCCCCCAAGCTCTGGGACGAGTGGTGCAATCGCGCCTCCACTAATACAGAAGTCTTCCGCACGCTCTTCCACGCGGATCCTGACGACAACATCCTCACCTTCGAGGACTACGATAACTTTACGCCGAACCCGAAGAATGACAAGGAGCACAAGCAAGGCCATTTGTACGATATGGTCAGACCGGTGGCGGAGATTAGGCAGGAGTTGGATCGAATCAAGGGGCATTTGGTCTGGATGCAGTTGAAGTTTATGGAGAAGGCGGATTTGGCGGAGAGGGGGTTGCAGGTCAACGCCTTCACTGAGTCTGTCTACACCTAGTATTGTGTTGTAGATGCAATTCTGTTTGGGTGTTGTTGGGTTATGGGTTTGTTTGTATGTGAGGATGATGTCATGCGCGACGATGGAGCTTTGGGTGGGTTGGGTTTTGTGTTGTGCTCTCACCAATGCTTCGGCATCTTTCTTGTTATCGTTATCAATATCATTACGGCGTAATTCTCATCCCTCTTTTTTTTTTCGCTTACACAACACAACACTGACCTAAAAATAAGAGTGAACAGCTTTTGTTTTGTAGCTAGCAATCTGCGTCAAGACCTCTTCAGTCTGACCGATCACCACTCATGTTACTCTAATACCCTCTAGACAGCAGAGTCCTTCTTAGCAAACGTCCTCGCAAGCGCCTCAATGCTATCTGCGACCCTCTTGAACTCATCCTTCTGCTCGCCCACAATCTCATTCACCACATCACTCGCGCTATCGTCGTCGCTGTTGCTCCACTGGATCTCTATAGTGTTGAAGTCGACCTTGACGTCCGCGCCGTAGATGTCCTTCGACGCGTTGGAGGGGAAGCCGCGGAGTGTGGAGACGAGGGAGAGGAGCTCTTTGACGTCGTCGCTCGGGTGTGATAGCAGAATGTACAGTTGAGATGGGTGGTATTGAGAGTGAAAAAAGCTTCGGCGGATTTGGACTTCAAGGCTTGGGAGGGGTGAGAGAGAGGCTTACGCGGGGACGTCCCCCTTCTTCTCGTCAGAGGTGCCGTTGTCAGATTTGTCGGTGCGGCGGATAGAGGCCGAACCGTTGTGGCTACGAATCACTTCAATCTGCTGTGTGGGTGTACCTTCGTCTGTCAGAACCTCGAAAACTCGCAAGGGTGAAGGAGTAACCTGCCGGAGAAGGGCTTGGAGAGCGTCATCTGGAACTCACTAGACGGGGGGAGGAGCCATTTGACGAGGCATTGTGAATGTACGTAGAGTATATAGAGAGACGGGCTGGGATGTTTTGAAGCCTAAGAGTGTGTTGAAAGCTTTGAGAAGTTGAAAGTGTTCAATGGAGGGGTTGTGTGCGGTATGCTGTCATTTTGTAGCGCTCGATATGCAGGTACAAGCTCGTCGTTGCTATCTTCAGTCTTGATATCATGATGAAGCTTGCCCACATACGTGCTCCGCCATTTGCGCTTGGAGCTAGGGTTTGGACCTCGATTGGTGTACCTGGAACTCGGAGCCGCATAAAGTGCACTTGCGTCGTCGCGGGACAGTTTGTTGCGTGTGATGAAAGAGTGAATCGCGTGCTCACGTTCATGACATCACCGTCGGGGATCTTTCACCACAAGAGGATACGTGGAGCATTGCGACAACATACCGCTTGCATGAAACACCAATGTACAAGTATAAATTTGATACATATACAAGAGACGAAATAGAGTGGAAATGGGAGACTAACCATACTCAATCCACATCATCTGCACCTTCGAAAATAGCGACACCAAACGGCCTTAACCACTTGCTGCCCTCACTATCCTCAATGGCAACAGTGAGTCTCTCAATGCCCGCTATCTTGGAAGTGTAGGTAGCAGTCGCACCCGAGACCTCAATCGAGCCCAGTGTGGCACCCTTAACAGTGAATGCCGGCTTTACGAAACCAGCAGCCAAAGCACCGAGATCGATCTTGACAGAAGAAGAAGGTGCAACAAACGCATGAGGATCAGCCATGAAATTGAGGTAGCCTTCGATGACATCGTAGCCCTCACCGCCCGTTGAGCCATCCCACCAGTCCGCAATGCCATCACCATCTGCATCCCACGAAGCGCTCCTCTTCACGGTGGGGAAGTCCTCGAGACCGCCAACATCCTTTGGGTTATCAATGATACCCTTCTTTCCGCCAACACTGCCAGTGTATGTCGCGGTACCGGCAAGAGTCTCGTTGATGATGCGCTTATCGTGGTCGTCTTGGACGGGCTGTGATACACCACTGTCGCTGAGCACGCGTTTGTAGGCCTCAGAAGCAGATTGAGTTTCCACAAAGCTTTCAAAGAACGGCTTGTTGACAAACTTCTGATAGGTGACGTTGTTGATCGTCACATCAGCCCAACACGCGACATTAGTAGTCTTGCCAGTGCCGTCACCGACATACTGCTCGCTAGCCTCGTCAAAGACACCTGGCATAGCATTGCCAGCACAGTAGTACGACTGCGAACCTGGCATGTCGTCTTCGTACTGTGCGCGGAGAGCATATGTAAGCTTAGACGAAGGACCTTGCTTGTACAAGTTGGACACGAACTGGCCCTGATATGCCCCGCCGTCAGTCACACGTCCGCCGAAATTGTACACGACATTGTTGCGAATGTCGAGCTTGCCGGCGAAAGCAGCATTGTCGTCGACACCACCGGCCATACTCCAGCTGCGTCCCTCGGCATGCGCGATCAGGTTGTGGTGGAAAGATCCGACTTCGCCACCAATCGAAGCAGCATAACCGTGAGCAGTTCCTGCGGGGTAGTTCTTGTGTCCTGCGATGTTGAGAGGTTCACTGATCATATTGCGCTGGAAAGTGATGTTGTTAGCGTCGCGAGAAGAGAAGGCTTCGTCGATTGTCCAGCCCATGCTGCATCGGTCTAATATGGCATGATTGGAACCTTGCATACCCATGCCATCAATCGTCTGATTTGAAATGGTACCTGGGCGTACGCGGATGTGGCGCAAAATCATATCGGTAGCACCAGTAAGACCAAGTGGGAAGCCCTGGATGACCACACCCTTCCCAGGTGCTGTCTGACCGGCGAGAGTAACGTACTGGCCGCTGATCGAGATGCGAGATTTCGTCGTTATGACACCGCCAACATCGAAGACAACAACGCGAGGGCCAGTGGCAACAGTCAAAGCGTATCGAAGTGTTCCCTCATCCGAGCTGTCTTCAAGGGAGGTCACGTGAATGACCTTTCCACCTCTTCCACCACGAGCAAATCGACCGTAGCCTTCGGCGTCAGGGAACGCAAGCTGAGCCGCACGGAAAGTGAAGACTCGGCCAGCGTATGTACCGTTGCTAGAAACTACATCGACGCGCCAGTAGTAGGTTGCTTGAGTGTTGATGTCGTTCAGGGTTGTGCTTGGCTTCTCGAGGCCCGTTGCAACGCTCTTGAGCTCGGTGGGCGAAGTACCGAGGTAGACATTGTAAGTAGCACCCGCAGCTTTGGCGGTTCTCCAAGATGCAGAGATGTCATTGTTGTTCTCGAGCGGTACAACTCTTTCATCGCGGTGAACTGGAGTGGGAAAGCTGATCTGGTTCTCGAGGGACGGACTGTCAATCTCGAATCCGTTCAAGAATGCTCGGCCATCTCCGGCAGTATCAGGGGTGTACATGATCTCAACTGCTTGACCCTGAATTGTAGTGAATGTTATGTAGGATGAAGCAGACTCCCAGATGTTGTCGATACGGATTGACTGTTTGACGCCTTTAGCTGCCTCTTTGCCATTGACTGTCACTGCCAAGGAGGCTGTGGCCTTCAGTGCATCCCAAGCGTTGTGCCAAGCCAAGATGGAATGTTCACCTGCTGGTAATCCAGAAATGCTCAACTTGATGGCGACTCCTCCGACATTGTCTCCGTTGTCGGCTACGGTCGAGATTCCTTCGCCAACGACGCGTTCGCCTAGAGAGGTGATGATACGAGAGTATACGGCCTTGTTCCAGTTGCCGTTGAGTTTGCCAATCGCTGCAGAAAGGGTGAACGACAGACCAGTATTGTTGGGTTCAAGTGTAGACGATGCGCCTTCTGCTATGGTCCATGTAGTGTAGTCGGTGTCGCCAGTATCGCGAATCTTTGCTGGATTGAGGCGGACACGGACATTAGAGGTGGGTACTGCGGGTGCAGTCTCGTTTGCTTGCCGGCCGCTGAGACTGGTTGGAAGCGCCGAAGCCGCTGCCAGCAGAATGCTGGTCCAAAAGAAGGATTTCATGGCTTAGTATGAGCCTGTTAGTAACGAACGTGGTGCTTGGAAGCCAACAGCGAGGAAGAATATAAACAGGCTCCCAGCGCCAGAATAAGAAGGAAATGAGAGTTGAAGCGCAGAGGATGGGTTGGAGGATGATGTTTGACCGAGCGTAAATTGTGAACCACACCAAGCGATCCGCTTCATCTTGCTCAAGAGTTCGATTGACGGCAGAGATTGATGGATAGCCGTTACTAATTATCGAAGTTAGCCCGAAACATTCAGGAGGATCCGCATCTGGAGTTTTCTCTCGCGCACCTTACTATAACGCTGTTAGCCCGTCGATATTGGGAAGAAGACGTTGGGCGCTTATGCGGGTAATGATTCTGAAACACGGCACCCACATTTTGCTCAGCCTCGTATTGGCGTTCTGTTTCCGCGAACGAGCGTCGTGAAAACAATTCGAAGCGGGCTCGAAGATTTGTAGGATCGTTGTCAATAGTGCGAGGCGATACTGAACTATCTCTTGCATGATTTGTTCCACAAAGCGAACCGTAGGTGGTGTGCTCGAGCTACAAAGCCCCCTTTCAGTATGCACTATGTCATTTTGCAGTCGCAAAGCGAACTGCATGCATGTCTCTCTCTGTATGAGTTTGTCTGTGACCTGTAAGCTTAGCCGAGAGGGTACAATACCACCACGAAGCAGGTCGAGCTTACCCACTCACCCACTCACCTACTCAACCTCAAGTTCCTGACTTGTTCTCCTTCAACTCCGCGACTCTCGGGCGTTGCTCCTGAAGTTCCAGCCCAATAACGCTCATTCGGCCTCATGAACCTGCTTGCCTGTTTGTCCGCATCTGGGCTATGCATTTCGTAGACCGGACTGGAGCCTCCAATTTCGGACATTGCAGCTTCTGGTAGTGCCTCGTGTGTCAATGCTACTGAAGTACTTTGTGACTGGTGTGAAAGGTGCTATGAGGTGTGCATAAGGACTGGGACATGTTGCGGAACGTCGTGATTACGGTCGCGACGATGCTGGCGCCTTCGCTTGACGAAAATAACGACCCCTGCAATGATGATGAGGAAGACAATCCCGATACCAACAGACAGACCAACGAGAACACTGTTGCCAATGCTCCATCTGAGCTATTTCCCTTGGACTGTGTAGCGGCCGATGCGGACGAGCTCGGCGCGGGCGTTACTGTGGTCGTGGAGGTACCTTGGGGGTGCACACAATCCGGTGGCAGACGATACTGTCGTAACAATTGGGGAGATTGATGCTGAAGTAGCTGACGTTGCGGATGATGTTGACGCTGTTGAGATCGATGCAGAATCAGAATCCTTTACATGTCAACAAACCAAAGTCAAGCAGGACAGAAGAAAGTCTGTGTGCTATGCTGGTGGTGACAAACGAAAACCCTGAAAAGTGAACCAGCTTCGAGGCCTGTTCGTGCAATGTCAGCTGGAACTTAAGTAGTAAGATGGACGAGGAGAAACTTCTGAAGGGTTTGATTAACCATTAGGGTCAGTGAGCCCCTTCACGGGCTGTCGTCCTGGAGAAAGTAGAGCTATCGTGAAGAGTGTAAAAAACTTATGTATCTCTGCTCGGGTAATCCTCTACGTGTAGGGGGCATTTGAGCCGCAAGCCTCGAACTGAGCACATTCAAGAAGTGACATGGAAGCTTTCATGCATAGCGAAGACCGACGGACCTCAGCATCTTAGGCCTTCTAATACAAACACGCTATTGGCTGACGCTTCGCGACATGATCCAACGACCTTTCGTAGTTCTTTGTTCTACCTTGCGCCCCTTTGCAAGGGCGGACTGCGTAGTTGCTATGCGGACAGCTTGTGCGCTTCCGGCAAAATTTATAGCAACGACAAACGGAAGGTCAGCTTCTTCCGGTGGAATCATTGGAAAGGATCTTAGCTTCGGATTGTGTCATGCGACTATATTTCAGCGCCAATTGTCTTCATTTCTAAAGTTAGTAGTGATGAAGCCGCAAAATACCATCAATTGCGCTGCACGCACAGGCTGAAGGACATACAGGACAACCACTGCACAGCAATACTGTGGGGACGCGATTGTGAGTCGTTGTAAGTGGAGGGATTCTGTGAAGGCGAGGTTGGGAAGGTATCGTGCTGGTGGTGCAGTTGCGTCATCGCCAAGTGGGCACGTGCGGCGCCCTTCGAGTTGAGAAGCGACTCCTGTATGGTCACCAGCAAGTTGCCTTTGCGAAACCTCTCAACTGCAATACTAAAGTTGGTACAATGGTTTGAAAAGAAGAGGCATGAGAAGTGATGCCAACTGCTATCTACAGCAGTACTGTACCTTTTTGGTCAGTGTAGCGCAGCGGGGCTGAGCTGTGTGCCTCACACTGAGCAAGAGACTGCAACATATACTGAGTGCTTCTTTGCATCTACATTGCTCAACCATGTTGGTTGAATGTTCTTGGATTCAGCAGCATATATGAGGCTTGATGAGAGGGCAAAACCGGCCCTGCATATGCACACAAAGAGGGGAATCACTTGCAATTGCCATCTTAGAGTCTGCCTGAAGCGCTTGTTCTTGAACTTGCTCCTGCTGAACACTCTCTTCTTTCTGCTAATGGCACCTACCATGAAGCCCTTCTCATCCATATTGTATGTGTTCACAGGCTCAATGCCATGTTTAGTGATTTGGGCCTGCAGCATATTGAAGTAGTGCTTGTACTTTATGCCAGAGTCAGCCTTGTGGCAATTGCGGTCCATAGCAGAGGTCCAGCAAGGTGTGAGCTAGTCATTGTGTGTGTTGATGAACCAAGACACCCAGCTCTCAGAGATATCTAGTTTGGCAATATGTATTGCAAAATTCTGGATCATTTCTCTTGCGGGTGGTAAGAAACGCCCAGTCAAATTGTCTATGTACTGTATAAGTTCATCCTCTTGTGCCGGGCTGAGTTTGCGGCGCAACACAACAGAGTCCGCACGCAATGCATTCATACCTCAGTGGTTGCGCAACAATGTTAAATGATCAATACTGTGATTGTCAGCAATATTTTAAGTAAAGTTCACCGGCTGCATCAGCTGCGTCTGCATCTTCAAGCGCATTCTCATCAACAGTGTGGCATTGAGTTAAGGTGTTGAGGATTTAGGGTATTTTGGTGATTGCGTGCATTGCTGACCGCGTGCATCGAGTGTACCCCGCTGTCCCTGTACCGTACCCACTCGACCGGTTTGGCCGAATATTCCGTGCCTCAAGCGGCACCTCGAGGTAGTATCAATATCGCACTTCTTCAGCGACAACAGAGAGTTGGTATCAACTATTGACATGCCAACTTCACCCCATGGTGCCATGTTGCCGTTCCTTCTTCTTGGTCTGCCCTATGGCCTAATGCAAAACAGCAGAAGTGGATTGGGAGATCTGCAGTGGACCGCAAGGCCTTGCGTTCGCTTTCGGTTACGGTTCTTAGTGCAGTCCTCTCCAGACCCGCATCTACCGTATCTCCACTATATATACGGCAAATACGGTAGCATGGATGTTGAAACGTGGGCTCATGACCTATATAGCTTCCTGAGCATACAGTCAGCTAATCACATTTGCTTCTTCAGCGCAACACATCATGTCTTCGTTCGAGAACAAGGTCGTTATCATCACCGGCTGCAGTAGCGGCATTGGCCTTGCAACCACACAGATTCTCCTGGCGCGGAAAGCCAAGGTTTTCGGCATCGACATCTCTCCGTTCAAGCAAGAGGTCGACAGCGCAACATTTACCTTCCATCAAGTTGATCTCACAAAGCGCAATGCCGCCGACGAAGCTGTAGCTGCCTGTGTGCAGAAGTATGGCCCAAAGATCGATGTTCTAGCAAACGTTGCAGGCGTCATGGATGCCTTCGGCAGTGCAGACACAGTAAAAGAGTCGGAGTGGGAGCGCGTGCTGAGCATCAACCTGACGGTTCCTGTGCGGTTGATGGCTGCTGTTCTGCCGAGTATGAAGGAGCACAAGGGGGGTGCTATCGTGAACGTTGCGAGTAAAGCGGCTTTGTCAGGAGCCGTTGCTGGTGTTGCGTACACTGCTAGTAAGCATGGTCTTGTGGGAGCGACGAAGAACGTTGCATGGAGATTCCACAACGAGGGTATCCGCTGTAATGCGGTGCTGCCAGGCGGTAAGAGCTACCTGAGAATATCATTATGCTGGAGTCTAATCATTGTGAAGGTGTAGCAACGAACATTCAGACCTCAATCCAAAGAGAGAACTGGGACATGCCAGCCTACATGGCTTCATCGTACGTATGCACTGGAAGGCTGTGTGAGACTGTACTGACATTGCCAGTGATGTCATTGGGTTGCACACTCCTCGCGACGCTCAAGGCGTACCGCAAGTAGACATTAGTCCGGAAGACGTTGCCAACGCAATCGTGTTCCTTGCGTCGGACGAAGCGAAGAAGGTGAACGGTGTGCTTATGCCAGTTGACAATGCCTGGTCTGCAATCTAGATACAAGAGTGGAAGCATGTCAAAGGATGTGAACGAAATACACTGATTGTCGATCTTGTACGATCATAGTACATCTTGGTCATTCTTCTTGGCGGGCAGCGGAGGAGGATCATGAAAGCGTATCGGCACTTGCCTTTCGCGATTGACCGTTAACTTGAAGATGTCGTGCCTTTGATATCCGCCAACAACGTCGTGGTACTGTTTGCCCTCCACACAATCTGCCAGGTGGAGATCCGCGTACAAGATGCCTTCTTGTTTCTGTAAGAAGTTCACTTCTTTCCTCTCTCCTGTTGAGCTATCAATAGTGAATCCAGGTATGAGCGCGCCAGTAGGGTCCAGGAACATAGTGGCTCCACGCTGTGATGTCTTGAGTACGTTTGTAATGTACTCAGCATCCGGAGCTCCGGCAGCGATGATCTCGATAGCCTGCTCGTCAAGATGTCCGCTACAGAGCACGCCGAAAGCTTTCGCTTCAAAACAATGTGCCGCAGCTCTGATGCGATTGGCTGCAACGTTGTCGTAGTTATTCCCCTTCGTCTCTTGCGCCGAGGTAGGATCTGAAACTCGAGTCGGCCAGACAGCGGGCCACGTTGAGATGTGCAGTTGCTCGGCTTCTGCAATGAGGCTGTATCTGGCAAGCGGGTTTGTGTTCTCGCCGCAGATCAGATTTCCAATGTTGCCATAAGGCGTCTCGATGACCTTGAGACCGTGACCATCTCCAGGAGCCCAGGTCAGCTTCTCGAAGAATGTGGGCATGAGTTTGCGGTGGAGGTTGAGGACTCGACCATCGGGGCCAATGAAGATGTTGGAGTTGAAAAGCGTTCCTGAACTGTAGCGAGTCCTCTCAGAGATGCCAACATTGAGATACGTCTTGTTTTCTTGAGCAGCAGACTGAAGAGCTCGAATCTCTTCGCCATCTGCAAGCACTGATTGCTCTGCCATTCGTTTGAACAAATCGTGATTCTGAGTTGGTGCACGCAGAGCACTCCATACCGGAAATGCTGGAATGAAAGTTTCGGAAAATATGACAAGGTTTGCTGAGTTCTTCGAGGCAGTCTTGATGAATGAAACCGCCTTCTGCGTGGTGGCTTTGGCAGAAAGAAAGACAGGCGCCGCGTGGCAGGCAGCTACGCGGATTGGCCTTGCCATGATCCAGTTGATCTTAGGATAAAGAAACAAAAGGGTAAGATCTGTTGTGAATCAAGCAGCGCGCAGCAGCGAGGACTCCTGGCCCCATCCTGAGGCTACAAGCTACCCCGCAACAGCCGGATGACCTCCGCCATATCCATCATCTCCGCACTTGATTCAACATCATGCGTGTAAAGTCTCTTGAAGCCTGCTTTCATTTGCGGTCATTGTATACAAATCAGGAGCGAGTGCAGCAGTGACCGATGTCTATGGAGTGATGAAGCATCAAACATTCTCGGTAAATGAGCAGAAAGTGCGTCTCAATTGGAGCCCCATTTGACGCGTCTCTAGCGCGAAACCCTGCACGCTCACCGTCCACGCTTTACTTTCGTCGTTCGTTCATCGAAAGTCATCATGTAATATCGCAAGGTCTGAGATGACCGATATGGTGTGGACTCGGATCGATATCAGAAAGATTTGCCCTTGAATAAAGCTCGGAGCAACGAAGTCCTGATAGCGTACGAAATGAACGGAGAGCCCTTGGGGCGAAAGCGGGGTGTTCTAGTACGACTCGTTGTGCTGGACTGGTTTGGAACAAACAGCACCAAATGGCTGTGCAAGATGTCGTTGCGCAAAGGAAGAGCGCTAGATCCCTACACGACGCGATTCTACAATACCGAGGACCAAGATGATCCTTAGTGCTGGATGAAGCCAATTTGGGGTGTCGATATTAATTCGACTATTGTTCACCATACGACAGACACTATCCTGCACAACTCAAAAGTGGACGTTGAAGGTTGGGCATGGAGTCATGGTGGCGTAGCAAAACTCAAAATCAGCTTTACTGGTGGCGATACTTGGTACGGAACGGAATTGAATCTTCGAGTTGACTTCCGCTGGCAGAAGTTCACGTTGCAGCTCGCCCTGGAATCATGTGAGCACATGCTGGTGGCACTGGCGACTTCCATTGGCAGCAAGTCGCAGGCCCTGGGCTGAAGATGAAACCATGCACACCTGGTCAACTTCAAAGTTGAAAGTTGAAGAGGCTGAGAGAATGTATTACATCGACATACTTCACCAATCTGCATCAATCTGTTTGTAGAGTTTGTCGAACTCCCTTAAAAGCGCAACACCATCGTCCAGCCTTGGCCACTGTCTCTCTTTTGGTACGGTATCAGGACATCCGTTTTCTACCCATTCTGCGTACCGTTCGTAGAGTTCAGCTGCACTCCTAGCCCTTAGTCCATAGTCCTTTTGCCAATCAGGCCAGTCCCAGCCAAGCTCCGTCAATTTGTCGGTTGCATGTTCGTGATGCACGATCGTAATAGGCCCGTCAAAAGAGTAACCGGATTGAAGATATGGTCCTGGGGCGGCAAGCCTCAATTCGCCCTTTTCGCCGTTGATCGTCCAAACGAGACCTGGCTCATCTTTGAACTGTGGACCAAGGCGGAATGTTGCCAGGAGAGTTGCCCCCGGAGCCACAACGCCTTTGTTATTCTGAAGAGTACCGTGGACCGATAGGAAATCAGGGACGTCTGACTTTACGCTCCCTGCATCCTGTCCATTTGCGCCAACGACTTTGAGCGAAGGGCGTTGTATCTGTCCAAGAGCATGGAAGTCTTGCCAATCACCGAGTACTTCGTGCACGAAGTCGATCAGATGACCGTAATAGATGTTGATCGGATGGCCGCCAACCTTACGATCGGCGAAATACGTCAGACGCTCTGGCACACTGTCTCGTGGCATGAGATTTCCATACGTGCGGACCTCACTATTGAGCACTTTTCCGATGACTCCAGTCGCTAAGATCTCTTTCAAACGCAGTGTGAGAGGCGCCACACGTCCTTGGAGACCAATTATGCTGTTCGGATACGGTTGGCCCCGTGTCAACTCGACTGCTTTTGCGAAATTCTCTGTGAGCGGCCATTCGATGAACACACCTTTGCCTGCACGGACACTTGGCTCGACCACGGGGAAGTGTACATCGGCACGCGTATTGACAACGACCAGGTCGATGTCTGGGTCAGCGGCGAGCTTTGATGGATCACCATATGCTTTGACATCTTTTGAGAGCTTGAAAGTGGTCTTTGCTGTTTCGGCAGCCTCGACGGATGAGTTGAGTAGTGCGACCAGCTCGTAGCGCTCTTTGCCTCGAGTGGAGAGAAGATAGGGAAGATGGGCGTCCGCGGCCCAAGTGACCTTTGCAGAGGCTGAGAGACCGACGAGAGCAACGCGTATGGGTGCCATGGAATCGATTGTGGTGATACAGACTTAGCGGAAATCAAGGCAGTCTTTATGCCTGCTTGCGCAGTGCAATTGCTGACGCTTTGGACTTGCATCATCTAGGCTGTCAGCACTGCACAAACAAGCGGTACGCAAGGCTAGCACTGGCTTACCAATACCGAGGTAATGGACCAATTAATGATCTGCATTCTACCAGTAATGCCCATTTATTACCAATCCAACCCAAGCACGACATCTGTACTTCTTCCATCAGAATGAACAAACTCTTACCGTATTCGAATATCTCAGTCTCTTTTACGGGACCATGAAAGACAACAGCTTCTGCGTTATGCCACTGTATGACATCGAACACGTTATTCTTTTGACGGACGATCAGCAAGAGGCCCTGGCAAAAGCATTCACATCGATCCACTGCAAGCGCTTCCACACACCATCTTTCTTCATCAATGTTCGCTTTACGGATGTATCGTCATAGGAGGTCTACAGAGACGAGGTCCTACGATACTAAAACTGCGCTATCTTGACAACTCTAGCCAGCGAATATCGCACGAGAGGACAGTATGGTGAACAATGTCGGGGGCTTATGAAGGCGTTGGATCAGATCGTAGTTCCTGAAAGCGTGAACTTCCTCTTAAATATCTGTGGAATTCCATGAACGCCTCAAGAGGTCCGAATATAAACAAATCCATCAGTCGAGGATCGTATAAAGAACCGCCATTCACATTGGCAACGCTTGTGCCCTTAGATGGCGTGATGCGTCGCATCTCCTGAATCAGATCTTTGAGCTGCTCCAACAACCTAGCCCTGCTTTCTTCATGGCATTTGACCCATCCAATACCATCAGATGGAATCCTGTCCATAATGATGTATGTTCAGCTGTGATGTTCGAGGGCACCACGCACTTGAGGGATTGGGGTCGGTGTGTTCGGCGACGAAGCGCATGGTAGATGCTTCGCTGAGATGCGTGCTGCGTCCATGTTTTACACAGGTAGTCTTCGAAAGAAACAACATGGTCCTAGAGTGCTTTCAGAAGCGCTTTAGTAACTTGATGGCGAGTAGGGTGAGGTAGCAATTGATATTGGACGCGTTCACAGGTCGCGGCTTCAGGAGGCGCGTCTCCAGACATGTCGCACAGTAGAGGGAGGGAAGCTAGGGCTTACACTTCATAGCTCGCAACTTGCGCCTTTCGAAAGTATGTGACAAAAACATGATTGTGTCTATGATCGAGAGGTGTCGTGGCTGTTCAGCCCTCGAACGCGTGAGTTGCAGCAGCGCACAGACCCCAACTCCAACTTTCTTTGCCGGACAATCTGTCTCCAACGTCATCGGTCCTTCTGTCCTCTAATACCACAATGCTATTTATGCTACCATATTAGCCATTAGATCGTGTATGTTCTTCAGAGTGTACGCCCTGGAAAGTCATCACAATGTGGCTTTACGGCTCCCGCTTGGTCGTGTCTACAAGATAACTGCAGAGAATAGAGCATGGGTCGACAAACCGCGACAGCGTATCGAGAACAAACCTGCGCAGCCACTCGCTAGAGGAAGCAGGTACGACAGTCGACAGAAGTCTAAGCTAAGGTCAACGATGGAAGGTAAAACGCAGGCTTCATGGACACGCTAATCATCACTTGTACTGATGAGAATTCTCAAAGCAGTTGCACGCCAGTCTTACTGTGACAAGCAGGACGATTGAGGCTTCAGGCACTGATTCTGTACTCGTTAAGATCTCGAAAAGACCTTTGTATCGGAACCGATTTCTTGCGGCCAGCTGGTAACGAGGCGACGATGAACGCCGAGGCTGAATCTGTCGGGAAGCGTGGACAGTGCGCATATGGGAAGAATTGACGGATTGAACTGAGGTTGTATTGGGTGAAGCTACGGACAGTATGTATAGGTGAGTAGCTGTAAACAACGCTAGTGTGACGTGGCAGTCACTCTCATGGCAGGTGAGGTTCGATAGGCAGGAGCACCCTGAACCGTGACAGAATCCTTCATAGCAGGATCCGATAGGTTTGTAAGGCACCGGTATTACAATTTCGACTGGGTAGCAGTCCAGTCGTTTTCTTCAAGTTGCGGCTTTCGTTGCGTCATCTGCTTACTGCACACGCAATGCTCAGCCAGCATTTGCTCAACGTACGTTTTGCCTTGACCGATTGCCAGAACAGGTATCAGATTCGTAGGCGGGTAAGTTACTCACCTGAACGAGGAAATTCATTGCATACCCACTTTTGGACCGATCGGCAGGCTATGTTAGCGAACGAAGTTGAGTATGAGAGCCGATGTGTAAGGCGTACCACACTGCCACAACAAGGCGTACCACACTGCCACAACAAGGTGCATTTCACGCTAAACCTGTCCAGTCATACCGCAGGCCAAGTGATGTTCAGCCCAGGATATCACAGTAAGCAGAGAGGCCTAGTAATACGAATGCGGCATTGATGATAGCGGCTATGTTCGTTGTACTCATTACTTATGTAGGCCAGCTTTTCGGAAAAACGCTCGCCATCATCAGACAACTTCTCTTCGTTACCTCCTTTCTCTTGACACCATGCTTCTAAAGGTTCTTGCGACCTCGTTACTCCTATCACCCGTTCTAGCATATCCAACAGACGGCCACTACAACTCCAACACAACTGCATTGGAGTGGGTACCATGCGACCTTGACTTTCCCTCATCGGTTCAGGAAGAGATAGATGTACATAAGGAACCTATCTTCTGTGCGAATCTGTCCGTGCCGCTCGACTATACTAGTCGAGAGAATGGCAAAACAATCGATTTACAGTTGATCAAGATCAAGGCAACCAAGGAACCGTTCAAAGGCAGTGTCCTCACGAATCCCGGCGGTCCTGGAGGGAGTGGTGTAGACTGGATCGCCAGCGATGGACCGTCGATCCGTGATGATCTGGGTGGGTACCATGATGTTATTGGCTTTGACCCTAGGTAAGGTCTTTTACTCCGCAGCATGTTCCGGAACAACGCTAACGAATGCAGGGGTACTGGGAGAACCATACCGTTCTACTGCCTCCCATCAAACACTACGGCTTCCAAGGCTAAGCGAGCTGAGTATAACTTCACGATCCCACAAGACGACATGTACGCTGCGCTCGTGAAGAAAGCATGGCACGATGGTGGTATCTTCGCCGAGGAGTGCGCCAACACACCTGGAAACGCAGACATCGGTCCCTACATCAACACACCATTCGTAGCACGCGACATGCTAGAGATCATTGACGCTCTTGGAGAGGATCAACTTCAGTATTGGGGCATATCTTACGGCACTATCCTCGGCCAGACGTTCGCTGGCATGTTCCCTGACCGTGTCAAGCATCTGCTGCTTGACAGTGCCGTACGCTTCGACGATTACCATTCTGGTCAGTGGATCACAGTGACGCGGGACACAGAGCGTGCAGTTTTGAACTTCTTCACGGAATGCGTCACTGCTGGACCTGAGCTATGCCCTATTGCGAACTTCACTGGTCCAGACACAACCGCGGAAGACTTACACAAGGAATACGCCAAAGTCTTCCAGGAATTGTTGGATGACCCTGTCTTCCTACCCGACGACTACCGGCCTGCAAGTTGGTATCAGCCTGGCGGTAACACCATTTATCTAGTCCTGAAGCATATAACGTTGACTTTGGCGTACCAACCGAGGCAGTTTGGCCAACTCTACTCAGCTGTGGACATCGCTCTGAGGCGAGACTGGGAGCAGGCCGTCGAGATTCTCACATCTGCTCTCAATACCACCACGCCTGAGATACCTTGGAACCTCGGTGTTAATGCCTTTCACGGTATCGCTTGCTCAGATGGAGCCTTCCGTGCCGACAAGCCAGAGGACCTGTACTCATGGGTATTAGCTCAGGCTGCCGCGGGCACTTTCGCTGACGGCGCCGGGCCACAAGTCTGGCTTTGCGCGCAATGGAAGTTCGAAGCTAAGGAGCGCTACACTGGGCCTTGGACTGCTATCAACACCAGCAACCCAATTCTGTTCGTTAATGGCAACCACGATCCGATCACACCTCTGAGCGGCGCATATGAAGCTTCGGCCAACTTCCCAGGCAGTCGCTTGGTGGTGCAGAATGGGCATGGTCATGGAGTCAGGAATCATCCCTCTTCCTGTACGAACAAGGTGATCGCTGACTACTTCAACGACGGAACGCTGCCAGATGTTGGCAAGGTATGTCAGACTGACAAGACGGCATATGGTGTTTTCGAAGAATACCTTGCGACTGTTCTGAACAGTACCACCAATAGCACACTTGCAAAGCGATCTTTTGAGGTTCCTCGCAAGCCCATCCTTACATAAGTCGGGCTTCGAGATAGACGTAGATATTGACAGGACGAGGTGGAGCTGTTGCTAAGACATTGTATTCATAGCATACTTCTAGTATAAACATAGGTAATCTCGATAAATTTGCTCTAACAAAGCCTATCGTACTCATTACCTGGTCCATGAACAGCTTGTGTATTGTTTCAAAATCCCAACTTGACAAGCGTGTTGGCGTTTGGATCATAAGTCAGCCACACCAGACCATGTTTGGGATTTCTCGCAAAAGCCACCCATGCACTTTGCATGTACTTCGACGTCTCGATCTCGACAGGTACGCTAGGTCCGAGTAGATCGGTAGTACCAAACACCATTGGAACGGCGGAGGAGTGGTAAGCATGAAGCCACGGCAAAGGGTTCAGGTTTTCGCCATTCTCCGAAAAGCGAGCGCGCCATATGGGGACATTAAAGATGCTCCGAGCACTGATAGAAGAGTCAGTATCTTAAAACGAGAGGTGATAATGACGACTTACAGCGCTCCTTGCGCATCAGGGCAAGTGGGAATGCTTCGTGTGAAGACATCAACAGCCGTTTGGTTTGGTTCAGCTGGGTTTTACGTAACAAGTGAAGTGCCTTCGTTATCGACTTGCGATAAGATGGTTGAAACTTCGGCAAAACGTCCAGGAAGCTGGCGATCAGTGTAGTTCGAGAAACTCGTGACGTTGTCCGGCGACGGTGCAAACGGTAGCGATTCTCCATCATTTGCAGTCGCATTGTACTTATTCAGCACCTCGATGATGGCAGTGGCGTTAGCTTTCTGCATGCAGGAGAACACCTTGTCTTTGTCGGTTGATGAGCAGCCGACTTGTGAAGCAAGATAGGTGAAGTTTGAATTCGTGGGGTCCTTGGAGGCTCCACCTGAAGCTGTGCCGGATTGTGCGATGAAGCCTTTCACGATGGGATCCTTAGGGTATGCATATGCGTATTAGTCAACAGCCATATCGCAAACGAATTGACCGAACAAGATCATGCGTTCTGGGTCTCCACCAAATGTCCCGATGTTGTTTTAGAGCCACTCGACTGCCTTTTGATGATCAAGCAAGCCAGGATTGAGGTTTCGCCCGTCCAGAGCCGCGGCATCGGGGAAATTAAAGATGTTGAGGCGATAGCTTATGAAAGAATCAGTAAGACTGTTCTTGGTAACTATGATAACGGTCTGATCTTACGCAAGTCGGTCGCCGTACTTGTATGGACTCGCGCTTCCGCCAGATATGGAACCACCGCCGTGGATCCAAATCATGACCGGCAACTTTTCAGCTGCTCACTTTTCTGCAGGAGCGTAAATATTCAAAGGCAGACAGTCCTCACCCTGCTCCTGAGCAGGAGTGAGAAGAAAGCCCGTGAGGTACTCCGAGTACACCGTCTTCTGGCCATTGCTCTACTAAATACACGATGGTCCAAACCATGATGAATCGATATTCTCGTTTGTAGGGCGCTTGGTGACCGGTGGTCAAAATCGAAGCTCGCCAATTGGAGGCTCAGCGTAAGGTATGCCGCCCCAGAACGAAACGCCAGTCGTGTTTGGCCAGGAAGCGCCTTGCACTGCGGAGGATCAGTGTGTACTATGAGGTTCTTGCTCCATCTACCAGTCGGATGACAATGGGTCAGCGGCAAGAGTAATGCGACAATTTTGAGCTATCTTAGGCCTGCCATGATAAAGATAGGACGTCAGCGAATTGTCCAGGGCACAGATGGCTTGGACAGCTTAATATTATATGTAGATGAAGTCTGTAAAAGGATCAGCGTTTTGCGATGAACTCTCGTGCTTGGCTGGAGTAGTTCTCTCCCATCTGATGAAATGCAATCCATCTGGTTAGCGTTGGTCTCGCAGATTCTGGGGCCCCGCAAAGTGTCGGAGGGAGTGAAGGTATCCACCGATCGCCATCTGTTTGCTAGCGGTCCGTTGCAGTGTTTGCTAACGACCCGCTGCACTTCACTGCTATCCCCTTCTACTATATAGTCTCGATCGATTCTAGCCAATAGCTCCCAAGATCAACCAACACAATCCACTCACTTCAACACAAAGCGAGTCATGCGGCAGTTAGTGTGCCCACAGACACCGCCTCGACTAGTCCTTGAATCTTCCCTTCTGCGCTCTGCGATGTGAAGCTTGACATCATTGCTTAGCCTGCTTGTCTAAATTTCGGTTCTGAATTTCCGAACCGGTTCAAAGATTTCCCACATCTGGAGACTAGGATGTACCCAAGTTGACCACGTTTCATCGAATACGTCGCCGTATATCACAAACTCGTGAAAGAGGTGAGCGCAGCACCAGATCGTTGGCTCTAGATCATATCGTGAGCGTTTGAGACATTCTATATTCGCGCTAGACATATCCAGGAATTGTTGAAGTGGTATATATTCCGATCAACACGCTTGCAGGAATGATTGATCATTTTTGCAGTTTCAACAGGAATCACTGGGTGTAGGAAGGTTCTCAATAATGTTTTCATAGTCACCTCCTTGCTCAAAGGTCTATTCTTTGGCCGGCACAAAAGCGATGATGAGTTCGAAGCTATTCATCTTATGTGTGGCTTGTCCGGTCCCGCTTCACGCGGAGCAGCTTTTGCAAGTTCTGTTCATCTCCATAGTCAGCTACACCGATGTACAACTCGTATGATGTGATGGGTATGAATGAGGATCTATTCACCTTGATGGCAGAACTGTCGGAAAGAAGTGTGGTGGCCAGCAGTTTTTTGCGATCTTGTACCTCTAGAATATCCTGTTCTGATATCAGATTGTAGCTCGTGTTCCGGTCTGGGGGCGAAGAACTTCTTCGAGTGAATCTGTCAGAGTTCAGGGAAAAACTGTACGCAAAGGAAGAAGTTGAAGATTGTACTGAGGTTGTATTGAGTGAAGCTACGAACAGTATATATAGGTGAGTAGCTGTAAACAACGCTAGTGTGACGTGGCAGTCACTCTCATGGAGGTGAGGTACGACAGGCAGGAGCACCCCAAACCGTGACAGAATCCCTCATGATGTACCTGACCGTCGTCACCGGATGTGTTTGGCCTAGACGATGTGCCCGAGCAAGTTCCTGGTCTTCCAGCGATGGATTCCACTGGGGTTCAAGCGGATGTACTCTTGAAGCGGCCGTGAGATCGAGCCTGTTGACCACGAATCGGATGATATCCATGTGTGCATACGTAGAGATAACCTACCCGCAAGCGCCACAGGAAATGGTTAGGAGTATCACTCGAATTTCGGGGTCGTTGCGAAGCTGCTCTATGGCATGCACACGGTTCTTAGTGGCTACGCTGCCGTCGATGTGGATGGACCCGATGTTCGCAACGGCAAGTCCTCGTTCTACCATGTCGAGACTTGACGTCCAAAATGAGAACACGACACTGGGATTTGATGAGTCAAGTGACGCATGTCAGCATAAGTTGGGTACTTACTGCTTTTCGGTCGGACAGGTTTTGATTTGCTCGATTAGTGAACGTACTTTAAATGAGACCTTGACGTTATCGCTGATGTGACCCATACTTGGTGATATGTTTCGAGTAGGTGTCAATCGCGAGGTGCGTATAGAAGAAGATAGAGGCAGTAAAGGACAAGAGGTTGGGCCGTTCATACACCCACACGGATTCGGAGATCTAAAGTCCAGAAGCTATGTACACGCGGCACAGTATACCATACCACACGCTGAATAATAGGTATTTGAACTCGTCGCACGTCCGAGTCCATCATCGGTCGACGGCAGGCTGACTGGCCTTAGACATTGCGTACACATATCTTCCCCCATTGATAGGCGAGCCCCTAGTACTGCTTGAGGAGATCCATCTAGTGCTACCGGTTCATCCTGACTGGAATGCTGAGGTGCATACGTCCCAAGATTACATATAAGCCGGAGCCTGTTGATCTGCTGAATCCTATTGGGCCAGGAAATACCAGGTGATTGATCAAGCAAATCGGACACAGGTATCTCTATGCCGCGATAATATATTTCTTCTTGCTCGTCGAAGGGAACTCGAAGAATTTTGTCTGTTCGGGCAGGCAAATCTAGGATTTTTGTCGTTTTACGTAGCATGACGCATGAGAGGAACTTCTTGAATGTCTCGGTTGCTTCATCTACAGGTTTATCTCGCCACAGCTGTGGAATCTCTTCGTCAAAGATCTTGGGATCATCGTAGGGAACGAAGTGGAGGAAACTGAACAGTCCAAGGAAGTCTATCAGGCTATTTTGAACCGGAGTACCGGAGATAGCCCATCTAGTCCTAGCCTTGAGTACGGCTATCGCTTGCGCAGTTGATGTCCCATGATTTCGATTTATGTGTGCTGCCCACTTTTCAGCTTATCTGCTTTTGTTGGCGTTCAATCCAGGGAAGCCCATACCTTCGTCCAAAATAATGCGTCTCCAGCAGTACGTAGATAGAGAGTCATCGATCTCGAACGCGCAGTAGTCCATCTTCTGTCGTACGACACGGTAGATGGTGTTTCAATTCCCATGCTTTACGCTTTCCAGAGATCATATGAATCTACTGCGTTCCGTTGCTGCTTCCCATATTGTTCAAAGGCAACACCAGGATTTGCATCGGAACAACTCAAAACTCAACATGAAATGGGCCACTCTCGCCGCGTGTACTGCAACATCGAAACCTGTCGATACAACCGCATAGGGTTCGACAAAAAGACCGCGCTTGACAAACACAGTCAGAATTTCCACGAGGTAAGCCGTTACTTCCCCGTTCCCCCCAAGATTCGACGAGTCGCCAAGGCGAAAGTATTTCGACTTCTACTTAGGACAAAAGATGATTCTCTCGAACACAGTCAGCCTCAATCTATCCAGGGTATCGCCGCTCAGGAAGGTCAACAACCCATTGAACGGCTACAAAAGACGCAGTATGAAGGTGCTTTCTCTCAGAGTCAGGGCGAAGAAGTTGTTTCGGCTAGCAACAACCAGCTTGATGCAGCCGTAAATATCCAAGAGATGAAGCATCAGCCTACGAACCTTGCCAACTATAGCCAATTCGTCAGGTATTATCACGTCCAGAAGCAGCAGGGCGAATTTCTTCAGGGATGGCAGAACTCTATTGCCCCAGAAGAACGTGGCCAGCTTACTTCTCAATTCTTTACTCAGTTCCGGCTGCTCAAGCCGGAGACACCAGAACAGCAAGCTGTGCGTATCGCGCTCAACTATGAGACCCAAGAGTTCATGCAAGCCTCGGCAAAGGATCCGTATGTCGCAGAAATAAAGCAGAAATTGATACAAATGACTGCTGTACGACAACAACAATTACAGCGCATGCAGAACAACAGGCTTATGAACAAAACGAATCCTGGGCAAATGAACCCTATGGGCCAGGCTTGGTCTCGAATTTCTCAACAGAGCATGCCACAATGGACTAGTTGTGGAAGGATTGAGAGTATTGATTGATTTGTAGAGCTAGGGCGAGGATCCATCGGGGCTATATAGTAGAAGGGAATAGCCGTGAACGGGTATGGAGGCAAACCCGAGCTAACCGAATGAGCTGGACAATCAGTGCAGCGGACCGTTAGCAAATACTGCAACGGACCGCTGGCAAACACTGCAATGGACTGCTGGCGAACACTAGTCCACAGCAAAGGGTAGCCATAAATGCCGCGACGATGCAACAACAGTCTGCGATGCGACAACTTCAGCGCCAGGCGCAAGCTCAAGCTCAAGTAGACTGGCAACCTCGCCATTGAATCAAATGGACACCATGGAACTGGGTATACCTCAAGGTTTTCAAGAGAACACACAGCAACAGTTCGACTTAGGCTTTCCTGACGCTCCACTCCAACGGCCCAATAAGATGTTCTCATCGGCCTTGAACGATGGCACATCCGACCTTAATCAAGATCGGTCAAATCAGCATCACGACTTGCAAAAACTGCAGCGAGACGAAGCGTTCATCAACCAGCTAGCCAAGAGGTTGTTGGATAGCTGCGGGCCTGACATTCGTGCAAAATTCCAATCAGAAGTCAACGTGTGGCCTGAGGAAACGAAAGTCAAACTGCTCTCGCAGGAATTGACCCTCTATACTATCGCTTCCGACAGCACGCCGAAAAGCTATACAGAAGTGGTAAAGTTCAGCTTCCAAAATGGCAAGATCCTCAACAGAGCACACCGCAAAGTATCAATCCCTTGGATAGGTTACACAACCAAAATGATCAACCTTGGAACCCCCCGTCAAGGGAACATTATGCAGTTCCATCTGGGTCACAGCAGAATCTCTATCAGGATCCTCAACAGAGCACACCACAAAAAATCGACCGCATAACTAGATTCCATCCAGATGATCAACCTTGGAATCCCCATCAACTGTACGCGGTTCAAGTTGCCTCACAACAGAATCGTCAGCGCCAGTCTCAAACACCGCAGAACATGATCTCCCAGGCTCAGGCAGCCCAAGCACAGGCACAGGCGCAAGCGCAAGCTCAGCAAGCTCGTGCTCATGAAATAGAGCAGGACTTCGGAACCTACCTTTCCTGACACTAATCGCCTGTCGCCAGATTCTCATGTCTTTCGATCACACGGTTGAGCGTCATCTTTTCCCTATATCGATTGCGGTCATGGCAAAAGGCGAAATCAATATCGAAGTTACTAGCTAGCGACCAGTAGCAAGACATGCATCACGACACCGCACAATATATAATCACTTCTTACTGGCAGTGATGGTTCTTCTCGTTCTGCAATATACCTTTTCAGTGCAATACTACTACCTGTAGTCCAGGTTTTGCCGACCTTGCCTGTAGCTCGACAATACTAGGTTAAGGGTCAGGAGCTTGCAATTGAATGGGTAGGGGTGCGATGATAATGTCATTGGTCTATCACGTTGGGCATAGAACATCTACCGAGCCAGTTCCCACCTCATGCAGCTCATCAATCCGACTGTGCATGACCGTTAGAACTCACACTCACACACACTCTCTCTCTCCAAATCCTACGCCTAAAATCCTGCTTGTCCGCCTCCAATCGGTTAATCAAGCGGTTCAATTTGCTGATCTGATCATGGTACGCACGGATTGTATCTTCGACCACCCGAAGTTGCTGCTGCAATCGATCGATCCGCCTTTCGCGCTCGTAATAATCACAACGACGGTTTCTCTGGTTGACTTCGTGAGGGTTTAGGGGGATGAATCTGCAACTGTAGCCGTCCGAGTCGGAGTCGCTGTCGTACAGGGGCATGATTGCTGGTTATGTTGAAGTCGTCGACTTGTTCTGGTTGATGCTGGATGGTGGTTGATGAGATGATGGTACTGAGTGGGATGAGGTGAGTACTTTATATTATGGTGATGCTCTGGAACGTGCCTAGGTTGATGCGTTGGACGTAAAGCTGGACGGATGCGTGTAGAATAGGCTGTGCTGTCTGTAACGTGTTGTACAGCACGATTGTGAGCACCGTCAGTGGATGTGATGTGTAGTTGGCAATGTGCTGTTCATCTTTTTTCACGATTGAAATGGACTTTAGCAGTCGTTGGCTTTGTCATGCTCACTTTGACGTATGCCGACACTAGGTAAAGACGACGGCTTTGTTTTCTATGCGCGGCTCACTGGTAGCAGCAGAAGGCACAGAGATTACAATTTATGAACAGAGGTAGTGCGATTTCTGTTCGTTCTTGTAACAATAGCGAAGACGATCAGGGCGAATTCTCACACGATGTGAGCTTGAGAAGTAGCCCATCATGGTAAAAAAAATTCAGAACAGGTCATGCATAGACAAGAATGCAACATGATGCACCTGATACTGTATTGAGCAAAAAGCATCTGTCGAGCTCACTGAAATCACCACATCCTTACAAGTTCGACGCTGTTCACGGGCTCCCTGGACGGAGGATATCCTCCACCTCCTCCTTGAGATCATTGATCTTCGTCTTCCAACCATCAGCCTTGTTCCTCGAAACACTAGGCCCTGGCGTGTTCAGCAGAGCTCTGGCCTTCTTCTCAAGCTTCTCAAAAAGCTTTACCATTTCATCCAAAAGTCTATTCTGCTCGTAATGAGCCTCGAGTTGATCCATTTGGTCGACTCCACGGAGGTCCATGGGAGGCGGTAAGCGGGGACGTATAAGGTTGCCAAGGAGGTCGTAGACTTCGTAAGTCCCATCGGGAAATGGGCGTCGATACATTTTTTGTGGATTTGCTGATGCTGTTGAGTTGTTTTGGTTGGTTGTAGCTGTGGTTGATGAGACGTTAGGCAAGTGGAAAAGAGGAGTATTTTACACCTCAACCGTACGCTGCCGTGAGGAACTGTTGCAGGTGGCGCTGTACTTCTGTACGTATGAATGGGTTGCGCTGTCAGAGTGGACTGTCGAACAACTCAAGGATGAGCGTCGTCAATGAGAAGCCGCATTGTAAGAACGCTGTCTCTTTCATTTTGTCGAGCCAATGGAAAATGGACAAATGCTGATGTGGAAGCGTTGCATTTGACGTATAACTAGATTCAGGTAAAGATGATACCACCATCTATGACGATGGTCTGCCCCGTCATATAGTCGCTGTCCTTACTCGCCAGGAAACTTACCGTGCTGCTCACATCCTCAGGTACACTTGTCCTGCCCAGCGCAATCAGCTCGTTTGTGTATTTCTTGATAGTATCTCCCTTCCGCGCCCCTGTCTTCTCGCCCAGCTTCTCGTCGATAAGATCCCACATTGCAGTGCCAACAATGCCAGGTGCGTATGTGTTGACTGTGATCTTGTGCTCGGCCATCTCCATGGCGAAGGCTTGCGTCATGCCTCGTACAGCCCATTTGGAAGCACTGTAGTGTGAGAGCAGGGCAAAAGGTTTGAAGGCAACGATAGATGCTGCGCCGAGGAGCTTGCCGCCGGAGCCTTGTGAGATCATCTGCTCTGCAGCGGTTTTGTAACAGTTAAACACACCGTAGACTGAAAGGATGGTCAACATGAAGTGATGTTCACGAGGCATCGAAACTTGCCATTAACCTCAAACATCCTCCTGAAGTCCTGTTCAGAGAGCTCCAATAGACCCTTCACCTGTGCGATACCCGCGTTCGCGACCATGGTGTTCAGAGGGCCTAGCTCCGAAGCAGACGCTTGCACCATGTCCTGCACCTCTTTCAGGTTCGACACGTCCGCTGTGAATGCGAAGGCCTTGCGGCCGAGACTTTCGATCTCCCTGGCGACTTCATCGCAGCCAGCCTTGTTCGCCGCAACGTCGTTGATACATATGTCGTAGCCGTCGTTTGCCAATCGCAGAGCAATGGCTTTGCCGCTGACAGTTGTCAGTCTGGTTGTTCAGGCTTGTTTGCCCACGTAGTGATCTCACATTCCACGTGATGATCCTGTCACAATCGCTGTCCTGCTCCCTCCTGCTGCTGGCGTTGCGTAGCTGCGCGCCCACTGTGGCACTTGGGTCGAAACACGGGACAGGCTCGCAATTTTGGGCGAAGCTTGCCAGATCGTCCTTGCTGGCAGACGGAAAGACATGAAGAGCGTATAGAGAAGACAGTGGGTTTGCAATGAGCGGGTTGGGTCTACACTGGGCCTGAACAAGTGGACAGGAAGAAAGAAAGGTACGAGAGGCAGCACCAGATCCATATGTACCACAGCCTAGAGCTAGGGACAGGTCCTTACCGGATAGGCAGAGCATGCGCCAACCCCTCTCACGTCTTCAAAGCGGCAGCATTCCATGAAGCTCAGCGGCTTGTCGGGCTAAGGTAGTCCGGGAGGTGACGTCCATGGAGAACGAGTCTGTGGCTAGACGTGTCACGCTCGTGTCACGCTCGTGTCGACTACTGCAGCAAAGCGGCACCGTTCCGCGGATCCCATGGCCAGAGCATCACACGATGTTGGTTTGCAGACCGGACGAAGCTGGCGGCGGGAACAAGAAGTGCGGAGAAGAGGGGAGGGTTGAGAGCTGCGGCGGGAGAGCGGAAGTGCCAAGACCCTTTCGCGAACGTGCAGCAGATGCGCATTGTAGCATCAACAACCCAACCAAACAACGTCACACACGCACACCTTATAGCAGCGGACAAGATGTCTCGCCAAAGCATGGCTCCGAATCGCAACCTGTCTCTTACAGAGGAATTGGAGAAGCTGGAGCAGTCCATCACCCTCACGCTCCAAGGTAAACAACCACGGGGATGCCCCACCATCGCGACTGACCAGCGCAGAAATCGACCACAACTTCAGCCGCGCGCATCGCATCGTTACCACAGGGATCCTTCCAATTGTCGAGCAGTATGGAAAGCACTCTGAGGCGGTCTGGGAAGGTGCAAAGGTGCGCGCCCATCGTTCACCATTCAAAACAAAATACTGACTCCTGCAGTTCTGGAAGCAGTTCTTCGAAGCCAGCGCAAACGTTTCGCTCTCCGGATACGAAGCCCCACAGGACGACTCGATCGCGCAGGACGACACACAACAAGAGGAAACATACGAGGATGAAGAGACTGTGATTGGAGGCGCAATTAGAGGAGGAGCTACCACGCCTCAGAGGCCAGCCTCGTCCCATGGCGAAGTGGAGGACACAATGACTCTCGACTCGCCGTCGATGGGCCACAGCACGCCTGGAATGCCGCAATCGCTCAGGAAGGGCAAGCATGGCGAGGGCGATGAGTTGGACGCCGAGGACGCCGAGGAGGACGCCGAGGAGGACGCCGAGGAGGACGCCGAGGAGGAGGAGGCACCACAATTCGCCGGACTCTCGTCGCCATATGAAACGCTGAGGCAGGAGCTCGAAGGCGGACCGCCAGGTTCTCGTGCACCGAAGTTCGATCCTGTGACCCCTGGAAAGTCGCAAGCTCTTCCAGACATGATGGGCTTCGACTCCTCACCTTTCGTCCAGCCCACAACCTCGAAGAAGCCGCACTTCAACCAGGACCCACTCATGCACCGTGTCCTGGACAAGACGTTCCGTGTGCAGGCTACACCTCTCATTAGCCCGAGGAAGTACAAGCCGACTGGTGCTTTCACTCCGGGCACTGCGCATCGTGCGGCGCCCACCCCCCGAGGAGCTGCAGCCAATCCAAGGCTGCCCAAATGGGACGACTCTTCCCCTCCCTCCTCGCCGGCACCTCAGCTGCGTGCAGATATCTTCTCGCCGATGAAGACGCCTCGTACGCCTGGTGTGAGCGTACAAACGCCTGCCAAGGGCAAAACGCCTACGAGCATGGGGAAAGACCAGGACTATGTCGACTACAGCGATGATGATGAGCTCGACATCAGTCCACCAAAGACAATTCAGTTCCACATCCCACAGACGAAACTGTTGCAGACACCTGGTACGTACCACATAGTCACATTCAATAATCTTACCAACATCTTCACAGCTCGAGAAGCCAGCAGGCGCATCGTTGATGACCTGCTGATGACTGCCGGAGGTGATTTTACTGACACGACAAGTGGGATGGAGGATGATAGTCCAAGTGTTGTCAGACGTCAAGTTGATCTGGACGATAGCTTTTGAGTGAGGAAAGCGTTGCGCAGGCTGCTCCTTCTGTTGTTTAGACCCACGATACCCAGAATGTCAGAATTTTGTCCATTCACACACGATTAATCTCGAAAAGGCAGACTGTAGACAAGTCTCTCGTATCACGTACAAGTCTGGAGACGTTCGATGGCCTAGGCGAACAGCTGGCATGTGACAACCGGCGACTTCTAGATAGCCGACGCTAGGCGGGAACCATTGGCTGGGAACATGCGTCAGCTCCATCGTCATTCCCCAGTAATTCTAGCTCCATCAATGCTTCTTTCGAAGAGCCAGATGTCCTTCTCTTCACAAACACACACACATTCGTTTCCTCACCATGCCCAAGGACAAACGGCCGCCGACGTCAGGGTACGCTCGAATAGCGCAGGCCGAGGAGGAAGAGGACTCCGACGCCGCATCTGAGGATGGCTTCCACCAGAACTCCCTATCGAACGAGCAATATGCTCCTATCCAGCCTTCACGAAGCTCGCACATGCGCATGCCGGGTGATTCAGCTCCAGGATCACCCAGCGCACGTCGAACATCTACCAGCCGCCGACATCGGTCGAATTCAGGCGTCGACATCAAAGCCATAAACGCGCGATTCGAGCGTTGGGCAGACGAGATTGCGCAGAAGTTCAAGTTCAAGAAGCAGAAGGAGGACCCAGACGACGAACAGCTCGAGATACACCATTCTGTCTTCCAAGCACCAGACGGTGTGCGACCAGCAACGGCAGAGTCGCTACAGTTCGACTACGATGGAGCTGGCCCACCAGAACGCATGACAAAGCTGCAGTTTGACGACATCGTGGAGAGCGTTCGAACAGCCATCGAGCTTGGCGTCCACCCAAAGCTCATCACACAGGGCAGCTCAGGCAGCTACTTTGCACGTAACACACAGGGCAAGGTTGTGGGCGTCTTCAAACCGAAGGACGAAGAGCCATATGCGTCGCGAAATCCCAAGTGGACAAAGTGGATACATCGCAATTTGTTCCCCTTCTTCTTCGGACGCGCCTGCCTCATCCCAAACTTGAGCTACATCTCCGAAGCCGCCGCATACGTCCTCGATACCCAACTGCGAACGAACATCGTGCCTTACACGGATATTGTCAATCTCTCTTCCAAGTCCTTCTACTACGATTTCTGGGAAAGGCGGGCATTCTACAGGAAGAGAAACCCCTTTCCAGAGAAGCCTGGTAGTTTCCAGGTCTTCTTGAAGGGCTTCAAGGATGCAAACGTCTTCCTGAAGGAGAACCCTTGGCCAGACCAGCATACCTCGAGCTTGAACGCGGCTTCTCGTAAGAAGAGAAGAAGGTGGGCGGAAGACTGCAGACCGAGTGGCCCATTGTCTGACAACGAAGACGATGAGGAGCGACCAGGCACGCCTGATCCACAGCGGCGACGAGGCTTCTGGGCACCTGCATTACAACAGTCGTTCAGGGAGCAGTTGGAGAAGCTGGTCATTCTCGACTACATCATGCGCAACACGGATAGAGGGTTGGACAACTGGATGATCAAGATCGACCAGAAGACACAAGAAGCCACGATAATTGCTGAGCCGCCGAAGTTGAACAACGAAGTAGACGGGGAGGACGCACCGAGCCAGTACACACGGCAGTCGATGTCAGAGCTGGACCCTTACGGACGCAGGGAGCCAATGAGGGCATCGAGTCGCTCCAATACACCTATGCAGAATGGACCTACGCCGGAAATCACGCTTGGTGCTATCGACAACAGCTTGTCGTGGCCATGGAAGCACCCCGATGCTGTGAGTAGCCCCGCACAATCTCGTTAAAGCGATTGCTGACCTTGCGATAGTGGCGCAGCTATCCTTTCGGCTGGCTCTTTCTGCCCGTCTCCCTCATCGGCCAGCCCTTCTCCGAAGCCACTCGAAAGCACTTCCTTCCGCTTCTCACGTCGAAACAATGGTGGAGTGACACACAGACGGCGCTGAGGAAGTGCTTCTCCCAAGATGCAGACTTCAAGGAGCGCATGTACGCAAAGCAGATTGCAGTCATGAAGGGACAAGCATGGAACGTGGTGGAGACACTCAAGACGCCCGACCACGGCCCACTAGAGCTGACAAGACGGGCACGTGTGTGCGTCTGGGATGACATCGTTGAGATACCCATCGCAGTACCTCTGCGTGCACCTTCAGCTGGGATGCGGCGCAAGCAACAGCCCAGTCGGCAGCAAAGGCTAGATGAAGAGCATGAAGAAATGGACATTACAGCGCTCCAGACCCCACCACAGAAACCACAACCTGACCTTCTCATGAACTCCCCACCTCTCGACTCAGCACATGAGAATCGCTTCAATCTCACTCGCGATTCCTCGTCCTTCGATGCTCGGCGCGCTGCCAACACGAATGGCCCCATGTCTCCCGCAACGGTCAACGACGTGCCCTGGCCAAGTCGAAAGATGCCAGAGTCTAACGGCAGACCAGCCCACCGCTCGCGTATGAGCCACGACATGCCCCGGCGCGACAGCAGCAGGCGACAGCGGCGATTCTCTCTCAACCTACGTAGAGACGATTATGACGAAGACGAAGGCGATCTGGGCTACGCAGCGAACGAGGACATGGAGGGCAACCGCAAGAAGGTCATCGTGGAGAGGCTTGAAATGGTCAAGGGCAGGAACCCAGTCTTCACGTGGTGTTAATGAGTATTGTAGCAATGATACCGGATATGGACGTGCGAAAAGGGAGGCATTTTGCATAGCGGGCGTTGGATTGGGCGTTTTGCATGATGGCGTTGGCTGGATGCAACCTTGTAGCAACATCATACATTGTCGTAGTAACATAGACTTCGAGGCGGCGCACAGCTGCTCTGTCGAAAAGTTTCATGATATCCATTTTCCTCTGCGCCAGATGCAATCCTGTGGCGAAATCTCCTATCCAGCTGGGGTTCAGAGTGGAGACGCGTGAGCGATTTGCTGGGTTGTGGTGGTTGCAAAGCTTCGGGAAGGTGCAAAAGATGAGACATCATATGATCTCTTTGGTAGGCAGCGAATCGCGTGGGCCCGTGTGGCTAGTGCCATCTTCAACAGAACGTGAAAGTCGACCACGTCCAAGAATCTTATCACTGCTTGCTGCAAAGCGCGCATTCTCGCCAGAATGCATTTGTGAACAGCGCGCTTTCTGATACCCCCTTTTCCGGATCGCGATATGAGTCCCAAGAGCACACTACCGGATCCTCTACCTTCACTTGCACGGCCCCCAGATCTGAGTGGCGCGTGACCTTGTACCTCAACCGCGTCGACGCCAAAGATCAACGCACAACAATCGACCTTGCTGGCTTCAGAACAGTTTGCCCTATTCAACAAGGGCCTCTTTGGTCGATCCGGAACCTCTATGAAAGAAAAAATATCGCAGCGACGAGCCCACAACTTCTTGACATTCTGATGCTAGATGCGCTGTGCCAGCGAGCATCAAAGCATTGCAGAAAGAGCTGGGATCTAGCCAGCTGGATTGGCTGAAGCCTGCGGGCGCGCTCTCACCTGTAACAACACCTCTGTTTGCATCTGTACACTATGAATCCGGCTCTATTACTTGACCCCCGTGGGGCGCGCAAGAAAGGTACCCTTTTCCTTTTCTCCTACCCTCTCTCATCCTTTTACACTCCTCACTCTGATCACCAGCCTTCATGGATGTCGACGCAGTCGACCTCGATATGGGCGATGACTCGCTGTATGGCGCGAATTCACCTACATATTCACTCGCCGTGCAGCAGTGGATAGACGAGTCACATGATCCCGCCAACAACCACTTCACTCAAGCAACACCCTACGGCCTATTACCTGGCACTGCTTTTCCTGACACCGCGCTAACGCTACTTTCTCCAGCTGAACAAGCCGCGCAGCAGAACCAGACACCACCGGCAACCCCTCGCTTTGACCCTGCAGTGCTCCTCAACCCAAAGTCAGCACCGAAGCGACCAGCATCCTCGTCAGAAGGAAGCGAGCGCAGCCGCGCCGTCCCCAACAGTGCCGGTCAAGTATCGCTTGTAGAGCGCCTGCACAACGTTCAAGAGCGCGCCGCGTCTCCAGCAAAGCGTGTCAAGACGGCCGAAGAGCAGCAGCGCAAGAAGAAGTCTTCGAACGGTGCTCATTTCGGTGGCGGCAGTGCTCTTGACTTAAACAAGAACGGGAACACTCCTGTACCTCCACCCGCCCAGGTCGACCTCACGATGAGTGCGTACTTCACTTTTCTTGCGCTTAAAGCATGCTGACCCTTCTCAGGCGATGATGACGAAGTTGAGGTTGTCCAGGACAACATGTCCCAAATGATCTGCATTGGCAAGGTCGAGCAGGCATACATTATGATGCATACTGTGCCATTTCCCGATACGAAGAAGTACATCGGCAACCACGGCGCGCTGGGCAGAATCAAAGTGGCCTTTCGGAGAGCCGGTCAACGATCCGACATCGCAATTCTCGTCACAGACGCTGCGGGCAAGGAGTTTGGCAAGGTCGATGGCAAGACTGCGCAAGCCATCGTTCCGCTCATAGATGGTGCTAAGAGTAATGGCATGATGTGGATGGCTTGGACTGACCCACGCAAGCGATCGGGAGGTGAACCCACTACACCCGGAACCCAACACCATACGCTCATATCGATGACTCTGCAGTTGTACTGTCCGCGCAAGAACGCTCACGGCATCAGCAAGTACCTAAAGAACAAGAACGCAAAGTTGACGAGGCCGCAATGGGAGCTTGATAGGTACGACTACTTCAACCCACAAACGCAGGAAGCCGCTACGAGAGTCCAACTGCAGCATCCGACTCTTGATGCCCACACAAACATGCGTGCAGGCCATGCTTCGGCCATGTCAATGGCCAACTACGTTCTGCGTAGCGTCGACGAAATTCGCGACGACGTTCAGAACGTGTTCGACTCTGTTGTTGGCAGTTCAGAAGAAGTACCCATACGCGAACCGTCTTCACACATCAAGACCGAGCTCTACCCTCACCAGAAGCAGGCCCTACACTTCATGTGGAACAGGGAGCAAGAACTTACTGGCGAAGAGGGTGACAGATCTGATCCGCTTTGGAAGCCACGTTATCTCGACAACGGCCGTAAGAAGTTCATCCATGTCATCACCGGTCTGGAACAGGAAGAGAAGCCCAAGCCTTGTCGAGGTGGCATTCTCGCAGATGAAATGGGTCTGGGCAAGACACTCAGTGTCCTCTCTCTTGTTGCTGACAATTCTTCCATCAAGGATTCTCGAGAGTTTGCGACAAAGAAGCCTCCGCGGAACCAGGACAACAACGCATCAGCCATTCAACCAGTCATCAACAGTCGAGCCACTCTTCTTGTCTGCCCTCTTAGCACAATGACAAACTGGAAAGAGCAGATCAAGGACCACTTCCCTGCCGGCAGCGCACTCAAGTGGACGCGCTATCATGGCAGCGAGCGATTCGACGTGAGACCGAATGAGTTGGCAGACAACGACATCGTCGTCACCACCTATCACATCATCGCCAAAGACATGCTTGACAGGAAGCGTGCACTACCTTACATCAACTGGTTTCGCATCGTATTAGATGAAGCCCACACCATTCGCAACCCTACGGCGCAGTCGAAGGCTACAATCGCGCTCCCAGGACAGCGGCGATGGGCAGTCACCGGAACCCCTGTTCAGAACCGTCTTGAGGTAAGTTTCACATTCTGGGATAGTGCGGGCGCACACTGACCTTGTATGCAGGATCTTGGTGCGCTGTTCAATTTCATCAAGCTGAATCCCTTCGACTCAACTTATGGCTTCAACCTCTACATTCTCAGCCCGTTCAAGGCCGCCGATCCAGAAGTCATTCCCAAGCTACAGCTTTTAGTCAGCACAGTCACCATCCGCCGGACAAAGGAAATCATCAAGAACGAAGTGCCGGGACGCAAGGACATGATTGTCAGGCTGAAGTTCTCCAAGGCCGAGCAGCAGCTTCACGACTGGTTCGAGAAGGATACACAGCGCAAGGTTAATGCCGTCACAACAGGCGACAAGATGGGAGGCCACTCATACGCACGCATTCTGACGGCTATTCTCAACCTTCGACTCATCTGCGCTCACGGTCGTGACCTGCTGAGCGAAGAGGCATTGAAGACAACAGATGGCATGTCGTCCGATCAGCCTATGGAGATTGGCGACGAGGAAGAAGAGCTGCCATCTCTTACACGACAACAGGCTTACGAGATGCTCGACATGCTCGGACAGACTAGCGCGGATCTGTGCGCCTACTGTCACAAATCTGTCTTCAACGACGTCGACACAGATGATGAGGACGAGGACGGCGACCCCCCTAACCTGATCGGCCACATGACGTCGTGTTATCACGTTGTCTGCCCGAAGCACACGAAGAAGCTGAGAACAGACTTCACCAACAACAGGAGCGAGGATGGCATGGTTAGGTGCCACTTCTGTGAGGACAGGGTCAAGCCCTCCTTGTTTGAATTAAATCGCAACGACTACCAAGATTTCTGCGACGAGCGCGACAAGATGCGCAAGGACCCCAAGCTCTCCAAGAAGATCAACAGTTACGCGGGCCCGCACACAAAGACCCAGGCTTTGCTCAACGACCTAGCGGAGTTCCACGCGTGGAGTCACGATCATCCTGACGAGCGCCCGATCAAGAGGTAAGTGCATAGTTTCAAAATCATAAAATCAGGTTCGCTAACGATACTCACAGCGTCGTATTCTCCAGCTGGACAACCCACCTCGACCTCATCGAAATCGCTCTCAAAAACCACTCGCACACCTACGTCCGCCTCGACGGCCGCATGTCCCGCGACGCGCGCGACAAATCCATGCGCGTCTTCCGTGAAGACCCGTGCATCCGCGTCATGCTCGTCTCGATCGGCGCCGGCGGCTTGGGCCTCAATCTGACCACCGCCAACAAAGTCTTCATGATGGAGCCCCAGTTCAATCCTGCTGCTGAAGCGCAGGCTGTGGATCGCGTGCACCGCTTGGGCCAGGACAGGGAGGTTACGATTAAGAGGTTCATTATGGAGAAGAGCTTTGAGGAAAAGATGTTGGTTCTGCAGGGCAAGAAGAAGGCGCTTGCGGACCTGACGATGGCGAGGGGGAAGAGGAGTAAGGGGGAGGATTCGAAGAGAAGGCTGGAGGAGTTGAGGAGTTTGTTCAGATGAGCGAGCGCATGACGTTGGTTGGCATGGTCGTCTGTCGAAGTCACACAGGGCGAAGATATACACGAGCATCTTGGATCATCTTGGAAGGGAATCATCTACTTGGAAGCAGAGATGTCGGCGCAGCCATATCTCTTGTGGCACTCGGCGACTGCTCTCCTGGCGTACTTAGAGTGCTCGTTTTCGGCAATTTTTAGCATTCATAGACTCGATCGTGGAGAGTCAGCATTGCCGTGCACGACATACAGGGCAAATTCATCCATAACGCTAGGATCTTACAAGCTGTACTGCTCCTGAATGCCTTCGCTGACTCTTGTGTATGCTTGCACTTGAAACCGCATGTCTACTGGTCAAACTTGGAACAATTGAGGTTGTTGCTTTTTACTTCTTCTGTCGTTCAGCTGAAAGAGACATGTGATGACACTTCAGCGTAGCCTAGCGGACTGGTCTCCGGCCACGATACTTGGCGCGCGTGGCTGACGAATATTCGAATCCTGCGGCTGTAGCTCCATGACTTGGTCATAGGGAGCGCTAAGAGAATGTGGAGAAGATGGAGATATAAAAGTTTAGCTTAGCCCTAGCCAGACATGCAGTTGCAGTTCCGGACGAGTTGAGTCTGCTCTTCGCGAGGCAGATGGATGGGTTCGACCGCGCCATCGTTGAATATGCCCAGTCGACTGCCAGACTAGCATCGGTTTCACTTGCTTTGCCGCATCGCCCACCCAGCCAGCAGCAAGTCTACTATCAACAAGCACGCTGCCACATCTCGGTGCTTTGCAAAAGTATTGGGTCCCCCTCCTTTGTGAAAGAACTATACCCATATAGGCAGCTATAAGAAGAGGAGGGGGCGCATACGTGATGTGGGTATCTAATTAATCGCCTTGTCAAGCTGAGTATGCTGGTGATGCTTGTAGATGGATGCACGTTAAGGAACAGCCAAAATTGAGAAGAAGAATAATGGTGGAGAGGTAAGAGATTAGACAGAACAGTGACGTTGACCCGACCTCTGCTACGTCTGTGGCTTCCGAGTGGTAGTGAAGGTCTGGTTCAGGGTCTAGCAAGTGGAGAAGCCCACATATATATCCTCCGATCAAGCCCCTAACCCCCCCCCCTACTTCGACTTCTTGGTACGCTCTTCTTGAGCGACCAAACAAAGGGGGGCCCTAGACTTTTGCAAAGCATAATAAAACATCCCAAATCAACTTCATCAACCGTACATCGCTACATCCACTTCCCAAATCTACTGCATGTCAGACCCGTCAAGTTGTTGAGTGCACTACAAGCACCGCGTTCCTCCGACACGATATTCAACAGGGATACGGACGACACTCAATTTGATGCAAGTCTCGCACGATATGCGACGAAGCGTCAATGTCGTTGGAGTTGCACACGCCACGTGTGGCGCCGGACGAGCGGATGGGCGTGAGGTGTGGCTGCGGGTAAGGAAGTAAAGCCGGTGGGTCTGTATATTTCCGCAGCCTCGCGACACCATGGCTCGCAAAACATTCAACCTTCAGGAAACGTCGCGATTGCGAGAACGTACAGGTAACATGGCTACGAACAAACGTGCGGTTATACTGGTTCAAAAAAAAAACATGCATGAAAGAGCGGGACGAACGTTGGACCAAAACGAGCATCAACAATCGACGGCAAGTGCCAAGCGAAGACGAGCTTGGCGATGAGCGCCACAAGGCTCAAAATGGGCGCAACAAGACAAGGCTGAGACGGCTAGGCAATTGGGAACGAGATGCGAACTGGTGTCGTTAAGAGAGAAGGCGATACAGAAACTCGGCAGCCACTGGCGAGCACTGGCGAGCGACATGCGAAGTCGAATGCAAACACGGACGGAGACTCGAGTACCTTCCACGCTTGGTGGCTAATGGCACACATTGGTGCTGCAGAGAGTGCGGTAATGAGGTACGTTGATCTTTTCCTGTAGCACTTGGAAAGGTACTCGGGGACGAAGACGTGGACAGAGTTTGAAGTGTAAATGAGTATTTGCTAACAATCATATCTCAGAGAACTATGCGCATGCAAATTGCTCGTCGAGCCCCAGGCTGGGAACAAGACATGATATCGAACTATTCCGGTCACCGAGAAACGAAACCCTCAACACGCACACTTAAGTGGTGTAGATGAAGTCAGGGCGGTTGTCGCCCATGATCTCAATCTCTGCCTCAGTCTTATTGTACATCCAGTGGTCACGCTTGCCCTCCTTGCGCAGCCTGTTCTCGCGCTTGAGCATGAAGTGCATGAAGACTGTTCCACCGAAGAGGAACAAGAACATGTAGGCAAGGACAATACCGTGGCCGGTCCAGTACCTGGGCTTCTCCTTCTGGGAGTAGATGTTGGAGGACACAACACCGTTCATGTTACCCCAGCCGACGACGACACCGACCATGACACCGCGCTTCAGCGAGCCTTCGACGTTGTTGGATGCCCAAGTGAGCGTGTTGGAGACGGTGGGATAGATGCCGGCGGCGCCAAGGAAGGTACCCGCGTACTGGACGTGCACGTTGTCAGTGGCAAGGAGCATGGCGAAACCGATGCAACCGATGAGCGAGATGACCATGTTGCAGTAGCCACGCCACTTCGTGCGGTCGGCGATAAAACCAATGATGACGGTCATGGCGGCAGCAACGGCGTAGGGAGGAACAGACATGAGCTGGGCCTTGGTGCCGGTGTAGCCCATCCCGAGGAGAATGGTGGGGAGGAAGAGCGAGAAGCAGTACAGAGGGCAGAGGCAGCCCATGTAGATGACGGCGTAGCCCCAGGTCTTCCAGTCCTTGAGCGCGGCGTAGACGTGACGGCGGTCGATGTGGCCAACGGTGGCACGGGACTGGCCGTCAGCGCGGAGACGACGGAGAGCACGGAGTTTTTCGTCAGGGCTGAGGAAAGAGGCGGTGTCGGGGAAGTTGAAGGTCATCCACCAGCAGACGACACCGACGCCGACGGTCATGAGACCCTCGATGATGAAGATCCAGCGCCATCCCTCGTAGCCACTGATACCGTCCATCTCGGTGATGGCAGCGGCGAGGAGACCACCGAAGGAACCAGCAAGAGCAGCAGCGGAGAAGAACAGGGCGGCACGGAGACCGAGCTCCTGGCGCTTGTACCAGCAAGAGAGGTAGTAGTTAACACCAGGGAAAAGACCAGCCTCAGCGATACCAAGGAACCAACGGCAGGCAAGGAGACCGGCCTTATTGTGAACGACACCCATGAGGGTCATGATGATACCCCAGGCGAGGATGATGGCGGTGAAGAAGACGCGGGGAGACCACCTCTTTATCAGGATGTTGGTCAGGGGCTCGAAACCAGCATAGGAGATGAAGAAAATGGTAAGGGCGTTGTTGTAGTCGCGGCCACCCATGTGCAGGTCAGGCTCCATTTTCGCAACACGGGCATTACCAATGTTTGTGCGGTCCAAGAAGCTGAAGAGATAAGCAAGAATCGAGATATTAATGTAAGGCGAACTTACGACAAGAGGTAGAGGAGGGAGAGCCATGGGATCAGCCATCGGTCCATCTTCCACACAAGAGCCTTGTCCTAGGTGGAGTCAGTAGGAGGCAAACAAAGAGAGGTCGAGAAAGGAAAGAACGTACAAGCTTGGCTCGCTCCTCGCCGCTCTTGCCAGCATCTGGGTCAGGGAGGTCATCGTACTCGCCGACGCCGTTGGAGCTGGCATCAGAAGCGTCATTGAAGATGGCCGGCGACTTCTCGTTGTCAGAGCGGAGGGTAGGGTCAGTGACCTCAAGGCCTGTGGTGGCGTTCTTCTCAGCGACCATGATGCCTGATGGTGTTGGAGAGAAACAGGAGTCCTGCGGTGCAGTCAGAGACACCTCGTCGGGGGGGCGCCCGGGGTCTCTATATGTACTCGCAGTGCTCACCTACCGTGTCGAAAAGGTGTAGGCCCAGTACTATGGACAAGGGTAGTGCAGTGCTAGTGTCTCACTGGTCCCGGGTCCCCATGGGGGCGGTTGGACAAGAGAGCGGCGTAGGCGGATCCTGCTTGGGCCGTTTACACAGTGCGTCCGAGCGTGGCGGAGTGAGATTGCAGAGGAAAGGACACTGGGCTATTGGATGTCGCAGCGTACAGTTCCACAAAGGCACTGCACTTGTCAAGGCTGTCGCACGCGCCGTCTACACCGGGAGGCACTGGACACAGTGAGACATTGTAGCCTCGCGCCCAGCAACCCTACACTGATCGCGATCTAGCAGCTGGTAGAGGTTCTATCTCAACCGCCAGTCCTTCACCCAGGAGCGCGTACCGGTACCTCAACGATTGATTACCAACTCCAGGTGCATTGTCAATTATGCCAGATATCGCCCTTGGGCAGTCGCCACCCCGCCAACGACCGGGCCAAGAGCATGCTTCTGGCAAGTGTTGGGTGAAAGCGGTTCTCGAACCCCCGGGACAGCGTTTTGGTCGAGACTGGGCGCCCTTTACGCGGCCAGCAATCTCTCGCAAAAAAAGCCACCCAAGACCTTGGCACAACGACCACCTAGGCCAAAATAACCAAAACAGCACGCAGATACAGATGAGGCCTACGGACAGGCGAGAGTGCATCTTCAGCCGGCAGGGGATCGAAGCTTTGCCAGGGCGCCTCTGACTGTCTCACGAAACGCCCGCTTTTGTGCGACATGTGCCAATTTTGCATCCTGGATTTTTCACGATGGATGTTGCTGATAGCCGCAGATCTCTCCAACGTCTTCCTCCCCGCGTTTCGAGTGCGGAGCGCAGATTCCCTCTTAGCTTGGCCCACAGTGGGGCCTGGTCACTCAGTAGTACTCCCCCGCATTCGGAGCCCCCGCCGTGAAGGAGCACGCACAATTTCTCCAGACAGCAATACCTTGGGCATCTGGAGTGCACAGTAATCAACAGCCTGGCCTTTTTCCTAGCATCAGCCTGCTCCGCTACCGGGATCCTAACATAGCGCTGCATGACCGCACAATCGGTCATGGTCCGCGGCAGGAGCTCACACACAAAGCCACCGCTGACGGGGGCCCAGTGCACCCAAGGCGAGCAGCAACATCGGGTAAAAGGAGTATTATCCGCTGCGATTCGCTCGCAAATCGGCCATGGCGCCTATGCCAGCGGGACAAAGGAAACGCTGATCCGCGGCTTCTCAAACATGTCGCCTGTCTGATTTGGGATACCTGCAATTATCCACCACTGCACGCATCGTTACACTGCCAATGCGTATTGTCTGCATGTACCCTGGGGTACCTACTTGATACAATAATCACTACAGCGATTACATGCACGCGTTTAGCATGGGACAGCAGCTGTTGGTACGCTATCAGTGCGGCCGCAATCAGTGCAAGACGAGGCCTCGCGAAACCTGGGTTGTGGGTTCGTCGTTGCACCAGTCACCACCGATTGCGCATCCTTCACCATGCTTACCTGCACTTGCGTGCTTGCTTGCCTCGTCGTTCGGTTTGTCATTATCGCGCTGCCCCGAACCTCCCAGACTAAATTAACTACCGATTCCAAGCCCTCCTCCACGCCCAAGACACGCCGCACCCCCCGGTCCAGCGTCCAAGGCGCCGATTAGTGCAGTGCATCTGCAGTGCACCAGCCGATCCGCCATGTGCCGGTGGCATGGCGAAGGTGCCTTGTCGCGTGGTGAAGCGATTATCGATGCACGCAATCGTGACAGTCTCATTGTCATCTCTGGGCACCGCTGAGTGATCAGCGAACGTTGTGTCGAGTCCAGGTGTCTGGAACTGTAGTCGCCGTTGAGAAATCTAAAATCTACAATCTATCGATTTAGACATAATAGCCTGATTACAAGCAACGTGCTCCGGATGCATCTGGGGTAAGTCTGGTAGAGAGCATGCAGGCGATATGAGACAAGGTAAGGGAAATTGTTGGAAATTGAGCTTTGAAGTTTGTTTACTTCTACCGCTGCATTGTCTGTTGTGCGCGCTTATGGAGCACAGGGCAGCCCTGGCTTGTCAGAGGTGGCATTATTGTCTATGCAGTATGCTACCCCAGCTTCTGTCTTGTTCCGAGATGACTAAACCCGACACAAAGGTCCATCCGTGTGCATTGTCTCTGGGTTAAAAGGGTCTGACTGTGCCGCAATCTTGCGAGGTTGTGTGGTTGCTGTGGGAGAACACGAAGGATGCCGTTGAGGACGTGTTCGATGCAGGGGCATGCACATGCGGACGTGCTTTGCTTTTAGCATGTGGAAAGGCGTCCATCAATATTCGTGGATTTGGATGTTTCTTTCGTCAATGCGTGTTGTTATTATTATATGCTGCTGTTGAACAGTGGCGTATGCTGTATTTCCAGTGCGCCTTCTAGCCCTACACCACCTATACACAAACATCCATTCTGGCGACACTTGGGTCGTGGTCGGAGACTTGCTCGTCGTACGAAACCCACGTGGTGAGGTGGACATGCTCGTACTTGGCCTTGCTGATCAGGCTGGGTGAGACGAACATGTGGTCGAGCTGCTGAGCGTTCATGTCGAAGAGGTACGTGTAGCGCTCCAACTTGTCAATGCCAGCTACGGCATCCATGTCCTTCAGTCCAGAGATCTGGACGTACTGCTTCAGTGGCTCAACGAAGGTAAATTCGTTGAAGTCGCCAGCTGTAATGATGCGGGCGTTCTTGTCCTTGCTAAGGATTTCCTGCGGAAGTTGTTAGCCGCTGCATCGTTTCTTTCGTCTGGTCGCTTAAGAATGGTCCTTTCGTGCGGATGGTGGCGTTGTGTACGACCGCGGCTGAAACGAACTGCATCAAGCAACCTGCAGCCTCCCCGCAAAGTACGGGCTTGGAATGCCTTGGGGTATTCTGGAACTCACCTTGACGAAGTTTGCGGTCAGCGTAGCCTGTTCCAACCTGTCATCGACGCCTCCGTTCACAGGAGGGCGTGCATCGCCCATGATGCTGCTGCTTCCTCCCTTCGATCCGAAGTGAACATTGATGGTAAAGAAATTACCGGAGCTCTTGCCCTTCTTACCAATGACTTCCCACTGCGCAACAAGAGGCTTACGACTCGCTGTCCATGCTTCGCTCGCCGGCTCAATACGACCTGGGTTGAAGCTAAGAGCAGGACCTTTGACGACCTCGGTCTTGTCGAGAGAACCACCTGGGTTGGGCTTGTAGAGGCGAACAAGCGAAGGCTTGTACAGATAAGCGACTCGGATGTTACCACCAGGCGCACCCCCGTCTTGGTCGTCAACCGGCGCAATATCGATGAAGGTGTAATTCGGACCTCCGGCGGCGCTAATAGCCTTGGTGAGAGTACTCAAGGTAAGATTTGCGGATACGACTAAACAAGTGTTAGTATGGGGGTCAAGGTGGACATAGAGGTACTGCCGGCCGCGCATTGCGGTGGAAAGGACTCGGCATCGGTTGTTGAGACTCACCTGCATCGTTCGTAACGCCGTTATCGTCCTGCACTTCCTGGATGAAGACCACATCCGGGCTCTTCAGGTAATCGACAATCTGCTCGGCGACGTGAGAAAGGTGGGAGGAAGTTGGCGCCAAGTTCTCAACATTGTATGCGCCGAAGGTGATACCACCGCAGTCGTTCTTGGACTCGAGTTTTGTGGGCTTGGGCGTCAAGGGCTTCTTCGAATCAGTCACCTTCAGAGCAGTAGAAGGCAAGATACGGTAGAAACCGAACGCGTAGGTGACCACACCGGTGATCTCCCCGAGACTGTCGCCCATACGAGTCTCGGTAGGGTTCTTGGTACCATCGAGCGGTGAACCGACGATGATAGCTTCTGGGTTGGCATCCTTATCGGTCGTGGTCAGACCGTCACGATCGTTGGTTCCAGTAACCTTCCAGCTTCCAGCAACCCAGGTGTCGCCATACTGGTTGGGCTTTGTGAGCGCCCTCGCCTTCTTGACGGTAACCAGCTCGCCCGTCAAGCTCTCCCAGAAGTCGAGTCCGTACTTCTTCGGCTCGAGTGTTGGGTTCGCAACGCTGATTTGCGACTTGTTGTTCGGCACAGCGAAGACGTCCCCACCGTCCAAGCTGCTGTACTGCTCTGTGGGCGGGTTGCCAGTGTCTTTGCCAATGACCAAAGGTGTCACTTTGTTGCCCTTGCTGACAACCTTTTCCAGGACCGGGTTTGAGATCTCCGTCAGATAGATGTAGTCCTTGTTGCTGCGGTATTCGAGCACCTTGCCACCGATGGTAATGGCATCGCCAACAGTCAAGTTGGCGCCGAACGTACGCCCAAAGACGTAGACCGAGTCCGAAGTGCGCTCGTCACGATCAGGCGTTGTCGAACGAATCCAGAGACCATCAGGACCCTTCGCAGTGATGACACCGGTCACATTCGACACAGTCTGATCCTTGAAGGGCGACAGGTACTTGTTGCCGTTGATCTCAGCAACGGTGGTCGCAGAAGAGACGGCAAGAGAAGCCGCAAGGGCGATCAGGCGCGTGATAGGAGCCATTGTGTTGATACGCTTCATCCACGGACGCAGTTGATCTACAGCGAGCTGCCCTTGCTTTTATACGAGTCTCTCTCCGCGGTCATCATCCATGTGCCACAGCTAAGTTCCTGCCCAGGAGCCAGGGTTGCTGCGAGCATCACCATGTGAGTCCGCACGCTTGACTTGTTCCTGGCATCTGCACCGCGCACCTAGCTCATTGCCTATGATAGCAGGAGAAGATCAATCATCGGAGTCGCGCGAAGCTGTCCCTTGCTTGGCGTCTAGGCGCGCGACGACGCGTGCAATGTCTGATAGGCCAGGAGATACCGAGGAACCCGCCCAATACAGAAGGTGGGCAGTAGCGGAGATTGAATTGAATGGGGCGGCGACTGCCGCTCAGGTGGCTGATGGATGTTTCCTATCATCCATAGATATGGTCGAGATAAAACACGTGGAGTTGATATGGAGGCCTTGCAAATACGATATTCAGGGGAAAGTTGATGCAGGTTGCTGTTGTGGCGGAAGCCACGAACGTCCCACCAATAACAACGGCGCACGTGTAACCGTCGTGCACTTGGGTTTGTGTGGATCCCATCGCGTGAGCTCATTGTCGTTTACAGCTCGGAAGCACGATTTGGGCGCTGCAACTCAAGAGGAATTCGATCTCATGTTTGACAACCCTGGAAAGCTGTTGGCACATTCGTCACTGTGTGTTGTCTTGGGCAATGCGAAAGGAAGCCCCATGCGAAGCGAACAGAGACATTGTCTCCTGATCATCACGCCTGTCGCAGGGCAGGGTGGAAACGTGGTATACGAACGGATCGGAGCAGGGTTTTTGCCCGGCAAATGTATCTCACCGCCGACTGGACTTGTACACATCTACTAGGTAGCAGACTAAGGGGATTCAATCTCTTCAGGTGGATGGAGCTATGGTAGGGGTTCAGCGTCTGCTCACAAAGGCAATTTCAATTGACCATGCAAAGCCTGCTAATGGCAAGCATCACAACTCTGGCTTCCTGTACACTCTCTCCCACACGACCAGCTTGTGTTGTGGGTCAGCAATATGATGCTTTCCAAATCGCAGATAAAGGTGTGACCTGCTTGCATCGATGCTAGTCACCTACAGCTCAACGCACGTTCTGCAGGACTCTACTAGAGGAGAGGACCAAACGTTGTGAGACTCCGGAGGACGTTGCACGGCTTATTGAATACCTCTAGCTGGCTTGTGCGGCTGGATGGATGCAAGATGCTTGAAAACATGATGTTCGGGTCGCGGCAGTCGAGGCTTGATCCTTATACATTACATCGCTGCTTAAGTATACAGCGGTTGACCACCTCGCCTATTTCCGTGCCGAACGCCAATAACCCTTTCCGCAAATGCCGCATCACCCTCATTGTGTATCGCTATTCCATGTACAATTCCACCACATACGCCAAGCTGAAATGCACGATTCGTAGAGACCTCATAAAGCCCCACTGACACCTACTTCGCGTTACAGTCACTGTTGAACGTGTGCTTAGGCCACTTATGTCCCGTCTGATCCCATTGCTACAACTAGTCAGCTCCTCCTCATACAATATCTTGCTTGTTAGACTTACTGTGAAGTTCGGATTCGTATAAGCATTAATATGCTCCTTAATATACTTCGTCGTCTCAAAGCCCGGCGGATCACACGTAACCAGCTTCTCCTCATCCTTCTTCTGATACCATCTAACATAATCGACCCTCATGACCGCAGGGAACTTCATGTGCTCCCAATCAATCCAAGTCCAGGAGTTACTGATGCCCAGGTTAAGGATGAGACTCATAGGCTCTTCGCTGACCTGGCGGGCTTGGATGTTGCCGTTCGGCCCAATGGCGCGCCCGTCCATCATGAACATCATCTGGTCACCGACTTGCCAGCTAATATAGGCATCTTTGCCTTCGCCGGGGACGTATTCGAAGGAGTAGCGCTGGTATTGCTGGCCGTCGAACCAGTTTTTGTTCAGGTTTGTGGTTGCAGAGATAGCTTGTTGGTAGGGGCCACCGGTGTAGCCATTGTACCAACTTTGGCTGTAGTCGGGGAAGGCAGTGAAGTTGTAGTTGGGGTACCAATAGACGTCGAAAGGTGCGACTTGGAAGGATTGCGTAGCGATGGGCATGTTGTGAGGGGGATAGGTAGCGCCGACTTCGATAATATCGATTTCTGGCGCACCACGGCCGGTGCCAGGAGTTGGGTGGTCTTCGCCGGGGCAGGTGCAGGACGAGAGACGCTGGCCGGGGAGGTTGGACAGGCCATCAGAGGAAGACTGGTTAGGCGTGATGCCGACGTCGCAGGCTTGGTAGGTGTATGGCCACATGCCGTCAGTAGTCGAGAGATAGCCTGGCCTTCCTAGGTTTCCCATCGTCCATGCACCAGGCCACATGCCTGGCACACCAGCTGGCCCAGGTAAGGATACGGAAACCTCAAAAATCCCACCCTTGAAGCAGAGATGATTCCAGCTGTTAAGCATACCTGACCGGAAGTTGAGACCATGGTTTGGAAATTGATCAAGTCGAAGCTCCAGAGTTCCCTCCCAGGTAGTCACTGCATCCGGGTCGTACCATTCCAAATCTTTTGTAGCGCCATACCAGATGTCAGGAGCAAAGAAGTACGGATCATCGCCCTCGTAAAATGTGCGATTGTTGTCGTTAAACTCGTCGCTGAACACCAGCTCGTACTCGTCGCCAAACTGACCCTTCTTTGACATAGCGGCCTTGGGTGTGTCAGGATCGATCAGACCTCTTCGCATATTCTGAAGTAATGAGTACTTCCTGTCGTTCACGATCGCCCAAGGCTCCGGCTCGGGATAGTGAGACATCTGATCCAAGGGCGTCCCATACACTGAGTTATAGTCGATGATGCCCAAAGCTGAAAGGATTGGGAGTCCAAAGAACACAAAAGAAAGCCCAACTACCATGATGAACAGGCCTATCGTCGAAACAATGTTCTCTCGCGAGAAGTGGTCCTTCAGTTTCGCCTTGTATTTAATATCATCGTCCGGTTGTGGCATATGCATATCGTCATCCGGCTCATCTTCATCGCCTATCAACGGCCACGATGCCATGCCCTTCTCTTCATATGGTGCAGCAAGTCGATCATCGATGAGCGAGACGTTCGTCTCCGAGTCGTACAGGATGTTGATTTTGGTCGTTGACGCAGTCGGCGTAAGATTAGGTGTGAGGAAGGGGTTCGTGGGATAGACTGTAGCCATTGGTGTAGTCGTGCCAGACGTTGGTGCTGATTGCGAGGCGAGCTTCTCGGATGATGCGCTTCTTGCGCCAGCGAAATAAGGGTTGAAATACCGTGTATAGTCACTACCAAGATCCTGCATTGTCAGCGGACTGCCGACTGGGCGGGCATTCTGACTCGCAAGATCCTGTGTGCTCTTGTGCCGTATCCGTAGCGGGTGTCGATGCGGCGGTTTGGGAAATGGACGTCGTTGCGATGGTATATCGACCGCGGTTCCCGGCTGGCTTGGGGGTGTAGGTGCATCTTCGCTTGACTTCGATTCCTTCGACTCGAATGTGCCTTCGCTGTTGGTTGATGATCTCGCTAACTTCAAAGACGGTGTCGGTAACTGTGAGCGAGAGGGCGACTGTTGTTGTTTCTGGGACAGTGGCCCGGTGGAGACCGACTCGGAAGACGAACGCGCACCATCGTCGGGTACAGTTGTGTGCATCGGAGTAGGGGTTGTAGAACGAGAGCCTGCTGCTTCTGTGTTGGAGGCACGCAGCGATGATGCAACTCTTCCAGCATTCAGATTGGTAGTTGTTCGTCCTGCTTGCTCAATGTCTCCTGCTTCTCTTGCCAGCGACCCTCGCGACGCGGGGCGCGAGACAACCTTTTGTGGTATGCTCATCGTTCCCTTCTTTCATTCCACAGGTTCGGCCCGTTTCTTCCCCACAACACTTCTCAATTTCGACGATTCGCAACAGCCGATAGACCCAGTTCTCGCCCAGTTGCTCCTGCACAATGCGACTGAGACAACGACAGGTCAATGCAATGGAGACTTCGGTGGAATGAGCGTTGAGGTGGCGCATGCAGTGTTCGAGTTGTCCCATGGAGGCGCTCGTTGTTGAAAAGCTTGGACGGGGTGTGCGACCGGGGTACTACTGTTACATCGGAAGGGAGCGATAGCCTTGGTACCTCTGGCGGCCCGCGGGTTTGCGTGTTCGAGCGCGCGAAGGGGGAATTATTCCATGTGAATTTGAAGTAGCGAGCGAGGTGAATGTAGAACCAGGGCAGCGAACACTGCACTTTTGTTGGGTCATTATCCAAGGAGGACGAGAGTATAGCTCGTGTTGATAGTGAACCCCGATCAACGGGTAAACGTGCTTCGGACCAGCCAATCAGCGACCCCCTGACTTTCACAAGAGAGTACACTGCAGCCGCATCGAGCGTAGTTAAAATGAGCCCAAGCTCGCCTATGCTGATGCAGCACAAGCTTGCTGAATGCATGCGTCTGTCCGAGGCTACCGTGCCGTACGTCTAGAAACGTCTGAGAACGATGAGGGAATTCTATCGTGGAAAACCGATATTGTCGCATCGACAATTTAATAGTGCATAGCGGGTGCCGAGCGACAGGACGCCGCCCTGTAGCTCATTGCTTTCTTGGTTTAAAGTTGCAGGTCAGACGCAAGAGGCGCCCGCCCAGGAGGCGTCCGCCGATCTACGATTGATGGAAACACCTGTCGAACTTCGCGCACAAACTCCCGCAATATGAAAAAGCGGCAATGCTCCAGAGGTCGCTTTCGGCTTGCGACCAGCCACAATGCTGCTGAGCTGACATGCGCGGTTGTTGAAATGATTGCACATGCCGATCAGATTTCGACTTCTTAGCCATGACAATCTCCTGGGTGTTCAATGTTCGTACAGACCGCTGTGATGGCAACCAGCTATCCCTGGTCAATCTGACCGACTCGGAATTTATGATTACGAGCATCGGCCAAACAGTATTTTAGCCTCAATTTATATTTTCGACCCTGTTCTTGCATGTCGCGTGCCTAGGCGCGCATGCCATTTTGTTCGGACCAGGAGGCTCAATGTGTTGAACAGCCTTGCATAGCCGCTGGGTTTGAGCGTTGACCATCGTTACGACGTTTGCTCTAATGGCGCCCGTTCTATGGTGAAGAGTATTGGTCCGTCTGTATCAACTTGTACCTTGTCAGCCTTGACGTGATTGCTTGTACTGACTTGACCGCCCATCTGTGTGAACCAATCTCTGACATCCCATTCCAGTCCGGCTGTGCTGATAGTTGCTGGGCCATAGACAGGAACAAGACCCAAATTCTCTGTAAAGAGCCCGCTGGACAAGAGGTTGTGAACAACCGTTCGTCTGCTCCTGAGAATAAGGGAGAGGCTGGACTCAGAAAAGAGCCATAAGCGCAAATTTGGATGCTTGGTCTCTTCTCTGATCATCTCATGCAAAAGTCCGAGACCTTGGTCCACTCGGCCTGCTAGAGTACCAAGAATCAACACATCTTTCTGTGATGCCGCATTGTCTCGCGCAGAGATCTTGGACATCGTCTTTCCGAAATCTGTGCTGTACTGGTCGCCATCTCGTAGTACCTCAACGCCATGGGACTCATAGTATGCGCGCACATCGTCGCGCAGCGAGTCGAGATCACCGTGGATGATACTTGGAAGCTGCATGGGTCTTAGTGACTTTGTCTAGGCGAAGCGAGGTTTGTTTTCTTACATATTGGTCTCTTTGTTTCTCGAGATCACCTTTGAACATGTCATGAAGCCTGTTTGCACCACCGTCGGCGCATATGTGATAGTTGGTATGTCCCCATAGCCGGGAGAATGTAGCAAAGTCGGTGATGGGCTGGTTCAGGATAAGCAGATCGGGCGGGTTTGCTGATTTTTCAGGATGATCGTTCTCAGCCAGAAAGATGGTAGGATCCAACTCGCACAACTCAGGTGTACCCATGCTTCCAAAACAAACGAAACGCCGTCTATGGGTGTCCTGATCCAAAAAGGTAACGCAAAAGAGGAAGGAGAGTATGATGCGCACGCACATGGGATGGAAGGCACTGACGCAATTAGGCGAAACGCGCTAAAGAGGCGCGAAGCACGAGACCAACTTCAACCTTCACTCACTCACTTTCCAGCATCATTAAGTGCTCTACTAATGCTTTGAAGATGCTTTCTCATCATTAGCCTGCCTTTGAGTGGTGTTGTACTCGTGTAGCGCACATATGCCATGTCGACGTGCGTTCGGACACCCAGTCCACGCGGTCCCCGAAAATCAAACCCGAGTCCCGTTCGAGAACGACCAAGTGGCTTCGAGGCAGTGCTGCTTGCTCTGAAGAGTTTGTCTTTGCTCTCCACTATGCTGCCCTGCTCTCGCCATCTTTTGCTGCACCCTTGTGCCTGCAAGGATCCAGGCAAAAAGCCTCACCTTATGGTAAACCTCCATGCACACAAGCCAAGGGCTAGCCGTGGCGATATTTTCAAGTCTCAAAAAGAGACGTGTGATTCTGTGCTATACACTGTTGAGACATCGATTCAACGATCATATTCAGACCAACTGATTGCGTCGAGCCTTGAGATTGCCATCAACCACAATCATGCCGGCTTATCACTGTTGATGTACTCTCAGGGCTTCAACCAGAGAACCGTACGCCAAAGAGCGCGTGCGCCTTGTCGAGTTCAGTCGATTGAAGCTACGTGCCGCTCGTGCACCAGGCTTCGACACGTGGCTCAGCGCCAGGTCTGAGAGACTGGTGAGCCCATAAAAAGCTTCCATCACCGATGTCCGCGTTTCAGATAGTAAGGTGAGGACACCGCGAAGTTCTGTTAATCTGGTCAAGACTGTTCGTGAGCAAGGCACTGGCGAGAACAATCAGCTCTCGGTCAGGCAGGGCTCATCCGGACTTGACCTTTCCCCTGCATAATACCCGATCTTCCGAGTTGATTCCAGCCCATGAGTAGGCCCTAGAGCCACGAACATCTAAACGACCCACTCCAAATGAGTGATAGCATTCGCAGCTGAGAATTTGTCTCCAGCAACAGCGTTGATGGCCGATGTCGACGCCCACTTTGCGAGTCGAGGGTACAGATCATGAGCTGCAGGGGTACCCCAGTCATCGCTTCCAAAAACAGATTAGAGTCAGTGGAATCCACATAAACACCACAAACCGTTGTCACTGCTTTCCCTTTCACTCGACCGCCGATACGATATGCCTGGACTCAATGGCTGCAGCTCACATATCGACCGAAATTATACTTTGATTCCAAATACTGACTGTTCTCCTCAGTATAGGTCATAATTGCAAGGTCCTCGGTAAAATGGCCGCGACACAGTCTCGCTACGGACATCTACATTTGATGCATGTAACCGATCGCGCACTGGCTTCTCTCAAGTTTGAGCCTCAACGCCATGCATCAACGCCGGCTCCCCACTGTGAATAAGCTTCGATCGTCATCGATGCTTGCACGGTACCTGTGAGCATGCAGGACACACCCCTGTCGGTCCGGACTCTTGAAACTTGCACAGCTACCTCGAAATGCGTCGAACATGGCAGTTGTACTCAGTCAGTTCGGGCTTCTGTTCATTTCAGGCACGTTTGAATGCCCTGAGCTAGGTTACAGACTGCCTTGACAACGCCACAACCACGATAGTATGGTCGGTCCAGAGTATCGTTTACTTGCTTACCGAACAGGCTATGCATACTCTGTCGCCAGTGGAGCCTAGCACCAGGTTGACTCCTGCACTGGGCGGCCATCTCGTTGACCATGCAGTATGCGCCAAGCCCGATCTCAACTCAAGTGAAATGTATATCACGCTTCATTCCCGGAGTCTTGCAGCGGCCTGCATACGATACAGATCAACTACACTCATTCAGTGCTCTACTATCCACTTCCAAGACACACGGGAACGGGTTTCTTACGTCACCATTCACTCTGGCTGATACTCATTTTTGTCGAAACCACACTCTTTCGCGATGGATCTAACAACAAAGATGAAGCCAGTATCCTCAAACACGACACCAAACCCCTCTTACCCAGCAGGATCAGCATCCACGACCCCCAATCCGTACGCAAGAGATCCATCAAGACGAGCAATTGCATGTGTCGCTTGCGCAAAAGCAAAGACAAGATGTGATAAAGCTGTAAGCTGTCTGAACGTCTTGGCAGAGCGTTCTCATACTAACCACCTAGTAGCTACCATCATGCTCCCGCTGCATAACCAAAGGCATAAAATGCGATCCTCGCTCCACACGCCGCACATCAGACAACAACTACCGCACACTTTCCACCAAGAAACCCTTTGTAACACCAAAGCGCTTCCCAACGCCCGGTATCCTACCCTCTTCAACCATTTCCCCTTCGCCTCGGAGCATTTCCTCGACAAGACCGCGGAGTATCATGCGCGCGCCTTCACACATCGACTTCCGTACCGCAGTCAAGATGAGCCAACAAGCAGCTATCATTTCCGGGATTTCCAAACTCACACCTCTGCCAACGTATCAGCCTCAGATCGTGGACGATTGCTACTCGTACACACCCAGTCCAGAGCCAGACCTCCGCTTCACCCCAGAGATCGAGCAAGATGGCTTCCCATTCTCTCGCGGTGCAACGCCGCAGACGCCTGCTGAGCCATTCGGCTACAGTGACCCACTTCCCCTTGTCGAAAATATGGATTATCTGGACTGCCAGCCATGGTCCAGTGATGGACTGGTGCCCGTTGGGTTGGGGTTCGCGGATATGGAGATGTTGCTGCCGGACGACAACTGGATGACGCCTGAACCTGAAGAGATGGCGCAGGCGAACATGTTCGCGCAGAACGTCGAGATGCAGGGCACTTTTGACGCCTTGCTAGGTACAATGCCCGAGGACTGGTCAAACTTCCAGATACCGCCACAAGACGACGTAGTTCCAGATGCAAAGGCCGTCGACAGCGCCCTCGACTCTGGTATCGTCATGCAGGGCGAGTGGACTCAGCACTCAAAACAAAATATGTATGTCGATACGGCGAATATGATTACGTCGACGCCGTATATACCAAAGATGCAGGCGATACCGGGTAGTGCGCCGGTGTGGGAGGATGTGTTTATGCTGAGTCCGATACCATACTAAATAGAAAGAGCGTTGTCTTGCACAAACATTGGCGCCTTGAATCAGGAAGCGTTGGAGGTAGTCTGTATCTTGATACCCAATCGATGAAAATCCCAACCAGCTGTATGCCCTAGATTCAAAGTTGATGTATCACTATACAAAGCTCAGCGATTATCTCACCAAAAATTCAGGAAGGACGAGCCTCTAGCGGCAAGTCTAATGCTACAAATTAACAATCGGAGAAGTATCGCCAGTGCCGCTCCGCTTAAAGCTCCTGTCTTCGTATAATTCACCGTCTCTCCGACTGCAGTTGAACCTCCTACAAGGCCAGCCAAGAAGAATGAAAGGAAGCTACCTGTGCCGGCTCGATGAGGAAGTCGACCACTGATGTAGGCAATCCACTTTCATGGTAAGACCTCCAAATACGCCGCTACTCCAAGCCAGAATAGCAGGCTCAAGACGACGGTTAGTAGAACCGGTAGCACGTGAACCGTGGCTGGCGTCTTGTAAACCTCGAGCAACATCGCAAGGTCGGTGGTGCGGTCGTGCGATGCAAGGCTGGTTCCATTCTTGATCAGACTATGCGTAGAATGCCTCAAACCAAAGACCTTCGGCGGCGACGACAGGCCAGTGTCGATCGCAGTCTCTCAACTTTCGACAAGTTCTGTGTCCACTATGGCCTCCTAAACCTACATGTCAGAATCGATGTAGAACCGCAGGACGCGTGCACGCATACGCGCGCTTCGCGGCAGAGCATCCAAAAGTCCTTCGTACTTGTCCATAGCGAATGAATTGCGCTAGCCGGAATGGATGAAGGTTTTGGAGACTGGATGTAGTTGAGGTGCTTGCGGTCGACCAGGTGAGTGTTGTCAATGTTGGTGTTGCTGTCAGGCTGGTTGTAGATCCTGTTGATAACGGCGGGGTAGTAGGCTGAGCTGGAGCAGAAGCTGTTGAGGTTGCTGGGAGGACCTCGAGCTGTATAGATGAAGTAGCAGTGGTGTTCGAAGACATCGCTCTGCCTACAGAAAATCACTCCACATGGGTTTCAACGGGACGCTGGAATTGTGCTCTCTGCGGACGAGGTGGGCAGTGCTGATGGAGGCAGCAAATCAACAAGGCTGAGGTCTCACGCAGCCACAGACCGGGGTTGCTCATGACCAGAGCACGTCCACCTCGCTAATTCGTTTGTCATCCGGGCTGACGAATAAATCATTATGCATTATATACTACATCGTATACATGACCCACAACAGACAGATGTAACGCCATTTCGCTATGCAGCAACTCTACTCATGTTTGCCCTTGCCCTTCCCACCCTTCTTATCGCACACCTTATGGAAATCTTCGTGCTTCTTTGCTCCTTTCCCAATCAGCTTCCGGAAGTCCTTGAACCGACAGCTCGCACCCGGTCCATCCTGGCAGTCAGGAATCGGTCTTGGTGCGGTATTGGCAATGAAGCGGATGAAATCGCCAGGCCCATCACCATCGCCAGCGCCGCGCTCGCAGGTCATCATCTCCATACCGACATGACCGAGGAAGGGAATCAGATCAGCCATGCGCCAGGCTCGTGTCCACTGTGGTAGTGTTGTTAGAGTGTAGATTGGGCTCATATGTGAAAGAAGACTTACGTTGATGTGGTCGGTAGGGAACTCCTCAGCTGCGCCAGACGAGGAGTTGAACAAGCCAAGAGCGGTGGCAATGAAAGGAGGAACCTCGCGATGCGTGAATCCAAGGAAGAAACGCTGGTCTTCAGGCCAAGCACCACCAGGGTGATTACGCTTCTGGATGTTTCGAAAAAGCTCGGATTGTGTCTGCAACCAAGGGAAGCCAAGGTAGGGAGACAGAGGATTCATAGGGCCGACCATATAGGCGTACTTCAAGTCCCATGAGTACTCGTATGCCATCCACTCAGCATCGGTGAAGACGGCGCAGATTTCAGAGCGCTTGCCAGTGATGGCGCTCTCGTAACCGCAGAGCTGCTGGAGACCGACGACATCGAAGGGAGACAACTCGAAAGGCATGAACGGCCTGAGGCGCTTTGCAACGCTCTTGCCGTAGTGGTCAATGAATTTGTCCTGCTCCTTTGTACCGGGCGCCTTGGAGAAATTCTCGCACGACTTGTGGGGAATGAGAGACTCCATTGAACCATTGGCATTGGTGGTGACGCGGACGATGTCGATGGTGTCGTTGTGAGGGAAGGCTGTGATGAGGTTCTTCGCCGTGTCATATGTGCGCGACTTCTTGTCGGCGAGGATACGCTGAGTCTTAGGAATGAGGTGCGGGTAGCGCTCGAGCAGATGCTTGCCAACGTTTGCAGCATCCACAGCGCCGGAAGGCGTCAGGTCTTCGAGCTTGTCCTCGAGAATGGGCGACTGCCATTTCGCCATGAAGGCCAATGGCCCTGACCACTGACCATCGCGATGCTTCTCAAGCTTCCAGAGGAAGGGCTTGATGAATTCTTCGTACTCTGCGTCGTTGGCGTAGATGGCGCCGTGACGGATGATGTAGGACGCGGCGGTGATGTTGCAGCCTGAGGGTGCGGTGTGCTCGAGACCGAAGCCGACAGCATCGAAGTACGGCGAGATACCGGGCAGATGCAGAAGCGGGTCGAATTGGTAGCCCTGAGAGTGATCAAGAGGCTGGATAGGGACCTGCTGCTGGGAGTTGAGGTATGTTGGGATTGCCAGCGCCGGAGTGGCCAGCAAAAGAGCCTTCGAAAACATGCTGAAGAAGGAAGTACTGTTGGCGATTTCTTTTTTGAATCTGGGTACTTTCATGACGTCAATTGCCTGTTCCTGGCTGGAACGCGTCGAGGCGTCGAGCTAACGACGGAATGACCCACAAGCCCGTCATGCCAGCCGCTTGTGCGACACTCGAATCGAGGTGCTGTTCGCCCATCGATTTCATCAGCAGTTTTGTTAGTGGTGAGTCTAGGTTGCCAACCGCCTTCTCGACTTTTGAGTTGGCGCTAAATTAGCGTCCTTCCCCTGCGTTCACCTGTGAGAGCGCGCATTGTTAGGCTGCAGGAACAACGCTACGCAAGGCTTTCTTATCACTGACTGATGTGGAAGTGCACGGAGCCAATTATACTGTATAACAGACGCTGTCTACGAGAGGTGCTGCGTTCTCCAGTTGTCAAAGACGCATAACAAGTCACAGCACGAATGCACGCGAAGGCACTTAGGATGATCAAAATCAGAACCCCTCTTGACTCTTGCACCGTATTGGTAACCCCCTGTTTTAACCCATCCCATGCAAAAGCAATCAGAATTGGCTCAAACCAAATGCAATATGTAACAGTATCAACGCCTTCACCGGCCACCGGTGCCCTTGCCTATAGAATGAACGCACTTGCTTCCTTGAGCTGAATTAAATAGTAATGATAGTTGAGACACATACCCCTTGCGAAGGGGCCTCCTGCAGAGGAGGCTGAACAGAGTCGTGAAGCGTGGACAGGCCGTCACCGCGTCGCTAGGAGGACAATGCTGGACTGCACGACTAATGCAGTTGCCCATTGAGGAGCAGTTGTTCGACGGCTTCGCCGATGTAAGCCTTCTTGAGTGTGAGGTCGCACCCGAAGCTGGCGAGAAAGTTAGTAACTGTGATGTGATAACGGTAGTTGTGGGGAACTTACATTTGCTCGAGCTGCTGCTTGACAGACTTCTTGGTGACTGTCATCAAGTCCGAGTTGGCGAGGATGACCTTGATCTGGTTCAGGATCTCGTCATCGCTTGGTAGGTGCGCCATCTCCATGCTGTCACCTCCATAGCCGCTAGGAGCCAGGCTCATACGCGAGTGGTTGCCGTAGCGAGGGACATCGAGGTGAGACATGGGCCGGGACGGCGGCATGCCACCATACTCTGAACCGACGACAGAGCCAGCGCCGAACGGCCGCTTGGTGGCGTATGTGTAGCCCGAGACAACCGACTGGTCATCCCTGATGGTGTGCTGCTCCCACATCTCGGCCTGGTACTCCTCCCACCTCTTCTTGGGGATGCTGGCAGGGTCGAACTTGCCCTCATCCGAGACTACGACCTTCTGACCCTTCTCACCAGTGACAACACGAGTGTTACCCCAGGAGAAATCATCCATGTGCCAGAAAGCGTACAGCGGAAGGCCAAAGGAAAAGACGGGAGTGGCGACGATGTAGATCAACATCCAACCAATCATCTCCCACTTGCGACGGACAATGAAGATGATAGCTTGCAGACCATAGATAGCTCCCAAGAGAATAAAGGCGGTCATGGGAACGATATCAGGGGTCCAGACCAGAGAGTAGATGAGGTAACCAATGTAAACGACAATGACCGGCTGTACGACAGTCGAGATCAAATCCAGGAAGACGATGAAGCGCATACTGAAGCAGCAGAAACCACAAAGCTGCTGGAGAGGAATGAGCTCGACCAGGTTGTGCACTGTAGAGTTGATCCAGCGACGACGTTGAGACATGAAGACGGACCAGCTGTCAGGCGCCACAGTCCAAGCATGTGCTCGCATGGTGTACTTGGTCTTGTACTTGGAGTGGAACTTGAGCAGCAGAGTCGTGAGATAACGATCTTCACCGAGATGCAGCAAGTTCTTCGTGTGCAGCGTGTCGACACGGATCTCTTGGTAAGCTTCGACGACCTCCTTGCTGACAAAGAGTGGCTTGCCAGTCTCGGCAGCGCGGATGCGGTACATGGTGAAACAACCGGGGAGACAGGTGACGGAACCGAACAAACTCTCAAAAGCCTTGGTTAGGTTGTGAGAGATGAAGTATTCGTAGACCTGCATCATGGTGGTGAATGAAGATTTGGCGTTGGACAAAGCAGTCTCACCGCAAATGGCGATGAGGCGGGTGTCGTTGAGGAAGGCTGCGACGAATCGAGTGGCTGCGTCAGGAGCGACGGAGGTATCGGCATCAATCTGAAGCAGGAACTCGTAGAAGGTTGGGTTCACACCGATGATGTTCCTGATCTGATGATGCATCTCGAGCTCGAGAGGGCTCATGGGCAGGTTGTAGTGAACGCGGTTCAAGAACCTCATGAGGACGATTTGCGAGTCACGCTTTCCACGGTTACCAGGCTTGGAAACCTCGGAGGGCTTGCCAACCTTGACGACGACTAAGAAAGGTACGATGTGACCTTGTACCTCGTAGAGACCTGAGTAACATTTGCCCATGTTGTGTTGCTTCATGCCCTCTCCCAAACTCTCAAAGCTGAGCGGGTCGGGATCCGTAGCCTCAGGTACGCCAAGAATGTCGAGAACGATGCGTGGAGTGGGCTTGTCGTTACCTTGACCGATAATCATACCGTCGCAAATGATGACGAGGAGTTTGCGCTTGTCATCGTACTTCATCCGGGCAGCAGAGTCAATAGCACGACGAAGGGACTCTTCATCCTCAGTATAAGCCGGAACCGTGGCGATGATGAACTTGTCGATATTCTCCGGCATTGTCTTGCCACCGAACTGGAGCGCGGCAAAGAACTTGAAACCGATGACACTAACCAAGAGGATAGAAATTGCAAGAAGGAAGTACTTGGCGAATAGACACTTTGCGGAGCTTCTGGTGTCGAGATCACCGACGTAAAACAGGTTGTCGAGACAGACCTTCATGTTGTTCTTCTTGGTTACGTCCAGGTTGAGGTTGTCCCAGTACTTGCTGATATCCTTGCCAGCTTGGACACGGAATATGTCGGTGACACTGTCTTCCATGAAATTGACGTCCGGTGTCTCCGATGCCGCCTCCTCAGTAGGGGGATAGAGTACGCTACGGCCTCCAGGTAGGTATGTCGTTAAGTCATACACCTTGTTGTTCATGTAGGCGATCGCGTTCCCCTTGGAAGCCAGAGTCTTCAAGTAGGTAGGGCTGTAACCGACACGCCCTTTCATGTAGTTTGCCTTCATGAAGACCTGCTGTTCATACCACCAATCCGGACGAGAGTCGTTGGTGAACCAACGGAAGTCATGGTATTTGGCGTTCTGATCCGTAGTACTGATGAGGTTGTTTGCCGTCTCGGAATAATTCGAGTTCCTGTAGTTGAGTTGAACACCTGGATGAATACTACCATCCTTGCCAGCGCATAGTGCTGAAACTTGGACAGGGAACAAGTTGGTCGCATCCGTTCCTGCATACTTCTCCAGACTCTTTGATGGAACGATGCTGGGGTAGTGGGCAGGGATGAAGTCGTCAAGATTGTAGACGATACCGCGGATACCAACGTATGAAGCAGCGCCGTCCTCACCGTTATAAGATGTCAGTTCGGCGGTGGAGTACACATGCTGAGTAGGACAAATCAACATCGGGAACCCGATCATGAGGAAGATGACGGACAAGCAACTGAGCCAAATGAGCATATTGATGGCGAGCTTCTCGCGCCAAGCCATTCGCACGTCTTTGCGTGGTATCCGCCCAATGACACGAATGAGGAAGTCGGGAATGAACCAGGTGAGAGCATATACCATGAAGACCCATCGCTTACGGCTTCCGGAGATAGGGACGACATCAACTTCCTCCATCTTGTCGTTGGCAGCCTTTTCGTCGATGACGTTGTGCTGCTCCAGGCCATGGAACATGTCACCAGTGACACCAGAGGGAGCCTCAGAACGGGCGTCGACGTCTCTGCTACCGAAGTAGTTTCCACCCTTGTCGTTGTAATATTCGCCGCCTCCAGGGGTCGAAAGAAGGCCAGCGCGGGAGTCACCGAAGGATCGGCCTGCTTCAGGAGTCAAAAGATTGTCGTCTGAGCCAGTGAAACCGCGGGCGGTAGGTGGCAGATCTGCGATATTGGCAATCTCGAGCCAGCACCTCTCGCTTAGGAAGACACCAGTGGTACCGACGCGAACCTCGTTCTCCCGCCAGGGCCTGCTGTCCAAGACCATCTCGACCTTCTCCTTCTCACTGCCAACAATAGCCATGTCTGTCTGCGCGTGGCCCAAGAACTCAGCGAAAGGCATGAAAATGCTGTAATCAGCGACACGCAGCCGTTGACTGAGTTCTGGGATGCTGTACGCTTGTAGCTGTTGACGAACACATCTGCTGTCGAACTGATTGGCGATGCGGCGATCGTTTGGCTTCAGGCAGAATACAAAGTAAGGGTTGGCTTTGCGCAGTTGGTTTTCAATGGTCTTCAGCGAACTGACAAATTGGCCAGCGGCTCCGGTTTGTTTCGATTTCGATGAAGAATCGCCGTTCTTCCTTGAGCCCGAAACGTTGCTTTCAGTGTCGCTCAAGACTTCCTCGTCGAAGACGTTCAGCTGACGGCCAAATCTCCCCGTCTTATCAGCCTTGCGACGAGCCACGCTCGGCATGCGCGTAGGCTTGGAGCTGACTGAGGCCTGAACGATGGCGGACTTTTCCTTTGGGTGGGAGATCTTCTGAAGCACATCCTGTCCAAACAAATTCTGAACGAATGGTTGTTGCGAAGATTGCAGCAACTGCATCATGTTACCGGAAATAGTGTCTGCGTTCTCTTCCATGAGGCCCTCCACACTGTAGTCGACGTCACCGGCGTAGTGACGAACAGTGAAAGAGGGGGAAGTGTTGGGTGTGGGGAAGTTGCTGCCAGGTTGGACGACTGTTAAGCTGCCTGGGAGGATAGACTGGTTCTTTCCGTCAAATCGCTTGCGAATAGCCTCGAGGAACTGCATGTCGGTCTTGCCGCGACGCATCTGGTCGTCGAGAATGCTCAAAAGACCATTTCCTGACTTGAGGAGACCAGTCTTGGCCTCAGAACTGTCGTAAAACTGTAGCGGAGGCAGGCTGATCTCTTCCGCCTCCATCTCCTGGATCTGACGCTGGAAGAAGCTTTCTTGGCAGAAAGTCATGAGCGACTCATTCGCAGCGTTGTTGAGCAATTGGTCCAAGGAAGATCCGGTTCCAGATGAGATGGCAAATCCAGGGAAATCCACCAGGTTAACTGTGTTGGTGAGTTGACCGTTCGAGCTGGAGATCCTAGAGTTGCTCTGTTCGATGACGTATGTGACAAGCAGAGAGTAAAGCGAGCGAGCAAGCTCATCGGCGTTCGCACGGGCACCCTTGGGGTCCAGCATGACCGTGACTCGCTCTCGATACAGCGTCTTGGACTTGTATCGCAAACTTTCCTCAAGGTCACTGATTGTTACGCCCAAGAATTGGGCAATTGGGACCAGGCATTCCTTATTCTTCACGACCGTGATGGTCTCGCCACCCTCGTGCGAGTAACCGCCACTATCATCGGCAGAAGGAGTGGTCGACTGACCAGTCTCAAACTCGAGCTGGCCAATATGCAGGATGGTTGCTATGATCTCGCAGATGCCGGCAATGCTGTCCTTGCCGAATTCGAGTTTGCGTAATGCGGTCTTGAACTCCTGGAAACCGGCCGCATCATCAATGCCAACCTTCAGCTGCGTTGGGTGACCAAGGTATCGCCACCTCTTGTTCGCGCCGAGCGATGTGCGGGTGCCTGCGGCGTCGTTGCCGGCATTGTCGAGATACAGGTGCTTCTTCTCAGCAGGGCTGGTGCCGGAGAGAAGGTAGTAAAGCACGTGGTAATTGCGTTCTCCAGTCGGGACGGAGGCGAGTCTGCTTCGCTCGAGTCGGTGGACGAGGTACTGTGCACCGAGCAGGGTTGCGTGGTTGGAGGTCGAGGTGTTGTACTGGAGCTCGAGCATGAGTCCGGACTTGGAGGCGGAGGGCGTAGTGAGCGACTTGGTCGTTGTGAAGGCCTCGAAGACGAAGTTGGTACACTCGATCTTCTTCGACAGTGGTGTGGCAGAGTACGAGAGGAACTGTCTCAGCATGTGTCCGCGAATTGTTGTCTTTCCAGCACCAGTCTCGCCCCTATGTTGTGTTAGCACATCCAATCTGCAGCGAGTGTTAGTGGTGCAGCAACTAACAGAAAAACAATAGCCTGGTCCTCTGATCGCTGTCCCAAGCGCATGTATGCCCTCCCCGCGAGGTCCTTGGCGGCCTGCACAGCGCTGCCATCCTCGCCACCGTCAACCCCTCGGCTGGGGTCTGTGTATGTGTTGAGAGAGATGATGGCATGCGAGGAGAGAGTCGCCGTGGGCATGTGTGCATGGAAGCGGCTAGCGAGCGCGGAGGTCAGGCCTGTGTCAGTCTGCTGGTGCTGGGGCAGCAGCGCCAGCGACGGCTGCTGGAGCGGATTGGCAGCCATTGTCAATGGACGCGTCCGCGTGGGACTGTGGAGCGAGTGGAGGTCTCAAGCCAGAAGCAACCGTGTGCCGTGTGGCAGTTGACGTTGGCACTTTGCGCGGATGGAGTCCTGCTGGGTGTTGAGGCGGCGGTATGTAGTCGCGCTCTGGTATAAAACCGAGATTATGTACAGCTGGAATGCAGCAGGCTCAGCAGGGATGCAACACGCTCGGTGCGAGTTGCTGTACCGTGCAAGTGAATACAATTATTATCAGCGAATGTGGTGAATTGTCCTAAAATGAAGGAAAATGCTGGAAAACACAGCTGGAGGGCCGTTGGCAGCAGCAAAGGGGTTGGAATAGCCGTCTGCTCAAAATGATGGGGCTGCTGGGATTCTAGCTCGCCTTCTCGCAGCCTTTGCCCGCCGCCGCCTGTTGGTCTGTGTTGACTGGGAGACTTGTGCGGACGTAATCTATCTATTTTTGCAGCCCCTTTATGCAGACCCCCCCTATTGCCGCTCCGAATATACTTCCCAGCTCCACCTTGGGTCCTTCACCCTGCTGACTGATAAGCATTGGGGGCACGCAGCAGTTGCTGGCCGCTGGCGGGAGCAACCTCAGCCTGTGGCCGAGGGGCCCACAACACAACGACACTGCAGAACCTTGCAACGAGCGCTGCATGGCAAGGTGACTCGACAGCACCGTCTTCCGACTGTTGTTCCCTCTGTGTCTCCAAAAAGTCGTCCTCTCCCAAAGGCTGCGGGCATCGACCCCAACCCGCCTTTGCACCACAGCCAGCGGTCTACCCTACCAGTCCACCACCCTGGCTGGGGAGGGGGAGCGATCAACGCTGAACTCTTTCATGCGCGCTAGATGCGTATCGATTGCGCGTTCTCCCCTCTGCCGAGACCATCAACACAAGCATCAGGAGCATCACCAATGGCGACTGCAGAACATCGGCAGGCCCTCTGGGTGACTGTGTCCTGGGTGATGGTCGTCGTCGACGTCCTGATCAGCAGCTCGCACTGCTCGTGTGAGCATGAGAAAAGGAATCTCGAGACGCAGAGGCTGAGCGCGCATGATTTCAGCATTTATTGGGTCAATACGGACGGAGCCATGGTGGAGAGCATCCCGTATCGAACGACAAGCATGAAACGGCGTTCCGAGGTAGCAACCACCGATCCTTGACGTCAGGTCTCTTGTCAACAAGGTGCCAAATTCCTGAAGCGTAAGTAGGCGGCGGTGGCCAAATATGCATTCGAAGAGGCAATTTAGATGACAAGATGAAGGGGAGGTCGGTGGACATTGTGATTTGCACTCTCATTAACGCAGCTTGCTTGTTCCGCAGCCCTCGGAAATCCCAGTGGGGACGATCGCTCACGCTTCCTGTCAACCGTGGGACGTCGGTCTTATCGATAGAAGACCTCAGAAGAAGAGCGCCAGAAACATGTCTCTCACCGTGCACATCCGTGACATTGCGTGAATGTTGAGAGGTCAGCAGCCTCCTCTAAGAGCCGCAGCCCGCCTAAACAATAAAACAAGCCAAAAATAGGGGGGCTTGTCCACACGCCACTCCGCTGCTCCAGCGCACGTATCGATCAATCCGACGAGGGTCTCAGCTCCTAGTGGCGACGAGGAAAAAGACCTGCCATCCATGTTCGGGAGCTTGGGAGTGGTTTTGGAGCATCGAGCTCTGCAGGGCCAGGGTTGTGAGTGCTTGTCAGGGAGCGCCTAAACAGGTCTAACGATACGGCGGCGCCATGCCTGAGTGGGATGAAGTGCAGGCCCCCGGCGCGCTGAGGAATGGAGAAAGTCGCCCTGAAGCCAACAAGCATCACCACTCTTCTGTATCTGCGTTCGACGAGTCTTGCCGTCGAGTGTGTGTGTGATTCTTCTTTCTTATTCACTATCGTTTAATACTACCCCTCGTTACGTTCAGTGAAGGCAGCGCGGCCTACCCCTACCCAACCGCGATAATTGAACGCCATCCCAGCCATCAAGGGCAAAGAGACAGAACTCAATCGCTACTGACACTCGCTACATCTATTCCACGGTCTGCGACGACCGCATACCCCCATCTTTGACCGTCTTTGCGATACCATCGTGCACGGAAGGAGGCGCCCAGCACCCAGCCGCACACCATGAGCTTCGTCAACAACTCGCGCATGTCGGTGTACTCGACTGCCTCGACGAATGCACCGCGTGCCGCCACCTCGGCCACGCAGGTGTCCACTACCACGTTGCTGAACACGCTCAATTCGGCATACAAGAGTGGCCAGCCATACAGTCTCGAGCCCAGCACAAGTCTGGTTGTCAACACGTGGGTCAATGCGAAGACGATGGAGAACGGCCGCATTGGTGGCACCGTCGACCTCGAGCTTGTCCGAAAGGCATATGAGCACGCTCGTCGACGAGTCGAGGACGGCACTGTCGTGTTGAGGTGAGTTCTACCTTGCCATTGCCACTGTGGTTTGCGTTTGCGTTTTGACTGACCCTTGTTCCAGCTCGCTCCACGAGTCCACCCCCTCGTTGTTCGCTCCCACTATCTCAGGGTTGCCAGTGTCCCTGCCCGACAGCTTCTATGTCGCGCTCGAGGCACTCAAGCCCTTCACACACTGCGTCACGCCACAGAATCCTTCTGCCCCACGCTACTCCGCCCTCGCCGCCGTCTTCACCATCGATGTTCTCGGCGAGTGCAGGGGGGCTGAGATCAAGCTCTCTACCGCTGGACTCGACACAACGCAAGGCCTCCTGCAGGTTCCCGCGCACACCGGCTACCGCGCATTCGATGTCTTCTACTATCTGAACTCGAGCTCAGCTAGCAAGCAGGAGCGCGACATCCTCGACATCCAGTCTCTCGACAAGTACTCGCTACTCAACCGCTCCGGCACCTACGATCCTCCCTCCTTCCTACCCGACGCCGACGATGCCGCAGCAGCCGAAGACTTCCGCGCAAACCTCAAGAACATTGGTATCAAGGGGCAAAAGCTGCGCGATGTGATCAGCTCTCTGACCGCGTTGCTAAAGCTGGGCAACACCTTGGACTACTTCCTTGACGAGAAGAAGCTGGATGCAGCATGCCAAGACTGCGGTTCGCTCCTCGACATCTCGCCGGACATGTTCAAGCAGCAGCTTGGCTCGAACGAGCGAGAAGCTGCTATTGGCGGTATCTATGAAGCCATCGTCGACTACGTTCTTACACAAGCCAACGCCACTATTAAGAACGACATCAGGAAGGCCCGCACTGGATTCTCCTCGACCGATAGCGATGCTAGCCCAGGCGTTATGACACCCGACTCGGAGGTTGACGGCATGGACCTGGTGAACATCACGATTGTCGAGATCCCAAGCCGTAGTATCGGCAAGGCCATTGCTCTGCGAACCGTTTTTGATGACACAGAGGGCATCAACGCGGAGATGAAGGCCGACGGCGTGCAGATGTCGCCTGCTGGCAACTCCGTGCTCGAGAGCATGAGGGATGCTGTCCAGAGCTGTGAGGCTGATCTCGGAATCGATGGTGCTGCGCTCCGCGAGCACGAGTCTGAGCTTGAGAGGCGTGAGGCCGTGCTTGACAAGATTGCAGTCGACGCTGAGGAGGGCAACTTCGTCAGGAAGCTTCTCTACCCCATACCGCAAAGTGGCATCGTACTGGGCAAGCACAACCGTCTCGACCTGCCCATGACTGTGGCCAGCAGCAGAGTCTGGTTCCAGTTGGCCATCCACCCCACTGATGTTGTTCCCAGCTCGGTCGCCCAAGATCTCAACTCTACGTGGCAGGCTGGTGTGGTCTCGCGCCAGCTCCGCGAGTGGCGCTTGGCAGAGTGGGCAAACCGCCGCAACCGTTACCTCGACTTCACCGCCGACTTCGACGTACACGAGTTCTACGAGCGTTACGCAGCTCTAGGCTGCATGGACGGGAAGGACGGCATCACGAACTGGACACTGCAGCGAGGTTGGAGCAATGGCGAAGTCGTCGTTGGCAACGAGCGCATCTGGATGAGGGAAGGCACATGGTGGGAGGCTGAGTCCCAGCTTGAGCAGCTGAACGGAAACCAGGGTATGAACGCAGGCATGTTGGGTGGTATGGTCGGAGCTGGCGGCCTCGAGAGCGGTTACCCTGCTCAGGCACCTCCTAGCATGGCCGGCAGCGGCTTCTTCCCACCTCTTCCGGAACAGCAGCCTCAGAACCCTTTCCAGAGCACGCCTAGCCTGGCACTGCCCGCAGACGCGAAGTCTGTGGCACCTACGACAGCCGCCGTGCCCACGACTGGAGCTGGTGACTATGGCCTCGGCTCCAAGGGTGATGAGAGTAAGGGCGTTACCTACTACGACGCTGAAACTGGTGGCAACTCCATGGTCACCGAGATGCCCATTACAGCGACTCGGCGCATTTGGATCGCCTTTGTGTGGGCAGTGACATGCTTCATACCCTCACCTCTTCTGAAGTGGGTTGGTCGTATGAAGCGACCAGATGTCCGTATGGCCTGGAGAGAGAAGTTCGTTCTTGTCTTCTTGATCCTCCTGCTCAACGGAGCCATTGTCTTCTACATCGTCGCCTTCGGCAAGCTTCTGTGTCCCAACAAGGACAAGGTCTGGAGCCGAACTGAAGTTTCCACTCATCAGGGTGAAGACGATTACTACGTCAGCCACCACGGTGTAGTGTACGACCTGTCGTCCTTCTGGAAGAAACAGCACAGCGACTCCAACACCGAGGCTTCTCGAACCAACATGATCGAATTTGCTGGTTATGACATGGACCCCTACATTATGCCGCCACTGTATCTTGCCTGCCCGAATTTGATTGAGGACTCCACGCGCAATGAACAGTTGTACCTGACATCTAACACCACCATCACCAACTCCTTGGGTGTTCACAAGTCTGGATCGCAGACCAACTTGGCTGACAGCGCCGCTTTGAAGAAGGAGGACTGGTACCCGAATGTCTTCCTGCCTGCGATCAAGGAATTTCGAAAGGGCGACCTTGTCTGGGATTCAAAGAAGATTAAGGACGAAGGCGAGGATGAGAATCACATGTGGTTCACATTCGGTGATGATGTTTACGACCTGACGGATTACTTCAAGACTCTTGACGTCAACAACGACGGCTCCGAGTACCAGTTCCTCGACTCCAAGTTCACTGACCTCGTCAAAAGCAATGCTGGAACCGATCTTAAGGAAGAATTCGAGAACAACCTGAACTCCACCGCCCAAGCCTACAACCTTCAGTGTCTGAAGAACGCCTTCTACGTTGGCAAGACCGACTTCCGAAAGAGTGCCAAGTGCCGAGTCAACGACTACATCCTGCTTGCGGTCACCATCGTACTCTGCTCCGTTATCGTCATCAAGTTCTTGGCCGCGTTACAGCTTGGATCGCGCAAGCGCCCAGCCAACCAGGACAAGTTCGTCATCTGCCACGTTCCTGCGTACACGGAAGGAGAGGAGCACATTCGAAAGGGCCTTGACTCACTGACTGCTCTCGCCTATGATAACAAGCGCAAGCTCATTTGCGTTGTTTGCGACGGAATGATCGTCGGAGGTGGTAATGATCGCCCTACACCCAAGATTGTGCTGGATATTCTCGGTGTCGATCCCAAGGTTGACCCTCCTGCTCTTCCGTTCTGGTCTGTCGGTGAAGGCAGTCAACAGCTCAACTACGGCAAGGTCTACTCCGGCCTCTACGAGTTTGAAGGCAACGTTGTTCCATACATCGTCGTTGTCAAAATGGGCAAGGAGTCTGAGCAGTCCAAGAGCAAGCCTGGTAACCGCGGTAAGCGTGATTCTCAGATCTTGCTCATGAGCTTCCTCAACCGTGTCCACCACCGCGCTCAGATGAATCCTCTCGAATTGGAGATGTTCCACCAGATCAACAACATCATCGGTGTGGATCCTGAGCTCTATGAATACATGCTCATGGTCGACGCCGATACTATGGTCAGGCCTGATGCTCTTAACCGCCTCGTAGCAAGCTGTGCCAACGACTCCAAGATCGCCGGTATCTGTGGTGAGACCAGTCTTGAAAACGAAGAGAAATCCTGGTGGACAATGATCCAGGTTTACGAGTACTACATCTCCCATCATCTTGCCAAGGCCTTCGAAAGCTTGTTCGGCAGTGTCACCTGTTTGCCTGGATGGTGAGTTCACTCCTGTTCGTACACAAGCTCAGCTAACAATCTCAGTTTCTGCATGTACCGTCTGCGAACAGCTGACAAGGGCAAGCCTCTCATCATCTCCGACAAGGTCATCAAGGACTACGCCGACTGTGTTGTCGATACTTTGCACAAGAAGAACCTGCTCTCGCTCGGTGAGGATCGTTACTTGACGACCTTGATGACGAAGCACTTCCCGACCATGTCGTACAAGTTCATTCCTGACGCCTACGCTCTTACGGCTGCCCCGGAGACATGGAGCATTCTGCTCTCGCAGAGACGTCGCTGGATCAACTCGACCATCCACAACCTGGCTGAACTTGTTTTCATCAAGGACCTCTGCGGCTTCTGTTGTTTCTCCATGCGTTTCGTCGTCTTCATCGATCTGTTTGGTACTCTCGCCCTCCCCTCGATCTGCGCCTACCTCGTCTACCTGATCTACATGGTTGCTTCCGGCACGGGTCAATTCCCGTTGATCTCGATTGTTATGCTTGCCGGTGTCTACGGTCTGCAGGCTCTAATCTTCATCATCAAGCGTCAGTGGCAACACATTGGATGGATGCTGATCTACCTTATGGCTTTCCCCATCTACTCGCTGGTTCTGCCTCTTTACTCCTTCTGGAAGCAAGACGACTTCTCGTGGGGTAACACCCGTGTCGTCATTGGCGAGAAGGGCCAGAAGAAGGCCGTGCTCACGGAAGACGAGGGCTTCGACCCGAAATCTATTCCAATGATGCGATGGGACGAGTACGCTGAGCGCAACGAGCTTCCTGGTCGCCGTGGCCTGCCTGGTCAGACCTCGGAGAAGGGCGGTTTCAGCGCTTACGAGGACGACACTTATGAGATGAACGACATGCAATCCGTCTACTCGTCGGTCAAGCCTGCGTCGACCATCATGTCCAACATGCACCACATCTCTCACATGCCACCTCAGTCGCCAGGCCCCTACCAGGGCATGCAGACGCGCCAGTCGACCTACTCAAACTTCTCGCGCTACCAGGACCACCCACCCCAGAACCCTCACCAGAGCCGCCTCATGTCTATGGGTGGTATGAGCGATCAGTACGATGCGTCACCCTACGGCAACCGTCCTAGCGTGGGTGGCTTCCAGAGCTCAGATAACCTCATGGCCTCCACACCGCCAATCCGCGGACGCAGCCCTCTTGGGTACGGTCAATCGCGCCCTGGCAGCACAGTCAACTTCCAGAACATGATGAACGGCCCCAGCGACCAGACTATCGTCGAAGTCGTTCGAACATGCCTGCGGGAGGGCGACCTCGACTCGATGACTAAGAAGCAGCTCGTCGCGCTCGCTGAGCAGAGGCTGCAGACACAACTGACTGGCGAGAGGAAGATCTTCCTCAATCAGACCATCGACACGGAGCTGTCCCTGATGGGTTAGAGCTCTACGTGACGCACGTTTATATTTGCATTTGTGGTGTTTTGTTTGTATATTTGACATGTCTCCTCAGCGGAACTACGATGTCTTTGCAGATAGTCGCTCCTTTCTCCGGCGCATGATATAGGGAAAACATTGGGGACCTGCAAGGGAATTTGCAAGGTCGGAGTCTGATTGCATTGGATTTGGCATCGATGGTACAGATAATGATGGAGACTATATAGTAATTCGAGACTGTGCTACCATTTGGTCGAACGTACTGGTGTGAATTGGTGTTGAATTGGTGTTGATTGATTGGTTTAACGTCCTATCTGAGTCTGAGACTATGGAAGACGATTTTGTTGAATTGGTGTTGAATCGGTGTTGTATGCGTTGCCCCTGTCCAGCCAAGCTCCACAGCGACCTCCGCCATCTCCGCAGCTCCAACCCACTTCCCAGCACCAAACACACCCCCCACCGCCCACCATGCCGCCAAACCGCATCGAACAAGATGAAATCGAGAAATACTGGGAGATCTTCAGCTCGCTATCCAACGGCGGCACGCACCTTGACGGCGCGCAAGCCGCCCCCGTGCTCAAGAACTCGCACCTGCGTGACGACCAGCTCGAGCGCGTGTGGGACCTGGCCGACGTCGACAATGACGGCAAGCTCGACTTCGAGGAGTTCTGCGTCGCGATGCGGCTCATATTTGACCTGATCAACGGCGTGTCCTCTGACGTCCCGCAGACGCTGCCAGACTGGCTGGTCCCGGAGAGCAAGGCGCATCTTGTGCAGGCTACGCGGGCGCTGAGCGGGGGCCAGCAGTTCGAACCGGTGGAGGATGAGGATGAGACGTTGGGCTTGAGGGATGGGTTTGACTGGTACATGTCGCCGAGCGACAAATCGAAATACGAAGAGATATATACTGCGAACCGCGATTCGCACGGGAACATATCGTTCGAGAGCCTCAACGGGCTGTTCGACAGCCTCGATAATGTGCCCGACTCAGATGTGCGGTTTGCGTGGAACTTGGTTAATCCCAAGGCGAGGGAGAGCGTGGGCAAGGACGCAACCCTTGCATTCCTGCACATCCTCAATCAGCGGAGTGAAGGGTACCGCGTCCCCCGATCCGTGCCCCCGAGTCTAAGAAGCAGCTTTGAGAAGGCGCATATCGACTACGACATCAACCACAGCCAGAACCGTTGGGCAACCAGCAACGACGATAACACCGCAACGGGCCGCAAAGCAAAATTCGGCGACGCGTACCTGACGCGTCTGGGCGTTGGCGACCGCGCAGCAAACTACGGCGCGCGCGCCAAGGGGACGGATTTCGGCGGCCGGACGACGGAGGACTGGGAGGAGGTGCGCTTGAAGAAGCAGTTGAAGGAATTGGAGGGGAAGATTGCGGATGTGGAGAAGGAGGCACAGAACCGGAGACACGGGCGGAGTAAGGATAGTACGCCTGCGCTGGTGAAGAGGGAGCTCGAATCGTTGCTGGACTACAAACGGAACGTGCTGAGGGATTTGGACAATGATGAGGGTGGTGCGGTGAAGGGGCTCGGGGGGATCAGAGAGGAGATTGATACTGTGAAGGAGCAGGTCGAGGGGCTGGAAAGCCACCTCCAGAGGCGACATGAGGTGCTCGAAGATCTTCGACGGCAGATTGATGACGAGAAGGCGCGGTGAGCTGAGCGAAGCTTGATGCCTGAACGATCTTGTATGAGCAAGCGGCAGAGGGAGACGTTGCGTGCATAGACAACACAGTGAGCAGTAATAAGACATCATTCAAGACCACATGCCCCAACTACTTCCCCCGCAAACAGCTAGCGTCTACATTCACGCTTTCTAGACAAACTGTCTAACCAGCTATCAAACATGGCTTGTTCCTTGATATCGGCTATGCAGTCGTGAGTCCATACCTCGACACAGATACAACCGGTTAGCATCGCGATATGGATGTCAGTCGCTCTTCGACGACACGCATTTCCAGATGTCACCTTGGACGAACAAAATTCACAAATCCTTATCATGATACATCAACCCCCGAGACTCAAGGTTCCAGCCGAATTAGCGTTGTGGCCACGGCGCTGTGGGTTTTCTCGTGTGTTCAAGTTGCCGGTGATGTCCAAAACAGAACCCCCCGGGTTTGCACCGGACGAAATACTCCCAAGACGAGGTCTGCCATCCTGGCATAGTGGGATCGACTTCGCATCCTCAGCATCCCATCCATAACAGCATTTGGGCAGCACGGAAAACATGACATTTGAGTATCGCACATTAGTGCTTGTCATGCAATCAGTTCACCGCATCTCCTCAGACACGATTGATGGTCTTTAGAACAACAAGAGGTACGTCACGCAAATTTGCAGGCTGCCTCGCCTCTAATAAAAAAAACACACGACAGGACTACAGTGATTCTGCAAGGCCTGTGAAGACCTCGTATACACACCGGAACCCTCTGTATGTAGACCGTCACTGCACCGCGAGATCTATCCCAACATCCTAGGGCCCCCATTGCCCCGCCGGCCAAAAGTAGTCGCCCAATCTCCACCACACCACACCGACCGCAAGCAGGTGCACCAAAGGGAGAAAGTCTCAGGCCCCACAAACCACACAAACACTACAACCAAGGTCTCTACAAGATAAGCGAGTACATAAGTGCAAAAAAATGATACTTGTTATCTCCCCCGGAAAGGCTCGAACTTTCAACCTCCTGATATGCAATCAAGCGAGATGCGGATAACAGTCAGACGCGCTAGCCAATTGCGCCACGGAGGATCAACTTATAAAGCCAAGTTGGTGGTTGCGCCACGACTTTTGATGGTATTTCAGATAAAAGCAATATTTATATAGTGAAATGTAAACGAGAGGATGAGACATGGGCAAGCCGAGAAGGGGCTCGGGTGTTGATAGTGGTTTCAAGTAAGATAGAGGGTTGATGTGGAGGACAATGTGGGGTTGGGACGAAAACTCTGATGCATGCGGCCGATGGCGTGGTGGGGTGCGTTCTGAGTCTGGGATGGAGGAACATGCCAACAATGGTGGGCGTGGATTTACAGCACCGGCGGGTGATATACTAGAACTTGGGTGTTAGTATGTGAGGAAGAAAAACACAGGTAGTACCTGACATGACCTTGGTCATGATCATCTCATGCCCCTGGCTGCACCGTCGACACATGAGCTTGGTTGCACGTTGAAACATCGAGATCACGGGTATGAGTGGGCGACGGAGCGTATGCCGGTAATGACTGTGGTCGATTGTAATAAAGTTAAGAACCATATGCCATGGCGGAAGAGTGCATTGTGTACTCTTCGTCCATTTGTGCTGTTGTCCCCCAAGCCAACACAGGTAGTCGAAGTACCAGCTGTGACTGCCGTCACCCATGCTTCCATATCACTGCCGATGCATGCACGTCCTCCATGGGTTAGCGAGCTGCACAGTGCTGTGCGGTCGTACAGACGGTAGCTTGGGCGTTGCATTGACAGGCGCGTGGCCGGAGACCTAGCAAGGGCTAGACTTGGCGGTCGCAGAGTCGTCAAGGAGTCTCAGGAGCTTCACCCCAGTACTTCCTATGACATGCTTAGCGTGCCTTATCAGATGTCAAAAGCAGTGTTCATCGTTCAAGGATGTTTCGTTGAGGGTGCTGTCTGTGGCATCATAGTGTGTGATCAAGTCCTGCGTATCAGTCGCCCATAGCGGGCCTTGTGGTTAGCCATGTCGATGAAAGTGCCGATTGAACAGCATAGGTCAAGTCAAACGTCGAAGTTGCTTGCGAGAAGGCGGAGTGTAGAAGTTCTCACGCCGGCTCTGATCGACCTCCTATGGTTTCGATACAGCCGACGTGGACGGCTTCGTAACACACCGCTGCTGGAGAGACGAAGGGGGACCATACCAATTAACATCGCTGAGTTGCAGCTTCCTGGCACGCTGATTGCTGCGGTTATTGCCAGCCTTGTCGAGACGCGGCTGCGCATACGGATTAGGGGTCTTGTCCAGACCTTGCTGAGTATCAGTACGTTTTCTATTGGTATTAGGCGAGAGGGTGTAAGAGAATGGTGATTCACCAGTGTCGTCGACGTCATCACGAGCTTCGTTGTAGTTTAGAACGAGGCTCTTGATGCGCTGCTGCTCCTCCTTCTCAGCCTGCTGCTTGTTACGCATGGCAACGGCAAAGGTCGAGTCAGAGGGCAGGTCAATTGATCGCGTCTGCGTCTTGTTTCCACGCTTGCTGAGGAGTGAGAATTTGACTGTGTTAGATGGTGCAGCAGGGACGGGAGCTTCGCTCACGCCGTCTTCAGGGTTAGTCGTTGCCTCACGAGCACGGCGCATCGGCAGAGGCACGTCGAACACAGGCTTGCGGTCGTACTTGCGGGAGTCAGCGCTCTCAGACATGAGCTTGGCAAGCTCTCGATCAAAGTCGGCTTCCGCTTCGGGATCGCGCTCCTCCTCTTGACGTGTCACAACAATGTGCTCCTCCTCGTCATCAGAAAGGTTCTGCTTGACAGGCTCGTCCTCATCAGAATCCTCCTCGTCCTCGTCAGACGACTTGTCTTCGCCTTCGGGTATGACCACATCATCGTCCTCAGGGCCGTCTATATCGTCGTCAGAAGCAGATTCCTCCTCATCTTCGGGCTCAGCAGGCTTGTCAGCCGCCGTTGTTTGGTAGTTCTGCTTGACAGCCTCACCGAAGACGCGAGATGCTTCGTCCAGATCGGTAATCAGCTTCCACTGGGGGCGAACGAGAGCGTAAGCGTCCTGCACAATGAACTCTACGTCCATCGGCAGAGCCTCCTTGGTGCATACGTAGTATTGCAGATATGTGAGGAAGAAGTCGAGCTTCTTCTTCGCTGCTCCCTTGTCGTAGTACATGCCACATGTCTCGAGAAGATTGCAAACAAGGCGGATGCGGAAGTAGTCATCTGGCAGATCTAATGGATTGTACAAATCCGGACGAGCGTACCCACCCTGCCATCCGTAGTTCAGCAACTTGTACAGTGTGTCGAACACAAGAGGTGAATCGACGAGTCGATATATGTACAATTCGCCAAGGAACTTGACCTCTGCGATCCTGCGCTGATTGAACTTGAAGTCGTTCAGTTCAAGGCCGAATGTGATGGATTCCAGAAGATCGTCGATAACGGCGATGGCGAAGTCCTGGTGGTAGCGATGAATGGTGCCGAGGATGACAGCCAACAAGTGGATATTGCTGTACTTGATCTTGCCAGGCTTGGAGAAAATCTTGTGCAGAAAGTTCACCACCTCTTCCTCTTCCCAGTGCATCTTGCGAATCTGCTTGACAGTTCTATCTAGGGTGCGGCGAGCCAGATCCTGATACATGATCTTGCGCAAGAACAGTTCGACCGGTGTCCGCTCCTTTTGCTCGATAGCTGCACGCTCTGGTGGATTGACGTAATAGATCGCGTTCTCAATCAGCATGCGCTCTTGCTGGCCAAGCACCTGAGCGCCCTTCTTGCGCTGGAGTGTTTCAAGGAACGAGGCCATGCGAGGTGATGTATCTGGGTTGCGGAGGAGGTACCGTCCGCAGTTCTCAAGGAGGTTGCAGATGATTTCAATGTTCATCCTCGAGAAGTCATCCAGGCTGACCTTGAGGCAGTGGAATATGACGTGCTCAGGAACGACGCCAAATTTGGTCAGCTCTGCAAGATAGCGCACATTTTGTGTACGCACTTGTCCTAGGAAGTCCTTCGATTTGCGTCGCTGCAGGCTTCGGAACTCATCATCCAGGTAGGATACGAGGCCCTGGGCAACGTCGGGCATGTATTTGGCGAGTGTGGCAATCAACCTGGAGTAGATCGGTAGCAGGTCGGATCGACCCTTGGGGATATCTTGTACAGCCTTGATAAGACGGTTGCGTGATGCTTTCGAGTTGAGGAAACAGAAATCGATTGCGGTTTGGTCCACCGCATCCTTGGTGTTGAGCTCTGGAAGGCGGGCAAGGACTGCATCTACCTGCGTACCAACAGACTTGTTTGCAATGGCAGTAGACTGGTCGTCGGCATCTGCGACCTTGAGTGCCTCTGTGGCCTCTTTCTCAGCGGTCTCTACCTTCGCCTCGATGCGCTTTCCGACCTGCTCGTTGGTGTCGACATTCTTCTTTTTGGCATCCTCAAGTAAAATGCCAGGGACTCGGTCCTTCAAATCGATCAGGTTCTCGTAAAAGCGGCGCTCGTCCTCGTCTTCCCAGATTCCTGGTCCGTCACTACGGCCGCGCAGGTATTCTCCAGCCTTGATCAGACCGATGGATCCGTCCCCAGCATTTGCAGAGTTGTCCTTCTCTTTCAGGTCGGGCATGTCCACACCCAGTGCATCAGCCATGAACTGAGCATTGGCTACCAACCGCTCTTGTGCCTTCAACTGTTTCTCGTAGTTTGCCTGACGGTCTTCGAAGACCTCTCCAGACTTCACATAGGCTTCGGCGTTCTTGCGGCCCTGAGATGCAAGATGCTTCTGGTCTCGTAGCAAATGTGCTTTGACATCTTCAAAATAGCGCGTGAAGATGTTCTTAAAACGCTGTTGTAGATCGGGAGCAATGATAGGCGGGTCTTTGCTGGGCTGGTCATCGTCCTCAGTGGCCGAGGTGTCCTCATTCTTGTCACCGGTTGTCGTACCATCCTCGTTGACTGTCTTCCGACCCTCAACAGACGATGTCCTAGCACCAAGAATATCCCAGGCGAAGGCTTTAACGAAGATGACCACCAGTGGCAGGTTGACGTGCTCGCGGTCGTGGCCGAGCATGTCCTTCAGCACTTCCAAGGGGAACGGCTCTGCATCGGCGTTCTCTACACGCGCCCTAGTTTTGGTAGATGTTTCCCCGAGCTTGCCATTGTCCTTGTTTTTCCCCGCCTCTTCAGGTCGCGCAACGTCATCCAGGCTTCGCAACACTCCTACCAGCCAGAGTTCGGTAGCCACACGTAGAAGCACGCGCTGACGAGCCAAACGTTCCTTCTCTTCTCGGTCGCGCACTTCCTGTGACAGCGTCTTGAGGTGTGCTTTGTCCGGTGTTGCCAGTCCCCTTCCAATATACCAGCCAATATATCCAGTGAACTCGGCAGGACCAAAGCGTTGGTGAAGTGCGCTGATGATTTCGACACCGGTCGCGATCTCACCGGGGGTCTTGAGCTTGCAGAGGCCTTCGTAGCATGCTGAGATAATCTCGGAGAGGTACTTGTGCAGGGACAGAGTGCGGATCTCTTGAAGGAATTGAGTTTGGGAGGACGCATTGATGGCAGTTCGGAGACGCTTGATAAAGGCGGTGTTCTTCTTCATGGACGAGTCGAGCGAGCCTTGTACGGGGAACACATCTGTATAACGCGTGAGTATGGGAACTGGTGGGGGCGCACTTGGACACTGACCTTGCTCGCCATCCCACGCGCGAAAATTGAGCTCACGAAGCTCTCCTTCTTGCTGTTAGTAAGATGTAGCTTCTTCAAAAAGCCACACGTACGCTTCCTGGGCCTTTCCATGGTGGGGTAGGTAGTCCCTCAGTGGTGGAGGGGCGGATGTTGATAGCACGGATCGGCTATGATACGCGCACATGGAATATCGGAGCTATGTCGGGCGCGACGTCTGCGAGCATTGGATCGAGCGCAGCGCGGGCAAGCTCACGGCGAAGCAATCGTTTGCGCGGAGCAGCAGCAAAGCAAGGCGGGGTGTTTACGCGGTTACACAAGTTGGGTTGTTTGAAGTTTGTCTGCAGGAACAGTCCGTCGTTCTTGCCGGGATGTAGCGTCATTCGCCGAAAATGATGACATAAGCAGACGTGGTTGGTTGGGTGCTCAAGTCTTCACTGTTCGACAACTTCACCGTGAAATGCAGCTGTGGAGACCTCCAGACTTGGGTGTTGCAGAGCTCTGATGTCTTCTCATTAACGTCACTGCCTCTTCTAGGATTTTTCCAAGTGCTATGAAGAGAGTATGGGCGTGAGATTCATGCTGCTAGCGGCCTTCTCGAATGGCAGGTCATTCAGCGTTCGGTTGGTCAATATTCGACGAACATGCTGTAAGATACATGCACAAGGTTTCCAGTTTATCGTTGATATGCTTTACCATCTCCATGACATTTGACTGCATGGACGGTGTCTCTAACAGGGGAATCGCAAACTGCTGTGTTATTCTCGCTTGGTGCTTGACCGTGCTGGTATGCACTGCAGTCCTCATTGAACTATACAACTTGTAGGATATTGGACCGAGCAGTGCAGGGGTAGGGCCTGGGGAAGATAGTGCGCGATTCTGGAGTCTGAACAAAGTTCTCGTCTTTAACGGCGCGTACATGCAGGTCATGGAGATGCGGCGCTTGTTGTCTACGGGCCGGCATCGAGTGCAGAAGTCAGCCAGCCATAGCGACTGCAGCCAACATCACTCGAGCCATAAAAGAACGTTGCCTTCAACATCTGCAAGTGCTGCACATAGCATTTGCTGTTTCGGTATCTCGGGGTAATTCCCTCAACGCAAAAAGGGGCGATGAGTCGCGTCCATTGCTTGTATCCTTTTCCCTACAGCGATCCTTGGCGCTTCTACTGTCTGCAAATTACAAATGCACAGCAGCCGAAGTTCATGTCAAAGGGGCAATGTGGAGCGAAGAGTGGCGCGCCTAACTCCACGATTTGTCCTTTGTTCATAGGCAACCCTGTTGCACCTTAAAAGCAGCATCGTTCGTGAGTGGTTGAGACAAACAGACTTGTAGTCTTGGTCTTTTAGAGTTCGAGCGACGTCAAACTGTGGTTCAGGGGTAAAACGGTGAGCTTAGATTTGCCGCGGCTTTAACACCAGCGGGCGTAGCGCTATGGATGAACGACGTCGACTCATGTGCATAGATGAAACACAATTTGCGAAAGGCGATTAAGACAGGCGATGACGGCGATGAAGGCGATGACGGCGATGAAGGCGATGAAGGCGATGAAGGCGAAGGTTATACGAGAGGTGATGTCGGCTTCAATCTCAGCCTTGCGACGCATCTACCAGTTATAGAGATCTGCGATGCTATTCATGGAAAGAAGATTGCCAACATTGCATCCCGTACCGAAGAGATCGGCAGTTTGGACACGCACGACCAGATCCCAAGCCTGTGGGACCACGACATGTCCTGTTTATCGATTGCCAGCCGTCTACTTAGCCTCGCGGGACGGCAGGTCCGTATTGAAGATCTGTTCTGGAAGGCTGAGTGAGATGCAGGAAGCATAGAAGTGCACCGCTGCATGTTTAGGCTCGCAGGTGGCGGAACTGCGTGTGTCACGGCAAGAGGCCGCTCGGCAGGGGAATCATGTTACCTCATCTCATCGCTCGATGTTGAGGGCGCCGTTCTTCGTGGAGTTGCGGGCCCTCTCCAATGTCTCCACCGAATGCTCGTGTTACTTTTTCTAGCTTCTCTTAGCGCTCACTGTGGCGGCACCGAAGAAGAATAGGGGAGGGCAAACGTGCTGCTCCGTCCGCTCGTATTCAATTTCAATGACGGGTGACAGCAAGCCCCTGCCGTGAAGCTTGAAAGCCCGAAAGAGGGAACGTGATGGCAGAGGCGCATGCGCGGTCCTATTGGCTGTAAACATTATGTCAGCAGACTCTTGTGCAAGGCCAGCGTGCGTTCTTGGCAATGAAACGTGCAGCGGAAAGGCGGCAGGGAAGGCGAAATTCCTGCGCGCCATGATGCCATTGGAGCGTATCCTGCAGTGAGCGTTCATCGTGCAGGAGCAGGTTTGAGTGCCTTGTCGCCGAGTAGGCTGTCATCTGCAGTGTTTGCCGTGCTGCTGCCTTTGTAGTCGTTGGCCCAAAGGCAGCGTGGCCGCCTAGACTACCAATGTTCGCGCAACAAAGGGAGAAACTGCAGAGGCACAACAAGGACGATCAGGAGCATCGTCAAACAGAACGACCAGGAGCGTACGGGGGCGTCGTCCTAAAATAGGTCGCGAGGCTGCATTAGGTCTCGCCGGCGTGGAGCTCTTGCGCACTGAACCACTCACACCGAGCGAGACGGCCAGCACCCCGTGTCAAGCTCTCGGTTTGGAGAAGGGGAGGCGGCCTGCCTGCCCGAATCAGTAGGGAGCCCCCCTGCGATGATCCAGCACACTTGCGCAGACTTCACCACGCCCAGAGACACGATGACACTTTGGGTGAAGTCTGCGGTGGGCCCTAGCGTTTCCGCGCTTTCGTGCCTGTACAAACCAAACCGACCCCCTCGTGCAGCGAATTCCCTTCCCTCTTCCAGGCGCACCTCCCCCCAGAACCTGCAGCTTGTTTCCCTTGCGTGCGGCATCTGTGATGACATTGTCCTGAACAGCTCACTTCTTTCTTCCTTCGACCCCTCACACTCGTTTACCTGCCTGTTCAGGAGGTACATTTACCCGCCCAACAAGCACCGGCGTAGCAGTCAATATCGACAACGCCGAACTCAACAATTCAAGTGCCAGCTGAATCAGCCTCTGTCTTTTTTGGGACTGCATCTTCTCGTCTACACCCTCGGTACACCCTCGGTTCCTGCCTCGATTCTCTAGCGCTGTGCAACGACTCGTCCTGAGCGTGCGCTGTGTCACCCGTCCAGCTCTCCACCGCACTGGGACTGCCTGAGCAAGTCAATTGCCTCATACCGCGCTCGCCTCTCGACTTCTGAACGTGGCTTTTAGTCACCCACTGCTGCACCCGCATCCAGTGTGTTCCAGCACCCTCGTTTCACCGAGCGGCTCTCGACACACCTTTGGCAGCTTAAGCTAGAGCTTTCTGCCTGCACTCGCTTTACCCCACCTAACGACCTCGAAACGAACATATACGGTTAATACTTCTCTACGATGTGGGATCAAATGGGACCCGTCGTCCGGGCCCTTGTGTCTAGGGCAGACTCGGGCGACATTCCAGATATCACCGACCCATGGCCGGTCAAGGACGTGAGTTGGCTCGATCTTCCATATCGAGCAACATAGCTAACAGAAACAGATTGTCTACGTAGCTATTGTCGGCGGTGTCATGATTGCTGCTTTGCTCGAATGGTTTCTCTGGGTTGCCGCGTTCACATACTGTCTGGTCAAGGTCTTCCAGAAGGCTGAGTCCATGAGTGTTCGACTGCTGGCGATCTTCTTCGGTATCCTCTTCTTCTGTCTCCGGTATGTAATCTTATCCTGCGACCCGCTGCATTGCTAATTCCACCAGTGCCATCTTCTTGCCCATCATGGTCGTCACGCTTCCTCTGCCCGCCCAGGTCGTCAAATACTTCCCCCAGGAGATGGTCGATTTCCTCCAATGGTTTGCTTTCTGGTCATTTGCTGGTCTCTTGACAGTCCCGTGGTTGTTCTGCGTTTACCAACTCGTCACCCACTCCGTCGGCCGCGCTAGGAGGATCAAAACCGTGCTCGATGAGGCCTCTGCCCCCAAGGTCGTCATTGTCATGCCCTGCTACAAGGAAATTCCGGAGATTCTTCTGCGAACGTGCGATTCGCTCGTCGACTGCGAGTACCCCCCTTCCTGCCTGCACATCTTCCTGTCCTTCGACGGAGACCAGGAAGACGAACTCTACTTGAACACCATCGAGAAACTCGGTGTACCCCTCACCCTGGACTCGTACCCCAAGTCCATCGATGTCATCTACCGTAGCTGCCGTATCACCATCTCTCGTTTCCCCCACGGTGGTAAGCGTCATTGCCAGAAGAGGACCTTCAAGCTCATCGACAAGATCTACACCGAGTACCTCAAGCGCAACGACAACCTGTTTGTGCTCTTCATCGACTCCGATTGTATCCTCGACAAGTCCTGCATCCAAAACTTCATGTACGAAATGGAACTCAAGCCTGGCTCTAAGAAGAACATGTTGGCCCAGACCGGTGTCATTACATCTACCACAGAGAAGAACTCGCTCATCACCCTGCTTCAGGATATGGAGTACATTCACGGTCAACTTTTCGAGCGTTCTGTCGAATCTGGATGCGGTGCCGTCACCTGTCTTCCCGGTGCCCTTACCATGTTGCGATTCTCTGCCTTCCGTAAGATGGCCAAGTACTACTTTGCCGACAAGGCTGAACAGTGTGACGACCTCTTCGATTACGGCAAGTGCCATTTGGGCGAGGATCGTTGGTTGACTCACTTGTTCATGATTGGCGCCCAGGAACGATACCAGATCCAGATGAACACCGGAGCTTTCTGCAAGACCGAGGCTGTGCAAACCTACTCTTCGCTGCTCAAGCAGCGTCGCCGATGGTTCTTGGGTTTTATCACCAACGAAGTTTGCATGTTGACAGATATCCGTCTGTGGAAGCGCTACCCCATCCTGCTGATCGTTCGTTTCATGCAGAACACTATCCGTACCACCGCCCTGCTTTTCTTCATCTTGGTCATCTCCCTCATCTCGACCTCGCAGAAAATCGCCAACCTACCCGTCGGTTTCATTGCCATTTCTCTCGGACTCAACTGGCTTCTCATGATCTACTTCGGTGCCAAGCTCGGTCGTTACAAGGTCATGCTTTACCCTCTTATGTTCGTTGTCAACCCCTTCTTCAACTGGGTCTACATGGTCTACGGTATCTTCACTGCTGGTCAACGTACTTGGGGTGGACCCCGTGCTGATGCCGGTACTGCTGACGCCAAGGTCTCTCCTCAGGAGGCTATTGAGCAGGCCGAAGCTCAGGGCGATGATCTTAACGTTGTCCCTGAGACCTTCAAGGCCGCCGCCGAAGCTCAAAAGAACCGCCCCGGCCCCGTTCCCCTGCAGCCTACCGCCGATATGGAGGGACGCTTCGCCGCTGCCGAGCGGCTGCCCAACGGCTGGTACCAGCAAGGAAACGACTCTGGTCTTACTTTCCCCAACATGGCACCCCGCGACCCTAACGCTCCTCATGTTCCTCTGCACCCCCGCTCTTCCATGGACTCGTTCACCTCGGGCACTTCCGCCAACAACTCCGTCTACATGCCGCGTCGTGTCGAATCCTTCATGGACCCTGAGGATGCTCGCATCTACCACAAGACTCAGCAGACTCAGAAGCCTGCTGGTGGTGCTTTCTTCGAGGAGCACCGTCAACAAGGACCTTACGAAGTTGGCATGAGCTCCGGAAAGGGTGGTTACACGGAGTCGGTCGAGTCTCTTTCCAGCGACTCTGTCTACGACAAGCAGCAGCAGCAGAGGCCCCAACAATACCGCAACCAGAGCAATACATCGCCACTTTCCGCCGAGTACGGACAGGGCGATCTGGCGGCGCCCAAGGCTGCATACAGCCAGCAGAACAACCGTGACTCTAACGGCTCAAACCGTCAGGGACGCAGTCCTCTCGCACAAGAAAGCTACAGGAGTGCACCGGGCGATGAGCTTGGCTTCGAGATGCAACAACCCCAGAACAGCAGCTTGATGCGCGATGTATCACCTGCCCCCATGGGCCACAGCAGAAGCGATTCTACAGATTCGAAGAAGCGCAAGCGCCTCACTAAGGACCGCAAATAAACACGACCTTTTTCCTTTGATTAGCAATCTACTTTCGCATCTACGCATCAAAAATCTGGACGTGGATGATGGCGTTTCCATACATTCAATAGCAGTTTGACTTTTCACATCCCTTGCATAGAGCAGGGTAACTGGCGTTCGAGCGACCGACATACTGCAATCCCTTGCATTATCTCATTAATGTACACATATCTTTATTCACCCAGTTGTTCATGGGCGACGGTGTGGTTTGGCTTGGTTGGATACGACTTTGACTGTAGATTATGACTGGTTCACTCACTACCATTATTTCGAACGAGCGTTGTGTTGTGGTACATATGTGAGAGCCTGAGAGAATCCTGCGCTTAATGTTTAGAGGCCTAAGGGTTGAATTCAATGATTACCCCAAAGATGTGTATATTGCGTGTGACTTTACTGTTCTGTTCTACATTGCCTCTGAGACTAAGCACCGTGCACTACAGATCACTAACGCATTCCATGCATTGATGTGATGTCTTTGCGAGCGTACTCGGAGAACACGGAATGCCTCCACGCTCCACAGCCCCAATAACATCAGGTACATTCAGATGTTGGTTCTCCACTACAAGCGGGCTTAAAGTCAAGGCCCAGCACCAGGCTGATCAATCTTCTTAAACAACTCAGGATGATCCATCGCATACTGCACGCCCGCCGCCCAATGATACAGCTTCGCAGCAATAACATATCCCTCCTTCGCCCATCCCTCCAGCCTCTCATACAACTCCGCCAACGGCACATTGATCCGCAAAATATCCTCACCTTCGTCCAGATGCTGCTCCGGCTCCGGCTCGCCCTCTTTCAAGTGCACCTCCATCATGCACAAACACATGTTCGCATTCGTCATTCCTGGGTCTGCTGCCACCGCCGGACTCGTACTGATTACCTTGCCACGGTACCCGGTCTCTTCATACAACTCTCGAACAGCGGCTTCCTCGGGCTGCTCATTCGCGTCGATGAGGCCTGCCGGCCACTCGACGGTTGTTGCTTCCACGGGTGGGCGGAATTGCAGAACCACGATTGTGGAGGGGGGTTTGCTGGGGTGGTAGATTATGTTTCCCATTGCTACGGCGTCGACACCGGCTTTACCGCGTGTCTTGCGCGAGGCGACTTCCCACACACGTGAGACGCCTTTGGCGTCGATGTAGTCGATTTTCTGGAGTTTGACCCATTTGGCCTCGCTGGAGGGGAGGTCGGTAAAGGCGGTTACGCGGGCTTTGGATTTGGTGGCCATCTTGTGTTTTTGGTGTTGGTAGGACTGATTGTCTCGATTCTTAGTGAGTGGAGAAAGGAAAGTTGGGCGGAAGGGTTTAAAATTTCGAGGCGTGTGAAGTCGTGATGTAGCTATGGTGGGATGAGTCGGACTTACAATCGCCGATGACGTAAACGGATTAGGTTTGCAGAAAGTCGCAGTAGACAAAGACGCAGTTGCCGAACTGAATTTTCCAAAAGGAAAGAACAAATAAATGTGGGTTTACTATAGCGGCTTTACAGATTGCAGCACGTGTCTTGAACTTCCATGCTTAAGCCTGAGAAAGAGACTACAGCATGAAGAGTTAGCGGCGGGAACTAATCGCGTAACGTCACCTCGAATTGAGCTGCAATTGCTCCTGATAAGCATCGACACATTGAGCCCGCTGATTCCTCATTCCTTGCGTTGTCGTTCCTGTCTGAGATTCTGTGCACTTCTTCGTTTTCCAGGCCTTGAGCATCGGGTTTCAAAGCCTATCGTTACTCGAGATGATTGCCACACGTGCCTTCACCAATACCCTCTTGAAGACAGCTGGAAATCGGCAGTTCTCGTCGAGCATAAGAAGGAATGCAGATTTCACACATGCAGTCATAGGTGGTGGCGTAGTTGGACTGGCTATCGCACGGAAGCTGCAAGAAAGAGATGGCGCATCAACAGTACTGATAGAAAAGCACGGATCCGTTGGTACAGAAACGAGTTCGAGAAACAGCGAGGTAACGTGAGCTTTCCTTCCCAGTTCCCCAAATCATTACATAGTATTTTGGATCTTGCGACAGAAGCTGACAGCAATCAGGTCATACACGCAGGACTCTACTATGGCACCGATTCGCTTAAGACAAAACTATGTCTGAGGGGCAAGGAAATGATGTACGAGCTTTGCCAAAAACAATCCATTCCCCATCGCAACACAGGAAAATGGATCGTAGCGCAAGACTCTACTCAGTTCGATGCGATCAGTAAAGTCCACGACTTCGCCTCCAGCGTTGGCGTGCCAACACGCTTTCTCTCCACCAAAGAAGCTAAAGAACGAGAGCCAGACGTCCGCGCTGAAGCAGGCGTACTGGAGAGCTCATCAACCGGAATTGTCGACTCTCACAGCCTGATGCAGTTCCTCGAAGGTGACTTCGAGAACAAGGATGGCGTGTGCGCGTTTCAGAGTGAGGTAGTAAACGTGCAACCTGTAGATGCTGGACGTGGAGGATGGGAAATCACGACCAAGAGCCCCGATGGCGCGGAGACAACGATCACGGCTGAGACTATCATCAATTCTGCAGGACTGTATGCTGTGGCGATATCGAATATGATCTTGCCCGAAAACAGGCAAAGGAAAGCCTTCTACGCAAAAGGAAGCTACTTCAGCTACTCGTCCTCGCGCCCGAAACCCAGCACCCTGGTCTATCCAGCCCCTGTTCCTGGCCATGGTGGGCTAGGCACGCATCTCACACTCGACATGGGTGGCCGCGTCCGCTTTGGACCGGATGTGGAGTGGACCGAATCGCCGACCGACTACACTCCTAACAGCAAGAACCTCAAGGCTGCAATCGACGACATCCAGACGTACCTGCCCGGCATTGATAGGGATGCCATCGCACCAGATTACGTTGGCATACGACCGAAGCTGGGCAGACTGGCGGCAACAAGTGGCAAGGACTTTCAGGACTTCTACATTGTAAAGGAAGAGGGGTTTGAGGGGTTCGTGAATCTCTTGGCCATGGAAAGTCCGGGGCTCACGAGTAGCCTGGCGATTGCGGAGGAGGTAGAGGGATTGTTATACAGACAGTTGAATTGACAGGGTACCTCCGTAGTGCCAGAAGTATCAATACCTCCAGGCTGCGCTTTCGACCACGTCTCAGAGGATACAACTGCTAGAAAGTTTATTTGTTGATACGGATCAGGTATATCGACCCGATAGGCCTCCGCACAACCTTTGTCCTATTTTGAAATGTAGTAGTGGAAGATCTGCTATACAGCTAGACGGCGTTCGAGAGGCGAGTTAGAGGGTGGGTGCTGCAAACGAGAGCATGGAGATATTCGGATAAGTAGACTGTGGTGCAAGAATCGGAAAGGGTTGTGGGTGTGGACACACGTTTGCTGATCTTCTTTGATGTGCACTAAAGAACGTTCGTTGATGATGAGCTTTGGTGACAAGAGTATAATTGGTATGAACTAATGACTAGAGTTCATGGTTTTTTTAAAGAGATATAGCGGGTCTGTTAACTGTTGGTAAGCTGGACAAAACCTCCGGAACCTGGCAGTGCAATGATGCATTGAGTCTTGGAAGAGTAGAATATCGAGACGCCGTTCAGAACGAACGGAGAACGATCTGGAAGTACTATTTTCTCCCGGACAGGGATCGGATGATGTGGCGCAGAGGCACTGCGTTTTGGAGTTGTGAATGTGATGAAAAGGGACTTCAAGTAACGCTTGCGGAGATGTCGCCGCTCGTACCAACAGATTTGGTGAGCCTGCACCGTGAGTCGCGAACGTCATCGTTATGTGGGGAGTATAGTCGCTGGGAGAAGTTGCTGGGGGTACAGAAGACTTCAGAGATTGAAACTAGCTGGTTTCTGGTCGGCGCAACGAAGAGGCGTGGCATAATGGTTCTGCCGCTTGTTGAGTAGATGCTACCCCTAGATACGCAACGAGAGACTTCTCTGGGCAGATCACAGCTTGCTGGAAGTAGTTAGAAACAGTCGATGACCTTGCCAACCCCACGGGCTCACTGTCAGAGCATTCTACAATGTTGTCAGCAATGTCAGACTCTCAGCCAATGGAACTTCTACAATACAAGAACAATCAATATGGAACGTCGACAATAGGTGGATAGGAGAGAATGGTGAGACAGGACACCTGCGTGCTTCCGGCTGACGAAGAAGCGGGGATATGTAAGGGTCATGACGACAGAGAAGGGGTTGCTCCAGCTCGTATATCTCTTCGTAAGAAAAGATGGGGAATGAACCTGCGAGTCCTGCAAGTTCAGGCTGGTCGACCGGTAGTATGGGAGTCATCGTAGCTGTTGGCGAATCTTCCACGTCAGAGAATCGCGCCTCTTGTCTGAGAAGTCTCCGTAAGGAACTCTTCCGTAGTGCCGATTTCCTCTCGCCACTGTCATTCGGAAGTTATAACGTGTCTGTAATGAGAGCTTTGAAGGCCATACCTTTGTGCCATAGACTTATTGGGTGAAAGTGTTTGCGCAAAAGATGTCCCCTCTAATGATCGAGTGGAAGAGCCAAGAAGATACAGGAGTCCATCTTGCTCTGAATTTAACAGCAATGATTGGCAGCTTGACGGAAGAGCATAGAATGCGATGATGATCGAATGGGAGAGTGGAATCGCGGTCCGTACATGCCTGGGGCAGTTAGTCAAAGTAGGACTCACGGGCAGACTTGTTAACAATCAAATCAAGCATATCTGATCTGATAACTTGCCAGCAAACAGACCACACTGTGGTCTGTGAACGATGGCACATACAGCAGAGAGGTCTGATCACCTATCGATAAGTGTTTGATCCAGATTTGATATGATCGACGACAAAAGTCTGCTCACGGGTTCAGAACCGGAATGGAAAGAAATCCTTCTCGGATGATTAGAGGACCACGGGTAAGCATTTCGTGGGTATGGAAACACACTTTGGTTTGAAGGATGTACTTATATCTCGTGATGAGACATCGAAGAGGGCAACGAAAAGGACGCGACCTCTTTGGGTCGCGCTACTTGCTTACGTCACATTTCACGAATCCAGCTGGAGCCTTCCGCGCTCCCAAACTTCGTCCATGTCAATACCCATAATGTGACCGTTTCTTCATCGGCCGTCGTGATGCCACGCGCAAAAACACCATACGCACGTGCTCGTGAACCTCTCTGCCCGTCGCTCCCCCCTGAGATATGGATCAATATCTTCAGTTACTGCCTCGACCTCTCGCACCTTTGGAACACATGTCGACGCATTTCACCCACTCTAAAAGCATGTGCTGAACGCGCGTTCAGCGAAAATCTTCTCGGAGATGTTCACATAGAGTTTATGTTGGACAGGCACAACCTAGGCGGCAAGAGAGGGCCTCACGAACCTGCGATCTCACTTGAATTCGAGCGCCTAGGCAAGGGCGATGAGGAAGGCATTGCATGGTTCTCTGGACACTTTCGTGGGCACAAGGTTGTGGATGCTGGGATGAGGGATAAGACAAAGGCTGTCATCATGCAGAGGTGGCACGAAAATGTTGAAAGGCGCAAGCCTGAGTTGCCGAACTACACGATAAGCATCGGCGAGGTGGTCAACGATACCCACATTCCAGGCCTAGTCGTTGATGCCGAGGAGTACAGGATACGATTAGACTGGCGTAGAATGTTCGAGCTATTCTTCCGTGAGCAAGCACGACTAGAAGACTTGAGGGCGGAGTGGCAGGGCAGCCATCGATCGACCCATCAGGCAGTCGCTACTCGCAAAGCAAAAGCAAGCAAGCCAGTATCGACGGAGCTCCCATCATCATGGGAGGAGATCGAGGCCGATGCGCGTAAAAACATTCGACGCACGAGGCTGAAAGAGCACTACCAAGACAATGCCGAAATGATATGGGCCATCAACTCACTCAAGTATTTCGAGAAGGCCGACTCAGCCAAATGGAGTTCTGCATCACCCCAAATGTTACCGCATCTGCCCGGTGCTGGTCTTGGCGAGCGATGGTTCGGTAGCACGAACCTTGTGCAAGAGCTCTACCTCGACGAGTGCAGTAGTATGAACAGGATTGACACTCAGATGAGGACTGTAAGAAAGCAGAAGGGTGGCTGAACACCTCGGGTGCGATATGGCTACTATGCCGACTTGCCACGTTGCACACATACGAACGATCAAACTTCGGGATCTTGACGATTACTACTCCATGATAATGCGGGCAGCATCGCTCCTCTGATCAGAGACATCGCAGCACAAGATGATCTCATCGGTACCTGGAACACGCACTGAAGTCAAGTGCACCCAGGATTCCATTTGAGATTCAGACATCAAATGTGGCTGAACAAAGACCTTCACCCAATAAAGAACAAGACCAAACCCCGCCGACCAACAACTCCACCATTCGTCACCAGTCAACCCGCCAGCGAACTGTGTGTGAGATGTCTCTGTACAGAGATTATACTTTGCTGATGCTTGCGCAAGCCATTGCGCGAGTGCGCTCGTCAACCTTAGCAACGTCAGTAAGGATCTTAGAAAGACTGCACAGTCGACGCACCTTAGTGGCAAGCAGCTTCAGCCGGGGTGCTAACCCTGAAACCACAGACATGAGGACTGCCTCTACATCTTCGGAAGCTTGTCGTTGAGCTTGTCGTTCACGATACCTGCGGTACCGTTGCGCTCCACGCGAGCTAGAGCACCAGCAGCGGCGACATTGCCCGTGGAACCACAGAAGGGTGCACCGCAATGGTTGAAGGGATCATAGCGATCGGAAGCGCCGCTTGCGGAGGCGACGGGCGCTAGAGTGGTCATGGTGAGGAAGAAGAGGCTGAAGATGGGCCTGGGAAGCATCTTGATGATTGAGTCTTGCTCGCTGAAGGCTTGTATAGTAGCCAAGAGGGTCTAAATATGGAGTCGGTGAGGTTGAGATGATGTGGAAGTTGAGGTGGCCAAGAGGGAGGGAATTAAGATGTTTGGTAAACAAGGAGCTGCTTGTGAGCACGAGGGTGTAACAGGATCATGTGAAGCCATTGGACGAGATACTTCACTTCCGCAGTCTGTCTGTCTTCACGTGTCAGTCAACATGCACGCACCAACACATCAACGAATGCACATGGATGGCAGGGCGACGTCATCACCCTTGAAGACCCAGCGAGTGAAACAAGAAGGATCACAAGCATGTGTGTGCCCTTCACACCGCCCAGGTACAAGAACATGTCAATCAGCAAGCGAGCTCGATCAGTGTCGTTTATTCCCAGGATCACATTTTCCCAGCAATAAGCCGAAAGAAAGGCTGTAAGGAGCAGAAGTTGGAATGAATTTTTAAATCTGAGATCATAAAAGACCTGTATCATTCATGCTATGTCACAAATACAGAGTTCGCTACATATCACCGAGAACATCCTTCCACTTCTAAGTAGTACTTAATCGTGATCATCTCAAGGTACTTCAATACGGTGCATGTCGCTGCTTCGCCGTCCGAGGTCGGAGCACTTTTCCTTTCCGCTCTGACGTGGTTGTGAAGGCTGCGCAGAAGACTGCGCAGCTGCTTGAAGCGTTCTTCCCTTAGCACCCTTTTGTCGACGACCGGTCTGCTTGTCATTCTTCTCACCATGCTTTGCCCCACGTATTCAGTATGACACTGACAATCCGCAGGGCTTCGGCTTTCGGCATGCCCTGCTTTTCACACATCTCATCCATCAAGCTCAGGCTCTGAACAGTCTCCTTGTCAAAGCTATCGGAACCTTGGCCAGCTAGGAGGATCTTGAACTTCGGGAACGAATGCCCACGTTTCGGCAGCACGACGTCGCTGCGCGTACGCAATTGCCTCAACAACTGTGCATTCTCTCGACGTTTCAACTAGTCGACGTACGGGATGCACTTCACTGTGATCTTCCGCTTCACAAATTTCACTCGTACCTGACACGTCTCAACAACGAAATCTTTCCCATCCTTGAGCTCTTCGAAAGGGACCCTCGAATTGCTTGGCTTCTGCTCCCAGGTCTGATGAACCATAATCCTTCGACGGCTTGGCAGCTTACCTTGCACATGGTAATTCACAAACGGGAACGCAAGATCCTGAACACGTCCCGCAAGTCCGCCCTTGATATTCGCGTCAGGTTCGTCATACTCAAACACACCCTTCGATTGAGGGTGCGCGAGTGTGGAGCATGGCACATTCGGCTCGTATTCAACCAGCAACCACGCATCACCAGATGCTACATACACGGAGCCCTTTCACGAGCAGCCCGGAGACTTATACAGCTGGCCCAGCGGCACGGCGAACGCAGTTGCACAAGCCACAGTATCGATAACGATACACTGTGCAGGCAGACGCAGGATGGTGATGCAGCAGTAGTCCCGGGCAGATTTCGCGCGCTATTTCCGGTTGTTAGTCACGAGCTGGACGCGGTCTATGTACTCTGTGTACTCTGGGCCTTCGGCTTTTAGTGCGAGGCGAAGCTCGTTGGCGTACTCGGATGCCATGGTCAGGCAGTCGCCGAAGGAGTGCATGGAAGTGATTAGATCGGAAGTTAGGGCGCAGTCTGCAGCCTTCGTGGAGGTGTTACGGAATGCTCTCCATTCGTGGAAGTTGGGGAACATTTTGGCTGCGTAATACGCGTTTGCGTCAGGGATTTTAGACTGTGCCACTGACTTCTGAGAGATGATCTCGGTCAGCTCTGAAGTGATCATGGAGATGTGCTCACACGTCTCTGGAGCTGTCGTTGTGCCTTTCATTGTGCCAGTCGAGTGCATAATCCAATGTGAGAGCCGTTTGCTGCAAGGGAATAGCAAGAATTTTGAGCTGATCAAAGCATTATGCCGGTCACAATACATTGTACTCTGATGGCGAAAGCACATCGCTCGGCCAATGCATCGCGTCTTCGGCATTGTAAATACACCATGTTGCGGCCTGATCGCAAAATCCTTCGCAACGGTCGCGGTACAGGACCTTGAGGAGCTTATTAGGCACATGCGCTCCTTTTGGACGGCGTTCAATAACCAAGGAGGTCATCCAGGCTGATTCATACGACTGTTTGAACGTGCGTTCGGACTGTATGAGACACGAAGAAGTTGAGAGTAGATAGCACTGTGATGAGTCGTTCTTTGAACAATGGTGTTCTTGCATTATTGAGTTTTCATTTTTTCTATCAACTAAGCTATGCTCTATCTGTATTATTGTCTACCAATCATTACGCGAAATGAAAAAAACAGACCCTGATACAGTTACAGATACAAGCGGCGCCGGCCCAGTAGGCCCACAGAACGAGAAAGAAATCCAGCATGTAAAATTGCATCGTGGGAAATACGATATCGTGTCTAAATCGGGGTATCACGGAAATGAGTTTCAGGCCGAGGTGTCGTTGAAAGAACGTTCGGCCATCTCGCGTAGAGGATACAGGTACGACTTTGTAGAATGTGGAGCACATGGATGTTGGCAATGCATGAGACCCTCCGGAGTCTGCGCGTGATAATCTCTGAGATGATTCAGCAAGTTTTTCAGATCAGAATATCCTGCAGAACAGGTCGTCTTCTTTCGTAAAACAGTATCGCATGGACAAAACAAGCAAACAAACTCAGTTGAGTTCGAACGCTGGAGCAGCCTGTAATGCCAACCTTTAATGTGATTGTCGAATGCGTCAGTCTTCTGGAATTCGCACTTGTAGGTCTTGGATAGGGCACTCGACGAAGTCGGGGTGCCAATTGTAAAATCGGTATTGGGTGTGCCAATTGTCCTTTTGGTATATTCACGTGTGGTGTGACCTTCGCCCATGTTGCAGAACGGACATATGTACTTCTTCCGTTGTGTATGTGAGCCGTTAAGCAGGGGTGTAGAGGCTGTCGGAGATGTCATGTTTGGCGGTCCAAGAAGAGAGCTGTTGTCTAAAGCAAACGCCGCGCGAGCCGTGTCATATGCCTGAGCCGTACCGAGAGGATGTTGTTTGATGCCTGATGAAGACGATCCTTCATGTGTTGGATCACCAACATGATGTCGAGCGCTTTCTTGACTATGGTTGGCGACTCCATCGCATTGAAAGGATCCAGCAGCATGTAACCGATCGCGCATAATCATGGTGCGATCGTTAGCGTTTGTAGTACTGCTGGTACCTGCAGAAGGTGAGCGACTTCCAGGGAGTAGGCAAGAGGCAGTAAACTTACTTGGACTTTGGCGTAGCGCAACCTGATTAGGTTCGGAGGTACTTTCTCGGTATGAAGAACCGTCATCATATGAAACCATCCATCCAGCCAAAGCTTGCTCATCTGTGTTCATACTCAAGTAGGCCGTGTCGAAATCAGAGACGGTGACAGTCATATCCGCACCCCAGGAGGAAGACATCTTGACGAAGGATAGCTGAGTTGAGTGAGTGTTGATGAAGGGGATGCTGATCCGTAAAGAACTATAACGAAGTTATATCGGAGTGTTGGAGGGGGTGATGAATTGTAAAAGTATTATGACGAAAGTATATCAAAGTGTTGAAGCTTGACGAGCCAAGTACGTTTATTGTGACAAGAAGAAAGGAAATGAATGTAAATGGTCCGAGTCAGGCGGACTGGAGAGCAACAAACTGCTGGGAAAGGCGCAGCTTCAAAAACTCTGTCACAGTGAGTGGCATTGCAGGGGTCGCGCGGTGCTGGTCATTGCATTTCAGAATCGGATATCTGGAAACTGTGCTGGGGTGGTTCGTGCGGGGCAGAGTGCACTCGCAAGGCATGCAATGTTATTACCCCTCCGGAGGTCGACAGGCGTCATGTCAGGAACACAGATTTCGTGTTAGCAGGAGCCTGCCATTCCAGATTCTCCAGGCGCAGTCAGGGATGGGAGCCGGGGAAGGTGATCCGCCGAAGCCAGGGATAAGAGCGGTGTAAGAATCGAGATCCATGGGGCTCGAAATTTTGCTTCTTCTACCTGACGCTGGTTGACTGGCTCATTTCTCAAAATGAGTGCGCCCCCTTCCTTCACCGTAGCAAGTTATTGATTGGCAAGCGGCGACCGTGAGCGCCGACCTGTAAACAAATGTGGGGCGCACCACGTTCGCGGGGATTGTGAAAGTAAATGTGTGCTGTACTGGCTGATCCTGCGCTAGAAGCTGCACACAGCTTTGCTGCACGAGAACCGGCTTCGACTCGAGAACACGTCAAGCTACCCACGGCGCGTTATGGACGTTGGCGCGTAGGCCCGTATTCAATTGCGCTAGTTGGAGGGTGTGAAGGACAATTGTGCTCGATGTCAGAAGCTAGCAAGTTGAAAAGTGGGCCTGCGAAATTACCACTGTCAGCAAACGTTTGGGGTTCGGCCCGCACGTGTCACGTAGTGTTCCCGCGATCTTATTCTGTCTACATCTACCGAATGTGGAATGAAACCCCCTGCTGTCAGGCTCTAAACCCACCATACCTCGCCACTGCGCAATCGCTGAGGAACTTCGAGCTGCTTCACGTGTCCTGAACCCAGCTGGTTGCCCAGGCAACGTATCTGTTAGGGACCATATTTAGCGTGTCGTGCAGAGTTGGCAACAAACAAATAAAGTCAAATAAAGTCCTCCTCTCCACGGAGCACCATCTGGTCTGTGTCAGCGTGCACGCCCTAACAGTAAGGCCGTTCGCGGGACGTGATTTGACTTAATTTGTTTGTTGCCAACTCAGGTGGCGTGGTCCAGCTTACCCAGAGCTGCAGTAGTGCCACTGCGAGGCTGATCAACCCGATCGCCGCAGTGATCCAAGTGTCGCCGTTGGGACGCCATGGGCGTTCCATGGTGGAAGAGACAACGTTGCTTGTAGGGGGAAGCATGCTGACCGTTGATTAGACAATTTCGTGGACAATTTTGTAGTTTGTGAAGTCGGTGTTTTGCTATAGTTGCTGGAACAATTCAAGGCCGAGTGTCTTTATACAACTCCACGAAGCCAATGCACCGCTATTTCAGAGTAGGACGTGAACGCAGATCTCCGGTTTTTGAGTATTAACTTCGGCTAGATTGCGAAGCCTGTGACTGCTACCAGCATTTCCAAAGTAGCTTTGGAAATATTAATCTCAAAGAAGTCCAACGATTTGGAAATACGTCCATCGTCGAGCAACTCAGATTTACGGACCTCGGATTAAGCGGCAAGGATGAATACAGCGCATTAATTGGGAAAGCGCTAGTCCCCTTTGTCTAAAAACGAGTTTTTAGAATAATAGGACTAGCGCCATGCTGAAGGTGTCCAATTAGAAAAACGCTAGTCCCCTTTGTCTAAACACGGGTTTTTAGAATAATAGGACTAGCGCTATGCTGGAGGTGTGCAAGATGGCTCGCGGAGATTGTTACCAATTAGGAAAGCGCTATACTGTCGAAACTCAAGAGATTCGACAATCGGGTATAGCGTCTCTCTACCCTACACTCAGTCATGGACTCTCGTTATAGAAGTGTGATAATTAACCGCCGCCTTGCTAATGGAGATACATGTTAGCTGTGCTACGAAATCCGTTCCATGTAACACTTCTAAAAGCTGTACACGAAAGTACGACATCAAGTGGGTACTGCAGATGGGGTATAACAAGATGTATCGATCGTATGTACAAAGACGCATACACAACGCTATAGGCACTTTCGATACGCACACAGGTCCCTCTCAGCACGCTCAGTCTGAGCGCCAGTCACTCCCCTCTGTAGCTTGCGTACCTCCAAACTCACTCTTCCCTCGCCTATCGTACGTCCATCAGACTACCTCGCCACATTTACGTCAAGCAAAACCTACTCTTCCCTGTCCACGCTCCCGCTGCTCTGCCCCAACTTATCGAACTTACTCCCACCCAACGTATCATTGCCCCACCCGTCACTCTTCTCCGTTAACTTCAACAAAAGCTCCTTCACCTCCTTGACCTCTTCCTGCAGCTTCTTGACCTCCAAGACCGCAGTGTCGAATTCCACATTTGGCCTAGTAGACTGGACCTTCTTATCCCACCCATCCGCCTCAAAATCACACTCATGCAGCACCTGCTCCCACTCATGCGTAACATCCTCATCCGCCTCGCCCCGCTTCCTATTATTCCTGACCACTCTCGCCTCCCTCTGTTCCAAAAACGCGGTGACAATCAACAGCGGACTGTACAGGACAGCCATGACGCAGTCATTCAGGTGGTCGTAGCGCGCGTCGTCCATCCACCACTCGAATGGTAAGATGAGGAATAACATCTCGATTAGGTTGAAGGGCGCGATGAAAACGTTCTCGTCGGGGGCGCGGACGAATTGCATTGTTTTCTGCGAGAATAAGGCCATGTATTCGTCGGTTGCGTTGCCGGTTATGTCTTCGTAGGCGGAGTTGTAGAGCGCGATGAGGATGTTTAGGAGGATGACCATGACGACGAATGTGAAGATGTAGTAGAGGATGAGACCGAAGGGAGGCTGGGATTGTGTTAGTTTTAGATCTCAAGGTAGTGTAGTGGGGGAAGAAAGAGGGCTTACAGCGAAGTTGTCGAAGCCTTCGAATTCGGGAGACTGCATGATGGCGTTGAGCATGGCTTGCATGACGAAGCCGATGTCGTCCATGACTTGGTCTTCGGCGATGTCGAGACCCATGAAGGCCTGCAAGAAGCCGACCAGCACGACGAAGAGCAGGAGGAAGAAAATGAGCGACTCGCGGAACATGACCTTGAGCACAACAAGCATGGCGCCGAAGAAACGGAAAGTATCAAGGTAGAGCAGCAGACGCATCCAGAACATCGGCGCCGTGAAGGCGAGGAAGTTGTAGCCAAGCTCGTTGAACTTTCTGCGCGGGTTGTCCTTCTCGTTGTTCTCATCGGGGCTGTGGCTGATCGCTACCATGCGGAAGATGAAGGACACTGTGAGGAGAGCATACAACGCGCTGTTGAACATGTTCCAGAAGGAGATGTAGAAGCGGCCGACCTTCCAGAATTTGTTGACCTCGTCGCAAATGAAGCCGAGCGTAAATATGTAAAGCAAACCCTCGACGATATCCAGGTCAGCATCTGCGTTGATGGTGTTGATCGCACCGGTGTACAGGCCCAAGAAGATCAGGGAAAAGGTGATCTGCACCCAGTTCTGGTAACGTGGGACACGCATGCGATCCGGGTCAAGATGAGCCCAAAGATTCGTGTTTGTCTTGTTCTCATACTGGACAAAGCGGGTCGGATCCTCGTCATCCTGAACGATCCAGCCGCGCCAGAGGTAGGATATGCACTTCTGGTATCCAGAAGAACCGATGACAGTTACAGCATGTAGATCGACGGCCTTCTCGACGGCATTGGCGGGTTCGGTAGGCTCGCCATCGACGAGGGTGGCGTACCGCTTAAGCAGAACCTCTTCCATGAGGTAGTCCATGTCCTCTTCGGCTTCGATGATACGCTTGGCCATCATCTCGGCAGCAATGGCGCGTACATCATGCAGGTCAGCATCCCACAGCTCGGCGTTGGCTTGTTTCTACCAGAGTCAGCGTGCTTGTCGGAGCTTACTGTTCCCAGGCCACACACCTTGAACCATTTCTTGACGATCAGGAGGCAGTATACAACACATGCCGTCTTGTCCTCCCCGCCCGCTTTGTTCGCCGTGTCCAGCACAGCTTGTGTGATAATGGGACTGTTCGCCTTGGTAACCTTCTCTTCTTCGATTTCGTAGGGAATAACTTGCTCGATCTGGTGCTTCAGGCGCAGGCAGATCTTGGTGACTTCTTTGGGATCGATCGGTGGTGGGTGTACGTGCTCGCGACGTGTGGGCAAGACTGGGAGCAATCAGCGTGCATGCTGGATCTTTGAACAGAGGTGCACTGACGCGAATTGGCACCGTCTTCCAGCCTGATTCGCCCTTCGTGCCCCTCGGAATTGAAGAGCTCATTCCACCTTGACATGATTGCAGAGATACGCGCTGTCACTGTGGGGATGCAAGGGCTGGGAGGATGACTATCTGGAGCACACCTACTTCAATTGCTTGATGAAGAGGTCCAGAGGTGGAGGGGAACCACGCGACACAAGCAGGGGGCCTAGGTCGAGGATTGATAGCGCCGTCGCCGTTGTTGGCGGTTGCGCACAGAAAGTTGGTTTAGCCCGTCAAGCTTGGCCGAGCTGTCACTCATCGATCGTCATCGCAGCGCGCGCCGTGAGCTCGGACCACTACGCTTTGTTTCAAAGTGCATCAACGCTTCTGGGCATGTGATGGTGATTTCTCTGAATTGGACTCTTTTATCATTGAAGGTCTAGGGTGTGCAATTCGACACCCATCCAGAATGGAAATGCTATACATGTCAGATATGCCGCGTACATGCTCGAGGAATGGTAGTCGAGCCCCAAACGCCGGTATCCACTTTTGACCATGTCCCATCATTATCGTTCAACATGCAAAAGTCGTCTAGGCCTCAGCTGCCGCCGCACCAACCTCGCCCTCATCGCTCGAGCTCTCGTCCTCGTCACCACTGACCTGCTGGTTCTCACGCTCACGCTTCTCCATGAGCGCCGCGAGTTCGGCGTCATCGTTCTCGGTAACGGCACGGGGAGCCATCCTGACCTGGCAATCGCCGCCCGCTTTTGTGATGCTCGCCTTGATATCTTCGATGGCCTGCTCGAGCGTCGCGATACCGGCGCTCTTGTCGAGGCAGTGCGAGGTAAGGACTACGATTGTTAGCACAAGTCTGCGCGGGGTACGGATTGCAAGACGAACCATAGAGAGGAGGCGATACAAGCTTGACCTTGACCTGGTTGTCAGGGGTGTTCTTGGCCTCAGCGGTGCGCAGAGCCTCCTTGACGGCGTCGATACCCTCGTAGCCGAAGCAAGTGACTGCGCGAGTTAGCATGCGATCTTCTGCCCTTTCGTGTGAAGCCCTTACCCTCAATGTCCGATCGCACCTTGGTGGGCTGGGGCGTCAGCCTCTTGCCAATGTAGCTCTGCAGCTCCTCCTTGACGACATCGTTGGGGAAGGTAACGTCGTTCCAAACCTCAGGGTTGGTGATGCTGAGCTTGAAGGCGTCGATCGAGTGGCCGTACTTCTTGTTCAGCGGCCACCCGATTGTCTGGTAGATCTCCTCGATCGGTGTCTGCGTCTTCTCGGCGACGTGGCGCATGATGCTGTGGACCATCTTCGACTTGTTGTAGCGCTCCTCGCACTTGACGATATCCTCAGGCGACACACGACGCTTCGACAAATCAATGTAACCCTTGTCCTTGTCGACACGGAGCACAACGACGACCTCGTTGCGGCCGACGCGAATGAGCTTCTGGATGGATCGAATACGTCTGCGCGACAGTTCGGAGAGCAGGATCATGCCGTCGATGTTGTCTGCGCAGGTTAACATTTGCCCACGCCCTGCGGTTTTGTGCTGCACCCACCATACTCGAGCAGCTTGACGTATGCGCCCATCTCTGCAATCTGCTTGACGTTGACCATAACGAAGCTCTCCACCTCCGGGTACTTCTCCTCGTAGAACCGGCAATTTGTGAGAGACATGGTGTGCGTATCTTCCTGCTGTTCGTCTGGAAAAGGGTGTTGGGGCGTCGCTCGACCGTTCGCTAACCTGGGCTCGGTGGGGGAGTTGTTTTCTCGTATGCGTGCGCAAGAGGCGAAGGTGTCGTGAGGCTCTACGTTGCGGGCGGTCGGTGGGGTTTGCTCGGCGGCAAAGGTTTATCCGTTGCGTGCGTCGGGCGTTGGGAGTTGTCGAACTTTCGAGTGACTCAATTTGCCCACACCGAAATCCAACGCGGGGCGGCTGCGGCGACCCGCACTTGCCGCCTTTTGGTATGGCCTCTTTTTAAACCTCAACCTCATCGCTCTTTGACCACACCAAGATCCTGTTGTGCCGAAGTTTTTCATTCCACACGCGAAAGCTTGAGTGCTTCCAGAGGCACAGGTTGATCACTTAGAATGGCACTGCGATATATCTTGTATCGTGGCCCTGACCGTGGCATTGCCAGGACAGCAGGAGAACCACGGCCTGCCTGGAAGGGCTCTTCGCGGTATGGAAGAAAAGCAATGCACATCAATAGCAGCCAGAGAGTATATGACGGACGCTCAGAGTTCTTCTAGCGTCTTTTTTATCTACAATCAAGTCACACCAGTCAATTCCTGACCAGCCAGTCCGCACGTCTTGTAGCAACGGCTGGTCGTTCATCATCCATGTCTTTAACGATGCACAAGCTTTCTCTCAAGTAATTCCAAAACCTCTGTCGAGTCAATTCGCTCTCAAGTATAATGGACGATGGCGCAGTGGTAGCCTTCATCACCTGCACTGCCCATCATATCTCCACCTGCGCTCGAACATGTTTCCGTCCCCAAAATCCCCTTAGAAGAGAGAGTGCAGTCTCCAGACTACAGGTTTCTCGCCAAGTATTATGGACCGCCATCGACTCGCAGCATGGCCATTTCCAGTCGTGGGCGAAGTCTGCGGCCCTGGAAGTGTAACATCTCTGGCAGTGGTGACTGAAACCCCTCGGATTATAACAAAAGCATCTTCATTGCTACGTTTTGTTGCACCTACTGCGACTACATCTGGTCCCTTTGAGAACTTCCAGTAGACGACGGTAGAGCATCAGCCTGTTGCCTGCTTCACCTACAATGAGAGTGAGCGCGTCGGCCACTGTTTGTTTCGTTTCCCACTCCAGCATCGCGCACTTCTTGGCATGCACCATCCCACTACCTATAAAATCCACATTTTCCTCTCTCACCACTGCTCCTCATCGCGCGACCGACAAGCTTTCAACTCAATTCAGTTGATACCTTCCGCAACCGCGAAAGTCAATCACACTCGTTACTACTTCACCATGTACTTCCCCAACACCACGGCCTGCATCAGCAGCTTCCTCATGGCCACCGCGTCCGCCAGTACGCCGGCCTCGTTCGAGGTCCCCGGTTCTGCTCCCGGCACCGCTGCGGTGCCTGAGGTCGACACGACCACCATCTACGAGACCTCAATCTACTATTTCACACCCGCGGTCACCGTCACCAGCGCACCCATTGCCAGTGTTGCCGCTAGCAGCGCTCCCATCAATAGCACCGCCACCGTGACCAGCTCTACCGGCTACACGCCCCCTCCTGCTGAGATCACACCCTCCGTCTACATCACTGACGGCAAGACCTTCGTCCCCGTCACCCTCTGGGAGCAGAACTCCACCGTGGTCATCTTCCCTCAGAACAGCACTGCGCTCGAGATCTCTACCGGGTACCCGGCCAACGGCACCTCGACTGTCGTTGTCACGACCACAGCCTCGTCGTCCAAGACTGCGGCTACTACTTCCAAGGACAAGACCTCTGCGACTGCGTCCGCGTCCGCAAGCGGTAGAGAGGTGCCTGTCAACGGTGCTGGCAAGGTCGCTGGGAATGCGTTGCTTGGTTTGGGCGCTGTTGCTGGCTTCATGGCGCTTTTGTAGGTGAAGCCAGAAGTTTCTCGGGCGGATTGTGAATAGAAAGCACCGCGTAGGATATGTATCTTTCCTTTCTCTTTCCAAGACTCAGGGCGGTAGTCATTGGCGTTCAACGATGTTTAGAGCTTAGCGATGTTGGGTACCTATCTGGACGATGATGCGGTGGCTAGGAAATATTCAGCCGTTCGCAATGGATAACAATCAACACATCAAACTTCTCTGCTTGCTCTGTGATATCTCATGACATGTGATAAAGGCTTTCAGCGGCATTTGCTGATCGCTAACATGATCAAACTAAAGTTAGCCACAATAATCACCGCAATGCTATCACATCAAGCGCGCCACTAGGTACATGCATCCGTCATATCAAAACTCGACTCCAGCATCACGCCGATCCCTCCATCGCAAGACCGTTCTCATCCTAATAGCGTGTCGACACTTGCTACCTTTCCGTCTTCGACTCTGTACCCGACTCACAACTCAATATGGGGTTGTAGCAGCTCCCTGTCGTGACAGTTCTCTTTTGGCTACAAGTTGATTTGCTGGTCATTGTTCTCTCTGCTCGGCAAAGAAGAATGTATATCAAGCGCGGGCTCAGCTCGCCGGAAGAAGGGGTCATGGAGTTTGCTGGCCGGGTTGTGAGGGAGATGCAGGAAGATGATCGGGACCGTCGGTCTGGACGCGCAAGGGCTGAGAGATGGGTGTGAAGTAAATGGACGAGAGTCAGGAAACGCTGTGGATTGCTTTCCTCCTATATCCTTCTGCGTCAGCGGGAGAGATGGAGGCGCACGATAACGACTAAGGATATCGAGAGAAATTGAATACAAACTATTGGTATTAGGAATATGTATGCGCCAAAAAGTAGTACGTCGCCAATCATGCCAAATCATCCAAATCCCAACGATCATCCTCCCACTCCATTACGCCATGACACCACCGTGACTTCATGCATATTCTCACTTCTTATCGTCCGCCGTCTCCTCGATCCTAAAATCGCTCTCCCTGCCCTGCACCCGCTCGATCTCGTTCTGAATAGCAAGCACCCAGTGATCTCTCTCCGCCCTACTACGCGCCCTGAACACCACACTCCTACCCTTACTCCCCAGTTTAGCCACCCTCTTGAGCTTCGTTCTCTTGCCCTCCTTCCTCTCCTTCTCACCCGCACCGCCAGCCCCTTCTTCAGCACGGAACCAAGACTTCGCTTTGCCGTGCCAGATGACGAAGGTCGTCATAACATCTTCATCTGTGCTCGTCCAGCCGTCTTCGAGGTAAATGCGCGGTAAGGCGTGGTGACCGGGTTTGTTAGCGTCGAAAGTCTGGTTCTGGTAGAGAAGGTCGGATTCGGTGAGGAGGCCCGAGTAGATGTAGCAGTCCCGCAGGTCAAGGTTGGCGATGCGCTCGTGGTGGATGTGGGATAGTTGCTTGCCGACGCGGCTGCGCAGAACGTCGCGGAAGATAAGCAGGGTGCCGGCAGCCAAGATGACGCTGCAGCGCGTGAAGGGTGCGTGTATGCGGGGCTTACGGTACAACATGCCGGACATGTGAATGCTGCGACAGCAAGCGATACCGCACATGTTGTAGAGTTGAGCTGAGGCAAATGATTGGGTGACTTCCCATTTACGTGCGAATTGGCCAATGTGCGCCTCGCCTTCCTCGTCAATGTTGAGAGCGCTGAGGTTGCGGGACCGTGTGGATTTGTAGAGGGTAATGTCGGAGGCTGTGCGGTGTTTCCAATACTTCGCAAGCGCGCGAAGATGGTTGATCCATTCCTTGCGGCGTGTCTTGTCGGCGGCTTGTAAACGAATGATCAAACCATTCTTCATGACCAGCTCAAAGGTGCGGTCCAGATCAATGTCACTCGTAGCGCCGTCCTCGCCCCTCGAACCATCCATGTCAACGTCCTCATCAAAGTCCACGTCTGAGCCGGGTTCGATCTCTTCATCAACAGGGCTGGCGCCTAGCCTCGCCTTACGGACCTTGACAATGTCGGCCATGTTGATGTACCCGTCGCAGTTGAGCAGGTTTTGTTCTTTGCGCTCAAACTCGTCTGCTGCATCCTCGTCGTGCAATCTCCTGGTTTCAGGTGTCCCAGAGTGACCTTCCCTTAGCCATTCGATTTCCTTGTCCTGCACAGGGTAAGGGTTCACTGCCCAGTTATCCGGCGTATTGTCCTGAATCGCCTGCAATGTGGGGACTGCCGCGTTGTTGGACGTGGGAAGTCTGGGTGGAGGTGGTGGGGCGGCTTTTGTTGGTCGCGAGAATATGAGGTACTGATCGTGACTGGCGAAGTAGAGCTGCTTGTGGTACATAAGGCCCATGCGTTTCGCTCGTCCGCGCTGTCCGGTCAACCTGATGAGAAAGCCTTCCACAGGAACGGGCTCGGTCAAAGTCTTCTGCTTTTTGCGAGTGACAACCGTTGTAGGATAGTGTGTTTTCGGTCGGAGCTCGAGATCGTGAGACTTGAGCATAGCAATGGTGCCGTACATCTTGCGCTCGTTGGCTCCATGGATCCACTCCAGACGGTCGTAACGCTTCCAAGCGAGTCCTATCCGCTGTTCTTTCGTCCAAGCTTCCAACACGGTCGCCCACTCAGGCGCATCTTCCAACTGATCAAGACACTGCCGGACCAGCGTTTGGGCGACAGCTTGTTCTTCTTGCATCGTCTTCAAGATGGCCTCCTCGGTGTCGTCTGCGTCTTGCACCTGATTCTGCGAGGCTTCCAGCTTCACGAAGGGATTGGCAATCTGCACGCTGAGGCTCATATCCGGTATGTTGATTTGAAGCTCAGAAGCGCGGCGCCATCCGAGGATATTGCGCAGGAACGTGTACCATTCGACGGCGTTGGAAGCAGTCCTGGCCTGCATGATGAAGATCAAAGTCCCCCTAGGACCAGGCATGGACACCACGATAGACTTGTCGAGGGACGAATACAAATTGACTTTGCTCATCTTGCGGCCAAGAGGTATCTCGTATGCTGCACGCTTGCCTGCGCCAGCCTGTTCGATCTCAGGGATGACCTGCGAAGATTAGCACAGGAAAAGCAATGGATTGAGTTGCAGTTTTTACTCGAGTCTGGTACAGTTGCAGCAGGAAGTCAGTCTCATCAGTATGACTGTGCCTGCAGACTATCATATACTCTCGCCACTTGTCCTTGACTCTCGAGACGACTTGCTGGTTGACGTTCTCATCGAAGTCTTCCGGTACTTCGTCGGCAGCATCGACACGCACAAGCATACGCTCCATCTTCACCACAAGACCGTCCTTGATGCTCTTCCGTCGCAGCTTCGTACCTGCTCGCTGAATGGTCATTTGCGCTTTCTTTGCCTTGAAGTGTACTGCTTGTCGCTTCGAGTCCTCCGGTATGTCGAACTTGACGAGGTTTCGCAGATTTGATCCCTTGCGCGTCAAGTCTGGTGCAGGCTGGTCGGTGCCATTCGAGATATCTGTTTTGAACACGCCCAATGTCGACCGCCTTTTGGCTCTGGCGAGAATGCCTTTGGGGGGAGGCGAGGGGGCGACTTCAGCATCAGCGGGTGCCGGTGCCTTATTCAAGTCAGCCTTTCGCAGCAGAGACGAGGTGGAGTCGGCATCTACCGAGGGTGCTCCTCCCGTAGTAGATGACGCTGCGCCATGGCTTGTCACTGCAGACAACGGCTGCTTGCTCAAGGACTTGCTACGCTCTGGTCCCTCCTCGTCAGCGGGCACTTGCAGGCCACTCATTTGTGGTAGTGCAGGCTCCTCCGCGCGTGGTGACCCGGCGTGCTCCTCGCCTGACTCGACCTCGTTATCGCCGTCTGCAGCGTCCGGCATTGAGGATGCAGTAACGAAGGACTTGGCGCTGGATCGATGTGGTAGCTGCGGCTTTGTGGGATCGAACTCCTCCTCTTGATGCGTATAGACGTGCAGGTCGTCGTCATCCATGTCCTCTGGTTCAGAAGGCGCGTCGACAAACTCATCAGCTTCGCTGCCTACTATAACATCCTCCTTCTGCGCTGTGCTTCGTGGGATTGGCATGGCTGGAGGCGTGCTGCCGCTGGCCTCTGGGGCACCATTTGCACCGCTGGCCTCTGCATTCTGCGTACCTTCCTGTTCCTCGGCGTCAGACTCCTCGGGCTGGGGGAAGCTGTGCTGGAAGAGGGCTGAGGAGCTGGGCCCTTCGGCTCCACTCAGGCGTCGTTGGCGGGCTTCGCGGGGATCAGACGAAAAGGTTGCGGCGCGGGTCGAGTAGTTGATGCGCAGGTGATGCTTGTACCAGTCACGGCGGTGCTTGCTCAGCCATGCAGTCTATAGCTATTATGAGTGCTGTGCGTCAAGAGGAGTGGAGCTGCATACGGGTATTGGACCGATGAAGAAGCGCCTCGAGGTGAGGTAGAGATGCTCTGGGGTTGCATGTTGCTGGGCATGTCAGCTGCGCCACATGTTGTGAGAGACACTGCTATGTACCAGCTTCTGCGCCGTGAAAGACTCGGGCGAGAGATTTGCAATGTCAGGCTGCTGGTGCCATGAACGCGGCGCCTGCTCGAGGTCGGCCATTGGGCCTCTTCTGTCGATGTGTCGCCGCGGGGGTTCAGATGGCTCACATGCACCGCACCAAGAGTCAAACTGGCAGACTCTTAAACTATGTTACACACTAGACATTAGGGTAAGAATGTATCAGCCAGGGAGAGGCAACTGCAGCGCAGCAGGCGTGGAGTGCCTGAGAAAGCAGGATGGCAGCTTTCTGGGCACGGTTTCCTCAAAAGGAGCAGTCTCGTCATGCCGCTCGCGCCCCTGCGCCAATCACTTATCGATCGGCCCACCTGGACCTGCGAACATCTTCAACAATCACAACACACGTCGCGCCTTGCTGTTCGAATCGCTGTCGTGACTTGACAGCTTTGCACTCGACGTGCGGGGTGCGTTGGTATGTCACGTTTGTGCCTCCTTCCTCTAGGGCTGTCTTTGCAGCTACGAGGAGCCTCGAACCCGTGTCAACGATCTTCAAGAAAACCAACGACTGCACCACGTCCGTTCGCTGATTGACTGCATTGTCGGCACATGATTCACTCAACGACCCACGGCTCCGACGACATGTTCTCCACTTGGTGAGGGTATCACGGGCAACGTCGACCTTTTGCAAGGCTGTCCACCGCGCTGCAGTTTTCATGAGCCTTGCAGCAACTTTGGCTGACTACGCAAAACCGTCTTGCTCGCGCACCCCACACCAAGCACCAATACAGCGTCTTCGTTTCACGATTCTGTGGTCCCCACACGACAGATCTTGGTTCAAGAGTTTCGACCTTGCGACTTCCTGTCGCAACATGCCGCATCAGGCAACTCGGCTTCAAAACTGTCGATTTCCCTCCACGGATGATCGTCTTTGTGGCGCCGAGAGGACGGGGATCTTCCTGGTTTGTCCATGTTGAGTAATCACAGATTTTGGTACTAGGAACACTGGACTACCTCCACCATGGCCCATCGGCCGTGCGTACATATTTGAGTCTCGAAAAGGCTCCTTGCTAGGAACAAGTCTCGTGTGAAGCCTACTCGATCGGACTGGCATCCAAGCACTGGATACCTCGAGAGCAGTTTGGAGAACGCATAGACCCAATACATGCGCACTATAAGTCATTGGGTGCACGTGCAACTGGCTACATGGACTCTCCTGAGATGTTGTTATTGCAGGCGCTTGCGGCTTAGGTGCATGGGAGCCTGAACGCCTATCTGGATTCAATATCGGCTTACCACATACCGAACCTGAAGCTGTAGCATCACTTGTGGACTGGCTACGTATATGCGATACAAACGCTTCTGACAAGCCGTGTTGCTATTAACTCTGAACAGCGATTCGAAACTGAAACAAATCAAGGGTCGACCAATGCAAATAGACGCATGTGAGCACAATTCGGAGTCGGAGAGCGATATGTAGCGCCTAGAATTCAAGAGAAGAAGAAAAAGCCACGCCTACAGAAGGTAGCTACTCACGACAGTAGCCACAGAACACACCAACGAAGGAAGCATCAACCAGTACATTATCGCAACACGGGCGGTGGAACCGTGGTTGAAACCTTCAACCAAATTAGGGCCGGCCAATTGTGTTCAACTCAAGTTACCACTGCACGGGGGCAATCTGTCTCTGCCTTGTTCTATGGAAGCCCGATCAGTATAAGATTTGCAGGTATTGGGCTATGCAAGAACTCACACACTTCTCTCATATCCGCATTTATCTGACTATCAGACAGCAGCGACATGGTTGCAATGCTCTCAATCCTTCTGAGCAGTGATACTACTTCTTCAGCGGCACTGGTGGCCTCCCACGCAAGTGATTCGATCGCCCCAAGATCCGAGGCATCCCCGTCTGTCTACAGCCGTTCACTCACCTTCATCGCGCTTTTAAAGCAACGACGCCAAGCCCCTCGGAATACACGTTCGGACGAAGGACACTGTGTTTTCTACTAGCTACCTGCCGAATTGCATATGTGGATTGCGACTCATCTCAAGGGTCTTCTTTGCTATGCGCAGTGTGGCCGCAAAACAACGTTTCTCGTATGTAGGCTTCAACCCCCTCGATCCGTCAAAGCAGTCTTCGCAGCGTGTCTATGTCGAGAGCGAGACGCGCGCTTCGCCCTCCTGCGCGGCATCAACACGGGAAGTTCTGCGTGGTGCAACCACCATGTGGCTCTCCATCGCATCAGTCTATTCCCGAATACGCAGCCCCTTGGCACCGTCTTCAATTACAATCACGAATGCATTGGCGTGAAAGGACGGTTTCGCGCGTGCGAGCATAAGAGCTACAGTGTGGAGGAACTGGGAAGCAAATTGCACTGCAGCTATTCAGGACTTTACGATCAACATATTGACACCGAGGAGGGAATAACTAGCCTGCGTGTGCAAGGAAAGTGGAAAGGGGCGTTTGCGTGGTCGCAGTTTTCACGAGTAACCACGTCGTTCTTTGGATACCATTTTACGAAGCGATCCCGGAATCCACGGGTTTGGAAGAGTTGAAATGGGTAGATGCGCACATTTGTTCGCACCTGTCGACCGCCGCCTCAACTGTCTTTACAGCACTTTAAAACAAGAGAAGGAATCATCACGAAGATGGTTGTTGTGCACGCGGCAGAGAGTTTTTAGTGTGACGGCGACTCGCAAGGTCTTTACTTCTGAGTACACATTGCACCGACGTGAGGGTGGCGGGAGTTTGTTATTGAGAGTTTGACGGGTAGTGCGTAATCTGGAGCAGCGAACAAATAGCGACGAGGTAAACTGTGCGTACGAGGGTACGTGGTCAAAGACAAGGAAGGACTCAGGCGTCTGACGACTATTACATGAGGTGAAATGAGTTCCCAGCATATAGACCTGAGCTTTTTTGGAGCCTGTGCCGTGTAGCACAGACCACGGTATCAATGGCTTTTGCTGCACTCTGAATGGAGCGACAAGACACGCGGCACCGCACTCTGGAGGTCGTAGAGGATAAGTGAGACCGTTTTCCTATCGATCGCTGCTGCCAATGTCACTTCCCTGGCTGCGGCTGTGTACTTGGGAGCAATAGCAAGATATTGCTCTTGCACCGCTCACCAGTCTGTCCAAGACATTATTGGTGAGTTGTAGATTATCGTGGCCCCCCCTTGATTTCGCGAATAGATAAGCTGCAACAGTGGCTGAATCCCCACATGCCTGTAGTATAACAATCTTGGTACCTTTCTTATCGCATGAAGGAGCTGAATCTGATAGTAGTGAGTATATATCGGTGTTGCGTCTTAAATGTAGGTGAAAAACCTGAACAGGGTGTAGAAGTAGCAGGAATGTAGGTGGGATAACGGTAGTGATGATAGCGTTAATGTAGGGTTGATTATGTGCAGGCACTGTGAGTGGCTGTGAAGGTGTGGTAGTACGTGAGGAGCCACCCATATATATCTATACTCTTGACATACCCCGCGCTATATCCTGTTAGGCCCTGAAGATAAGGGGGCCGCGATATTGTACAACTCATAATATGGCTAGCTCGCCAAACCAAACTTTTTTGTCTTTCACTTGCTACCGTTACTTCACAACGTTCGCTTAGCTGTCGGCCCTTTCCTCATTTCTATATTGCGCACATGTTTGGACTTTCCTCCTAATTGCTCTAACCGCGCCCATCATCATGAACCCTTTGTTCTCAACTTTCTTGTTTGCGTTTTTGTCAGTTGTAACCAGCAGCACCATCCTAGAACAGCATGTCACTAGATCTCTCCATCACCTCAAACCCCGCGCAGTCGATGTCCCCGCCGAGTGGGAGAAGGCCTGGTGCAAAGGCGGCAAGTTCTCCCAGGCTATGATCAGGAGCGAAGATCAAGCAGCCGCATACGTCACGCCAGTTCGCAGTCCGTGGGACGGCGACCTCGTTCAGCAGTTTCGAACATGGGGTTACCGAGAGATTGAGAACCACCGTAGCGAGTTGTGCGACTTCGGTCCTGACCAGCACAACCTCAAGCGCGCTTTCACCGAACTGGGGATCGAGACTGCATCGTCAGTTGATGGAGGTCCCAACCACTGTTACTACGTCGAACACAAATATGGACCTACAGTACAGCGCCCTCCAAATGGGCAATGGCCGGACCCGAACCAGCAGTACTACATGGTCAGCAACAAGCGGTACCGGGTGAGTGCTGCCTCCAAATCCAGATAAACTGCAAGTACTGACTACCTCCAGGAAACTCAAGCCTACAGCACAATCGGCATCAACCCTGACGCCGGCACAGTGTACTTCCTCAACCGCCTCTCGCCCGCCAAAGCCGCCCTCGAGAACTGGGGCAATCCAGAGGTCCGTAAAGAGTGGCTGCCGGCACTCGCTTCAAGCTCAGACCATGCTTGGGGCTTTTGGAATCGCGTGAATGCTGGCAACTTGGGCGGCATCAAGAAGATCTTCTCCTGCATGATCACGAATGAGATCACTCTTGCTCTGATAAACGAGGCGCTGAGGACGTACCCACTGAGTCCGGGAGAGGAACGCCCGAATGGGGTGCAGAAGTGGCCGGGGACTACATTTCCGATGCGGTATGATGCCGCTCAAGCTCTTTTTGGTATGTTGTTTCGCTTTGGTACTTGTCTACGCTCTACTGACTAGCTCCAGGCTCACCCAATGGGTTGGGTGTCGGATATTTTCTTGCGCAACACAAGCATCGCTTGGGTAATAAGTCAGTTGAGAAGATCACGGTATTCCGTCCGGACAAGGGCATGATGCCGTACCTACTCTTCTGGATCGAAGATGCTCCGTTGGCTACTTGAAGCCTTCCAATGACCAAGATGAGGAAGGCGCGTGCTCGGCTTTAATCGTTGTCTATGTGGCGGTCAGTAACGTAGCGATAGTGAGTGTGTTTCATACCAACACGTGGTTAACAGTGGGCTCCTACCTGACATATAGTGTCTAATATCGAACGATTGTCTACTCAAAGATACGTACTGGTGCATTCGCCCTGCCCTCACCGCTTCTCCATAAGTTCACCGACATTATAGTTGCGGTCAGCGTGCACACGCTTCATGTGATAGACAAACGAGCTGTTGGAGCCCATGCCTCACCAGGCTGTCTCTTAGCCATCATCGACTTCATCTTCCACATCAATGACAGATTCAAGCTTCAAACATGAAGATCAATTCTATACTAACGACAGCCTCAATCCTGCTACGCGCCACATGTGAGCACTTATCCTACGCCAGATTCACAAATACCTCCCGTTTCCGTTCTCGAGAAGTTATCGACCCCTTCCACACCGCCGTATGTCCGGGCATCAAGCTTTCATAGGCCATGCAATTGCCCGCCGAGTCTGCCTCCCAGTTCCTGACCCCGATTGAAAGCGACTTCGATGGCGGCCTCCGCGACGATCTCCACCACTGCGGCTACACCCAAATCGCCGTCCAAAGGTACTTATGCGACTTCGATATCACGCACCATCTTGAGGCCGCGTTTCGAGGATTGGGTGTGGATCCGAGGAGTGCGAGGAGAGGCGGACCGAATCAGTGTTTCCATGTTGAGCATCAATTTCAGGATCATTCGCTACCGGTTAGAGAGCAGTGGTATCGGGTAGACGATAAACGGTATCGAGTAAAGCCTATGTATCCCTCAATTGCTTATAGCGGTAAATGAGCTAGCACAAACAAATAGACTACTGGCGCACACGTCATTATCGGCATCAACCCTGCCTCAGGCATCGTGTGTTTCCTCAATCAGCGGAGTACTCAGAAAGCTGCATAAATGTACTGCGGTCTTGGAGCTCCTCTAAGCGATCCGCTGCCTGCATTGAGGAGCAGTTCAGATATTGCTTGGGGGTCCTACAATCGAATTAATTGGGGGGGGGGGGGGACTGGGGAATGTTTGGGCGTTCATGAGTATGATGGTGATCAATGCTAACACAATGCGTATTATCGAACGGATGCTGACGATGTACAATGAGAAGCTGGCTGAGGGACAGCAGAGGGTTGATGGAGTGCAGCCGTGGCCCGGTACAACGTTCGATGTGAACGATGTCGAGGGACAGGCGTTGTTGGGGTGTGTATGTTTCCCAAGTCCTGAGTGCATATTGACTGACATTGAAGTGTAAGATCTCCAAATGGGCTGGCGACTGGATTCTTTCTGGCACAACATAAGCGGCAGCTGGGCGGTGACAAACTCATCAGTAAGGTTACTGTGTTTTGATCGGAGCAGTACGGGTCTCTGCCAAATCTGCTGTTTTGGGTAGCCTAGTTGGATTGCAATACGGAGTTGAAATTTGGATCGAAGAAGCGATAGGAGTCAGGAGTAGGGAGATGTTCAGTGGTTCGGGATTGTATTAGTGAGTCTTTACCTTCATCACCATTATGCACATCTCGAACTACTCATAATCTCAGCAGCGAGACGGCTAGATCTGACCAGAGAGGTCCTCGGTGGGTGTTTAGAGCATACCAAAAAGCATGGCAGCCAGACCAAAAGCGCCACTCAATGGCTTCGCAGCATTCGCAACAGCCGCACCAGAAGACTGCACTGTACCAGTCGAAGGCTGAGTCGCTGTTCCAGCAGTACCAGAGCTTGCTACAGAGCCAGAAGCCGACGACCTAGCCGAAGCAGACCTCGCGTTACTCGCAGCACTTGCACCCGAACTTGCACTCGCCGTTGGCGTCACAATAGCTATACACATCAGCCTTGTCTTACAAAACACCTAGACAGATCACTCACCGCTGCCAACATCCCTCACAATGGTAAAAGCATCCTGTCCCAGGCTGGTCGCCCAACATCCTAGATAGCTCTCTCCACTCCTCGCACCGGGCGTTACGGCCAGCACTGCCGTGTTACAGAAGCCCTGGTCGCATCGAAGGGAGGTAGACTGCGCGAACAATGTTCCAGCTGAGCAGGACGACCAGAACACGCAGTCAGATCCGGAGCAGCATTGGGCGAGCGAGCCGGCGGAAGAGAGGGTCGCGGGGTAGTCGCAGGAGCGTGCGTCGGAGACTACATCGTCACGGCATCAGTACTCCGGTTGATCAAGTAGTGGTTGGTGTTGTATCGTAAGTAGTGAGGGATGTTGTGGGTGCTGAGTGATGACGACTTACAACTCGACGCGCCGCTTTCTGAGATGTACCCCAGCAGGGCCGGGTCAGATTGCCGTTTCCCCACCTGTGCGCGTTCCGTGATTTGCGGGTCCGGCGAGGCTGCCGCGACCGCGGCAAGGCTGAGAATTGCAATTGTCGACTTCATGGCGACGCGATTTATTCTGTGATGTCGTAGGCGCGACACGGTACGAGAGGAGTGAAGAGGCAACGAACGCAAAGGACGCTAGGCGCCTTCCTTCCTTCTTGTATCGTGACTGCTGCCGCGGTTTACTGATTGTGTTAGCTGGAAGAGGGTTAGTCAGGTACCGGTCAAGCTCCGCGGGCGTGGCAGCTTACTTCCAATACGATATCTGTTAGGCTGATCTTGGTGTTGTACATTTCGGGTATATCGAACGAGATTGTGTTGTTATGGTGGTGTTGTACTGTGATAAGCGACTCTGTAGTTGCTTTGGATGGCTGTTAAAATAGGAAAGCGTGCCGTGGAGTGCTCCCCGTTGATAGCTGCTCCATCTTCAATCCCGTTTCTCGGGCATGACAGGTACAACTACCCCATCCTGACCGCCTTCGGCTCTCGGGCTCGTCACACCGCTCCTCGTCAACCCGGTTGTCGTCGCGCCGAAACCATTGAGCACCATCATACCGTCCTCCACATCTACGTCGTGGAAGTACTTGTAATCCAGACCCCTCAGCTCATCATCCTCCGTCGCTCTAATATGGCATCCCGGAATCTTGTTGATGACAAAGAGCAAGATGATCGAGACGACGAACGACCAGGCTGCGCATGTGCATGCCGCAGCAAGCTGATAACCCATCTGCTTCCAATTGCGATCCCACCAGCCGCCTTCATACATGTTGCTTACGCCGTCCATTGCTGGTACATAGTTGGCGGCAAAGAAGCCAGTCAAAATATCGCCAACGAAGCCGCCAACGCCGTGGATAGCGAAGATGTCAAGACCTTCATCAATGCGAAGCAGGTACTTGTAACGAACGGTGAAGAACGACGCGCAAGCTGTCAAGGCACCAACAAGCGAGGCAACGTAGATGGGAACAAAGCCTGCGGCAGGCGTGATGCCAACCAGACCAGCGATGATGCCGGAGCAGAAGCCGATAATAGAGAATTTCCAGACGAAAATGTATTCGAGGAGTACCCACGCTAAGCCACCACCACATGCTGCGAGATTGGTGTTGCAGACTACGTAGATGGAGCGAATCGAGATGTTGGCGGTGGACGCCCCTGCACGCATCGAGTCAGTCGATAACCTGAAGACCTCCAGGGTCACTTACCGTTGAACGCATACCAGCCAAACCAAATCAGGATCGTCCCCAGACCGACGAGGAACGGGTTGTGGGGCTTGAAGTGCGGCATCTTCGGGTGATGCGATTCTTTGTGCGGGTCTACACGCGGACCGAGCATCACCGCCCAAGCCAGCGCTGAAAATCCGGAAGCGATATGCACTGGTCCACTACCAGCAAAGTCATAAACTCCAAGCTGGTACAGCCATCCAGACGGGTTCCATTCCGCATACGCCAACACGTAGTACACAAACGTAGTCCAGCACAGCAAGAACAGCATCGAAGGCCACATGCGTCCACGCTCGAGCATGGCACCAGCCAAGATCATCGCCGTCGCTGTGACGAAAGTGAAGCCAAAGCAGGCGTACAGAATGTCTGGAATGTCCGAATTCGCCAGAGACGGATAAGCAAGGACGTTGTGCAAGCCTGCTTTCGACAGATCGCCAAGGAATGGGTTTGTGGTGTGCGATTGGTACAGCGAGTACCCGTATACCCAGAACTGGATGCCAACTGCGCTGGCGCAGAAGAGGGATTGGAAGATCATGGTGAGCGCGGCCTTTCGTCTGTGCATGCCGGCGTAGAGGAAGCCGATCGCGGGAGTGATCTGCCTGTGTCGGTCAGTCAACACCATTGTATGCTCCGGTATGGCCTTTCAACTTACCAACAGAGCACTGAGCTGACAAGTAGCCAGCAGAGGTCTCCTTTGTCGTACAGTGCATTGAGATCCGTCGTCATTACATCCCCGCCTGTCGGCATGACATTGTAGTCTGGCCATTCGGCTATAGGTGTAGGAGCTGGAACCTCTGCCATCTTCACGGTTCGCTTTGAAGGCTCGAGGAGTCAGCCAGGGTGTTGAAAAGTAACCGTACAGAGGAAGGCTTGTGCCAGGAACAACACTCGAGTCTGTGTAGCCACGACCAGCACCCTTTATATGCAAGCACCCGAGCTTATCCACGAGCCTCGAGAGGGCACGTTGTTGCGCCTTCCTGCTGGGTGGAGGCTTTCAATGCATCCAATGAACGCCGTTCCAAGACTGTGGAAGGGATATGCATAGGATAGACGCAGCACAAGCAGGATGGCGAGACATCGTAATCGCCAGCTTATCGTTACACGCCATACCCCAGGATGTTTGGTCCGATAGTTCGGTGACACAGGTGGAGCGGAATTGTGTGTATCTCTTGGCCAAAGATAAGGACACGGGGTAGAACGTGGGGTACATCCGAACCTCGAACCTCGAACCTCGAACCTCGCGAACGGAATCGACAGCCTGTCAAACGTTCTTTGCGACAAGTTCCCAGCACTTGCGCATGCCGGTTGACAGTGTTTCATTGTCCATGGAGCTAGTATCAACCCACTTACGAGCAGGCGCGCCACTGCATATGAGGCTGTCAGCTTCGGCGTTATCAGTAACCCGGTAATGATACGCGTGCATGGTAAGTCTCAGGTGGGTGAAGACATGAACCAATGGTTCAAAGCTAGTCACATAGCGTGCTTTGCTCAGATCGATGTTGCCGGCAGTCAGGCTTGAGACGTACTTTTGCGCCGAGGCTTTGCGAACTGTAGCGGTAGTGTCGGATGCTGACAAGGTTGTTTGTGGAAATTGCCAGAGGGACGCCAGAAGACCTGTCGCTGGTCTTTGTTCGATAAGCCATTTGCTTTCCTCGTCTGGTAGGCGTAGCTCCACAAGACAGACTGCACAATCTTCTTCTTTTGCTTTCTTCTTTGCCACCTTCTTGGGAAAGAGGGAACTATACGTATTCACTGACTTCGACGTTTTGAAAAAGGCAGGGGCTTTTCGCTTCTTCGACGCAGCAACTGCTTCTTCATCTTCGCTGTCGACGTTAGAACTTGCACTTGGTGTGGCAATTGCGAAGTATCTCGACAAAGTATTTGTCTGCTTGGCGGTGGCCTTCCTCTTCTTCGCAGGCTTGAGGCCGTCGTCAGATAACTCCTCTTCGGGTATTGTTGCCAAGTCCTCTGTGTCTAACTGATCACAAAGGGTACAGGCGTCTTCGATATCCGGGATTGCGGTCGCTGATTGCTGAGCTTTAGAAAGCGCCAACCCTTCATTGTAGGCTCGACATGTCCTTTGAATTGGGCATTCTTCACATTTAGGTCGCGGTGTGCAGATTGTCGAACCAAGTTCCATCAACGCTTGATTCCATTGCCCGGGTATAGCACTGAACTCCACTTCCGGATGTTCGGACACTTCTTTGATCAATTGATCAGCAACCTTCCAGAGCATATCTGATGACTTCTTGTCCTTTACGTCGATGTAAAGACCTAGCTGTCGACTCAGCACTCTTGCGACATTGCCATCCAGCACAGGCTCAGCCCTGCCAAACGCTATGCTAGATATAGCGCCAGCAGTGTACTGGCCAATGCCGGGTAACTGTAGCAACTCGGAGATTTCGTCTGGCATCGACTGTGATGGTTTTGCTACGACAGCCTTTGCGCCTTCGTGTAGCCGTGTCGCTCGTGAGTAGTAGCCCAGTCCTTTCCAGGCGGCCAGAACCTCGTCGTGATCTGCGCTAGCAAGATCTTGTACTGTTGGCCACTTCGAGATCCAATTGTTGAAGTATGGAATTACTGTAGAGACGCGAGTCTGCTGTAGCACTACCACTTTGTCAGCATCCAGTGATATAGAACGTTAAAATTGTGTACGTGACAGCGCGTTTTCACGCGTATCATCTGTGCCTTCGGCTACTTACTGACTTCACTGACCCAGACCTCGTATGCTCTCCTGTTTAAGGTCTGTTTGATATCGTGCGATGGTTCAGAGTGCAGCGATCGATCGATCCAGGCCTTTCTCCAGGGCATAGTCCTGGAATCTTCCACGCCCTTGAACCATTCCAGGAGTGCATCACACTGCCTTTTATCGTCGAGAAGGAGAGGATAGTGGTAGTACGATGAGTGAACGCGCGCTGGTGGCAGAGCTGTTGTAATATATACCTCCGGTTTCTCGAAGGAGGTCGATGTTGCGGGCTTGGGCTTCGATTTCATCGATGCTGCTTTGCTGACTTTGGCAGTTGCTGCACGGCGTGGAGCCATAGCGCAAAAAGGCCTCGAAAAAACTATTCTGACGCGAGCGATGATGGATGATACTCAAAGTGCTGATGTGAAAGAATTGAGATGCGGCTATTGGTCGGTGCGGACGCGTCTCGATCGCGCTAGAGTGCATTAGCGCGTCTGATCGAGGCTCACTCTTGTTCAGTCCTGGAATTGAGAAAGTCGGTATTGAATGTTATCTTTTGCAACACCCTAGAGGCCTTCAGCAACTTGTGAGCATTCTTACATCGTCCAGAGCAAGTGAACGACGTTCACGTTTCTGGGTGTTGTATGAGAGGCTCAGAGATGCGACCGCTTGCACAAACTCAATCTTGGAAAGAGAGACATTGCATCCACGGTGTTTGGGGGCGGACCCGTCGCTGAGTTCCGGTTGCTGCCCGAGAGGTCGTGTCAAGTGCATCGGGGTAATGCTGTTACGTTGCTGTTGTTGGGTTGGGTTCTTTTGAGTGAACCCAGACGCTAGTGTACTAGCGTGTTTGCATTGCAGTTGATGGCCTCACCACTGAGCTTCCTCTACAACATAATCAATCTTCAACAAGGACATATTTCGGCGGCCAAAACTACGGGCTTGCATTGGTCGGCAAGGCTTGCAGTTGTAGTACGAAGATCTCCAAGGCGTCCCGATCCTGAGCTTGACGGTGCTTGCTTGGTTGCTATCAGGCTTGCCATGCAAGACACAAGGTCTCCATGAACCTGTGTGGATGAACACTCTTATCAAGTGCAAGTTTTTGCTTCGTGAACGGCTCGAATACCTCCAGAAGGTGACATGTATACATTTATTGCGCCAAATAGCATGAACTAAGACTCTCGCTTCCTCGTTGAATCTTCGCTGTATACATTTGTTTCAGCACGAAGATGTGATCTTGATTGTAGCCATCGAAAATGACAAAATAATCTCCCTACTCAAGCACCTCTTTCCAAAGAAAATGCAACGGTGATGATACATTGCAAGATCGATCCTCAAATGAGTTTATGATAGTGCTCGGGAAACGTTATTTGGACTTTCATCTTGCCTCAACCTTATGGAGTCTTTACGAAAGCAACATAGCAGAGAATTAAGAATCACGATACACAAAGCTTCGCCAATGAATCAAACTATACATTTAGCGCAATGCGCGTACTCCTGTTCTACTAGAGTAGCTGAGCTCTACGGTGGTATAGTGGTGGACATCGATACTGTCTCCACCGTGGACCCGCAGCCATCGCTAGCTGGAGTCCAAGACTATATAAGGAAATCTTTATAACCATACGAGGAAGAATAACGAGAATAGTAATACATTAAACAAAGAGCAATGCGACGCAGAACCATACACGATGATGAGAAGATGACGAGCTTGGTATCGTGCGAAGAGCAGACTTTAAAACAAACAAGGACAAAAGCGTAACGTCGTGAACCCCAGTGAACTGGCAGGCCGTAAACACCGATAGAATCAAGAAACATAGACCAGGGCGTTTAGACAGCAAGGTTCTATCGAGCAGACGCGGGTGGAGCCGGAAGTGGCATGTTTGGAGGTGGTGCCAGCAAGGGCATATTCGGTGGCGGGGCGGGAAGTGGCATGTCTGGCGGTGGTGCAGGTGGTGGAAGGCCCATTGCTGGCATGCTCTTCTGTTGCATCAAGTACTTTGGTTGTGCCGGGGCTTGGAGTGAAGCCTCCTGTCTCAAAGCACCGGTGCTGGGACTCGAGTGCAGTACTGTTGAGGCATTCATTGCTGGGGGAGATCGCCGGCATGTGCCGGGTACGAAAGACGGCGTTGAAGAGATGGCGATTGTTGGGCGGATTGAAGAGAGGAAAGGCGCGGGGTCTGATCGAATTTGCACAGATGTCGGTCGGCGAAGGGTCTGGGACTGGGCTGAGTGCAGTGTGGATGCATGGGTCGATGGTGAGAGTACTGCTGCAGCAGAGGGCGATCGTGGTGGTGCAGTTACAGAGCGATTAGCCGCTAAGGTCGCCAATGACGGAGACCCTGAAGTTGGCATTGCTGATGCTCTTCGTTGGACTGCATTGGATGAGTTGGCGTGCTGAGCCTGTGGACGGACTGGGAAGGGTCGAAGGAAAGGCTTTGGCGTTGCTGAGATGCGACGCTGACGAGATGTATCAGACTTGAAGGGAGCCAAAGGAGAAGGAGCCTGCACAGTGTATGATGTGGGCTGGCCAATCGATTGGCGATACGCGGATCGAGGTGGAGCCGGTGCTGATTCGCGCGGTGGTGGAGATATTGTTCTTTCGCGAGACAGAGCACTGTAGCTGCTAGTGTTGAACCTCACTGGACTATCTTCGCGACCTTTTCCGGTGGAAGAAGTGGCATCATCGTCTGAACGCTCAGCAGAGGCCGAACGAGCCTGGCTAGCAATGTGCGCAGTGAGGCCCTTGGCTGCTACGAATGGTGGGGGAGGTAGGGGCGCAGGCGCTGCTTCGACAGCCACAGATGGTAAGATCTCGGGTTCTGCCTTCGCTGGCTCTTGCGTTACTGGCGACGTGGGACCGTAGAGAGAGTGTCTCTGTTGCATCGCAGGTACCTCAACAGACATAGAACCATCCTCGGTAGTGACTGGCAAGGGCTGCACAGACCTGCGGCGAGAACCAGTGTCATTACTAGGGTTAGAGTGGAAAGATCTGAAAGGCCGGAAAGATTCGGTCTCTGTCACTGGGCTGAAGCTTTCCTTCGAAGGTGACTGTAGAGTGGGTGACGGGTCTCTGGAAGTGTTCCTGGTCCCGGTGCCAGATGCCGATGTTGCGGTAGACATGTACGAGAAGCGCGAGCGTCCTCGCAGCTGATCGAGTTGCATCTGGTCTTGCGAAATGGGCGTGGAAGAAACTGAGGATACTTCGGCCGACTGGCGTTTGATGCTTTGTCGAGATGACTGATCGCGAGTCGAGCTGGCTATGCTAGGTGTTCGCTCTGGGCGATCTCCTTCCCAGTCCGAAGTGATAGGTTTGAGTGGGACTGCGTGGTACGATTGATGTGGTGAGTCCACAGGAGGAGCAATCTTGGTGATGACGTTAGGATCTCGCTGCACCAGGTATCGGTGGCTGGTTTCGATAGATTGCTTGCCAGACGAGCCGTCGATCGAGGACGATGCCCTTGTAGATTCGTCCTTGACCCTTTGGCCGCCATTGTTCTCAATCTCTTTTCGAACTGTAGTCATCCAGGCGTCCATTTCCTCTGCGCTCTCCAACACCAGCAGGACACTGGTTACAGCCTTTCTGCCGATGGCGTTCTGTGTCCGCAATCGGGAAAGGAGCGAGCTCTTGGGCCCCATCTCGACTGTACCGTCGTCGTGTGCATGACTAGATATTTGAAGCACCCAATGCTTGCCGGGGATCAGATCGCAAGCGAACGCTGCCGAGTCTTTACCAAGCTTCAACACCTTCTCTGGCAGGCGATCAAATGGCCCGTCGCCTGCGTACTGCATGATATACCCCGATGTGACGAGGATGTAGATCTTGTTGACGAGCTCTGGCGCAGGTGGGTTGAGAACCGAGTTAGATATCAATCGCTTGTGCGACTTCTCCAGCTTCTTGGTCTCGGTGCTGTTCTCCTCGATTACAGACAAGTCGCGGGCGCTGTCTATCCTTTCCCTAATCAACTCAGCTTGTCGGCGCTGGCTTTGTGTCCGCATCAGCACCTCAGGAGGGAACACGCATGCTTGCACAGTAGCATGCTTGACCGACTGCGGAAAGGCTTGGAACAGTGGCGGAGGCTCCCAACTGCCAGTCTCGTTGTCTGGCGGTGGAGGCCTCATGGACATCGGACGAAACATCAGGCTTGATCGAGACCGTATTGACTGTTGCGCGGAGGGCGAAGGGTTTTGTCTGAGGGCTGATTTGGGCGGTATCGCAGATTTTGGAGGTGTCTGTGGGCGCATGGGAATAGCAAGTCCAACCTCTGTGTGACCTCGAGCTCTTTCCACTTTTGGCCGACTGAAGAGATTGAACAGCGACATCTTCGACGGCGCTCGTGCAAGCTTAGGCGCATTGGTCTGACCTGAACTTGGACCAGAGATTGAATGAGAAGCCGCTTCGCGAAGGTTGGCCGTCGATCGAGTGAAGCGCCATCTTAAGTTCGAGGATTGGGGAGCTAGGTTGCGCAAGCTGTGATTGTCGTCTGGAGCCATGGCGAGTACAGCCGGGTATGTGTGTGATGTGATTACTGCATGTAATATAGTGTCGCTCTGATATACGTAATGAGTGCCAATAGTGTGCTCAATGTCTCGGTGGGGCTGCTAAACGAAGTAATTCAAGATCCAAGATTCGGCAGTTGTATCGTATAGCGGCTGGAGGATATGATATATCTCGACTGCGAACGTTTCCGAAGTTTACAACAAGGATAACGCTGTTGTGGAAGAAGTGAAGGGTCGATTGGTAGACAGCTGTGCTTTGACGAAACAAACTGCTGGGTGTCGTAGGTGATCAGTCCGTGTGTCGAAATTGTCCAAGTTGCGAACAGAAGAGTCTAACGAGCGTTCTATACCCAGTATGGCTATAGGGGAAGTAGAAACGAATATCAAACGAGGGGACAGGACGTAAGCCCCTGGGTACGGAAGTATGGAAGCAGTTGAGAAGGGAGGGAGGGCCTGAAACACGTCTTGACGACGACGGGATGGTGGAAGAAGGAAAGTGGCGGAGGTGCTAGCTGCCGCGGATAGTCGCTCTATTCATGGCCATGCGCAGCCTGGGGCTCTCGCTGTGTGATCCGATGGCTGCACGGCCTCAGGTGTGGCCCCTTTTGCTGGGCAGAGATGAACGGCGCCGTGGCACTAATCGCGTTTCATCCAAGGCTACCCCTGCGGATGTTTGACGAGACCCGCGACGGTAGAGCTCGGCGTCTTTGCGCAGGGCTGCTTTTTGCTATATAATCGACCGCCGGCCGTTTGAGGGGCCTTTGCTTGTCCACCGCGTGTGGTGGCCTGGAGGGTGTGGTGTTTCGAGGGTGACGTTAGCAGGTTTTGGCAGGTTTTGGCAGGATCCTGAGGCAGGTTGAGGCCAATGTAGCTAGGATGGCATCTGTTGACAGACGCAGGCCGATACTGGACGTTATGAAACTTCATAGAGCCCGACAATAAACTCTGTCTGGACCTCAGATTTGGTGGAGTTGTCTGCACATCAGACGCGTCCCCCGGTCCGCTTGCTGCAGGGTTTATCGCCGACTTCACACTACCATCGATGGTAATCTGACAGGGAGCAGAATTCAACATTAATTACACTCACACTGACAGAATGCTCCGCAAACTCTGTTCGATAGGCATCTCGCCGCTCGACAGGATCAAGGAGTACCCTGTGCATCTGCATCTGTCTCCTTTCAAATTCTTCAATCGCTTCGGTGGTAGTGCGTATGATCGACATTGTCTGTAAGGGCTAGTGTTGTCCTCAGCTCCGGATGTTAACGCCTGACAAATGGGCGAAGATTGATATCGACACGTTCCGTGCAACATCCCAAGATGGTGAGAGGGTATCACTTGGAGTTCCACGTTGGGCAGCCAGTCAGCACCAATGCAAGGTCACCAGCACGCGATGGTACTCCATTGCACCCTCTTCAACGCCCAGCGTTCGTTGTGGCACCGAGAAAGGACTCACCCAACGCTCCTACCGGCCTCTCCGGTGTCACAAACGTTGGCGCTGGTTTTTGTGGGAAACGTTCTTCCGCCAACACCAGTCTGTGCTCAATTTGTCGCGCATGTGCTCCATCACGCGGGGCTCCCCTTCTAGAAGCGGTTCATCGAGACGCGTGGGAATCACGCTTATTGTTCGCGGGTGTAAACAGCGCGTGCAAGAAACAAAGGTAATATACCAGCAGACGTGTTGCTTGGGACCATGGCGGTTAGGGTACCTGCGTTAAACAACAGGAAGCTAGAGAGATCCTGCGTCATCTGCCCCGCGCTCCAACGGCCGATATCACCCCACTTAAACACCTGGAATCGATCAGCGCACCGCATTCGCTACCGCAAAGCTCCTGCGGTCACATGCGGTTCTGCCATCCTGTTCCCTAGCACATTATTTCTCTGTCTCCAAGTGACCTCAGTTCACACCACCGCCCTCCATGCCGCCAGATTTGAACACACTGCCGCCCTCCCCACTGCAATCGCCCTCAGCTTCAAACGGCACCTCACGTAATCAGTCACCCTCAGCATCACGCACTATGGCTGCCTCGCCGCACTCACTAGCTGCTACTGCAGCAATGAACGCAGGCATCCAGAACGAAGAGCAACGCCGACCTTCCTCCGGTAGCATGCGGAGAGACGTCGAACGAGCACGCCGTCGGTCCAGCATCCGCATGAACCTCAACCTCAATGATCCAGCTGTGCCTGCTCCTGGTGAGATGCAGCGCAGCCCATCGTCCCGTAGTAGGGGCCCATGGCCGCATAGCCCGCACCATGAGCGCACACCAAGTCTAGGCGAGCTGCATCAAGAGCTGGAGTATGAACAGGAGGGGCAGGTGGTACGCAAACAACATTCGACATCTTCTTATGACCCCATACTGATCACCATAGAACCGTCTCCTCAACATGATCCGCCAACAGCAAACTCAGATCGATACCTTAACAGCTGGTCAGCAACAGCCCTCCAACTTTGCGGTCGATGATAGCACGCCCACCTCTGAGCGCTCAATGTCATTTTCAAGATCTCAGTCACAGGCTGCGCATGTTCCGTCATCTACAATATCGCCCCTTCCTAGCGGCGCACAACCTCGCTCTCGATCACCTTTCAACATCAGTCGCCAGTCATCATTCGCAGACCGCTCAAGGGGCGGCAGCCACGCCGGTTCGCCAGCCCTACGCCCATTCCCAGGCGCACCCCATGACGTCCACGAGATGCTGCCTAGCCCAGCAACAGGGCGGGACGAGAGCGCTTTCTACCAGGCGGAGACCCAGAACTTGACACGAGAAAATCAGATGCTGAAGCTGAGGATTAGGGAGCTCGGTACGTCACGCTCGATGCACACCACGAGTAACACACTAACTTCTCGACAGAACGCCAGCTCGCAGAAATGAATCCTATTAGTCAAGTCACGCACTCTCCAGCGATCCACTCAGGCCTCACTCCTGCAGCCAGCCGCGACAGCGCTGAGCAAAGCACCGCGCCTGCACCAACCTCGAATCCGGTGGCATCAGTGGAATAGAACTTCTCGTTGCATTGTGTTACCGGCATGGCGTTTGATTAGGGGTATGCATTGCACGGCATTGAACAGACGTGTCGACGACGGAATGACCAGCATGGGACGGAGTTTGGGATAGCATTATCGACTACAATGAGATCATACACCTATGCGAGATGCTTCTTGCCCATCTTGACATGATGGAGGCTATTCATCGAGTGCTCATTAAGACAGATGCAGGTTGTGACGTCTGGAGCTTATTCGTGCTCTTTGCTCACCGAGCTACAATGCTATGGCCTCGCGTTACTGCTCAGCTACTGATTGATATTCTCCAGGTTCGATATGTGCATATCTGAGCATCTATCATGTCAAGTTTCAGAACCTAACTAGTGACAGTTGAGATTTGACAGTTTTTGGCGTAAAGAGATGTGACGGCGAAATGTCACGAAACCTTCCCACACATCGACCACACACCGACCACGGAAATCGCGCTTCGCCCAGATGAGCTATTCGAGAACTTAGACATGAAATGTCGAACTCTCCATACATTGAGTGTGGCTGATCGGTCTTGCCGGAAGTTCTCTGCAAGCCAAGAACATCTATAAAGGACAACGTGGTGGGAAGAAATGGGAACAGGTGTGAAAAATCATGCAGTATGATACGTTCACGAAAGCTCTGCACCAGTCAAACAGCTCATGATCCTCATCCACCGTCCGTCCCGTAACACCAAACACCAGCTAACCCATGCAAATGACAATGCCCAAAACCGCAAAACCCTACACTACATCTCGAACAACTTCACTTACTCATCTTCAGCTTCTTCTACCGTCGCTCTCGGCGGGCGCTGTGTCACATCACCCGTCGGCGCAGGTGCGGCCTCTGAGCCCGTCGGTTGAGGCGCGGCATCAGCAGCTACGGGTTCTTGCTGGTTTGGCTGTTCGTCCTCGACAATCTCCTCGACGTGTCCATGCTGGTGCTGGTGCTCGAGAGGTGTGAAGCCCTTCTTGCCCTTGGATGGTTTGCCCTCGCCGTTTGCCTTTGCAGCGAGCTTGGCAGCCTTCCTTTCCTTCTTTGCGATCTTCTTGTTCTTGATATCCTCGGGTGTCTGTCGCAAGTCAGTCTGTGTTCAGATATGCATTAACACAAGTTGGAGGTCGAGCATACCTCTTGCCATGCCCACACAGGCCTGAACGAATCGAAGAAGCCCACATCCTCAAACAGATTGGGGTAGAGCCATAGACCAGGTGGTGCAGCGAACATTGTGATGATGAACAGAATCAACCGCACAATCGCCATAGCGAAGAACAGTCCAATCAGGCCTAGCATGCCCATACTCAGGTACCACACGCCCTGCCTGAGGAACAGCGGCCACAGCGGGAACAGCACGACCGCAATGACAAGCACAAGCGCACCGGCGGCGTACAGCTTCTGCTTCCACTGCGAGCCCTCGTACAGCCAGATGTAGTAGTTATCGTCGTTCGCTTCCTGGTGCTGTTCGATACGGACAGTCCAGAGACCCTTGACACGCTTCGGTTTGGCGTGATTGTGGCCCTCATGGGCGGTGGCAGGATCGACTTTTGAAACGCGGAGGGCAAGGAGGGAGAGAGGGAGCAGCTTGAACGTGTTCTCGGCGGAGGCGCGGTCGTGAACTTCGGGGAGGAGGGGGTTCTTTGTGCGCGCTTTCTGGTAGGCAGGTGAGGAGAGGGCGCGGATTGCTCGCATGACTGTAACCTTCGTCAATAGAAGTACTTCTAGGAAATATGTCTGCGCTTACCTCTGAACATATCCTTGCGCTTCTCATCGTGGATGACTGTCCTAGGCTTCAGGTCTTGCGACTTCAGGAAATTGGCTACAGCGATCGCCTCTGGCTTTGGCGGTCCAGGCTGGATTGGCTGTTGTTGCTGCTGCTGCTGCTGCTGCTGAGCTCGCTGTTGCGCCTGCATTTGCGCCTGGTGCTGTGCCATTGCCTGTGCTTTGAGTCTCTGAACATATTCTTGCACCGAGATTCCGTGCTTCTCTGCTTCGGCGGCGAGCTGGCGCTGCATCATCTGGATCTGCTCGGGCGTGGGCTGCTGGCCGGGTTGAGGCATGCCTGGCGGCGGCCCTTGGAACTGCCCTTGGGGAGGGCCCTGAGGCGGTCCTTGAGGTGGTGGTCCTTCAGCCTCAGACATCTTGAATTAGGTGAATCGTTGCCTGTGCGGTGTGAAGTCGAAGTCTGTATGCGCGACTATGGCACGGTCCAAAGGAATGTGGGAGTTTGGGTGACGGGCTCGTGTGGTGTTGTTCACCACCGTTAGAGCCACATTTCATTGACAGTTGCAGGGATTCAGGTCGGAGGACGTCATGCCGCTCCGGGTGACATAAGCGAACTTTTCTAATCAAAATCTTCGCAGCTTCACGATCGTTTCACTCGCACACAACTTCCTCTTCACGGATCTCGACAGCCTTCGACAACCGTCAGCGCTCGATCTTCGAAGCACGCAGCACTTTGTCCAGCCTCTTGCTGTGCAGCTGTTCTATCACGGAGCGCCGAGTTCAGGCTATTCGATACCTGTCATAAGCAGCCTTGATCCAGGTCCGCTGACTACAGTATCTGGCCAAAGTCATCACGATGCTTGCTTGTCCTCTCTCGTCTGTTGGGGTAGCGCCGTAACGATCTGCGGCGGTAGGCGCACATTGAGGCGGTACCTTGTACCGCATGGGCTTATGCAGTGTCACGGGCATGCAGCCTCGAGTAGCAAACATCAGCTTCTCGCTAACAGCAAGCGTTGCTTCCCGACCCTGGTCACTACCTCCGGTGTGCGTAGCTGGAGCCTCTCTTGGTAGTCTTTGATGTGATGTATCACTTCACCAACACTCTGGGACTTATCTCCATGTCTCTGACTGGACCATGATATATCCCTATTTTGGTGTGAAGAAGATTGAAGAACCCCTTACTCATCGCGGTAGTCTTGCCCCTGGTTTGGCTTCAGCGATCCATCATCTAGGGTCGACATACCACTTCCAAAATGACGCGTTTTGATGTCAGTGACCTGCCCAGCCAGTGACATGCCACTATCAGCCCTACGTTTCGGAGCTGTTTCGGTTCGTTGCCTCTGCTCATCATGTCCGACCGCATTCGTTGAATGACGTGCCAATCCTGAGCTCCACAATGTATTGCTGATTCGAGATTTGGTGAGCAGCGTCAAACTGGAGTCCGGCGGCTGTCAAGATAAAAGTAAGCAGACGCGGTGCTGGCCTAAGCAGCCGTGTGCGCCGCAATCTAAAGTAAACACAATGGCTCAGCCAACGCCCCGCAGCAATAGAAAAGGCATCAGCCGGGGCCGGGATGCAATTCTTTTGGTGCTGTTCGTGGCAGCGGACTCCACAGAAACTGGCAAAGACGGGTCGTCTGGTGGATAAGGGTGCATGCATGTGGGATTACCACCCGCAGACGATGGCGCAGCCGGCCTGATTGGTGACGATCTTAGAGACGTTGGAGAACGGGGATGGCTGCACGCCGCCGTCTCTCTGCTGCGGTGGACAGGATCCACAGCGCAGTAGTTTCGATTAATTTGTCTGGGAGCGTGCAGGAAGGGCATTCAAGTGCACAGGAACTGCACGCAGCACGCCGGCGCGCTGCATCGTCGAAGAACCTGCTCGCCCGTGCCGCCTCCATCACATTACGGGCGCCCCAGACAGGCTTGATGCAGGCAAGGATTGTCCAAGCCACCACTCGAACGACTTGCTTGTGTGCAGGAGTGGATAGGCCAACGCCTGCTTGGGATCCGCTGCATTGAACCTCGTCATCTCGCCGCCAATCCCGCCGTCAAAAGGGACGCCCGCCCGCGCAGTTCCAGGTTCACACACTCCTGTGCTCCTGGTGGTTCTCAAGCTGCCGTGCAAGAGAGCATCGCAGCGCCGCTTTCCAGCGTGAGCCAGAGCGGACAACCGCCTGCGCCGCCTGCGCCGCCCACACGCATAGCCCGAGTTCTGTGCTACTCTACGTGTCGAACGGCCCCCGAAGCGCAAGGCAGCGGCCCTTGTGCACCGCGAGAGCGCTCTGCCCTACACGCGGCGCCAGTGCATGGGAGCGCTGGTGGTTCAAGCCGGACGCGCATTCCGATATCGACGACCCGCGCCCAACACCGCGCCTTGCCCTTGCATTGCATAGACGGCGCTCCCTCGCCGCAGCTCGCTTCACCCAACGCTGCGCTGACGCCTGCTGGCCCCGCCACGATTCGACCTAATATACGCAACATACTTACACACTGTGCAGCCGCGCCTCACGCCCAGCCATTTCTGCCTTTACGACCATCTGCAGCAACGCGCCGAACTAGTGACCACTTCTTCACCACGCCTGCCGGGGTCTCTGCTGGTCTACTCTGCCAGCACGGGGACACCCGGACGAGACGCCCGTTGACTACGACTAGCAAGACATGTCAACTGTAGCAGGCGGGCGACGATTCCGCGAAGGCATAGGCACCAGCCAGTCTTGGTGAAGCTGTGCAGTGGGTCGTCATCCCTCACTAATACACTCCTCGAGCAGCACGCAGTACCCTTCACACCTCACCCTCCAGTCCCCACGCCCGCCTCCACAATGACTATGGTCCGGCAATACCCCCCACAACCGCAGCCGCCGCTTCTCTCTCCGCTGGGCCCCTACAGCAACAACAACAACAACAACAACAACAACAACATCAACAACATCAACAACAACCCGCCCGCTCCTACCCACCCCTCCCTCCTCCGCCATAACAGCACCCCAGATGGCGTCAGCCTCCACCAGCGCCCGACGCAATACGCCCATCCCCTCTCGAGACACAACTCGTATACCTCGCAGACGTCCGAGTCTGGCCGCACGAAACCTCCAGAGCACATGCTCCGCCGTAAGACGCCGAATGGAATCCTCGCAGCCGCCTACGATGGAACTTCAGTAGAGGACAATGGAGCACCGCACGCCACGAAACACATACTGCTACCTGTCACGGCTGAGTCCAGCATACCTTATGGCATCAAGCAGGACCTTGCCCTGCGATCACCCAGTATCAATGGCCCCTACGGACACTTCAAGCAGGAGAGGTCTGCAGACTGGAGCCCAAGTCTTTATTTTGAAACAGGCTCCGGGCGGACAAGTCAGCATATCCCTCAAATCGACTCTATGCTTAACCAGATCCCACCACTACATCAAACACAAATGCCCTTCCAGATGTACGGCCAACAGTTCGGTGGAGTCATGGGTCCTGGCATTCAAAGCCCGTTTGCACCAACTGTGTCGAATGACCAAGGGCCGTTTGGACCATACTGGCCTGATGGTGCTTATGTTCCATATCAGCCTGCCGCCATGCGAGACCCTCGTTACTTACATCATCCTGCTCACAGCTGGAGTCACCCCCAACACCACCCATACATGGCACGTGGCTACAACAACGCGCTTCCTGGTGGTTCTGGCTTCGCTCCACAGTCCTACCAACTCAACCAACCCATGTACCAAAGTCCAGGCGCCCTAGGTCATGAGTATCCAGCCTTTGCGCAAGGCCCAGGTTTGAACTTCCAGACACCAAATTTACCACCTCACGTTCTTCAAGCGCGTCAAGACTACTTTACCTCTGGCCAATCGACAACTGTACCTGGCCAGTCCCCTGTTTCGACTCCACTTGCTGAGTATGGACCCCAATCGCCGAACGGACAATCCAGAGAGAAGGTCTTCGCTTGGGCTCACACAGTCTATGTTGATCTCCTCAAGTTCTTGCAGTCGACGAGGAAGGCACACATGCAACAGAGTCACGGACGCCAATCACACAGGCCACACATATATCCAAAGCCACCTCGACAACCAGGAGCAAATCCCGGAAATGACTCGAGCAGCAGCAGTTCAAAATCATCTCAGCGACGCCTGTCGTCCCCATCCGTCAGTTCACAGTCACCTTTCCAGCCTCCGTCAGAAAAAGCCTCGAAACGCCCTGCGCACTACAGATCAGCATCGTCCTACTCCTCGACTGGACTGGACTCCAGCAGCCAACGACATCCTTGGCAGCATGCAACACAGCAACACCCCATGCTACCCCAAGTTCCTGGTATGGATCCTGTGCGCACCCTACGTCGGACTTCTGGGTCAGTCTCAAGCGTACACCAAGGGCTGCGCTCGGACATGCCTCCAAGCATGACAGCTGCGTCGGCGCTGGAAGCGATTACGAAGCATTGCGAGGAGAACAAGTGGAAGTGGATAGACGGCATGTTGCTCGGTGGCTGTCTTGCATATGCTTTGGGGGATTATCAGAAGGCCCAGAATTGGTATAAGCATATCCTCACCCTGGACGCTGATCACGTGGAGGCCATCTCCAATCTCGCAGCGACAGTTCTTGCGCTCCAGCAAAAGCAGGATGCGGAACGGTATTGGAGACGAGCCGTTAAGCTGCGTCCCAGCTATTTCGAGGCTGTTGAACATCTCATCGGCCTATTGTGCAGCGACCAGCGAGGACGAGAAGCTGTCCAAGTCATCGAGGAAGTTGAGCGTTCGTTGCGTTTCGCCAGGAGAACTGACGCTCTAAGGAGCCTCGAGCTCGAGAGCGAGCGTCCACGCTCCGGCGTTAGTGAATCACCAGGCTTGTCAGAAACTTCAGACAGGCCGTTGTTCGAGTTCGAAGGCGAAGACGAATCGATATTCAAGGACCTAGACGAGCTCCCCGGCTCTGATCAGCCTGGCTTTGGCTCCAGTGGATACGCGATACCCGGTTGTGATAACGGGCGTATTCTTGCCTTAGTGCATGCCAAGGGTAATATGCTATATGCCCTTGGTAACAACACCGAAGCAGCGAAAGCTTTCGAGAACGCCGTCTTGATCGGAGCTGGCAGTCAGGCTAATGGCATTAGTGGGCTGATCAAACGCATCCTTTCTGTTGTTGGTTACGAGGCTTCAGAGCGGTCACCTGGTGGCCGCCGAGTAGCTCCATCCTCGGACCCGGTGCTCCTTCCACCAGATTCGGCGACTAGGACTGCGCCCTTGTGTTTCCCTCCACATGGGCAATTGCCAGGTCTCGCGCATGTTGCAAGTGACGGTCTCGCACGCAAAGCAGCCATCTCGACAACAAGCAACTCTTTGTTGTCTCTGGCGAAGATCTTCCAAGATGGTATGGCAACCAACTCGCCAAGAGCTGCAACCTACCAGAGTAACTATGGAGTGCGCGAGATTCTGGCTCTATACTACCTGTCTTTGTCGCTGCAGCCAAGTCCCTCCACTGCAAACAACGTGGGTATTCTGCTTGCCAGTGTTCAGCAATCTGCGCCTTCGAAGCCCATACCTGTTTCGAATCCGACACCGTACCCGCAGATTCCAGGACTGGTTCCAGGTAGTGGCGTCGCGCTTGCTTTGGCATACTATTACTACGGCCTGCAACTGGACAAACGACACGCGCATCTCTACACCAACCTCGGTAGTCTACTCAAGGACATCGGACAATTGGATGTCGCTATCTCCATGTACGAGCAAGCAGTTCATTGCGACCAAAACTTCGACATTGCGCTAGCCAACCTCGCAAACGCTGTAAAAGATAAGGGACGCATCAGTGACGCAATCGTGTACTACAAGAGAGCTGTAAAGTCCAGCCCCGACTTTGCCGAAGCAGTTTGCGGGCTTGCGAACGCACTCAACTCTGTGTGTGGCTGGAATGGCAGAGGAGGCATTGCCGAGGGTCAGGGCGCACGAGACCGTTGGCATGTTGACGAGAATGGCATGCTTTTGGATGCAAGAATTCTAGGTGCCTCCAGCTCTGGTTGGATCCACAAGGTTGTCAAGCTAGTGGAGAAGCAGCTGGCAGATGGTGAAGGCTGGGGTCGGGGGACCATGGACGAGCGCTTCGTCAAAGACATGTGTCGGCCCCTTGCTCTCACGAATAACACTGCAGAGGATATCAAGGAGAAACAGGAGAGCTTGATGAGTATTGTGACTGGTTGGAGAGGAAACAAGTGGGAAGGCGCACGCATCGTACGCTTGGTTGAGCGCGCCATCAGACGCCTGACTTGGCAATGGTACCAGGACCGCTACGTGACCGGGAAGGAACACTCGCCGGAGAGCTACAGCAGACCGCATTTGCCTGTTGCTTTGACAGTACCTGCGGCGCCTACAGTTCTACCGTTCCACACCTTCACGTGTCCCATGTCTGCTGAGCAGATTCGACTGATTTCGCAGCGTAATGGGTTGCGTATCTCATGCTCGACCTTGAGGGCTCCTTGGCTCCCAGCAACGGTCTTCCAGCCGCCACCTCCACCGAAGCCATATCTCAAAGTTGGGTATGTCTCGTCAGACTTTAACAATCATCCACTAGCCCATCTTATGCAGTCTGTTTTCGGGTTGCACGACACAAGTAAAGTCAAGGCGTTCTGCTATGCGACAACAGCAAGTGACGGCTCCGAGCACCGCAAGCAAATCGAGAAAGAGTCACCTGTCTTCCACGATGCCAACAACTGGTCAGCAGAGCGACTAGTCAACCAGATCATTAAAGACGGCATACACATCCTGATCAACCTCAATGGCTACACGAGGGGAGCGCGCAATGAGGTCTTCGCTGCTCGCGCTGCTCCGATCCAAATGTCATTCATGGGCTTCGCCGGGACACTGGGCGCGGAATGGTGCGACTATCTTCTCGCGGACGACACGTCTGTGCCTCCAGACACTCTTCGCCAGTGGCGCCGCAACATCGACATGGAAGATGCTCTAGTAGACGAGAACAGCGGAGGTTCGGACAAGGACTGGATCTACGGAGAGAACATTGTTTTCTGTCGAGACACTTTCTTCTGCTGCGATCACCGGCAGAGCGCACCTGATTCGCAAGGCAGGCAGCCCAATTGGGAAGAAGAGCAGGAACGACGATGGGCTATGCGCAAGGAGATCTTCCCACAGCTACGGGATGATGCAATCATTCTTGGCAATTTCAATCAGCTGTATAAGGTATGTCCAAGCGCCTCCAATGTTGTACAAAACTCATTCAGATACAGATCGAGCCGACTACATTCCGCACTTGGCTACGCATTCTGCAACGTCTTCCTAAAGCCATCCTATGGCTCCTTCGGTTCCCCGATTTGGGCGAGACCAATCTTAAGCAAACGGCGCTCATGTGGGCTGGCCCTGAGGTTGCCAACCGAGTCATCTTCACCGACGTCGCGCAAAAGCATCAGCACATCTCTCGTGCCAGGGTCTGCGATCTTTTCCTAGATACGCCAGAATGCAACGCCCATACAACAGCCGCCGATGTGCTCTGGTCTGGCACGCCGCTGCTCACACTGCCCCGCTACAAGTACAAGATGTGCTCTCGCATGGCAGCATCGATCCTCAAGGGCGCACTGCCTAAGTCCCCAGAGGGCGCACAGGCTGCAATTGAACTTATCGCGGCCGATGACGAAGATTACGAAGAAAAGGCCGTCCGCCTCGGTACCGACTGTATCTACCAAGGCCATCGCGCCACAGGACGCCTGAGCGAGCTCCGCAAGCTGCTCTACGAATCACGATGGACGAGCGCTCTTTACGATACCAAACGGTGGGTCAGAGACCTCGAAGAAGCATACCAAATCGCCTGGAAGAAATGGGAAAAGGGAGAAGGAGGAGACATTTGGCTGAAAGACTCGACACCCTCAAGAGTGCAAGAGATGGCATAAGCAATGAGGTATACTGGATTGGGAAGACGACTTGTACTGTTCTGGATACTACTTTCGCGACACACTTCTGGATTTAGCGAGCACACATACACACACTGCACCACAGTTGTTGAGTTGAGCCCACACGGGCTCTGATACCCCTTTAGTTCAGATCTACGCATTCGTTGGTGTAGCACCACACCTTATGGAGTTGTAATGAGAGCATGTTGGAGTCAGGATGTTGAACAGTCGCTATCGCGAGAGTAAATGCATTGTAGGCATTGGGTTGAGGTAGAAAGGAGCCAACTGCAGTATTATATGGCGCCAGAAGGCTGTCAGCTCTGCGATCTTGTTCTTGAATTAACCCCTCTTGATGCCGGTGGCTTCAAAGATACACGTATCCGAGATTTCCTCGTCTGAGCCTCACGACTACAACAATACGATGATGCCCTCGAAACCAATTTCAAACACTGACTCTGGTCAAGTTGCTACGCCGAAGGAGAGGTGAACCTCCAAGCTACGAGTGATTGGGTCAGCCGAGCTGAGCGGTGCTGCCAGCAATCTTGGTTAAAGCCACCAAACCGACAACACAACACCCATTCCACCCTACCCGACCACCGCCTCTGATAAAATCATCAAGCCGCCCCATCGAGGCATCATATACCACCACGCCCACCACCGTTATAACCAAAGACGGCACCTTCGTGAAAGAACACAAAAATAGTCTCAAGTCATGGCTTCATGACAGGAAGGGCGCAGTGGACTGGAGCGTGTTCAGGAGTCCGGATTGGGAGTACACTCTGCATAAGGTCAAGGGCAAGAAGGTGCTTGCTCGCTAGCTATCCGCACTGTCGGGCGTGGTGAGGTGCGCCTGATTCATTGATATATGTCTCGTTCTTTTGTCTGTTTCGATACCCGGTTTGAACGTTTGGGCGTTGTGTGGGCGTTTGGCTGGCAGGTTGTTGAATCCTCGTCTGGGTTCATTTGAAGACATTGTACTGTTCTGTTAGCCTATTGCTTTTGATAGAGCGCTGTAATCAACACAAATTTGGTCGTTACCACATTAAGTTGTAAAGTGTGTAATTGAGGGCAACCCTATTCTAATCTATCGCTTCTTCAGCGAACCCAAACGCCTCCAATGCATGGCTTGTAATGCTTCAATCCAATTCCGCATATCTTGACATAATCGTACAATATTTTACAATCCTTCATCCATATTCACAAGTGGATGTTGCTCGAAGTATCTTAACAACGTCTGGTACAGTACCAGCATTGTTCCACTTTGCACACTTGTCCAAACAAATCTTGGTCCTACGCCTCTGAACCATCCAGCGATTCCTTCTGTCTTGTATATGATCTTCAGACCGGTAAAAACAGATGATGTATCGAGTGTTGCGGCGCCGTGTGCTTTGAGGGTCGTAGAGGGTGACGAGGTCGAGATAGGTCGGTTTTGGGATACATGTGTGGTTGCGGGTCTTGAAATAGTCGTGTGTTTTGAGGACGATGCGGGTGTGATTGCTGGTTTCACCGGGTATTTCGATACCTCTGGAAGCTCGGGTTGCTGGGTCTGAATGCGTGTCTTGACCACATCGAGGGGTGTTGTGATCACGCCTGCAGCTCCTCCCGCACTGGCTGCCGTCGCAATTTCCAACAATAAACCAATGTTGTTCGACGCCATATAATTCTTCGCAAGATCTCTTTCTTTTTCGTAGAACGTGAACTGCAATGCAGAGAAAGGCAGATCTCGCCATAAAGTAGCCTTGTAGCCATGGAACAGTGCGCTGAAGCCTTCTGTCCTAACTATCATGCGAGCGGCGTCGGTGGTGGAGCGGTAGTTATAGCCTGAGTTGAAGTAGGGGTTGTTGTATCGACCCTGCAATTGCAGGCGCGTTTTCAGGACTTCAGAGGGTACGTATGCGGGTGCAGCGGCAAGATCACCGAGGAGACCTGTATCTCGTCAATTCACAATATCTGCAATGACTCCGAACGTGACCTACCGGCTGTGAAGTAAGCCACTGACGGCGCAATGCCATTGTCGATCATGAATCGTTTGCTATACTCGTACGTTCCAAAGAAACACACTGTTCCACCAAACGACCCCAGAAAGGCAGGCTTCACACCGCCGTAAAGTCCTTTCCTGAATCCCTCCTGTCGCCATATTGTGTAGTACGTGCTGCCCATGGATGTGTACTTCGGTGGCATGTGTGGATCGCCTTGTTGCCGTGTCTTGACTGTATCCAAGGAATGCATGAGCATATCGCCGGTTGTGCCTCCTATTCCTCCAGCCAGCATTGCCTGCACAACTGTCAATCAGCGTCTTTCCAATCCCTGATTCTAGGCTTCCTCACATGGAGATATGGTGGTCGACCCTCATCATCCTCTATTTCCTCGGCTATAACCTTTGCCGTGTCTGCCGCAGACGATGCGACGCTATCCATTGCAACAGCAACATCTCTTCTCTCCGCCTCGACCAGATCGTGTGTGGATTCTCCGTTGGTAAAAAAGTTAGCCACTCGGCCAAGTACCATTAGCGTTGAGCCGCGACAGGGGCGCCGTGTTTATGCAAGATAGATAAGGAAAGTGTGAAGGAGAAAGAGAAGGAGCGGAAGAAAACGTAGGATGCGCAGATGGACGGTGCAAGGAGTGATGTTACTGTTGTTGCAACAGTGTGATGCCTGGACGAAATCTTTTGCCAAGACCACGGCGCGGAGAGGCCGCTCCTAGCCGGCCCCTACTCATTCACTATCAGCCCAGGGAACGCCCTAAGATAACGAACCTTGAACGTCTTGAACGACCTGCTATAGAAGTAGTCGTCAGATACAGAATTCTGCTCGGAATTTGCATACATCGTCCCCCAATATAGGGCAATGGTAGTGTTGATAGATGGAATCTACACAAGGTTTAGCGCCAATGACATCACGTGTTCCAGCCACTCTTGTTTACATTCGCGTCGAGTACCTTCCCCACATCATCACACATCCCAGAATTCCCACCACAACGCGCTTCGGTCGCTTCAATATTAGTATTTTCTTGATCGCCTCACTTACGCGACTGCATCTGTATTAGTCGCGATGTCTCATTCTTGGTTGCAGAAGAAGCGCAAAGGCGAGCTGATTGAGCTCGCGCAGACAGCGAAGCTTCCCGAGTACGTCCAAGGTGTGTTGTATGTTGTGACAGATCACTAATGCGCATTGTAGTGCTGATAGCTACTTGAAGGATGATCTTGTGCTGCTGATTGAAGACCATCTCAACAACAACGAGATTACATATGCCAAGCATCCAGATTTCAGAGATTACTATGGCCGTAGCGGATCCCCCGTTAAGCGCGAGCGTTCGTCACCAGAGCCATTGTCTATAGCGAAGACGACGCGTCGTAGGACTCTCGTGAAGGAGCCGTCGTGAGTATCGATGTGCCTGCGACGCGTGACGCTCTAGACTAACAACACTGTAGTGAAGAAGCAACACCAGAGAAGAGAGCACCCATTACAACACGTACACCACGCGCTGTCGCCCAGTCTGCTGCACAGTCCGCCTCCAAAAACGTTCAGTCTGCGTCTCAGAGCCTTTCGCAGACCGCTCAGGACTTGACCCAGAGCCTGTCACAACAAACCCCACGAGCCATACCAAGACGTGTCTCCCAGATTGTCAACGAAGTCGACATCCCGGCCTCACCGTCCCAACTTGCAGAAGTCGCCGACCAGTCGTTCCAGGCTGCGAAGACCAAGGTCTCTAAGTTGTGGGAGAAGACACGAGTCGACGAGATCAAGGAGCTAATCCGTGAGAATGTCAGCTCGGTCGCTGCTATCCAGACACTCATCCTGCTCATCGAGGCTGCCGGGCTTCAGTTCAATACTCTCCAGACAACACCTACTATTGCCATCGATACGGCGAACAGCCACTACCTGCACATTCCCGACTTCTGGACACTTTTGACAAGCGAGTGGTGGGCTCCAGCTACACTGTGGTCCTTAACAAGTTGGGTGCTGCCATTCATCTTTTCTTACTTCTTCAACTTGACGCTTCGATCGAACACCAACCACAAGTCTTCGTACCGCCAGTACCCCGCAGACCCGCTTGTGTTCAACATTGTCAAGGCTATCTTGGCGTATAGCGCGTATCGTCTGCCTGTTGTCGATGCGACTCTGGTAGGCGAAGCTGGGCTTGCCAAAGCTGTTGATATGAGCTGGGGCCCCTTCTCAGAGCAGAGTGTTGGTGTTGTACGCAACAATGTTCCTGGTGGTTACCACGGACTGCAGATTGGAGCTGTGGTCGGCATTTTGGTCAGCTTGTACGATGCCGCGCTCAAGAAGTGATTGCTTAGTGTACAGTTGATCCACGGCCGAGAACGAAATGGAAATGAGCTCAGTCGATTTCAGATTGCGGCGTTCGGGTTTGACTGCATCCACCAGGCTGTGGAGGGTAGCAGGCAGTGTCTTGGCGAAGACGGCGCTTATGGATAATGGCACACTGTTGTCTGATCATTGATATTATCGTCGAGTTCTCTGTTCTTCCTGAATGCAATTGCTTTTTCCACCGTCACCGTATTAGCGTCGCAAGACTAACTAGCTGATCCCACAGTATTCTGTTGTAGCAGCACGACATGAAGGATGTGCATCAGCAGGATCATGGAATCGGCATGCGTGCAAGGTCGGGACAGATTCCAACCAAGCGTATGTCGAAGCACGAACTTGTCGGTTCCTTAAGCATGAGCCTGCATGTGTAGACACTTATACGTGTTCCTTATCGAATGGAAGCAAGCCGGAGGATGTTGTGCAGGCTTGCAGCGGTTGAGCGAAAGGTACCCACCACGTGCCGTGCAACGTGGGTAGAGTGAACGGCGAGTCGTAGGGGAAGTAGCATCGAGTGTTGTGGCTTAGCTTCATTCGTATATCCTCCAGCAGGCCCCTGTAATTGATGCCCGGCACGTCTGCACTTGGAGTTCGTCGAGAGAAAGGAAATTCTAGTGGACCGTACAGTCGGGTGTAAAGATATGTGAGGAGGCAAATATTTCACAGCCTCGCTAGTACGATAAGATGCAGTGCATCAAAGAATCTGTACAGGCACGAGAGACTTCTTGCTGATGACTGCAGAATGCTTCACAGCTCCGGTGGAACTTCAAGCATCTGGGTATATTGTCTCAGCTCCTGAAATGTACGAGGCTGAACGATTTTTTGCAATTCGAGCTCTCGAGCTATATTAGGTCGGAGCAATGTCTGGTTCTGTTATCATAATCTCATGTCTCTGCCAGCAGCTCGTAACGAGGCAACAATATAACTCAACGGCATTGAGCGTTCTCGTAGCCAAGACCTGGCGGTGTACCTTGAGTTGTGCATATGAGATACTTAATACTTTGATGTGCAGAATTGCGCAACTGCAGGATGCCGTGCGCCCTGCTCCATGCTCCGGTGGCCGGAACCATACCCTGCATGCGGGTGGACCTCGATAATCAATGAGGGGCTGCCCGGGCATAAGGATGAAGGACCTGGAATAACGGCGGTGATTGAGAGTCGCATTGTAATGGATTTGTAGGGATCGTGAGAGAGTGCTCATGGTGTTGAAGGTTGAAGGTCGATTGAAGGTCGATTGAAGGTCGAGCGAAGTGGGGCTGGTGGCATAGCGTGACACGTTCAGCCTCATGTTGACGACTCTATGACGACGTCACCCTTCTTTCAACTGCACATTGAGCAGTGAGCACACGAGCACAACAATGTTCCACGTATCTCAAAGCAAACACATTCCAGCATACATACCACAAAATGCGCCTTAACCCAAAAGGTGATCGAGACAGCTTCCCGAAACGTGCTCAGCTCCCTATTGTTGCAGGCACGCCAGAAGGCTCAGCATGGTTCTGGGGAGGTTCTGATGAACTTGGCCGTTTGAACCTCTTGACTCCTGAGCGCGTACAGAAAGCGACACGAGAAAATGTCAAGACAGGCTGTGTTGTTTCGCTCAACCTACCTTTGAGCGAACCTTCGCCTCCATTCTTTGGGCGAAGACCCATTGAACATAAGATCAAGTCGATCGGCAAAGGCGCTTTTGACGACGAGACCACGATCAACACACAGTCGAGTAGCCAATGGGACGGGTTCCGGCACTTCGCTGATCCTAAGTCAGGGTGCTTCTACAACGGCATTGTATCTGAGGAGATTGAAGGAGACGAGGGTCTGGACGAAGGTGGACCAGAAAGGTCAAGAAGACTTGGTATCGATGCCTGGGCGAGACACGGAATAGTAGGACGGGGTGTGTTACTTGACGTATACAGCTGGGCGCAAAAGGAAAGCCCCTACGATCCGTTCACCGAGCATTTCATTACTGCAGAAGACCTGAAAGCCTGTGCTGAATCACAAGGTGTCACGTTCCAGACAGGAGACATTATCCTGATACGAACAGGTTGGCTCGAGAAGTATACCACTCTCACGACGGAGGAAAAGGAGGACCGCAGTAAATGGGATGTTATGAAGCATCAGTATGCTGGATTGGAAGCTTCGGAAGACATGAAAGATTTCTTGCACGACTCATACTTCGCGGCCGCTGCGACCGACAACGCCAATCTAGAAGCTTGGCCGCCTAAAAGCTTTAAAGCGAGCTTACATGCTGCGCTGCTTCCGCTTTGGGGCATGCCAATCGGAGAATTATGGGATCTTGAGGCCCTTAGTCGAAAGTGTCGGCAGGAGAAAAGGTGGACCTTTCTGCTGACGAGTTCGCCCGCAAACGTACCCGGTGGAGTGGGGAGTCCGCCAAATGCGTTGGCAATATTTTAGTAATGGTTGCATGCTTCCGTACTCTTTCAGGGGGTTGATGTATTTGAAGGTTCACCATTTCTCTTTTGTCCCGAGTTTCTGACGTTTCTCTGACGTTTTTGAGGTTCTTGTAAAGGATGGATGGATCAAGTTACAATGAAACCCCTTGCATTTGTCCACAACTAGATTACAAGCACTGATTCGTTGCCGAGGGAGACAACCATGAGCAGTCGACCGTACTACTTTATTTCTCAACAACACCCAAGAGTCGTCATTTCTGCCGCCCTACACCATTACATACCACACCGGTTACTTCCATGGCATCTTTTTGCAATATTTGCAGTACAGTATTGCGCAGAAATTGCACTATTTTTCGAAGTTGTAGAACTTCTGTTTGCAGCCACAGCACTCCCACGCTTTTGGAGGTGGTGAAGACTAGTTGCAGTGGCCCTCAGGATAGGCCATGGACTTGGATTTCTGGCGTTGGTTGTTCGATGTTTTCGCAGTCGCTTAGCCATGCGGCATGCGCACAAAGGGATGGAGTTCATCTTGAAGATTGCCAGCGGATTCGCTTCGTCACTGAACAATGTGCACTGCCCCTCAGGTGCGCATCGCATTCGCGACCCATATTGTAAAGATGGGGTGGCACTATACTGGATCTCATGTATGAGTGTATTCTTGTGTGTATGTACAAGTGTGCGATCTGAGCTCTAGTCATGCCTGCAGACCAGTCATGTGATGTGGTCCTAGGCTTACACATATCACCAGCGATGGGCGAACTCAACCACAACGCTTGCATGCTTTTTCGATGAACTTTCTTGACAATCGTCATACCATATTCGAATCATTTTTTACAGCAAAAAATGCGCCCAGCTCAACAGCAAGATCAGCATACGGTCCACTCGATTATAGTATGGTGCTCGAGTCAATGGCAGACTCTCCATTGAAAAGTGCTTCCAGCTGCGGCTGCTATTCACGAGTACGACCAAAACGTGGTATAGTCGTGCTTCAATTAAATGAATGGTTTGATGGTTCGTCGCGACCTTTGTAGTAGGACTTGATGGAAGCACATTAGAAGCTGCCTAGGCGGCACCATCGTACTTCACGCTGACGACTTCTTTATTAAATATGCAGGAACAGACCAGGCTGCAGATTTACTCAGCTCTCGACGACCCATGGAGAATGTCATATACTGGGTTCAGGAGCGCAGGGTCTGCCCAAAGGGATCACAAGCGGAACGATTGAGCCGGTGGAAGCTCCGGTCCAATAGCTGAAGTGGACCCTTTATTGACCACAATGTTGCGTGGGTACGCAACAACTCTGGCAAGACTCCGCTTTTGCTCGGCTGAGTGTGCCGATCTCAAGGTGTGATCATAAGACCTGAACAATCGATTGCGAAAAATAAAATGAAGCGGTTGTTACGCAGTGCATATACTCAGCCGCTCTATGTTTGGTTTATCCTCGTCTGGCCACAAGTTACCACAAGATCGCTGTTTGAGCGTACGGCCCCACTGTGATCCACCAATGATTTCTAGTAGTGGAGGGAACGAGAACTTTAGCAGGTACGTGTTGCTGTTGTCGACCTGAGCGATCTCAATACCCTCGCCAATTCTACCTACAGTCCTTAGTGTGCGTTCACTGGAGGACTCTAGCGTCAGAAGATGACAGCCATCAAGAGAGTCGCAGTTGAGCTCTTTGTACATATGGCCCTCAGAATCCTTGCAGGCCGTTGGGAGGCAAAAAATCAGCTCGATTCCCGAGCGCCCGGCGAATTGGACTGGACCCTGACAGAACGGACATCTTGTGACATGACCAGTGTCTTTGGGTGAATAACCCAGCATGGGGATGTCCACGAAAAAGGCGGAAACGTCTAGGCGAGGTTCCGTATCAACGAACGAATCCCGTCCCAAAGCTCGTACAAGGATTGCCACGGTGCATAGGCACACCGAGTCCTCGCAGATATTCATAACCTGCCACATGACTTCCGATGTCGGCGACTGGTAGTTGACCTCGAGTGCCTCAGCCTCGCGAGATAGCGATAGGAGCGAGTAGATCATGTCTCGTCTGACTGTGCAGCACTTATCCTCGAAGTAGTGTAAAAGGTTGACAAGGCCCCAGTTATTCATCCAGCTGTCACTTATTAGGATCCTCCCTGTCGCGTCGTCTTTTCGACTGAAATAGTCTTTCTGCACAAGCATAAGCCGTGCAAAGTATTCGAAGTGACTTTTAGAATAGACCTGGACACAGCAACGAGTAGCGTTAACTAGTGACGGGTAGTCGAGTATCGCATTACCAGCGACAACATATATGGCTTTCGCCAACAAGATCTCCTGTGTGACCCAAGCTCGCCTCCAATATTCGTGATCCGCGAGAGCGACATAGAACGGAAAGGTCTCTTCTTCTTGTAGGTGTTTCGTTGGGATCGAGGCCGTGGAGGGCCCTGAGAACAAAGACACGTAATCCTGTTTAAGTCCCTTTTGATGTTCGCGCTGGTAGAAGTTCTTGCAGGCGACCCATTGTGTCTGCTTTTCTCCCAATCCCAGCTGATGCAGTGGTCGCTCCAGCTCAGGCTCACAACCCAGCCATGTTATCAGCATCTTTGCTTTCGCGAATATATTGCCCATTCGCTGCACCTGATGATCTCTCTCCGCCGCATTAGCTTGATTGATGCAGATGGCGTCTATCCAGAGGAAGCAATAACCAAGTTGTGTCCTAGCAACATACAGGAAGGCCTCAAGGTTCCTGCGCACCATCAGAAGCTTCCTACTGATCAGTATAGCACGTTCGTTCCCAGAGCTGCCCCAGGTATAGGATAAGCAAATGTATGGCGTTGATTTGCTGCTGAAGTCTCGAATGTGAGGTTGCAGTGTTTCCGCGATACCAGTCGCACCATCTGCCGCTCCTGGAGATAACACTGCATGATGTATACTGCATTCAACTAGCCCATCAGTGCTGAGGTCAGGCAATACTTTGACTAGGCGAAGCGAATCTTTCTTTTGATCCAGTGGAGCGTGACGGAAATGAGACGTGCCATAGGCGTGGTTCCAAGAGCTCTCATTCCTCATTCTCGCAACTTAGGCGTGATGATGATGCCTCAGACTGATATGAAATGGGCGAAAGAGCAAGTTGATACGCAACATCCTCGTTGTGATGCGTGCTGGAGCAGAAAGAGCGGACGCGCACAACAGCGGGCAAAATTCGGCCCATGGCACGTGCTCACACCAGCCGAGGAAGTGTTGCCGAATCCGTCCTTTACCACACAACTCAACGTTTCGGCGAGCAATGTTGAGGGTGCCTTCCAATCATAGCAACCGCCCTCTTCGACGTCGCAGTCCGTGTCTTTGTCCGGAATTGCTGTAGGACGAAACATGGATCTCTGCAACGTTCACGTGTTCGAAGACGTAAGCTTACATTGCAGCGGGTTGGTCTCCACTGTGGTCGAGCATACACTTAGCTTACACATTTGAAGCCTGGTCTTGGGTATGTCTCCATGTGAAAGGTCCCCATTAGGACTGGTCAGCTTTTTGCAACAGCTCAAGTGCTTACTTTTCGAGTGTGAGACTAAGTACCAGTGGTCTTATATGCATGATCACTGTCAAACCATCCTGGACCATCAGTCGTCCAGCTCAACTACTTACAAGGAACGAGTCCAAAGAATGGAGACAGTTCTACACCAATTGAAAGAACAAAGATAAGACCCTCGATAAGCATGAGTAACAAAGCAGCTTTTCTCGAGACCGAAAAGGGTTCCATTGTTGTTCGCGATGCTGAGATCGCACAACCTGGTGAGGGCGAGGTGCTCGTCAAGGTGCGTCTCAGAACTGCCGATGGAACCTATGAGTGAGAGCAGAACCACTTACCTGAGAAGGTACAAGCGTGCGCCATTCAGCCTGCAGATACAAAGGTAGCCAAGCAAGTTCTCATGACCCTCGAGTATCCGTCCGTTCTCGGCAGCCCAGTCGCAGGAACCATCGAAGCTTTAGGTTCCGGTGTCACCAAGGTCGCAGTTGGACAGCGAGTTGTGTGTGGAACCAAGATTTTCACGCACAAAAAGGCGAGATATGGTGGCCTTCAGCGTTTCACAGTGGTTGATGAGTCGGAGGTAGTAAAAGTAAGCATTCCATCTATGTATGGTAGGTCCATTTACTAAGATGTTCGAAACAAGATCGGGGATGTGGGGTTCACAAAAGCGGTCACACTGGGGTCTTACACGCCTCCTGCTGCCCTGTTCGGCAAGTCAGCGCTGAACATGCACTGGCCAACGGTCCCAGCCTCAGCACTTCCAGCAAGCGAGCAAGGCAAGAAGATTCTCATCTGGGGTGGATCATCTGCCATGGGTTCACTTTCCATCTCGTATGCCAAGCAAGCAGGCTATACTGTGATTAGCACGAGTTCGCAACACAATCTCGACCTCCTCAAATCGCTCGGCGCCGACCACATTTTCGATCACAGCGACCCAGCAACTGTCAACGCCATCCGTGACCTCTTCCCCATCGATTATTGGTTGGACACGATTTCTTTGAATTCGACGGTATCAACCATTCTGAAGATTCTTGCGCCAGAGGGAGAGCCAGTAACAAAAGCCAACATCCTTTTGCTTCTGCCACCTGCCTGGCTCGGCATCGACTCTTTCCCAGACGGTGTTACGATGCAGTTCCATCGCTTCTCTACCCGTGCGCCCGAGAACGCTGAGTGGCATAAGCACTTTCTCGGAACGAACGGGTTCATGGAGCAAGGCATAAAGAGCGGCGTTATCAAAGGTGTCGCGCCAGAGGTATTGGGCGGTCTTGATAAGGTAGAAACAGGGTTAGACACCGTCTATAACGGCGTCAGTGGCAAGAAGATCGTCATTGAGCCGTGGGTGTGAAGAACCGGTTCAAGTGTTGATACGAGAAGTTCAGACACGTGTCAAGGTTACGATCGGACTGGAGATTAAAACACTCAAGAGTTGTGAGCCTACAGTAAGCCGGCTATCTAGTACCCATTATCTAGCTCAGGCTCGACCCGGCTATGCCCAATCTTGTTGCCTTCATACATCAATGCGAACTCCAATGCTGTTCCAATCACCATCATCTCGATGGCAAAATCTATCCGCTTGTATAATTTGCCGTCAGTACCTTTGAACGTTTTCAAGTCGAAAGTGTCGATATGGTTCTTGGACTTGACCTCAGAATCTTGTCAAACGTTACTTGTTTGCCGGCTTGGTGATCTCTTATCATCACAGGTGAAGATATTGGCCGCCAAGGATAAGCATTGCGAACTTGCTCAGCCGAGACGTTGATGTTACACAGTAGTCGTACTGGCTTGGCCTCGTCGATACTGTCATCCCTGGACAGCGTCAGCTATGTGTCGCATGTATTGTGGGAGATACTAACTCTCTTCAAGTACCACTGAAGCTGAGGCGAGCCAAGGCCGACCTTCCTTGGTTTCAACCAAACCACAGACACTAACACCGCCGCTCAATCCGGATCGTCGCTCGACGACGCGAAGAACAATGTCGGACGCGGAGGTTCCCTTCTTCGTACTTTCACCCAATGACTGTGCCTCCGATCACACTTGCAAGTCGCTCACGGCGATTGACCACCTGCGCGTTTTCGTAGCGCAAGCCACAAGTCCAGCTCCGACACGAGAGTATTCGAGGCTATCGAAAGTCGGAGGTCTGGAGAAGTCGAGACAGGCTTTCTACCCCACCGCCACCTCTGACTTTGACTTCGTGTTCTTCCCCGAGTCTGCCCCCGATTGGGCTCTGGGGCTGGAGATCTTTCGGTTGACTCGGAGGCGCTTATGAGAAACCAACACCATGAATTTGAAATCAACGAATTCTTTTCTCTCCAGAGACGACTTAGAGCAGATCCAGGATGCTGTCAGACAGCTGGTTTGTGAGGCTCAACAACTGCCGGTCTACGGCACCCTGAAGTGCGACCGGAGAAATGCATCAGCAGATCAGACGGGACAAGTCAGCCGAAGCTTCAACCCATCAGCGCGCACCAAGCTTTCGGGCGCATCTTTGACAAAGCTTTTCTGTGCCGCCTACACATCCCAAGCAACGCTTAGCAGGTCTTGGTCCTTGCTAGTAGGGATACGAACGCTGGTGGCGCCAAACCCCAGGCGTCCCCGTTGACATCATTGGCGGAGAACAGCATCTTTGCGGGGACGCACGGGTGGGAACGTAACAACGATGAATGACGGCCGCACGCGACGCCTTATCAACGTGGTCATAGCGAATCGAGTCGCTCTTTGGGCCATTTTGAGTGGTGATCGGTCTGGGATGGTGCGGTCGGCGACTGAGTTCTGGGGAAGATGTTTAAAGGTGGGCTGTTCCCCATGTCCGGGGTTGCATTGACATCTGCTTCTTCTCCAGACGGCAGATAATCGGTTTTTGTCAGCTCAGAGCTCATCGCTGACGACCTCCACGCCTCATTGTTGAGGGTCCTTTCCATTTGTCTTGACCTGACTTTCGCCCACCATACCTCACTATGGCAGACGAGAAGTACGGCGCTGAGCAGCAGGAGTACCTTCCGCCAACGCACGAAAAAACAAGCGTCGGCCGCTATGCCGCAACCCGTCTTACTACCCTCAAGCCCGCCATGGCCAAGGTGCAGAACCCCATTGCGCTCCTGCGGTTGCTCAACCTTCAGCAATGGATGTTCTTCCTCGTCGCATTCTTTGCATGGTCATGGGACGCTTTCGACTTCTTCACTGTATCACTCACAGTCGAGCCGCTCGCTGAGAGCTTCGGTAAAACTAAGAAGGATATCACCTGGGGCATCACCCTCGTGTTGATGCTGCGTTCAATCGGCAGTATCATCTTCGGTCTGGCTGCTGATCGCTATGGACGAAAGTGGCCATTCATCATCAACAACATTTTGTTTATTGTGCTCGAGTTGGGCACAGGTTTCTGCACAACCTACGAGCAGTTCCTTGGTGTGAGGGCACTCTTTGGTATCGCCATGGGTGGTCTGTACGGCAACGCTGCTGCGACTGGTATGTACTTTTCACTGTCTCACTAGTTCACGACACTGACAACCTCCAGCCCTCGAAGACTGCCCCGAGGCCGCTCGCGGTATCATCTCTGGTATGCTGCAGCAAGGATATGCCTTCGGCTACCTCCTAGCCACCGTCTTTGCCCGCGCCTTCGTCGACACCGTCGGCCACGGCTGGCGCCCACTCTTCTGGTTCGGTGCCGGTCCACCAGTTCTGATCATCATTTTCCGCCTATGCCTCCCCGAAACCAAGGCATACCAAGAGCGCAAGCGTATTCGCGAGGAAGAGCCCAACGCAGCCAAGATGTTCATGCAGGAAGGCAAGCACGCACTCAAGAAGCACTGGATCCTGCTCATCTACATGGTGCTCCTCATGGCCGGCTTTAACTTTATGTCCCACGGCTCACAGGACCTGTATCCGACCATGCTTACGAACCAGTACGATTTTTCCGCCAACCGCGTCACCGTCACTCAAGTCGTCGCCAACCTTGGTGCCATGACCGGTGGAACACTCATTGGATACAGCTCCTCCATTTTCGGCCGCAGACTCAGCATCATCATTATGTGCATCATCGGCGGCGCGCTGCTGTATCCATACACATTCACCAGCAGCAACGCCGTCATCGCCGCTGCTTTCTTCCAGCAATTCTGTGTCCAGGGCGCGTGGGGTGTGATTCCCATTCACCTTATGGAGCTGTCCCCCGGCTCGTTCAGGACGTTCGTTGTCGGTACCTCTTACCAGCTTGGAAACCTCGTTTCCTCTGCTTCGTCAACCATCGAGGCTACCATTGGTGAGAGGTTTCCGCTGCCGCCTAAGGGTAAGGTGAGCCGCTACCAGTACGGCTTGGTCATCTGCATCTTCATGGGCTGTGTGTATGCGTATGTCATTCTTCTAACCTTTGTTGGACCGGAATACAGGGGCAGGAACTTTGATGTCGCTGCTGACGAGGACATGGCTGCTGTAACGGGTGTTGATCACAAGATTCGTAACTACAGTGTTGACGAGGATAAGCGCAGGGAAGTTCAAGTGTAGTGGCGGTTTCACGACAGGCACGATAAAGCGTTCTGATGGGTAAAATCAATCCAAGTGTTGCAACAACATGTTCCGGTAATCGTCTGTGGTGAATCACATCTGTTCGACGTACTTTGACTATGCTCTGGGGATCATCATCTCATAACACATTGAAATTTATACTTCACAGTCTGAGGCACAGACTTAAAACAGCCACTACAGATTAGGAAAAGCACCTCCTGTCATACTACAGTGATAAGCAACAGCAATCAGAAAAGCCTGCAGTTTCATGACTTTGCTAACGAGCAGAGGAGGTCCAAGCTCTTTGTTAGACAGCACAGGGCCTTTGCATATCGTCGCTTTACACTACGCACCGAATGCCGCTCAAACCTATCCATTAACGCTCAAACGTTCAACCCGCACCTCATTCTACATTCACATCATACTCCCTATCATCAAACGTCATCTGCACCGTCGCCCCCGCGAGAGTGGGCAACACAGCCTCAACAATCTTCGGCTTGAATTCCACCACCTTTTCAAACTCACCCAATGCCGGGGTTTGATAATGATTCAGAGCTAGAAAGTACCATCTGTAGGGTTGTGGTGGTTGGATTTCAATGACGGGGTTGACGCCCTTTATTTCACCGTACTTGATTCACCGCACTGGGTTCGCCGCACTGGATTCACCGTACTTGAAAGTGTGGATCGTGGTCGCGGCTGCAGCATCCAGCAAAGCGAGCATGGATACGATAGGAGCAATCAACATATTGAAAAACCCCGAGGCGTGTAAGCTAGCCAATAAGCCTGCAAAGTGAGCGCTGTTCTAGCAAAGATGCTACGCGAGTATGTATCTACGTAAATGATAAGACTGGGTAAGTCAAGAGACTCCCTCTTGCTGCCGGGGTTCCTCGAAGTATCCATGACCGTGGCGGTTGTTTTGTGCAACCACCACGGCGGGAAGTACGAAGTGGTGGGGACGTCCCCTGTGGGCGGATTCTGAACGCGGTGTTGTTGCAGACGCCGCATTAGGCGGGATAAAGACCGCCTGTCGCGACGGGAAGTAGGGGTCGCGCCCGCCATTGCAGATCCGAGGCACTGGGCAAGGTGGAGGCAGAAGCTGCTGGTAAATGCACTTTCGGAAACTTCACACAAACAGCCTGTTAGGTACTTCATACAGAAAACAGTAAAAGATATACAAGAAGTTAATCTACGACTCATGCCTCTTCACCTTTCGCATGTCCAAACAACGCGCACTCCCTACCACTTACCCCACCTCACACACTCACACGGCACATTCTAGGCGCACCTGCTCAAAGTGCCCTTAGCCAGCTTGCCCTGTGCACCAAGGCACCTCTCCTTTCCAGCAACCTTATCACTGTCTCCCTGGCCCTTGTTGACACCCTTGAACTGCTGGCAGATCTCGCCGGAAACAGTACCGCAAGAGCCAGAGATAGTAGCAGAGTCGCCAAAGTTGGAGTTGATGCCGGCGAGATTGGTCTTGACATTAGTTGCGCGGAGGCGCTCGATGACAACGTGGCGGGGACCGTGGGAAGAGTTGTTGGTGCCTGTTGCATTGGTTAGTATGAAATTCTGTGAGGGCGGGGAAAAGAGTGAGGTTGAGAGGGAGAGGACTTACAGTCACCGCAAGCGCGGTACACCTTGCCAACATTGACGACCTGGTAGTCGCGGATAGTAACCTTTCCGCTACCATTATGCTGAACGACCTTGTCATCCGCGTTCTGCGCACCACCGCCAACGATCAAAACATCGCCGTTGCCGAGCGCAGAAATCGCATCCTCGCAAACATCCCTGAACCAGACGTTGCGGACCGTGCATTTGCCCTCGCAGTGGACGCCCTCGAGCGCGTTGGCACCGATGATGACGTTCTCGAGCGTGGCGCCTTCCTTGAGGAGAAAGACGGCGTTCTTGGTGCCGGTGTCGCCCTCAGCGCACTTCATGCCGCGGTCGAACTCGCGGTAGCCGTAGTTCCTGGTTACGCCGGCGGGGATGGTTTCGACAGCTTTGAGGACTTCGACGTTGCCGACGCGGGTGGGGATGTTGAGGGTTTGGGCGGCAGAGAGACTAGCGAAGAGGGCGATGGTAAGGAACTGCATCTTGAAGATTGAGATAGAAGGCCGGGAAGGGATGACTTCGAAGACAGTGAATGGTATGGGAAGAGTGGTGCAGGAAGCGAGAGTGTAGAGATCGAGCGAAGGTAAGCTGCGGTGAGAACATGATTGACGGCAAGTGTTCCTTCTCTTTATACACATATTCACTGCCCCTTCATGACGGTAGTCTCTCCATTGATTGATGCAGTAGGCCCTTTCTCGTACTGTCGGCCTTCTCGCGGAAGCTATGGAAGCCAAGACAGTTGCGAGCTGTAGTCGACTGTCTGTTAGCCCATCTAGAAGTCTCGACAGCTCTGACAATTGGCCGAAGCCAATCTAACTGCCTTTCTGGAGGGAGTACAGGTCTTGGAAGGTACATAATAGCTTCTGTGGTGGTGAGGTTCTCGGTTTGCTCGTGGCTGGGTACCCAGGTGTCATGAGAGAGGGGTGAAGTCGAAACGACGAGCAAGCATCGTGAGAGTTGGCATACGAGATCGTCGGTGGAGGAGCAAGTGAATGTTGTTCGGACTGCGTTCCGTACTAAGCAGACTGACTGAGATCGTGCGGTCGAGCGCGTCCGTGCCCCAGACCTAGCCACAATACTAGCCACGTCACAGCAGGGCTGTTCCTTGCCCTTCCTTCCTCGAAACAACTGCGAGAACGACCGCAGGACACGAACCATTGATACCAAGACTTTCGGTCTATGTTCATGCGTCTCACGTCACAGCCAAAAGATGTCGCGGCGAGATCTCGGTAATAAGCTACAATGCCGATATATAGGCACCTACAACACCAAGCTTTCCAAGCTGCCAAGTGCCTATATGGATCTCAGGAACGGTCTTGGTATGTTCGAAGTCGAGCCGACACCTATTGACAGCATCTCAGCCTCACGCATGGGAAGAGCCGCGCCGAGCCGACTTCGGGCACCTCGATGGTCGACGGCATTGGATGCGACGTCTGGTGAAATGCTCGTAAGGTGTAAGAAATGAATCTGTTGTCCTTCATCGTATCGCTTTTGGCAGCAACCCAAGTGGACACACGTGGCCCATGTCTGCTCTGTATAGCGCTGGGCTCGTCGCACATCCAAACATCGACCGAATCTCTTCCCAGTAGTTCCTGACGTTTATGCCCTAACCGCTCGTATACGTGAAGTTGATGGTTACGGCGTTTTCGACAATGACGGAGAGATTTCCTCGGAAAGTACTGTTCGCTTTTGGTACTATCGAGGTGGACAGAGGACGTTGACTTACACGCTCCCTGATGTGACAACTGCTGTATTCTGTAGCATCCCTCCGACCTCGCCGTACCTGCCGTGATCGGCTCGCACTCGCCCCATGCTTGCGATCACCCTATTCCGTAATGCTTTGGTAATGTCATGATGTTGGTCATGGAGGGCACCACACACGCATCAAGCGGACCTGTGGCAAGGAAGATGTTGGCTGCTGCACCGCTCTCACTCACGAGATTCATATCTGTCAATTTCACGACCATGCCCTTGGAACAGATGGATGAGTCGCTCCTGTTGAACACTGTTGTGATCTTTTACGAGTTGTCGACAACAGATTTGTCAAGCCCACCAAAAGTGATGGATCCATCACGGGGTTGGCCCGCACATCCAGCACCCCAATAGAGAGAGTACGACCTGGAAGAGATGCTGTGATCAGCCCGCAGCGCGTCGACGAAGCTTGAGTTCAGATCCACTCCTAGTTCAGCCTGAGGCCTAAACTCATGTACCTGCCTAGCTGTGGGAATACCGAAGCTGAGATTCGATAACAATGAGTTGTCGCTCAAGAAGACATTCTCTTTGGCCCAATTCGCAGTCGTGCCGTCGATAATATGATAATTGCTGCCGAGTTGGATGAATATCGATCATACACCCCACCGTGTGGGGTCGTGCACTTCCCGGAGGATGCGCAGTTATCACAGAACACATTCTCAACGTAGACGTAAATATCCAACGCTGAGAACGTACGCGCAAAGCACAAATGACAATGCCAACTTGAGTGAGGCAAGGTTATAGGCGATCCTGCAGGTCAGCAGAGAAACTTGATCGCCAAGCGGAGATGCGGGGTGCGTGGGGTAACACGTTCTTATTCGTCATCCATATCGTCGCGTTAATCTATGCGTTTTGTCTATTCATTTCTGGGTTTGCAGCACAATTTACACCTCCTTCCTAGGCACGCCGCCAGGCAGCGTCTGCACCTTCTCCTGGAAGAGCTTCTCGGCGCCCTGCCAGACAGGCGTGCTGTCGCGGTCCTTCAAACCCATCAAGCTGGGCAGAAGTGCGTTGCTGAAGGCATCGGACGACTCACGCGGCAGCGCCGACGGCAGGTGGTCGATCGAGATAACCGACAGTGTAGGCCCGTTGCCCCCGACGTCGACCTTGACAGTCGGCTTGTCGAACGTGGTGTTGATGTTGTAGATGGGGATCGGGTTGTGCGGGTTCGTCGTATCGCAGCTGACGTCGCAGACAACGCTGAGCTTGCGGTTGGCGCTCTCCAGGCTCTTGCGGTCGACAAACGGGGGGATGGGCTTGGAGAGGTAGATGCAGTTGACGAAGATGTCCGACTCGATGATCTCCGGGTACGGGCCATCGCGCTCCTTGGTCTCGGCAAGATCCCACTTCTTGATCTCAGGGCAGCCGACCTTCTCGAGCAGATCAACCGCGCCGGAGCCGCAGCGGCCCAGCGCACCGAGGACCAGGCTGGTGGGCTTGCGGCCCGCGACCTTCTCTCCGGCGGCGACGTCCTCCTTGAGCTGGGCGATGAGGTCGCTCTCGGTGTTGTAGTAGCCACGGCCGTCGGTGAAGGTCTCGATGCCGGGGAGGGGCTCGCCGTTGGGGTGGGTGAGCTGCCACGCCCAGGTCTGCGACGTTAGCATCAAGCACCCATCATCAGACCGTTCCACGAACCTTGATGGCGAGAGCAGCACCGGCGAAGCCAGCGTGGTAGCCGAACGCAGCAACACGCCTGCCAGACTCGTCCTGCAGAAACTCGAGGTCGTACAGCACACCGCCGCCGCGGGGGAACCTAGCGAGGACCTTCTCCCAGCCGGCCTGCTGCTTGTAGCAATGCGCAAAGTGGACCATGGTGTGCTCGAGCGGCCAGTCCTCCTCGGGCAGCTCCTTCAGGCCGATGATGATGTGGTCCCTGGGCGCCTTTGTCCACGAGCCCTCCTCGACGAGCGTCGCGCCGGCATCCTCAAACTCCTTGTCCTTGAAGATGCGCTCGTAGTCGGGGTTGGTGGGGCTGCGCTCGACATTGACCTTGTAGCCGGCGTCGAGCAGCTTCTTGGTGGTGGTGGGCGTGAGGCAGGAGCGGTGCTCGAAGGGCTTGGCCTCTGCGCGGGCGTGCAGTGTGGGGAACGCCATGTTGCAGGAACGTGGTCAATTGGAACTGAGAGAGGCCAGACAATATGTAGAGGAGTCCTAGAGGAGTCCTAGAGAAGTTCTAGAGAAGTGCTAGAGAAGTGCTAGAGGGTTTCTAGAGAAGTTATAAAGAAGTTGATATGTGAAGTGTAAGTGCCTAATCGGCGCGTGGAGTTGGTCAATGGGCGATGCGGAGTACGTGACGATGACTCCCGACGATTTTTTGAGAATCCGTCTGCACTCCGAGAACGGCGCTACTGCAGGGCCATACCGTTAGTCGGCAAACGCCAATCACGTGTGACTGTTTGCTAACAACATTGCCTTCCCTCAGCCATGCTTTCCAACAGGCCAACCTGCTTGAGCACCGTGTCTCTCCTCCTCGGCCTATGACACATTTCGTGGTGGGGCCTAGCGCACGTGCATGGGCGGACTGGGCGGACTGACCGCAACGGCGTCGCGGTGCGGGAGAGGCTTAAGATTCGGCCATTGGCTAGGGATCCTCAAAAATAACGAGACTGCCTTAAAGCCGCAGTCCTCTGCCCCCCCCTCCCCCCCCTCCCCCCCTCCCAGCGTCATGGAGAGAGCGTGATGCGTGCGACAGCATACAGAGCATCCTTCCGTCTTGTACTCGCTCCCGCGAAATACTGGCCAACCACGGGCGCGGTGAATAAGCGGTCAGCCCTCGTAACCGTCGGGACATAGACGAGATGCCTCCCAAACTCGAAGATGCGCCCTCGAGAGGACACTCGCGCGACTCGTCGCGTGCCAGCGCCCACCACGCCCACGCGCCCGCCACACCCAGCCAGCTGAGGCAGGCGCATGTGCCCTCGGACCGGTCGAGCAGCCCCGAAGAGACGATGGGCCGACACAGACGCCAGTCCTACTACCAAGACGAGCAGCAGCAGGACGCCAGCCATTCTGCGCCTTACGACATCGACATCTCCGCCGAGGGCATCCAGCCGGGTGGAAATGACACGCCCGAGTCCGCACGCTCAACGCACGACTTCGCCGAGGCGCCCCAGCACGACGGCATCGTCGAGGTCGATATCAGCGAGCCCAATGTGCGCTCACGCCTGCTCGACGCGGCGCAAAGAAACGAGTGGGCTCCGCGGCCAGGCGTGCACCGCAACTACGGCAGCTTTGCCGGCAGCGTCCACTCGGACCACAGCTTCGGCGGCGCATTCCCAGGTCTGTCACGTTCAGCCGCTGGCGAGGAGGAGGCGGCCGATGCCACACGCGCGCTGCTCGGCGATGCCTTCGCGGACAGTGTCATCAACAGCGGGGACAGGAAGAAGATGAGCACCACCCGTTGGCTGGCCGAGCGTCACGGCATCAAGAGCCAGCGTATGATGTACCTGCAGTACTACATACCTGTTCTCAGCTGGACTCGCCAGTACAAGTGGCGGTATCTCAAGGGCGATCTGGTTGCTGCCATCACTATGGCCTCGTTCTACATCCCCATGGCCCTCTCGTACGCTTCCAACCTTGCCCATCTGCCGCCGGTCAATGGTCTCTACAGCTTCGCCATCAATCCGCTCATCTACGGAATCTTGGGAACCTGTCCGCAGATGATTGTTGGTCCAGAGGCTCCTGGCTCGCTGCTAGTGGGTGAGATCGTGCGAGAGAACATCAAGAAGGGCGCATCCGGCGAGGCTGATGGCCGACTGAACGCTGAAATTGCGGGTATAGTCACGTGCATGGCCGGTGGCTTCATCTTCGTGGCTGGCCTCTTCCGCCTGGGATTCCTGGATAACGTGCTGAGTCGGCCGTTCCTAAGGGGTTTCATCAGTGCTATTGGCGTTGTCATCTTCATCGACCAACTGATCCCTGAGACCGGTCTTGCACGGCTGGCAGCCAAGCATGTTGCTCACGGCAGCTCTCTGGACAAGCTGGTCTTCCTCGCAAAGAACATCCACCGGGCACATAAGCTCACATGCGCCATGTCCTTCACGGCATTCGGCATCATCATGTTCTTCCGGTATGTGATCCACAATCCACAATCCACAATCCACAATCCACAATCCACAATCCACTCACCCTGCTCTACTAACATCCTGCCAGAGAATTCAAGAAAAGACTGCAACCCCGCTACCCCAGCGTAGCCTACATCCCGGACCGCTTTCTCGTCGTCGTCCTCTCCGCAATCCTAACCTGGCACTACAGGCTGGACCAACACGGCCTCGCGGTCCTCGGCGACGTAAACTCCAGCGGATCGCTCTTCTCCGTGCACTTCCCCTTCGACACGTCGCACATCAAATACGTCGGCGACGCCGTCAACACCGGCCTCATCATCGCTTTACTCGGCTTCTTCGAGTCCAGCGTCGCCGCGAAATCCCTCGGCAGCGGCGACACAACAAAGGACGGTGTCCAGCTGCCCCTTTCCGCCAACAGGGAGTTGATAGCCTTGGGAACAGCGAACATGACAGGCGGCCTATTCATGGCGCTCCCCGCGTTCGGGGGCTATGGGCGCTCAAAGGTAAACGCCTCAACCGGCGGCCTAACCCCAATGAGCAACATCTTCCTCTCTTTGATCACCATCCTGTCCACCGTCTTCCTACTCCCGTACTTCTACTTCCTTCCCAAAGGCGTGCTGTGCGCCATGGTCAGCGTCGTCGCGTACAGCCTCGTCGAAGAAGCCCCGCACGACATCAAATTCTTCCTCAAGATCCGAGGCTGGTCCGAACTCCTCCTCATGGGCCTCATTTTCTGGATCACGATTATCTGGGACTTGAAGCGTGGGATTGGTGTCGGCATCGGTCTGTCCATTTTGCGTTTGATCCGCCACAGTGTGAGGCCGAGGATTCAGATCTTGGGCAGAGTGCCGGGCACGACGAATCAGTTCGCCAACGCGGAGCTGGATCCGGAGAGTCTGGAGTTCGTCGAGGGGTGTCTGATTGTTAAGATCCCGGAGCCGCTTACGTTTGCTAACACGGGAAACCTCCGCTCCCGTCTGAGCCGCCTTGAGGACCACGGCACCGCCGCCGCACACCCCGCGCTCCCGCGCATCAGGCGCAGAGAACACAACAAAAACGTCATTTTCGATGTGCACGGCGTCACCTCCTTGGACGGCGCCGGAGCCCAGGTTCTCTCTGAAATCGTAGAATCCTACCGCAAGCGCGACGTCCGCGTGTTCTTCTGCCGCGTACCACCTGAGCGCAGTTTAGTCTACCAACTGTTTGAAAAGAGCGGGATTGTGGAGATGTGTGGCGGACAAAGACATTTTGTCAAGAGCGTCGAAGAAGCACTGCGGATGGTGGATCTCGAGCGTCTTACCGAGGAGATTGGGAGTGAAGCTAGTGGCTCGAGGCCTGTGAGTGGGCTGGGGTTGAGCTGAGTTGGGTGTGTGTTCGAAAGGGGTCGTAAAAGAGGCTAGATGAAGCATGTGCATGTGCATTAGGTGTATGAAGCGTTGAAGCGTTTGCTTTGGGGAGCACATACTTGGCGTTATGTAGGCATCGCGATGGCGTTTTGTAGGAAAAGTTCAATCGTAAAGCGAAGCATGCTGTTTGGCTCCATCTGCACGCCCCCTGGCTATGAGACTTGGAGGGTCGATGGAAGACTTGCTATGTTCGGCTGACTTTACGCGTCAAATCTCCTACAGCGGTTGTTGCAGGTCGGATACGCATACTTGCGTTTGCTTCACAATCACACTGGGACGAGCGAGATAAGGGCGAGTACGAGACGCTCAGAACATCTTTATCAAGACGGCAAGAAAGAAGAACAACAAGTAATCGGCACAGTGACTCGCCCCCCTCCATCTCATTTCGGGCACATAAAGCTTGAATCCCTCGGCGCCAAACAGAGACAGATATCGCCAGATTTCAGAGGAGCATGAATTTGGATAAGTAAACCCGACCCTTAAGTGAGGAGCCTGGAGGGCGCAGATATACCGATCTTCGGTATTCGATGCATGCTTTTTAGATGCAGAGGCGGGCCATGCTTTTTTTGACGTTGGCTTGAACAATGACCGAGCTCTACCGTTCTACCTCACACTATCGCCACTATTCTTCTCCATCTCTTCATTCTGCACATCTACCTGCATCTCATCCGCTTCCGCACTACTCTCCCCATTCTCTTCTTCATCCCCCAACCGCACAGCCAAATACTCAACATCATCCACCAATCTCCCCGCCTTCCTCACAACCTCCCACGCCGCATCCACTACCTCATCCGCCCATCTCCGCGTCGCAAGGAGATCATCTTCCTCCCTCTCAAATCCAATATCAGACGATAGACGCTGCTGTATTCTAGACAGCTTGTTGATGAGGGAGTCGGTCAGGTGCCGTGTGGTGGTTACATGATGGCGTGCGATTTCGAGCTCGGTCATTTGGACGGGGTCGGGGATGGCGGGGAAGGTTGGGGTTCTGGGAGTTGTCAGGGAGGAGTGGGGTGGTTGCTCCATTGCATGAATTCACGTTCCAGGATTTCGATCTATAGCACTGATCGGGAACAAGAACTATGTCGAAAAACGTCCCTTCATTAACAATGTCAGCGACCAGTAGCCATTGTATATGTGGTGCGCATTTGTTTGTCTACCTATTTGTTTGCAACGCACAAACCGTTGCCATGCATTTGGTCTGTTACTGGAAGCTGAGTCTTTCTATTCTTTGTCGGCCCTTTTGACGACCGACGATCCTACCTAATATCCAGTTCGAATGCTTGAAAAGTACTTTTTTTCTGCTTTAGGAAATCTCCACCTTGAACTCATGTCTCAATGGGTGTTCATTGCAAGCTACACCCCCATGATCCTCGTTATTTTTAGAAAGTGTCAGTGTGATATTTGAAGGGCATTTCGAGGAGCTCGCACCATCTCGTAGATCCTCTGGATTCGTTGACTTCGTTTCCACCGGAAGGCTGCGATGACAACAGCACTGAGTCGTATCAGCGTGCCGATGGTGCTGATCGATTCTATACTTTCTGAAGTTATTATTGAGTTGGCTTAGGAGGGTGAGATCAATAGTAACGAGGCTGAGTATAGCACAACAACGCGAACGCTCTTCTCTGGTGCAAACGAGTTCTTCAGAATGCGATATCTGACCTGCACGGAATTAAAGCACAGAACAGACAGCCTGTCTAACTTATATATAATGGTTGACGGAATGTATGCACCCACCTGGTATTTGGATGAGTGATGTAATGGGGAAGGGGGGTATATAGTTTGACTTCCTGCACTCAATGAACGTCCTCTGGTCAACCTCTGGCTATTTCCTTCACTGTAAACACACTCCATGGGTCGTAAACTTCATTCCCAGCCCCTCTGAGGTGTTCTCATGGATCTGAGTGCCGGGCTTTTACTCAGATCTGTTGCCAAGAATCGCCATGTTGACCGCAACACAGTGAGGAGGATTGAACTGAGCATGGATATATATGGTGAGTCATACCCACCAGCCAGTGTTGTCCTGGGTCGAGCCCCCGCCAAATCTTAGGCGTTCCTATCAAAAAATCCCTCATGATGCAACTCAGCACTCCCGCATCTCTCCACCACCACAACTATGCCTCAGCTGGTTAAGCTATTGTGCACAATTGGCTCAGCGTACCTGATTCCATAACCCTACAACTCACTATTGTGCGGTCTAGAATGGCTATTGAGACTGAGGGTGGAAAGTCATGGGTCACCGTGAGAACATGTCGCAGTATAGTGGGCTCAGTACAGTGAGGTGGAGTATAAACGGGCCGATATGGCACTCCTTCAAACGACTACAGTAACTGTTGAAGGGTTTAGATGTCAATTGATCCTCCTTCTGGAGCTATGGCAATAATCGATCGGGACTATATAGTAGATGTTGCAGTAAATGCAATAAGTGAATGTGTAACCGCGCAGGGCAGTAAGTCAGGGGTAACCGCGCGAAGCAGTAAAATCAGTATATTCTGTTGTGTTGTTGTTCAGTGTTCTGTCTCTCTCACCGGGCCATCAGGGTCTGTTTACATGACGTATCTGTCATTCAGACAGAAAGTGCTATTGGAACAGGCAAGAGCACTGCACCAGCACACGTGGCAGACATGACCGCTTTACCCCATAAACCATCACAGTAGATGTAACGGCGTGGGCTGCTGTAGAATACTGATAGCTACGGCAAATGACAACGTAGGACTATCTATACTGACTCTGGAACGTGCTAATCCAGAACAGTCTAAGTAAGGATAATAGGGTCTCGTATGGACCAACTAGTACCGCAACAGTAGAAGGCAATAGCAGTGAAGGGTGGGAAGCAAACTGAACTACTGGACAGTCACTGCAGCGGACCGCTAGCAAACACAATCAGTGCAGTGAATCGCTAGCAAACAGATGGCAATCGGTGGATACCTTCCCTCCAACAGTAACACAACAGTCTGGCGTGTCCAGGATGCTCCTCGGGATGTACGACAACGCTCTTGTTGACTATATGTAACCATTGCTGCCTTAGGGTTAGGGGTTGTTAGGGGTTGTTAGGGTTACTGGACAGTGAGAGAGCTTACTGACGGCTGACGGCAACAAGGTGATGAGGCAACAGGTATGAGAGCGAGACGGCAAAATGGGTGGAGAGCAACCTCTATTTCACTCCTCTGGAAGCTCCACTAGCTCTAATCTGGTACTGGTACACTACTATAGTGCTATCTTGTGGATGATGTGTGGTTGACCATTGCTCCGAGTACCATGAACATTCACTCTACCTGCACTCTCGTTTACTAGTACTCGCCTATACAAGATTGAGTGGCGATAGATTGAGAATTCACAACATACCAGGCTTGGGTGGGTGCACATAATATGGCAGGCACCGATACTATGTGTGAAAAGCAATTGCCGCGATTGTGGGCTCTGGTATCACTGTGTGAACAACACCGCTGTGGCCATCTTTACAGAGAGGAAAGAGCTCTGACATCAACTGCGCCTGCTGCTCTTGCAGTCCATGGGCCTTAACGGCGAGCGAGGGCCGCCAGCGCTATCGTATACGTCGATTCGTTGAGGCTGGGGTTTGATAAGGTGATGTTTCAGGCGAAGCACCGCAACACCAAACACCAAGGCTGTGAAGTTCTCGGAACGACACCACAAAGATACGATGCGGGGCAGATGAGGGTTGCCAGTCAAATTACACACTCGAAATAGTAAGTAGGCCATGGTGCAACAGTTTGCCGCGAGACACTGGTGCAGTGAGCGTCGTGATAAGCAAGTCAGAGTAACGGTGTAGACGAGCCAGCTCGCGTTGTGGCTTTCTCGAGCTGCATGAAATTGAGAATGGCGACCCTGTAGAAATGTGGCTTGCTTACTGCCCAATACAGATTCACGGTCTTTGAGCAAAACCTCAGGTGACTTAGTAGCTTTTCGTGGGACCAATGTTTTCCCAGTTTTCTAATGGAGCTCTGTCTGTCTCCGCGAGTGGCCTCTTCCTGCGTAATTTTGCGCTTCCTCCCATCAGACTGTGCTTCTGCTCGCCTTCACTTCACTTGAAACGTTAATAAAGTGCGCAACCTCACTTCCATACTTATCGTATCTGTCTTTGCCACTCATCTCTATCAAGGCCTGCGGTCAGAAGGCCGTTGGGTATATTCCACAATGAGCTAGTGATTTCCATCAATATTCACGAAAAGCCTCTTCATGACCTAGACTTGATTATGCGTGCTATCGTGTAGCATTCGAAGGATCCCTAGGATGTTGAGGCTTAGTAAGACTATTGTTTTTGGAATTTTTGAGGTTGTGGGTTCGGTCTATCTGCAGCTCACTCCATGCTTTTTACCGTTCTCTAGGCAAGTTCATCAACCGCAAGTGAAGCCGTCTTTCGCAGCCTGGTGTGCACCGTCACTTGACCCAGGTGGTAACGTCACCACGAGGCTGCATCCGCAGCAGAAGGTGCACGACAAATGGGAACGTTCTGTAAGGAGCTATGAGTACGAGCACAAGTGCCTCACAATCCGGAAGTAGACACAACCAGTACACTGCTCTGCCGAGTCTGCCCACAAACCTGATAGGAAAGACTTTTGCTTCACTACCCATTACGTTGAGCTATGAAACCTGATTCGAAGCATACAAGCTCCTAAAGCTTCAGTATTCCAACACCCATAACCTTGACGGCGTCCGTTTAGGATATATTAACGGACACCATGTACACAAAGAGCTGATTGACGGAGAATACGGGCTTCCAGCACCAGAACCTTGTGGCAGATGTACCAGGCTGGGCTTTGAATGTCGAGTACATCATCCTGAATGCTATACATGGGGTTGCAGGTGATTACATGGCAATTCACGAGCTCGAGTGACGTTACAGCAACTGCAGGGGAGGTGAGAGGTGTGATTTTGTCAGCGAAGCCAACACGAGTGTCGAGCCGAACAAGGATGTCGAAGCTGATGGCCAGCGTTCTACACGCCATGAACTGAAACTATCGACCGCAGACAAAGTAGAGCCTGAAGGTGAGTTGCGGCGCAATCAATCCTTCGAGCAACGCCAGAGCAATGTCCCTTCCACCCGTAGAAACCTACCACCGTTACCCGACTCACTTACACAAGGCACCTGGGGGAAATACATCACGTGCAAGAAACTAATCGAGAGTTTCCTAACCAGTATGCGAACAGGCGTGCGCATCAAGAAATGATTCGAGGAAAATACGGAGTACGCGCAGCCATGGCATGGGAAGACTGCTCTGACCACAAGCGGGGGTGCCTCACATATCATCCTCAGTGTTGTGAATGGATCATCGATGGCAAGGCAGTGATCATTCATATCGGATGGCGTTGTGCGAGTTGCAGGTCCGGAAACTTTGAAGGAGGATGCAATGTGCAACGGCAGTGAGACTGATACGGCCATAGTTGCTGTGACTATCAGAGTTTTTTTTCTACAAGGGCAGCTGTCGTTGAGATGGGGAGAAGCATGCTTCCGAACGTTGTAACTACAGTTTTGTACAGATATCAACGCCGCATGTGACTGTCAAAGCACTTAGGCATGTTGCGAACTCTACACTTCGATCTTATGAATCACGAGTGACTATCCTCTTGTCTATGTTTATACCATGGTTCACTACGCCAATAGCAAGGATCTCGTCTTGGTCTGAAAGATGTCAATACTCACACTTTCTTGCACTGGTTGAGCTGGACCGTGCAGTCTTCGGCTCTGTTGGTAGATGAAGCGATGAAGATCTCGGAGAAGTCAAGAATGAAGCTCCAAGAATCGTACCTCTTACCATGTTTTCTTCATGCTATGCAACAGATCGCAAAGCCTAGCTCTTGGAATCCATCACCCATTCGAAATGTGACATGTGGGTATAGCTACGCGATCTTCTGCCCTGTCGGTAGATGCAGCGCAAAAACCTTTCTCTCCCAAACATCTCCATGCGCCCACAAGTTTCGTGAGCTGAGAGATGAATAAAGCCATCAATCGCCATTCTTGCCTTTTCCTCTCTGTCCAGGTACGCATCACAGTGCAGCGCCCAGCTTCAAAGTTTGTGACCCATCCGTCCCACGCGCATCGCAATCTTCTGCCCACCAATAGCGAACCATCGTGGTGCCCGTTACAGCTCCTATGACTCCTTCGGGCGGTCTCTCCATGATTTGCAGAAGCCGCCTCACCTCCGTTAGGCTTTGCAGACCTGTTGATTAGACCTCTTCCACGTCGGATCGCTTGAAATCTCCAGTTGCAGACGTTCGCGATGCCCGTTGCAGCTGTACAGACCTCTTCTGGCGCAGATTGTACGCATGCCGACAGGTTTTCCGTCCCCATTCGTCCTGTCCGAATCCTCCGACCGGCACTTTACACACCTGCCCGCTCGTCGCTTCCTATCGCGGACATTCGCGATGCTCGTTCCAGCTCTTGCGAATCCTTCCACCAGCCTACCTAGAATCAAGCATGATTGTGATGCTCAATTCCCCGTCTCAATCCTTCGTCGCGGAGCGTCTGCAGATCGCAGCCATACACCCAATCCCATCATGTCGTTAAGATAGCGGTAACTCGCAATGTCCGTTGCAGCCTCCTCCCATCCATCGTTGCGGAGATCCTCCCAACCCATTCACCCTTCACTCTGCATCCGTCCGCTCATCATCCCTCAAACGGCACACCTCAATTCAATCCGTCATCGTCTTACCAAGACAGGCCTCCAGCTCGCAGCTGCCCGCACAAAGCGGGTGTCATGCCACGCGCCCATCTTACAATTCCCACGCGGCGAGACCGAAACAGCTGACCCAGCTCTCCACTAACGGTCGCTTCGCTTATCCGCCCTCTCGTACGATGCACGAATGCGGCAACAGGAGCGGTTTTCGCAGCCACACACTCGCCCAAAACGCATTTATCGCCATAACAAGGTGCCATGGCCGCCAAAAAGGTGTGCTGTGTGGGCTGATCGACAGCATTGCAGGTTGTGAGTGGTTGGAAGGGGGGTCTTGTATGCAGCTCTTTGCACGCGCTGGCTTGCTGCATGCTGTTGCTGCGTTGATGTGCGCCGTTCAATGCTGCGCTGTCAAATTACCTATCAGGTTTGATGGTTGTTAGCTTACCCTCCCACCGGGGCCCTGCCACGCGCTCACGGCGCGTCAAAAACGTCAACGGGCTTCGCGAACATCGTACGGTTCCTCGTTCGAACCTTGCATAACCGCGGCGGCACATCGGCGACACATAACCGATGCCCAACACTCTGGCCTGTTTCTCTGGTCGGAAATGCAATTTGCCGTGATGGCGGGCAGGTAATTCTGAAGTGGAGGCGCGCGGAGGAGGTGTGCACTCTACAATCGCGCCTCAAGGACCAGAATAACGGTTTCGTGTGAAGAAAGTGCTGGGTGCTGAATCCTTCGGCGGAGCGCAGAGCTTAGGAAGCAGGATGCCGTGCCGCCAGCCCGCTGTCCCTCACTCACTCACGACTCGCAATTTTCAGGCTCGTACTCGTACCTCCACAACCAACATGTTGCTCCGACCGACCGCCTGCGCAACAAATGCCTTTACGACATTACCTCACCCCACCGCTCGGAGCTCTTCGTACACAAAGCACGCCCCAGCGCCATGAAATCTATCTGCAAGCTATGCCTAGTGCTCTACCGTGCCTCGGCGGGTTCGCATCGCACCTGCAACCTGCGGATTCTCGTTCGGGTTCTCAATGTCGAATGGCCAATTCGCATAAATATGACTAGCGTCCTCCAACGGTTATCCCTACCTCGTGGCCTGTGTTTCGCTTCGTACCCCGCTACCGTGTCATGTTCAGCCTCCCTGCAGCTCTCGTCGTTCAGCTCGCGCTGTGGAGCTGGAGGATCAGGAAGGGATTGCGAGACAGCCAGACTGCTGTTTGCGGTAACAACAAGCGAATGTGTGTAAAGTGCTTGGGCTGCAAGGCGATGAGGACAGCTCAGGCTTGACCAATTGTGAATATTAATCCCAAGCTTCCTCGGAACCTTCACAAACTCCGTCTTTGCTGGTCGCCTTAAGCGTGTCAAACGTCGCGTGTCCTTCTGTGCTTGACTGCGTACTGCGCAACGGTAAGGAAATCGAACCTCAGACACAAACAGGGGCTCGCGAGCCCGAGAGCAAGGACTCGGATTCGTGTTGCGCCCCTGCTAACTCGAACAAGTCATAATGCTGACCAAACACCTTGTACAAAGCGTGCGCATGGGCAGCAAGGGCTGACAATTCGTTCGCCAAATGCACTCTTGTGTAATTGCAGACGCAGGCAACTTGAAGAGGCAGGTCGCAGACCAGGCGAGTCGCGAGGAAAGGGTTCGGCGGCCCGCGTCACGGCGTGCAAACGGGGTGGAGATGTTGAGAGATGAGCCTTGTTTCGAAGCTGTTCATCAACAAATTCTGCTTCGTCTCCACGACAACAGCAACTGCGACATCCGCCGTTGTTCATCCCTTGCACGTTGCTAACGTGCATGCAAGATTGCAAGGCATCCTGCAGCAAAGAATTCTGTGCCCCTCATCTCAAGCGTCGAAGCTCGTTGTGTAACCTTCCACCTGCGCTAGAATACTGTTTCTCCACCATTCGACGTTCTCGAAGCTGTAGTGCTGTGCCTCACCCGTTTCGTTGAGCGTTGGATCCATGGCTTTGGGAAGACCTCGGGCGCCGTTCAGGCATGTCAGTGACTTTCGAAAAATTCGAGAAGAGAACTTGAGCAGACTTCGTGCATACGACGTGGAGACGCTTCAAAGGTGGGTCATCGCAGTAGAGCCGCGCTGGTAAATTGGTGCACAATGTGTCCTCTTCCATGACGACTGTCGCATATGCAAAAGTGGTTATACGGTGTCACATACCGAAGCCAGACTATGCAAAGAGGCAGCTGGGTTTTTACCAGGCCGTGAGAAATGTTCCTCCAGGCTGCTGTATTTCAGCGTGTAAGATTAGGCGCAGCATTTCTGACGCGTTGCTTAGGTGTGTCGTGGTGTGACAAGACTGTATGCCTACCATAGTATTTCGCGTTGTTCTGTGGTTGAAACTTGGCTTCAACAATTCCGGCAAGATTGTGAGGCTGAAAAAGCATCTGAGATAGATGCGATGACTGTTGTTCAGGCGTTGAGAAGGAGTGCTGAGTGCATCAAGGTCAGCATGAGCGTACGAGTGACTGCGTAAGATGACTGGGCCTGGTTTTGGTACGATGAGAGTCCGGTAGCTGCTGCCCGCCGAATGCAGAGATTCCTGAGCGCTGGACTTTCGAGACAGGTCGTAACAGCTTATGCAAGGGGTCGGTGTTATACTAATCTGACCATTGGAGCATTGTTGCAACATGTCGGGTTGCCCTTCGCCCCGGAGATTATGAGGTTGGCCAGTGAAACATGTCGATGAAATTCCGTGGATGTGGATATTGGAAGGATATGGGCAGCGTCGTACATGTCTGCCGTGTGTGGGAGCCTGCGCGAGTAATTCTGATTCACGAATTCCTTCACTCAGTTCACTTTGCACTGTTGGAAAAACAATGTACGTTCAGTCGCCTGATCGAGTCTGATGAGCTAAGGCTCTCTGGTCGTGACAGACCGCTTGAAGCGTATCGGAAGGTCTTTCCAGTTGGATTGCTCCTCCCTCGGGAGGCACCCTGATCACCGCTTTGCTCCCACCATGGCGTTGTCAGAAGTTTTTGATAGGATGTGATCTGGAACATGCAACTGCAGGTTCGGAAAATGTTTTGGCGCGTACAGATGTATTGATGGGCGGCAGTTGACCCAGCTTCTGCCCGATGTGTGCGAAAGAAAGCGCGTGACATGCGCCTTCGGTGATCATTGGGCCGACAGAGGAAAGAAGAAGAGATTCCAGGCTTTCAAACCCCTCAGGTTGGCAGCGCTACGCCTGTGGGAAGAGCAAGGTGAAGGAAATCAACTCACAGCGGTGTGCTGTCAGTCCACAATCGACTGCCTCCACCAACCATGACTGAAAACGGTGAACCGTAAAGCGAGTCCAGTCACGACAACAAAGCCTGCTTGACTGCGTCGCAGCATTAGGGGGCATCGGACCTGAGTGCTTGCTGATGTTGATGTGACGAGTTGTGCCCGCCAACATTCTCGTTGCACGAATCAGCCTTGACGGCAGAGGGGGAGGAGCCTCGAGCAGGCGTGGCTCGAGTTGTCGCGAACATACACTTGCTCAGAGCTGCGCAATACTTCGATTTTCGTAAGTCGATGTGTGTCGAATGACAGTTGGATGTCATTGAACTTCACAGTGGACGGCTGGCAGGAAGTATTTCTGACGCCGCAAAGTCAGGGAACGCCCGCAACGGCCTGCAGGAACACAATATCCAGTACTTCTGTCGTGAATTGCAAGATGTCGTTGGAATTGAGTTCAGTGATTTGCGCGGCTATACAGCCCGAAAGGGAAACTCTGGTATTTGTCACTGTACCCAGCTCAATCGGCAGGCCTGTGCCGTCAGGAGGAGGGTGCATCCTGTTCAAACAATATCTCGGAGGTGCCTGGTCGCAACACTGTTCAACGAAGGGTTCCAGCCCGACTGCTCAGCGGGCGCTTCCGCCGAGCGCATCGGCTCTTGCACACTGTCGATGTCTCGATCTCGTACATGCAATTGCAGGCCATCCTTGGTGTGGTATTGGATGCAGGGCTTGATGTCAATAGCGAGTGTCTCTTCGGCGAGGTCGACGTGCGCTGCCTGTTTCTTCGTCGTCAAAACCCTTGGCGGGAGAAGTCGAGCCGTGATGAGCGCCACTATCAACATCTCGGCATTCTTGCACATCGTCGACCTGTCCGCTGGTCATGATCAGCGCTAATTCAGCCACGTTCGGACGCGGGAAGAGTAAAATATCCTGTGCGAAAGTTGGTTATATTGGACCCAGGGTTCGCTGTCAGAATGCATGCAGATACGAAGGAAAATGCCTGCTTTGTGAGTCGTGGAGTTTTTCTGCCTTGGCCGCTGATCTTCAAACGTCAAGGAAGTGAAGAGCTGACCGCTGCACGGGAGCGAAGGAAAGGGGTCTGGGTGTGGGGCAGGCCGATCCGATTCGTGCACCGCTCAGATCTAAGCCAAACGGCTTCCCTTGCTGGTGCTGCATCTTGCTTTGGGAAGCGGAAAAATGCTGCATCTGAGCTGCGCTAGAGGACCGCAACAGAGTCCACCAGCTGCGAGCTGAGCGTTGTGCTGACTCGTCTGTCTCTTCAGGCACGCAGCATGCCTGCCATGGCCCCAACAGACCTCAAACAGGGGTGTATTCCAGTTGCCAGACACAAACGCGAAAAGGAGTCTTTATTGTTGATCCACAGAGGCGAACAGTGCTGTCAAAATGCGTCGCAATCAGCTTGTAACGCACACGGTCAGAACGGGCCACCGTGTGATCGTGGTCATCGTTTGGTCGCCGGTGTACCGCTGTCAAAGCTACGGGCTCAAAACCTCCGTATCGCGGACGTCAGCTTACAGGCCAAGACTAAGAAATGAGGCAGCAGCAGCTGCCAATTGGAAAGCCAGGAAAAAGGGCGAGAGGCAAAGCAAAAGCAATAAGAGTGGACTGCTGCGGGTGTGCGGGTAGGTTTCAAAGATTGACGCAAAACTGGGGGTCTCATTGGCGGTGCGGATCCCTCGTTAATCTGATCTCGAAGATCGACCTGACCGGGCATCCCTGGTCACCTGCCCTGTGTGATGATTGGTCGAATGGGGAGGTACAAGCCAACACAGTGATGTCGAAGTCTTGAATCGCTGGATGAACCGCCGAGAACGAGAATACGATGTAAGATGGCCATGTTGAAACAGATGCACGGTCAGGTACGTGTGCTCGCTGACCCTCGTCCTCCACAATAGCGGACACGGAGGAGTCCGACCGATATTGAGGGCGGGGCAAGTCGCACACAGCAAGGTCGTGAGCGTGCGAACGTGTAACTATCCAAGGTTCAGCGTCGCCGACCTGTTCTGTGCAGTGATTTGTAGCACAACGTTGAAGTTCATTGATTGACCACCGTTTTCTTTACCTGCCTGCTGGGTACACTGCAGCGATAAGACCTTTGCCATGGGTCAGAATGCGCTGCATGGCGTTCTGGTGGAGCTGCAAGTCAAACTGTTGCAAAAACCACCTGAAGGACATTCGCCAATAGTGTGTTAATCGTTCCTCTTTCCCCTTGTGCTGTGCAGATCTTTCTGTATATAGAGTTCCAAGTGTGAGGGTGAACCCTGTCATAGTGATCCTGCGATGACACGCAAAGTTTTACGAGTCGTGATCTATTTGTGAGTCCTGGTGATCGCGGGTTAATGGCGAACGGAAAGGCGCCGCATCTGCACAGGGAACATCAATCTGGCCTCGGGACATGCTGCAGCATCGATATTATGTTTGCTGGAAGTCCGAGGATGTTCGGTCCTGAGTTTTGTTGTACAAACCGCGGAGGAAGCGAGAACTCAATTATTTGCGTACGAACCCGAAGCCGAATGGACAAGCATTGTGTTGACCACAACATGAGCCACAGTAGATTGCTGGGACCACCGTTAATCCCAGTACACAGGAACGACGTGTGTTTTTTTACTCCGTCTGACATTCGATCGTCCAACCAATTGTGTGAAAACCACAGGGTATGTGGCATGCTTCTCCAACAAACGAAAGCGTTGGCTGATAATTATGACATGCCGTTGTATGCGCCTCGCGAGGGATCAAGGTGGTCTCAGAGCACACAGCAATTAGTTCTCCCCACTGCACGCGCCCAGCTCCATTACCAACGGCTGTCGAGGTCTCTGCGAGGCGAACAGGACGCGTGACAATTAATGGGCTTGGCATACGGTCGCAATTGCATTTCGTCCTTACAGGCAACCAGGGTGCTGAATCAATAGTGCCATGTTCCCCGATATGCATACATCGTAGACGGGAAGAAGCTGCTCGAATGCTGCCTTTTGGACTTCTGGCGATGTGTGGGCTTGATGAGATCGGTCATGGCGGCCGTTGAGCTATCCCGGTGGTGGGATTCAGTGCTATGGGCAGGCGAGCCATTATAGGCAAGTGGACGGCGAGGTCACTACGTTTGTGCGAGTCTGTATGCAGGCCACAGCTGCTGGTGACGAAACAATCATTCGGAAACGTTAACTCCCGGGTCGCACTTGGTCGAAAGTAGTCTGGGCTACCCAGTAGCTCGGGAAGCAGTTCCACCTTAGGATCTGCTCAAGCCACAACACAACGCCGCAGCCTCACCTTCAGGGATTGCGGCCAGCCCGAAGGCATCCTGGACAGTGAAACTGAAGGACTGTCGCATGGGGGAGCAAAGGGATGGACCTATTTTTGCGGCGGTGACAGGCCCAGCAGCTTCAGAATGCGGACAAGTGACGCCTGAGGCTGGTGTCATGTAGAGTGCGCTGTGGAGGTACCCTGCGAATACCCACCAAATGGCGTAATGGGCCAGCAGATTTGGTGGTCACTGGGCGGTATCGATTGTCGACGATGCTGTGCAGTGGATGAAGTCAACATTCCAAACGTCGCCGACTGAGAAGAGGCAGCACAGCAGTTGATTGGGGGATGCGCCCGTTGATGTCCCTGGGTCGTCTCGTCAGAATTGCCCGCATCCGATCAAGGGTGCTGGATCTTATCGGCGACAGACAGTGACTGCTGGCCTGGAGCGACGGATGGGCGATGATGCGCTCTGGGTGGACTGGGCGGGCAAAACGTTCTGGCGTTGGCAAAGCCGCGGTTTGCCCTTTCCCAAACCGTGCGGTGCTTCCCAAAGAGGGTGCACACTAAAAAGATTTGAATTCGAATGGCAGCGCTGGGTTGGCTGGCGTTTTCCAGCAAAGTGGGCTCGCTGTGCGTCGTCCCGCCGGCAGATCGCAGCCAAGCAACGGCGGCCTGCGAGGAGCGTTGCGAGAGCCGCTGCAGGCAGACTGTGCCCGGCTCCTGAGGCAGAGGATGTTGCTGGCATGCGACGCCTCAGAAAACGCGTGTTGTGTCGCGGGAGGTGCAGCAGAAACATTACAGAAACACTGCAGTCGCTGAGGCCGCACGCGCTGATACTGTTGATACCGTTGTTGCTGTCAGTTATCGCGCCGGGCGAACGACAGGGCCGAAAAGGAGTGCGGTGAAAGGCCAAGCCGACCTCGCCGACCTCGTGTGCTTCACCAAGGAGGGCCGTGACGATCGCACTATACCGCACTGGGCGCAGCGGCAGGCCTCACTACCCGTTTGATCGACGAGCGAGTGGGTGCATCGTGCGGCGCTCGCTGCTGGCGAACGAACAGCTGTCGATGCAGGTAGTGCAAGGGCAGAAACACCACGATGTGTCTGGCTCGCGGCGAGCTGAGGGCCGCTGTCACTGCGTCTTGTGTCGCTCTGTTTACCTCTGTGCCTTTCTCACCGCGTGGCTGCTATTCATGGCAGGCGCAAGGGCGGCCAAAGGCAAGGGCGACAGGCGCAGTCTGCGGTTATAGTCCGGGAGATGCCTTCCCGCCCGCCGCCTACCAGGATGACGGTACACAGTGCCAGCGAAAGCGAAAGTTAGTATCCAGCTGTAAACAGCAAGAGAGGAGGCTGCGAGCTGGATAGCGCACCCCCTGGCCATTCACATCCCCCGGGCCGGCTGAGGCTGTTGGGCCATGTTTGGTTTTACAACGGGCAGGGCCAGCGTCGTAAAAATGTGGATAGTGCACCGGGTGGGGGTATTCCTGACTGTGCCCATGCTGTTGAAGAAACACCTCCAAGCTCCTTGGCCGCCCCTGCACCCCGTCGATTCAAGGCAAAACGGTCAGGGCCCCCAGCAACTGACAGCCTGAGGCGAGCGCTGCGGGCCTGCAGCGGGTACTGTCGATGCAGCACGGTGGCTGTTTGGCCGTGAGCGTTGCAGGGGGAGCCATTCACCAGCGCCCATCCAGGATAGAACGCGAAGCTCGGCGCTGGCATTTCATTTTTCTGCCGCTACTACGCTGGACAGGGTTGACAGGGTGTAAAAGTCCGCCCTCCTGTAGCGCCCAAAGACGCCATGCCACGATGTGATACAGGGTTAAGCTCGAATCCGACGATCTGGTCCACTTCCAGGGAACCACCTGCTTGTGTGCGTCGACGACAACGATTACTTTTAGCCCATCACCGTCAGGGCCCAGCTAGTGACCCAGAGCGCCGCATGACGCCCCAGCGCTCCCCGACCACCATCTCACCAGCGCCTTAGCCGCAGACTCTCAAAAGCAGAGCCTTCGCACTGTCAACCGTCCCGAACAGTCAATAGCACCTCGACCGCCTTGGCGCCCGTTCATCACACTAACCCTCCCCGCGCCTGCTGAGATATATACCGCTCGTCGCCGCCTGGCACGTTACCGTTGGCTCTGGATCAAACTGCCAACCACATCTCAGATATCTTCCATCCACGCTACATCGATTCATCTTACTGTGGTTCAGTACTAACAACTGGTAAGTCGATCATCATCATCACCACCATGCCCCTCATAAGCATCACTGCCTTGACCACCCCACTGCCCCTTGAAACTCTCCAAACAGTGTAACATACTGCAGAAAGCATCTTGATTCCATCACTACATTTTTCATTTCCTTCTTACCGTCCGAATGTGGTCTTCATCACCTGCCCCACCATCTTCATACGGCGTCTGGTTGCAGTCACTGACCGACTATCCAGCATACTGTGAAGATAAACCACCGGCCTTGCATCAGAACATCTTCAAACCAGTTCCATCGACGAGGACTATACTTTTAGTGGCATACATCCCGCCGTATTCACGACATCAATCAAACACCACACCCCCACCAGACGACTACGACATGGTAGCTCACCGCCGCGGCCCCTGGTCGCAACACGAGGACCAGTGGCTTGTTAACCTCGTTGCTCGCAATGGCCCACATAATTGGGTACGCATTTCACAGGAGATTGGTTCGAGATCACCAAAGCAGTGCCGTGAACGCTACCACCAAAACCTGAAGCCATCGTTGAACCACGACCCCATCACACCTGAAGAGGGGGACCTGATCGAGAAGATGGTATCTGAGATGGGCAAGAGGTGGGCTGAGATCGCAAGGAGGCTCAAGGGACGCAGTGACAACGCTGTCAAGAACTGGTGGAACGGTGGCCAGAACCGCAGGAAGCGCAACCCAGAGCGTCCTGACCAGCGACCCTGGGAGTACTCCCAGTCATCGGAACACTACCAATATCCATCAGCACCCCAGCACATGCACAACCACGACGAGCAACATTACCATGACTCCCGTCGTTCCTCATTGAACCCTCCCATGCACACACCATACGGCATCAAGCTGCCCCAGCCTCAGCGTTTCGAGCCATACCCTGGATCACGACCACAGCCACTGGAGCTCTACGGACAACCTGCCAATGTACGAGCACGAGGCTTCGAAACACCTATGCCTTCGCCCTCAGGCTACTCCTCGGTCTCCGCCGATGGCGCACCTTCCCTGATCACAGACACTGGCTCCGAGTCGAGGTCACCTCGTGGTGCCGTATCACCACTCGACATCACTCTCGCACCTCTCGTCGGTAACAGAGATGAGCGTAAGAATTCGAGCACTCGCTACCTGCCTTCCACAGGCTTTGCAGTTGAGGACGACGTACACTCCGCAGCATATGACCCATACAGGCGTCGTAGTTCCCTGCAGCTACCTCCCCTTCACCGTGAGGTCCAAGCACCCGCTCAGACATACAAGGAGGTACAGGACGCACAGCAACCACCACAGCCACTGCTCACCCAGCCTGCACCGCAGCACGTTCACCACCACTCGCTGCCTCAATCATCATCCTTCAGCGTACCGCAGCGCGCACTCCCAGGCTTCCATTCTCTCACCGAGCCTATACTGCCTCTACCTTCCACATCAAGCGCAGCCACCAGCCCCGCAGTAAGGCAACTTCCATCACCATACGCACGGTCTGCCGAAGCACAAAGCGCACCGGTCTCCCCCAAAGACAAGATGAGCCTCAAGAACATCATGTAGATGTCTGTTCATGTTTCACGCTACTCATTATACCCGGTCCTATTTATATACCATGCACACACTGCGAGTTTCACATCTACACACTATTAATGGTCGACTATCTCAGCATGTCATCGCTTGCTAGGATATCATTGCTTGGTTTCAAATCTTCGTATCTTCTTTCACTTCACTTGCATATTTGGGCCCGGATCGGCGCAGGATAGGAAGGTCGGCAGGGCGGTTTACTGGTTGTTACATCTAGTACGGTACGAACAAGAAGATACCCCACAAAACGGTTTCACGGTGGAAAGGAGAACCATACCATAGCATTGACCGAGTAAAAGGGCGAGTTAGCAATCCCGCACTTACTCTCGAAATAATACCCATCAGCGACTCAGCTGAGCGTTGCAACGAATCAAAGCATCACAACTCAAATAACTCTCTCCACAGCCCCATGAATCGTGAACTCCCGTCCTCACTCAGCCACGACTCCAGCTGAGATTCCTTCCCTAACCACAGTAAGATCGTCCTCCGACAACCCCTTGGAGTCGGCCATCTCGGGGACCTCCCTGATCTGCAGCGCACCATAACGACCGCAGAAAAGATCCGCAGCGTAGCGCCATCTCGTACAAACGACGTGCGCAATCTCCAAAACTGATCGACACCAACATGTCATATCATTCTCGTTTTCACCTGCCGAGTCTGCGCTCTGGCTGTCTGCTGCCGACTCATTTGCCCGACTTCATCGTTATCAGATCGCACACCGTTGCGAGACCATAAGGATCAACATAAGATGCTCAGTGAAGTGCAGGGGTACCCCTACAGCTGATCGATCCGGATCGACACTTCAACTGGCCCTGCACATCAGCGTCTCTCAATTCGTACTTGAGCATCTGCTTTGGGACAGCGCGATGGTGAACGGCGACCTTTGGCAAGTGCATCACCGCATCAGTCACGAACGTTGACATTCCACTACGATGTTGATCGATCAGCTGCATGATGGTTTTGCGTCATGTATCGATGTTGGTGGTGTTGGCAGGGGTTGGGGAGGAAGAGGTCGCCGACCTTGATTAAGCCCACGTCAACACCACGATCTAAGTGGAGACCCGATTCAGAGGAATGCTCACGCGCGATGTTCCGATCCGTGTGGATACCTGTCCGGCTTGCGCGCAGAACTGCAATTGGATGCAACGGATATCCGGCGAGGTACTTTATGGAAGATAGATGCTGCAACTAGATGTCACTCCAAAATTGGGTAGGCCTTTGGTGGGAGTGAGGTCAACAAGAGATGATTTTGAAAGATTATTGGACAAGAGTAAAATGCATTTGCTGAGCCGGAGGTTCTCACTGACTGGAAAAGAAGACATTTTCTGATCATGTACCTAACTACTACGTACCGGGAGGTACCTCAATATTGGGTAACGACTCCAGGAGTATGAACGACTTCAACAATGACTTCAACAACTGCATTATTTTACATTTCACAACGTCATTGGACGGGAAACCTCTCCTTTCAGACGCTCGTAAGTGCTCATTGGGAAGAGGCCAACAGTATCCAGACCTTTGGGGCGCGTTTTCAGTGTGCAGCTAAGTACTACGGACGGCGAACGACCTCTGCGCTGGGTCAGATCTGTTGAGGCATTCCCGTGTGCGAGCCGGTGATTGTATACATGCAAGTGACGAGACAGTGGAAGTGACAACTGTGTATCCGAATCTTGCAAGTGCAGTGACATACATTCAGCGCGCGAGATACGACATCTTCATCGCTACAGTGATGTCTGGTACAACGTGATGTAGAGTAAAGGGGCATCATGAACGGAAATATGCTCACCCACTACATCCACATTTTAAAACCGTCTTCAACCACGGTTCACCCTTGTACTAACCTCTCCGACCCGTCCACGAGGCGTTCTTCACCACGTCCGCTCCTCTCATCGTTCACCACATCCTCCCACCATACCCCACCCATCACGACCCAACAGCCACCATTATTCCTGGCGTCTTCGTGTTCCAGACGCTATTCGCTAGACGGGATTTGCTTGCACTACTCGCCCAGTTCAAGGAGCGGCACGTCCGAAACGTTGTTTAACGTTTCGAAGTCTAGCGCACGACAAGCCGTCAACCGTCACTACCGTTTCGATCCAAACTTCTAGTCGCCGACCAACCCTAGCTCTTTTCTGGCGCATCCCAAACTCCATTCAAGGCCAGCTATCTGTCCTCGGCGTCCTTAGTGCATATCGCACCCCGTTAGGGTCGTGCTAACTTCTTCCAGCAACATTGACTCGGACTAGCTTCTTCGAGGTGTTAGAGTTTGGGCACGGTCTGCGTTTGGCAAGGCGTGCATCGTTGGCGCTTTGGGCGGTAAGGAGTGGTGAGGTCTGCGATGGTGACGAGGCTTGAGGGCTTTAGTGCGTTGTCCTTGGTGGTCGCTAGCTCCATATCAAAGTTTGGTTCTGGCACCGCGCCGTTGCTGCAAGCGACGAGGAAATCGCCGAAACTCAAATCCCGGATCGGTACAATGCAAACTCTTTTTGATGGATACAACTTGACAACCACCAACATTGGTGATCGAAGTTTGTGGAAAGCAACCTCAGTGTTGGGTTTGGTGGGAGAAGGCTGTAGAGATCGCGTGTGATACGGATGAAATGGATACGCGGGTCACAAAATTGTCAGCATTGCAAGGGGAGGTGCAGAAGCGTGCAACGGCGCGGGTTTGGACCTTGAGCGACATGAACTGCTGGTAAATTCGCACTACAACTTCACAATGCTGCAATCCTGCGCGGCTTTGAAGCAGCCGGTTGTCTCGCGCCATCATCCAAACCACGACACTTCAAAGCTCTGTCACAAACATGTTCTTGTCTTTCGGCAGATGCCAAAACACGTATTTTGGCACCCCGAATTTCGAGTTGAGTGAGTGCCAAGGTGTCCACTGTCCACGCAAGCAAACAGCGGTACTGTGGAGACGACGGTGCATCGGACGTGAGTGCGATACATGGGCGGCAACGGGACTATTGTCAGCTCATGTGGGTGTGCTCAATGTCGCCGTTGTGAACGTCACTTTCGCGATCGTGTTTGAGCGGTGTGGATCAATCAACGTACGATGATAGTTCGTCCAATTGCTGTCCTCATAGCCTTCGATGTCGACAGTGTCCGCTTATGCGCGGCACCATGTCTCGTCACTTCACTGCTGCTCTGACGATTTCAGGTCACTCGGTCTCACTTCTCCGAAGGCCGTGTGGGTGTTGTGGGGTGTCGTGGGGTGTCGTGGGTCAGTCTGTCGCGGTAACGTCGGGCAGCTCGGGTGGGCTCTTTTCCATTGCATTGTCTCGACTGTTGACGTGTGGATTTTGCTTGAAAGTGTCCAGAGTAATTTCTTATTGGGTATCAAAATACATTCCGACGGCAATCGCTCTTTTTCCAGTGTCGATGTTCCTAGGACATGTTTGTACCTGGTGATGATGTAGGTCCTTCTTTATGATAGTAACATCCTTTGCAATTTTCTCGAGCACGTCAACCGTGACTTCTAGCTAGACTCATGATTTATGTACAGTAATTCGCAATGCAATGTCCGGCCTCAGTAGGGTGAGGAATTGCACTGGACACAGGTAGCTGCACGCCTTCAGTCTAGGTTGCGGATGAGTTAGAAGGATACGCTGAAATCTACCCGTTTTGGATATCGTTGCAATTTCATGGAGTTTAGGTTGTAGTATCGATCCGTGAGCAGTAAGTTTGTGCTCTATGCATTTACATGTACCTTGATTCTATCGGCAACAACTCAATCGTACGGCCAAAGTATTGTTTGACGATGCATCTGAGCTTCTGGTAGCATTACCTGGTAACAGTAGTCATCAATACATGGCAGGCTTTGAAATGCAAACACCTATTCAGTGTATTGAATTGTTGCGGTGCGGGCACTACTTTGCATCGACACCCGTCTCTTGACAGCGCTCTGCTGCTACAATTCAACTGGAAAATTGTTGGTTTCCAGCAGCATCTATCTTATGTACAATCAACTTGTCTCACCGGAAGACTTGCTTGCTGTCTTACACAGAGCAAGCCTCTTTGTCTCTCTTGTTGCTTGCTGCCTATAGATAGGCAGCCCTCTGCTCGTAGATAGATTTATTGAGTTCATCTCATCTCTGCACTCAGTGCTGGTTCAACAAAAATGAGCGCAACGATGCATGTCGACTTTGATGTTCCCTTGAAGGATGTTTATGTACTTCTTTCGACATTGTGAGGCTGGGAGAAAGAACAAGGATATCATGACATTACAGACGTCTGTGCGTGAAACTACGTTGTTCACGCAACACTTTACAACAGCAGCACGCCTGTAGCACAGCAAACGATTGCGACGTCCTTCCACTTTTGCGATCTCTCTGAAAACCTTGGCTTCTGCCTAATGGTTGCTATGCATGAGATGGAAACGCGTGGACGCGTACGTGACACGTCGCCACGCGTGAACGCACCTTCACAGGAAATTGAAAGAGATAACATTGGAAACAGCTCTTTCGGACCACTTTAAGTGTCAAGTGCAGCCACAGGAACCAAGTCGAATGCACCCTTCTTGACATGCTGCATGAAGTAGATGTGTAAACGAAAAGTATCATCACTGCTCTACTTAGCCATCGCCGCAGCGATGTTACCAGGAAGCACCACGAGGAATTGTAGAGACAGTTTTGCTTCCCGTACTACGATATGTCAGCCTTGGGGAAGGCGGGATGAGAACTTACTCGATCTCTTCGACCTCCAAGGCACTCTGTCACTTGCAATTCCAGCATTATTTGTGCTTCATACCGCTAATTAGCGCCCTTAGTTGAGAAGGACCCGAGATGCCCTGTTACGGATTCAGTATCGGTGCGTATGAGCTCTGTAGAACAACCACTTAGCGACCTTGGTCCGGTTGACTCTGCATGTGAAGGAGTGTGGAAGGTCAAAGAGCTTGTAAATCCGTCACTTGCAGTTCCAGCATCGGTCGTTCCTCATCTCACTAATTCGCCCTTGTTGAAAGAAATCGATACGCTCTGTAACTCGAAAAAGTACCGACGTATATGAAGTCTGTAGTTGAGCGATTTATGACAACGTCTGTCTCAACTCTGCAAGTGAGGAAGTGCGGAAGCAGTTGTATTTGGAGCAAGCTCGTAATTGACTTTTTGGACGTCGCTTGTGAGTTGTCGGAAGGTAACGTATGCTAAGCCGTACTCACATCCAACTTGTTGAAGTCTTGTGCGAGTTGTGAGGTTTTATAGGTGGAGGGGCTGGGTCTGTGCAAGTTGGCGGATGATTTGTTATTATCTGTAGCGGTGCGGACCGCTGTAGAATACTGATAGCTACGGTAAACGATAACATAGGACTATCGGGTCGATGGAATACTGCGCTGTATTGCTGTCTAGCTATGAGGAGACGACTATATACCTGACCTGTAACACACTAGTCCAGGGTGGCTGATCAGGGGTATAGATAGACACTGTACGGACCATCCGATACCGCAACATTATCCATATGAAGTGAAGGTGCAAACGCACACAGCACGTGCCTTGCTCCGCCTTCTTCAAAAGAGTCCCAACCCACGACCGCTCGAGACCGCAACTCCTGGTGTACACATCGTCACCATGAAACCGAAGCAATCGCCCCAAGGCACGCGTCCTGAGGCGAAGCGCGCCCGACTCACGTCTAACCATGCGGGCGTAGACGAAGAACCACCCAAGAAGAGAGTTACCAAGTTGAACACATCGCCCGCGCTGAACGACGACTAATAGCCTGCAAAATCCGCCAGTCCTATTGCGGTAACGACCTACGAGTCCCAACACATGAACCACGATGCAAGAGTTGCCTTCATTCTGGAAGAAGCGAAGCATAGCGACATGAATCTCTCGCTCCAAGGCCAGGCCGTAGGTTGATATCCGCTTTGAGCTGATCGCGAGGCTCTGGTGACCTTTGCTGTCTAGGCACTATCGTCTCTGTCGAAAGTATCTGCACGCAAAAGGGTCGCTGGCAAAGAACCTTTGGGATTGCTCAAGCTACCGACAGAACTGACACTGTTCATCTTTGATGCTATATGTGGGCTGCAATCTGACGTTCCGGCCACAACGAAACTCACTGGTCTCTTCATAGTTGCTCGATGTAGATGCCGAGCCCGCAAACACTCAGGCAGCGCCGACTTTCTCTCGAGTTGTATTAGTATGTAAGAGCTTTCGCACATTGGGTAACCCGTACTTGTACAAACGAGTGACACTTAATATCAACCCATACACTCAAAGCACCCTCCAAGTCGAAAGACTGGGTAAGGCTACCGCAACGTGGCCAAAGACTCATGCGCCAAGAGGAGACCCTTGTACCCTTATCTAACAGCGTTGCGTATTTACTACAATGCCACCAAGCGGCTGGTCCCAGCAATTATAGGCAATGTCGTCAAGTACACGAAGGATCTAGTTTTGACTCGAGGGCCGCGCAGCAAACCGGACGGGAAAGCGTATGTCGAGATCTTGAGCTACGTATACTGCACGACGCTGGTCAAACTCCACCTTCAGGATCTTTGGGTCCAGCGTTTCCAACAGTCAGTACTACTGTACGGATACGGTGAAGGGGCTGGAGAGTACGGAAAGTAGTGATAACTGTTCAATTGACCTGAACTACGGTCCGTAGTTGCCTAATATAGCTTAGCCGCCCCACTCTTCAACGTCAGTCGGTGAATTGGTGCTTTGGGAGGCCTCTGTACCCATCTCATCTTGCCCAATTATCTCATCCTCCAGCTGCCTATAGTGGCTCACAACAAGCCGGTGTCGTAGTCAATTTTTGAGAAGTTGTAAGGCCTCACTGTCCAACTTGATACTTCACCATAACCATCTCAGGGCTACACCAACTACGGCAGTACTATGGTTGCTATTGCTACTACAGTACGACTACGCTACTTCCTGTACCCTCACTACGGACCGACTGCTTACTTAAGCCGTACTACTGTACGGTTACTGTTCGTAGTACTGCCCGTTGGAAACGCTGTTTGGGTCTGTGAGAACGCTTTCGCCACTTTTGAGAATACGCTCCTCAAAGCCAGTTCTGCCACGTTCGATCAACATTGGCCTATTTGAGCATCCCTTTTTGCTTTCAGGGCACCACCATTCAGGAAAGGATCGATGCCATACTTGAATCTTCATGGCCATTCGAGGTAACATATCGATTCAGATCGTCAAGCCAAACTCATTCTGGGTCTATCGAGGTCAAAATGTTGGCTCACAAGTTTGCTCGACCTATGCAAACGTCATCGATCGCAAGCTTGCTCAACGTCTTCGGTACGGGCCATGGCTTTAAGAGTCTCGTAGTAGATGGAATCGACTTGGCCAGAATAGCCCGTGAGCTTGAGCACGTGGTAATAAGTGCTACGCATCCAAGTTCACCGAATTCAACGGTCGCCGTTGCGTCGCTGGAACTGAGGAACATCGACTTCGCAGAGCGAGCCGTCCTACAGTTATACAGCAGTATTGATTGGCGGAGCATCGAATTCCTGACCCTGACTGAATCCAAGGAACAGTATGTCTTGTTCGAGTACCTGACCCAAAGGCGCTATTCGGTAGGCACGCAGATCTGGAGACTTTTGTTGCGGTATCGGTTGGTCCGTACAGTGTCTGTGTTGCAGTAAATGCAATAAGTGAAGTTGTAACCGCGCAGGGCAGTAAGTCAGGGGTAACCGCGCGAAGCAGTAAAATCAGTATATTCTGTTGTGTTATTGTTCAGTGTTCTGTCTCTCTCCACGGGCCATCAGGGTCTGTTTACATGACGTATCTGTCGTTCAGACAGAAAGTGCTATTGGAACAGGCAAGAGCACTGCACCAGCACACGTGGCAGACATGACTTCTTTACTCCATAAACCGTCACAGTCTGACTATACCCCTGACCACTACCCTGGACTAGTGTGTTACAGGTCAGGTGTATAGTCGTCTCCTCCTAGCTAGATAGCAATCCAGCGCAGTATTCCATCGACCCGATAGTCCTACGTTATCGTTTACCGTAGCTATCAGTATTCTACAGCGGTCCACACCGCTACAACTTTGCATCTCAATCTTGGCAGCCTTAACTTCCACCGAGGGGTGCTTCAAGAGATCCACAAGTACTGCCCAATCTGAAAAGCTTTGAATTCTAAAATCATGTCTTTGCGCTGCTACTCAAACAGGGACGCTTCACCGATGTGTTTAACTCTACAAAGGCTAGATTTGACCCCAAGTTTGGCAACATCGCGACGACACTTGCTCAATACACCTCACTGGAAACATTTCATGCTTTCATGGATCCATTAGCTGGTATATGGTCGAAGAAGGTCAATGCTGACCTATCCTGGTGGCCAGAAGACTTCGACGCCAAATACTTGACGAATAATGGATCTGCAAAGAGCAGCAATCGTTTGGCTCTACTCAAAAAGAGGATCCTCCGTCATTTGCAGATTACCAATCCTGGTAACAAGGTGTCTACCGTTATTACTCAGGGCAAGGCATGGCTGAAGGACGAAGACCGCAGCGAAGCGGACAAGTATGTCACTCTGGCCGCGAAGAACGACGACTACCACAAACGCACAACATTCAAGCTCTGTTGAAAAACGTCTCGCAAGTCGACTTGACGTCTTGACATAATGCCTTTACCATGCATCTCAAATGTGACAGTCCTGACGGCTTTCAATCGATGCGACATCATGCTCGCCAAATATTGTGAAGGCCACCAGAGCATCTCAGTGCATGAGGACAGTCTACGCAACGCAGGCGTACCTACCTCCTTAACGTGTACTCCGAATAGATATGCATTAGGGACTGTTCTTGTCTTCGTATCTTCGGTAATATACGCATACGAATTAATTTAAATTTTCACGAACTTGCCTCACTTGACCATACATGATGGATTATCAGTTTTGAACAAGTTTGCTAACAGCTATAGATCGCTTACCATTTCTAGTAAGCCTTCACAGCAGACAATTGTAGGATCCTATCCGTAATAACCGGCTTCTCCAATGGCTCCGTTCTGTTCTGCGGATCCGGCTTGCCATCCCTCTCAGGCGGACCCTGCTTGCGAATATTGCAGTGTGGCCAGTGCGTCGTACCCTGCCATGTCTTGAAGAGCTCAGCCTTGAGCTCAAGATCCTCCTTCTTTGCGAACTTGGCAGGAGTCATGCAGACGTACTGAACGTGGCGGATGCGGTTGCCTTGAGGAAAGCAGGCGTAGTGCATAGTGCGAGAGTCCCTAGTGACGTTAGCGTGAGCGTGCGATGAAGGAGATAGGGGAAACTTACCAGAGTACCAAATCACCAGGCTCAAGGTTCACCTTCTCGAGCGTGCACCCGCGGCTTTGGAACCACTTGACATCCTCGTCCTTGAAGATGAACAAATCTTTGAAGTCTTCCGTCTCCGGGGGCTTATCCTCGTGGTTATCCTGCTCCCTCTTCTCCCGGAAAAACTCGTCGTACAGCTTGCTGCTACCCTTCATCAAGATCAGACCTCCATCGTCAGGGCCATTGGGCTGGTAGTTCAGCAGGCCCTGCACGCACTGCATACCCTTGCGATGCGGTGACTGATCGCAATGCGGCCAGGGGCTCCACTTGAGATCCTTTTGGCGCGGTAGGGTGATGTTCATGCCGTCGAATGAGCAGAGGAGTTCGTCGGTGCCCCAGAGTTTGCTGAATGTCTCGATGACTTTAGGTTCAGTGCGTGCTTCCCTTCACGTGCATTAGTATGGCGACTCAAACATAGCAGAAGCCCAACTCACCAAACAAACTTCTCGTGCGTACTAGAGTAGGCAAAGTACATGCCGCCCTTGAAGCTCACAGGGAGGTGTTCTTGTGTCCAAGTCGACTCATCATTGGGATCGAAGCCGCGACCAAAGGACTGAAGCCACTCGATCTGCTTCTGCTTATAGTACTCTGCGCGTTCGGGAGAAACAGCACCTTTGATGATTGCTGTTCCATTCTTGTGGAAGTCGTCACGCCAGTCGCCATACACTGTGCCGTCGTGCGAGATCAGATCAACACCAGTATCTGGCTTTGGTTCTTCGGCATGAGGTGCCATCTTGGGGATGCTACTTTGGCGAAGTTTTTCTTAAGGTAATTGCTGTGAACCTCGAACTTGTGAAGTTGTATTCAGATGGAATTGTGGTGTGTGTATTCTTGGTTGCGCTCGAACGGTATTATATGTCAGGCTTGAAGCTGGAGTTGTACGATGATGTTGCTCGGTACAACGACAAATATTTGAAAATGCCGGTGCACCACTGCCGGCGGCATCGGTACATGTGGGCGCAATACCCCACGTTCTCAACGCTGGAGAATTTGTGGGTCCCGGAACATGTGGGGGCGGAGATGCTTCAGACTTCGGACACCTGCCGAGGTGGACACTGGTGCATCACAGAGTGAGCTCGACCCGTCGCGTTGTGAGTAAATTTGTTTGTTGCTCAAGTAGTCGTCACAGCCTGTTTTTGAAAGTGGTCAGCATTCCCTCTATCCCTTCCCCCTCTTTCGCCCTCTTGCCATTCTTACAACCCTTCGTCACCGTCAAAGATGCCTATCCCCATGCAAGTGGCCTACAAGCCCATCTCGAAGCCTGAGGTGGGTGTGAACAACTACCAAGGCTTCACACCCGGCAAGACCGAAGTTCTTCGCAAGGGCGCAAAACCCTACAACGCACGCCCTCTCGAATCTGACATTCGAATCGACCATGATGTTGAGATCGTGGTCAGAGATGGCTGCCGTCTTTACGTCGATATTTACAGACCCGCCGATGTCCCAGAAGATGAGAAGCTACCTGCAGTGATCAGTTGGTCGTGCTACGGCAAGAAGTATTCCGCTCTACACATGCTTCCAATTTGCGTGTGGAATTGCTGTGTGCCAAACGAGGCGCTCAGCGGATTGGAGAAATTCGAAGGACTTGACCCGGTTGTATGGTGTCCGCGTGGGTATGCCATTGTTTCAGTGGACTCTCGTGGTACTGGCAACAGCGATGGATCCATACCAGTACGTGTGAACTTACCTATACGACTGCCTCCAAGCTTCGCTAACCGTCACAGATCATGGGCTCTCAAGATGCAGAAGATTGCTATGACGTCATCGAAGCCATTGCAGCGATGTCTTGGAGCAACGGCAAAGTAGGCATGGCCGGCAACAGTGCCCTAGCCATCATCCAGTGGCACGTTGCGTCTCTGCACCCACCACATCTCGCCGCCATTGCTCCGTGGGAAGGGTCCGGCGACATCTACCGCGAGCAGTTCTGTCGTGGAGGCGTTTTCAGCATGTCGAACTTCGACCTCATTACACACTTCATCATCAAGACGAACAACCCCGGCGGCGGCATCGAGGACTTTGCTGAGATGTACCGACGATCACCGGTCACCAACGCTTACTGGGCCGACAAACGCCCAGATATGACCAAGATCGCAGTCCCTGTGTTTATCAGCGGAAGCGACTTTTCCAGTATACATACCATGGGGTCGGTGAGGGGATGGCTTGAGGTGCCTCACGATAAGAAGTGGATCCGATGGAGTTCGCATCAGGAGTGGTTCGAGTTGTACTGCGACCCTCGCGCGGACAAGGAACTGCACACCTACTTCGACAAATATCTTCGAGGCGTTGACAACGATTGGGAGAAAATGTCGAAGGTGCGGTGGTCGGCGCTCCAGTTTGGTGATCAGGAGGCCATCGATGGCATCGAGTTATCGGATTTCCCTGTCCCAGAGACGGAGTACAAGGCGTTCTATCTGTCCAGCTCAGGCTTGACCGATCAAGCTCCTTCCGAGACCGAGATCATCAGCTACAACTCAGAAGACTCAAAGTCGATCGCCGACTTTACATACAAGTTCATGCAAAAGTCTCGACTGATCGGTCTCCCAAAGGCAGTTCTGTACATGTCAGCCCCGTCGCATGACGACCTGAATGTTTTCGTCATTCTGCGCAAGCGAGACAAGAACGGCAAGCTGCTCATGCATCTCTGTTTCCCTTTCTCGGCGATACCTTCATCGTACAAGAGCATTGATGATATCCCAGAGAAAGAGCGAGCGAGCTTGAACCTGCACCTGGGCAGTGTTGGTGTGCTGCGTGCCAGCCACCGAGCATTCGACCCAGCACGAAGCATCCATGAGCAATTCCCGTTCCACCCGCACGACAAGGAGGAAAAGATTACTCCTGGTGAAATTGTGAAGCTGGAGATCGGTATATGGTCGATGGGCGTCGATTTCGATGAGGGTGAATCGATCAGCGTGCAGGTCTCCGGATCATTCCCGAGTATTGCGGAGTATACAGCCTTCTCGACACCGCGGCCGAAGCACGAGAAGAACAAGGGTGAGCACAGAATACATGTTGGCTTGGATACGCCGAGCAGGATCATACTGCCTTTCGTCCCGTTGTAGCTGTAGATAGACTTGAATGAGATCAGTGCACAAACACAAATGCGCTCGAGGTGGAACACTTGGATCTTCTTTTGCTCATGCTTGCCATGTCACCTTCTAAGCATGCACAAGTTACGTGCATTTGCACAAGCTTCGAGTTCCTGCGCGACACTGCTGACTGCTGCGATCGATAGCGTTACGCACGTGCATAACAATCGAGCAACCATCATACTTGTTGGACTGGATGCTCCGCTTGCGACATCCTCAAAGATTGTGTCCATGGCTCCGGACCCCTGTTAATGATATTGGCAATTGCAAAGGCGGAAGCTGATGCCGAGGGCGGTTGTGAATTGTATAGTGCTGATTGGTCGTACCGTAGGTGGCCCTCCTTCCGAAAGCTAGCCCACTCCCCGACACGCGCGCTACCCCAGATTTCCCCACAGACATGTCAGCAACCCCAGATGAGTTTCCAGACGACTCGAATGCTGCGCAACGCGCATGAAGTGGAGTCCAGTCCAGTCGGGATGTGGAGTTTGCATTGATATCCAGAACAAGGCCCAGAAAATGCCAGCGAATTTGTCGGCTGTGGCGGGAATCTGAAGACGAGCTAGACGACAAGGAGAAGTGCCGCGTATCTAACAAGAAACGCCGAAGAAGAGGAGCTAAAGGCCATCTCAACATATAACCACCTCTTTGCGCAGATCAAACATCCTCATCTCAACGCTGATACTCATTCCCCTGTGCTCTTCCAGGCCTGGACGAGCGGGTTTACATTCTTATCGACATCTTTTGTGTCTTGTCTTAGAACGAGCACCAACAATTGCCTCCAGGATGCTCGACGACATCAAGGACACGAAGGCCATGGAGTCCAAAGTCGAACGGTACGAGGTTGCTTCAGATGGCGAGACAGGCTTTGTGAAGCCTGTGCAGGAGTCTGCGGCGATGGGAACGGTGACCATCACGGACCTCAACGAGATCTTCTTGATCCCTGCTCCCAGCGCTGACCCTCGAGGTTCGTACTCTGCAACACCCAGTCGATCAAATGGCGTGCTAACTGTTCTCGTCAGACCCGCTGAACATGACGAAGTTTCGCAAGATTCTCTTCATCATCCTAGTCTCGATCTTCTCGAGTCTGGGTCTTGCGCTAGTTTCAGGCTTCGGTGGTCTCCTTACGTGGTACATTCCGATCTACGCCACAAAAGGCGCCACATATGGTAAACTCAACATCCTGTTTGTGCTATCTGCACTTACTAAACTTTACAGCCGACATCACTGCGCTGATGACGTACCCTTCGATGTTGATGGGCGTCGGTAACCTGGTCTGCATGCCTCTTGCTCTCGCGATCGGAAGGCGACCTGTCTACCTCCTATCGCTGCTGATCCTAATTGCCTCCGCGGTCTGGGCAGCATATGCAAAAGACTATAATGCACACCTTAGTGCCAGAATGCTTCTGGGTTTTGCTGCCGGTCAGAGCGAGGCGCTGGTGCCCATGATGATCCAGGTAAAAGGCCCAAGATGAGAGCACGAGGAACAGAGACTGACCAACGTTCAGGAAATTCATTTCGTTCACGAGCGCAGCACTTTCCTCATGTGGCAGTCTGCTACCCAGACGGTTTTGGCAGCTGTGTACGTGATCTGCGCATCTCCTATTGCTGGAGCGATCGGTCCGTCCAACTGGTACATTCTTGGTGCTGGACTTTGTGCAGCCACGTTCGTCGCATCTATCTTCTGGGTCCCTGAGAGCAGGTACGACCGTTCCCTGACTGCGTATGGTCAATTCTCGGCCGAAGAGGGTGGCGAGCTAGATGGATCGAGAGCGACCGCACCACAGCCTGTTAAGTTGTCTGAGAGGCCCGCACTGGACACGACCAGGTTCCTTCCCCGCACCGTATGGTCAGACATGCGCATCTTTGTTGGCAAACCGGACTGGATGGAAGGCGTCTATGGCTTCATCAACACGTTCCAGGTCATGCTATTTCCCAACGTGCTCTGGGCTTTCTGTCTCAACGGTCTGACCATTGGTGTCAACATCGCTATTGGAACGACCTACGGAAACATTGTACACGCACCTCCGTACAACTGGTCTGATAGCTCTGTTTCGTATGTCAATGCCGGACAGATTGTGGTCGCCTTTGTGGCGCTCCCACTCCTCGGTAACGGTAGCGACGCCCTAATCAAGTGGCAAGCCAGGCGTAACGGTGGTATTCACGAGCCTGAGAACCGCCTGCTGCTGCTCTGGATCCCTCTGCTATGTGGATGTCTTGCCGCTACGCTGTACGGTCTGGCCGCGCAAAGTCCAGGCAAGTACCACTGGTTCATCTTCGTGTTCGCCAACGCAGCGTATTATTTCACATTTGTTGGTGCCAACATCGCTGCGATCACGTACCTACTCGATTCATATCCAGCACGCGCAGGACCCATTCTTGTCGTCATCACAGCTCTTCGAGGATTCGTCTCTTTCGGAACCAGCTACGGTGTCGCCAAATTTGTCGAGACTGATGGGTACGATGGAACCTTCGGAACATATGCTGGTTTGACTGCATTGTTCGGCTTGTTGGGCATACCTGTCTTCTTGTATGGCAAGAAGATAAGAGCCTACACCGGCAAATGGGCCATGAAGAAGGCATCGGGCCACCCATCGATGTCGCACTGAAAGGACAGTTGTCTAACGTATCGTCTAATACATCTGATCGATGATTGGCATCGATGCAAGGGCGACGAGTATAATCGTGGCCCGTGTATATTGCTGTAGCATTGTCATGTTGACGCTTTGGCGTGACTGATGGATTGTACTTCGGCCAGTCTAGTCTTCGCAAGCAATTGAATGTAGATCTCTTTTGCAAAGCTCATTGTCAGTCTCAAGCTCTGTGAACATATACAATGCATGAGCTCTTACCTGATACTTGAGATGAAGCTGTTCCAGCGACAGTCAAGCCTGCTTAGGGCACGGGGACGGCGTTGGCTAGGTGTATCCTGTTATAGTAGTCGTATATCAGATACGGCCATGGTGATCAGACAGGTAGGGCACGTACAAGACTATGGTCCAACTCTGATATCTCGAGAGGCCAGATCGTAGACCATGCTGGTGCTGTCCATATTCACCTGAGAAACAGAGTGCTGTCACGATCGTGGAGTCTTCGTAAAGTCTTCGTGGAATCTTCGTAACGCCTATCAGGAGTAGAGTCCCACGCGTGTATAGGTTAGACGCGTCAACGCGGCCGCATTTTGAACGGTGTATTTGGCTCTTCAAAGGTCAGCGTGTTATTGTAAGATAAACACTGCGATCTAATGTACTACAATGCGCCCATCTGGTGGTGGGCCGGCTACAACATTCATCATTGTGGTGTGGTGTTCGCGATGCACGGGCGAGAAGGCGCAGCATGTTGACGTCATTGTTTTTTGTTTTCACTAAGCGAGGGAATGTGCCCCTGAGGGCTTCTATTCTGAACACCAGCCACCCTCATTATGCTCAGGCTAAAGCGTTGATGTATGGAATACCAGTCAGCTTGAATGTCCTCTCGTCCATGACCGGCTTGTTCACCGGCTCCATGCGGTTGTGTGGGTCATCTACTCCGTCTCTTTTCGCGATGTTCGAGCCTGTGTGCCTGGCGTTGGGCCAATGCGTCGTGCCAACCCACCGCTCGTACGCGTCCTTCTTCCTCAGCAAATCCTCCTGAGTTGCATCTGCTACGGGCATGTAGCATGTGTAAGCTGCGAAACGAGGCTGGTTGGTCTTGGAGCTCAGGTTGTAGTGTGGGGTGCGGGAGTCCCACACAAGCAGATCACCAGGGTCTGCGCACACCTTCATCCACTTGAGGCCCTTGTTCTCAAGCCACTTCATGCCATTCTCGGTGTAGCCGTACCATTCCGGTGTCCAGGCTGGAATACGCTCCTCATCAGCCATGTCTTTATGGAACTCATCAGACAGCAAATGACCGCCAGGACACACGATGAGACCGCCGTCATCTGGCCCATTAGGGAGCAAGTTCACTAAGCCCTGCAAGCATCTGAACCCAGGCTTCGAAGGGTCCTGATCTTGATGAGGCCATGGCTTATTCGACGCAAGATCCGAGCGACTGGAATGATCGTTAGCTTGTTCAACAGTCGAATGCACTCTACGTACGGCAATGTGAAGTTGATCGCATCGAACGAAACGATCAGGTCTTTTGTGTTGTATACTTTCTCAAATGCTCCAATGACACCTGGCTCTCCTCGAATGGCCCAAGCGAAGTCCTCGTGGGTTACGGCATACTGCAGGCACATGCCCTTCTCGGTAATCAGCGGAAGCTTGTCTTTGTGCACTGTCGACAAGTCGTTGCGGTCGAAGCCGAGGTTGCTGAAATTACATGTGAGTGGTACACAATACGATATTGGGACTTATGCTTACAAGCCCTCCAGCCAACTGTACATCTGATCTGCATACTTGTCGGCCCTCTCCTTCGGAATCGCACCCTTGATAACGGCGTAGCCATCTCTAGCCAAGTCATCCCTCCAGTCGCCAAACTTTACATCAGTGCCGTCGACCCTCATGCGCTCATCGTCGACCGCCTTCAACTTGACGGGCGCTGTCTTCGTTGTGGTGGAGATCATGTTGAAATGCTTGTGGTACTGGGTGGTGTTTGACGAAGTGGGTGAAGCTTGATTTTGGAATGCGAACATTGAATGGGGGAATATATTCGATGTCCTCCTCGGACAGGAACCCAATGCGCGCTGCACCGCCCAGCCGTTGGTGTCGCCCACATGAGCCGAGTCTGCCCACACCCACCTTTCCGAACTGCGACGATCATCGTTGGACCACGCAAAATGTATGCAACTAGATGCAGATTGCGGGTGTGTCAGTGCAAATGTTCGTGAAGTGGAGGACCGATATTGTCGCTAGTGGTGTATTGGGGCGACAAGAAGATTTCGGTTTGTCAATTGCTTGCCCGGTACACGCGGTCAGCATGTCTTGCTTGCTTCTGACTCGTTATATCGTCCCATCGTCAATCACTCTCATCACACTTACCAGCTACGAGTCTTCTCGAGATGTCATCGCCAACGCAATTCCGGATCATCATCGTGGGCGGCGGTATCGCAGGATTGGCAGCTGCCATAGCTCTGCGGAAAGACAACCGTCAGGTCACAATCCTCGAACAATCTCGTCTCAGTACTGAAATCGGTGCTACAATCTCGCTTCAGCCCAATGCCACGAGGATTATACAGCAGTCGTGGGGCCTCGACAATCTACTCGACGACTCAAATGGCACCATTGATCATGGTTTCAGGATCTACAACATTGATGGCAAGATGGTGAACGAAATTCCATTGCGGTACAAGACGCAGTACGGAGCAGATCGCATCATGTGGCATCGTCAGGATCTCCACGCCTACCTCAGAACGATGGCCACAAGTACCAAATGGGAGGGCCAACCTGCGACACTACGTACCTCATCACGAGTGTCTAGTTGTGACTGCGAGGAGGGCAAGGTGACACTAGAAGATGGAGAAGTCTTGGAAGCAGATCTTGTTATAGGCGCAGATGGCATACACAGTGTCCTGCGCACTTCTGTACTTGGCAAGGAAGTCAAGCCAAAACCCACAGGCTTCTCAGCATACCGACTAATGCTTCCTACCACGGTGCTCAACGAATACGCTCCACAGTTTGCTACGAACATCAAGCCAGAAGAACCTTACACATCCATGGTTATGGCGCACTCTTGCCGGCTCATCATGGGTCCTGCCTGCGATGCACAACTCTACAGCATCGTCGGATTAGTACCAGACGAGCGGATGAATGAGGACCCTGATAGCGCGCAGTCGTGGGTCACGAAAGGGGATTCTGGAAAGATGCTGGAAACCTTCAAGGACTTCCCCAGCTGGACCCAGGATGTGCTTCGAAATGCCGATAGCATTGGCCTTTGGCAGCTGCGCGACTTGGACCCGTTGGAGACCTGGCACTCTGGGCGCGTGATTCTCATTGGAGATGCAGCGCATGCCATGCTACCCACTCAAGGCCAAGGCGCAAGCCAAACTATCGAGGACGCTGAAGCTCTAGGTACACTGTTCAGCCATATCACAGAGAGGCCTTCGAGGGACGAAGTGTCTTCCGTTCTTGAAGACGTCTTCAAGTGTCGGTTTGAACGTGTGAGCTTGATCCAGCAATTCAGTCGCGAAGCTGCGAAGCCTGCAACAGAGCAGGGCAGTAATGTCATCAAGATGTAAGTTTCACCTCAAGCACAAATTCCTTCTAGTCTGACACAAGCAGGCGCCCCGATGAGTTCATGGACTACAACTGCACATATCGAGGTGTACGAGATTGGGAGGAGAAGCGTTCGATGGCAGCAATAACAGCCGGTATACAGACAGTTGCAGTGGCCTAGGCTCAGCCCAGATGGCCCTAACTAATAAAATTGATCACAACATCAAAGACGCCGTTGAAATCCACTACTACTGCTGCAATCTTGTTGAGCAGCAAGCGGACCTGAAACATTTGTCGTTTGTACTAAGACCGTGATCAGTCTCCTCGAGCTGGAAAAAGCTCGGCAGTTCACTTGCCGCCGCCTCGATTGCCGCGACGCCCCAGACGCACCCCGCCTTCAAGGCCGGGCAAGGGTGCGCCCACTTCCCGACAGCCGAAAGTTGTAATGCGCCTTGAACTACTCGCCTCCCACATTTCCGTTCTTCGACCCTTCGATCACTATGTCAATCGGGATGGCGGTGACACCAACGAATGTGCGACCCTCGAAACGTCAGCGGACTTCCGATGCCTCCTCAATCGGTGGGCTCCAGTGTCAGGTTTGCCACCGGTCATATGAACGTGCCGACCACTTGAACCGACACTTGGATTCACGTGAGTACTTTCTACCACTGACTATTGGCTTCACTTGACCTGTGCACAGACCGCAATGAGCGTTCTTTTCGTTGTGAGGAGTGTCCTGCTGCGTTCAATCGTAGAGACTTGCTACTCAGGCATCAAGCTACCCACGCGAAGAACGCTGCAGATGGGCTCATAGGCCCAAATCGTGTCGCAGAACGTGCTACAAAGGCATGCAACTCCTGTGTTGTGTCCAAAGTCAAATGCGACAATGGCAGACCCTGCAAACGGTGCCAGAAGAAAAGCTTAACATGCTTGACCAAGTCTTCCGACTCGTCACCGTTTCCTCAAGCAGGTGCTGGGGAACTACCATCGCAGGTCTTCGCAGTGCCCGTGGAACAACAAGCCCATCCGAACCAGTTCGGGAATGGCATCCAAATGAACGATGTCTACCTGGAGGAGGCAAACGCTGATGCGCAGGCCTTGTTAGACCTTTACAATACCACCGACTACAATCAGCATACCATCCCGGCCTTCTTCGAACAGATCATGGTTCCAGCGCCAGACTTCATGGGTGTTGATTACATGCAACCTCCTCCAGATCTGACTGCTTGGATGCCTGAGGTCGACTGGCTTGGACAGGTTGACATTTTCGGCAATGATTTCACTCCAGTTATCGATCAGATGCTGGAGGCGCAGGTGTCGCATGATGTCGCGTTGCCTTCGGAAACACAGCCGCCTAATGTCACAGACACTTCACACGAGAAGATCGACAGCAATTCAGCAAAGAGGCGACATGCAGTCTTCAAACAATCGCCCTGGTAACACATCTTTAACGTTTCTATTGAACAGGACTGACCGGCTTCAGGTTTTGGGTCCCTGAGCGGAACCAGCACGCTTTCAGTGAGCACGAAAACATCACGCTAGATGAGCGCAATGTGGATCTCGCTTCATCACCGCACATGCCATACTCATCGAATGTCGTGATACCTGACCGGCTATCGACAGGAGCCCGCGATCGTATCTTCCAACTTGTGTCTAAGACTGCACGAAGTCAAATAACGATTCCATCTTTCCCATCGGCGGACTGCGTCGACAAGCTGATCAAAGTTGGCATCGCAAAACGGACCGAGACTGACGCTTGGATCCACCCGTATACTTTTGAAAGTGAGACCGCTCGACCAGAGTATCTAACTGCGTTGGTGGCTGCCGGGTGTGTGTGCTTTGGCATACCATCGGTGAGCAGAACGGGCCTGGCACTGCAGGAGATTGTCAGGGTTGCGTTGAACAATCTGGTAGGCAATCACGAGAAATCCATATTAGGTGCTGGAGCCATGGAAAATTGACACGGTTACAGTCTGAAAATGATAACAGTGTCATTCGCGATCTCGAATACCTTCAAGCCTCGATGCTTTGGCTCGACATCGGAGCGTTCTGTGGTTATAGAAGGAAGATGGAAATTGCTGAAAGTAGCTTGCAACCTCTTGTCACAGTAAGGCTCTTCCATGCGGTAGTAAAGTGCATGCTGACTTCGTAGGCATTACGACGTGCTGGTAGACTCGACTACGTTCGATACCCCGCGGTCGCACCATCTGCCGAAGATGGAGAGGAGGAATTGCATGCGAAGTGGAAGCAGTGGGTAGAACAGGAGTCCTACAAAAGGTATTTCAACCCCATCTAGACTATCTTTGCTCCCAGCGTCTAATGCGGACAGGCTGGCATATCACTTGTTCGAGCACGACATCCATATGACTATGGTCAAACATCGTCCACCACTGATCACCTATGCCGAACTCACGCTTGCATTGCCTGCATCGAAGGCACTATGGCTTGCATCTTCGGCGGAAATATGGAGAACGCGTTACCTCGAGATGGACATCTCCTCAAACCCTCCTTCACTCCGAGCAATTCTCAAAGACGAGGCTGCCATACTTTGCCTTCATCTGGATATAGATGTGCAAATCGCCCGATCATCGTATCTTCATGGCATCGCTGCTCAGATCTGGGAACATGCACAGCAGTCTGTGCTACTGCACGAGAGCAGCGACCCATCGTCGCAGCTCTGGGCACGCTCACGCCAACAGAAACTGTGAGTATATTGTCTTATATGGTTAACATAGCTGAAGTTTGTTGATAGATACCAGCGCCTGCAGCGCGAAGACTTTCTGCTTAGCAGATCCCCTGCTGTGACTTGCGTGCTTCATCAATTCTTGCAGATGTTCCTTCATGTCAACCTGGACCTCATTACTCGATTTGCAGGCAAATGCGGCGAGAGTGCTGCCAATAGCGCATACACTCATCTATCCCCCTGGAGCCAGACAAAGGAAGCTAGGATCGCAATTTGTCACGCTGGACAAGTAGTACGAGCTGCTCGACATATCCCGCCATACCAGATCCGTGGACCTGATTCTTTCATGCTGTACCATGCCATCATGGTACTTTGGACATACAGCATGATGGTGCGAGACCGAGCTAAGAAGACTGGGACAACTACACCGATGCTGGCACAGCCAAGCTCGCCTCCCAGCAAGATCGTCTACCTCGACGATGCTGCTTCGTACAACCAGAGCGACATTGATTCATTCATTCTCATGAACAGCGGTACACCATGCCTTCACATTATCTCTACTCATCAGTCAGTTGTGTCTGAGTCTGGGGCCCCCAAGCGCCCAGAGATCTGCAACCTCAAGTATCCCTCACAAGTTATGAAGGTCGGCGTCAGGCTGCTCGATGCAACACATCCTGATGTCGATCGTGAGACTGGGCCCCCGCTTATGAGGGCTCTGTGCGGACTGATGGAAGAACTTGGAGGCCTTCGATAACAGAGATTCGTATTCAAGAAGAAAAGTTCGCTATCCCGCCAGTAACGGCAATCTGTATCGCTGACTTGTAACATCAACCTCAACAAGTACCAAGCAGATACATACTCGCTATGACCGATCGATACGCTCTACTTCCATGTCGCATCCACCGTGGCTGTGCTTGCGCAGCTCCCCGGTACCGTGTAGGCCCTGTTTGCACCCGATTCGTAGGTCACAGCACCGTTGCTCTCCACCCTGATGAACTTATACTCGAAGCTGGTGCCAGCAGGCAGATTGATCGTCGTAGTCCACAGAGGGTTGGCCGAGGTGTACTTTGAGGCAGATAGTGCTGGTGCGTTTGCAGTGTTCCAGCTACCCAACTGCGCAATGGATCCTGCGATCTTCACCGTCTGTCCGACTACGGTTGTGGTCTTGCTGTTGAATGTGACGGCAACGGTTGCAACAGGTGTCGCGCATCCAGTGGCTGCAGTAGTCGAGCTGGCTTTGGTCGAGGTTGGCGCTACGGAGGAGACCTTGCTGGTTGTTGTTGGGGGATTGGAGCCGGAAGAACCAGTGATCTTGATATCAGCACAAGTCAGGTACACTTGCGGCGTCTGAAACGAGTTCCACTTGAACGAAAGCAGTGTGTGGTTCGACACGTAGTTCGGAATCTTGATCCTGGAAGAGACCTGTGTGGTGTAAACAACGCGCAATATAGCCACTCCATCGATCGATGGACTTACAGTGTATCCACCCGCGATACTCGTATAGCAAGAGTTCAGCGGTGCATTGTCCACACCCCTGCACTTAGTGTCCTGGAACCCTTTGCACGTAAACCAATCGTTCCTCCAACATGCTTGTCCCTGCGTACAATCCGCATTGTACCCACAAGTTTGCCCGCTCACATCTGTGCACGGCAGTGTGCCAGTCTGGAAGCATTTCTCAGCTGCCTGCTTCTCGGCATCCGTAGGCAGGTACCCAGGGGTTAAGAACTTGTCAATGAGCGCCTGGTCTTGACAGATGCGGTAGGAAAACATGCCACCATGGTCGCCGTTATTGTCAACACACCACTGCACGTCGACTACGTCGCCGCCTTTGTAGGTGATCACGGGCGCGGAGCCCCAGTAAGGGCCGGGCTGGTTGTAATCGACGCTTACACGGGCGTTGTAGCCGCAGGGTCCACTGCGGCCGACTTGGACGGCGTCAAGATCAGGCCAGGCTGTGACGGGCTCGAGAATGGTGCATTCGGGGCAGGTGTCTGCTCCAGCTTGAGCATTGAGGCCTGTACGGCTCATAGGTTGGGAGAGGTAGCCATGAGCTTGGATGCCTGCGGCAAAGGCAAGAGCTTGAGCTACGGCCCACTTCATGTCGAAGGACGTATGGAAGACACGAGGTCTTTGAAAAGAAGATGCAAGACTGAAGGTGAGACAGTCAAGCTTCCTTGCTGCTATATACCCAACGCATCAAGCGTCTCTCCTGACCTGCTTTGACCATCTTCACGATCATTGACTGCATAGTATCGCTGTATCTGCCCATCCTATCATAGCCTCGAAGTTGTATATTACACTCCGACTGTGAACAAATGAAATGCAAGGTACCCACAACACATTTTTCAGTCGGTAGTCTTCATATGTCACGAGAGCGCCTACATTCTTGTGTTCCGCATCCTAATGAAATAATCCCCAGAACCACGAATTCGAAATGCGGGGTTCCGCCTCAAACCTGGAGCCGTGCAGCCAAAACGGAGTCAGGAACAATATGCTCAGCATACACGAAATGCCACAGCTGCACCTGCAATACTGAGCACGCATCCGGCTTGCGTCCGAGGTCGCTCGATATCTCGCTTATGCTGAAGTACTAACGGTTATCGTCGTTGTGTATGGCAGTCATGTTGGCTGAGATCCTTGAAACATGTGAGATGAACTTTGTGTTTTGTCGATCGCGGAGGTAAGCCCGGAAATGGCATGAGTGAGGTTGTGGTACAGTGAGGCCAAGATGAACTAAGCTGTACAACTGCTTGTTTGGGTATGGCGCCCGTTTGATCTCCACACCCCGCAATGTAAAGAAGGTTCCTTCCCGTGGCACGAGACAAAGTTTCATGCGAGATACTCGGTCCGAGAAGGTTCATACCGGTCTGTTGGTCGTTTGATGAACATTGAGTGGTTGTGAGTGGTTGGGTCTCGGACCGTGGGGCTAGCGTGCGTATTGCTGTCAGGAACCACGCACCTTCGCACATGATCGTTGCTACTCCACGAATGACCGCAAGCCGACAGTGGCGTCGTTGGGTATCATGATTCATGGTGCGGTAGAGAAACACTCCCGGTTGACCCTTTGGCATCGCTGATCCAAGAACTACGTACGCGTAACGTGGTGAGGTGAATGGTGGAACGTCAGCTATATATTGAGCTTCAAAGCTACTTGAACAGGGCCATCATCAGGAGTCCCGAGCTTCAGAACTTTCAACAGACGTGCATCAGCATGATGTTCTTCAAAGCCATCGTTGCCTTCCTACTCCAGGTCACTGCCCTGGTCGCGGCTGCAGACACGGCTGCATGGAAATCCCGCAGCATCTACTTCGTGCTCACAGACCGGGTCGCCCGCAGCAGTAGCGACACTGGAGGGGGTTCATGCAGCAATCTCGGAAAGTACTGCGGCGGTACCTTCAAGGGTCTCGAGTCGAAGCTTGACTACATCAAAGGTTTGGGCTTTGATGCTATCTGGATCACGCCTGTGGTTGCAAGTACGTGGTCTGACAATTCTTATTGCCTCGTCCGTAGCTGACACTCTAAATAGATAGTGCAGATGGATACCACGGATACTGGGCGCAAGACCTGTATGCGGTGAACTCCAATTACGGTACTGCAGCCGACCTGAAGAGTCTCGTTAGCGCGGCCCATGAAAAGGTAGGCTTTCACGTGCTCATGTACCCCTGTGCGGCTACTTACCCGTCAACAGGGTCTCTATGTTATGGTCGATGTGGTAGCGAATCACATGGGTTTCGCAAATATCGCCGATAACCGCCCAGCACCGTTGAACCAGGCCTCTTCGTACCATGCCGCCTGCGACATTAACTACTCGAACCAGACCAGTGTTGAAAACTGCCGGATCGCCAACTTGCCTGACATCAACACCCAGAGCTCTGAGATCCGAACCCTTTTGAACACCTGGGTTGGCTGGCTTGTGAAAGAGTACAGCTTCGATGGTGTACGTATCGATACCGTTAAGCATGTTGAAAAGGATTTCTGGTCCGGCTTTTCGTCTGCTATCGGTGCATACTCGATCGGTGAAGTGTTCGATGGAAACCCAAGCTACCTCGCTGGATATGCGAACTTGATGCCCGGTCTGCTCAACTATGCCGTCTACTACCCCATGAACAACTTCTACCAACAGAAAGGTTCATCGCAGACGCTTGTGGATATGATCGACACTGTCAGCTCGTCGTTCCCCGATCCTGCAGCGCTGGGCACATTCTTAGACAATCACGATAACCCTCGCTGGCTAAACCAGAAGAACGACCAGACGCTGCTCAAGAATGCTCTGGCTTTCGTCATCTTGTCTCGAGGCATTCCGATCCTGTACTACGGCACCGAGCAAGGATACGCAGGCGGTGCTGATCCTGCAAATCGTGAAGACCTGTGGCGTAGCAATTTCAACACCAATACAAACCTATACCAAGCCATCGCGAAGCTGTCTGCTGCACGCAAGGCTGCCGGAGGTCTCGCTGGTAACGACCACATGCACCTCTATGTAGCAGATACTGCTTACGCCTGGAGCCGAGCTGGAGGAAATCTGATCGTGCTCACTACCAACGCTGGAAGTAGCTCAAATGCCCAGCACTGCTTCAACACCCAGAAGGCCAATGGTCAGTGGACTAACGTCTACGGCAACAGCGCCACAGTGACCTCGGATGGCAACGGCCAAGCTTGCGTCAATGTAGCCAGTGGAGAGCCAATAGTCCTTCTTGCTTCCACAGCTTCGCCAACAACAACCGCTACACCAACAACTCTTCGCGCCTCCTCCACTTCCATCCGCAGCACGATTGGCACAGTCTGTCCAACCACTGTCTCCGTATCTTTTACAGAGCGCGTAGTCACTGTTCCGGGCGATACGATCAAGATTTCCGGCAACACTACGCAGTTGGGCAACTGGAATGCTGCAAGCGCTCCTGCGCTTTCGGCATCGCAGTACACGTCCAATAACCCCGTCTGGAATATCACTTTGAGGATGGTGCCAGGACAGGCGGTACAGTACAAGTTCGTGAAGGTGTCAAGCTCAGGTGCTCTGTCGTGGGAGAGCGATCCGAATAGGGCGTACACTGTGCCGGCTTGTCAGGCTAGTGCTACAGTGAGCAGTGAGTGGCGATGAAAGGGAAGCAGCAGTGTATCTAATCAGCGGCAGTGTTTCCGCAATGATAGATTGATGATCGATGTCACGATCTTCTGATTGGTGTTGAGGTGGAAGTGGCTGAGAAATCGTCACGCGTCGACTTCGTGACGCATGGGCTTAGTCACTAGTGTGGCCGAAGGGCAACCGTGTTCGACGCTTCTTTAAACCTTCCTACTACGGCAACTGCCCCTCAGCTGCGCGGCGTCCCCTTCTCTTCATCCCTCCTCTCTCACATGTCTAACCTCGAGCGCTTCCGAACAGCCACATATTACGACTATCACAAATTGATAAATGCTGCGAGTTCTGGCTGAATTGCGCGACCATGTCCACGAATTTGCGCTTACTTTCGACTCTACGAAGCTGACACGATGAGCAGAACGGAAAACGCATCAACCTTTCGCTTGTCTTTGGAGAGAACTCTGATCATTTCTAGCGGTTGCCACTATCAAAAGGGCGACTTTTTCCCGTCATCTGAGTCGTTGGCGTACGTCACAGTGTGGGTGACTTCCACTCTCCTCACGATAACACCACCAGGCTGTGCGGGTTCTCTTTCCAAGGAGGACTTCACCTGCGTTACCAGCTCGGTCTCATCAGACCAAGTCTCGAGCCCGCCGTGTTTCTTTCCCTTCCCCGTTTCCAGATGCGCAGACTTGAAGGTCGACCGCCTGTACGTCCCGGATGCTTCATATCGACCATCTGTTCCCCGGGAGGAGCCATAACCGACACGATCTCTTAGGATGTTGAATTGGGCAACGAATGCTGGAAGGCAAGTGCAAATTAAAGCAATACCAGCTTCGGCGTTACTGTCTCCTGTTAGCTGATTATCGAGCATGATACACAACATTCAACCGACCCTGACATAACCACTTGTACGAACAAGATTGTCGTATCTCTCGACTTTCCGTGGGTCAAAATCAAGTTCAACCGCCAGCCACTGAAGGCCGTTGCGAGGCCACCGACAGCAAGCATGCCGCCAACGCGAAGCTTCTTGACTGTGGGAAGCTGCAGAGACCAGGTTAAGGGCAGCGGCAACAGGAGGATGATGGCATCAGTGACTGTGCTGATGATCGAGTCGGCAGTGATGACCGCTGACTGGTTCAAGCATTTGCTCTGGTCGCCCTGCCAGTACGCAGAAATCGGCCAGCATATCCGGATCTTAAGGATGAGGGAGATGATATAGTACACGACGAGCAGTCCTCCCAGAGCATATATGCCTTGTATCCTCCTCTTGTATGGTGAGAAGATTCGAGCGATCAGTGTGAGGAGGCTAAGCTTGATGGCTAGAGTCATCGGAGCGTAGAAGATCGTGGCGGCGTATGCGGTTTGAAGAAATTTCTCAGCTGTTTCTTTCGAGATATCCCACATGTGGTAGCCTCCGCCATGGACACTCACTTCCTTGGTCAGCACAGTCAATCCACATACACTGAAGGAATCATACATACGAATGAACCCAGATATGCAGTATCCGGTCATAAGCAGCCAGGACACAAACGTAAGGTCTGTAATTGATCAGCACTCATCTACTTGGCGGTAGCTCGGCCTCCACTCACAGTCATCGACGGCTAAGTCCAGACCAACAGTTCTAAACTTGTGGTACCCTCTGATCCAGACGAATATGGTGCAGAAGGTCATTGTGAGCGCCTGTGTCACGAAGTTGATGGTCCTTAGCTCGTCCTTGGGATGGTCCAGGTCAGACGTATAGCCTTGAGGCGGCGATGCAGCTGCTGTTGCCGTCATGACAAGCACTGGAGGCTCTGATTAATCACGCAACTCTAAACAATGAAGCCTGATGGATACTCACCCTGGGTTTTGCACTACGATTCTGCAGTCTGCACTTGTACAGCAAGCAGCCTACCACGCATCAAAACCCATTGCCCCTATATACCGGAACACGCGGAAACGACCCCCGTTCGGATGCAACAGAAGATCTCTACCATCCAAAGTACTGGATCAGACTCAGGAGAAGCACCTACATGAGCCGTCTTCCCACAGCTGCACGGTGCGCAGCACGTTCGGTCTACCCACATATGCAGAAGACCTAGTAATGTGTTTCGTAACGCGAAGAAGCAATGCACATGTAGGATCACGAACGGCCGAGTATCCACCAATCATCTTCCAACGTAGACAGTTCCGCTTTGCTATGCAATGCGCGGCAACTGTGAGGCCAAGTTCGACTTGCTTTTCTCGTGTTCGGGATGAAGCGTCCGAATGTTGGCCAAAGCGGACATCGATGATTGCGAGCGGCACGACCCCTGCACGAAGGATTCGCTTGCGGACGGGTTAACCATCTCCCGCATTCACACTTCCCGTTTTTAGTCAGACCATGTCAGAAAACGGTTATCGCGGATCGGATCCGAAACGACTTCTGTGGCTCCCATGATTCAGTCAAGGGCCAACGGAATGCCATCATCGCTAATGTCGACTCAGCTGGTGACTGATCTGCCCACGACAATGCACATCACTGCCAGAAAGCCATGAGCTCCAGGAGACAAACTCCATCTCGAGCAAAGGTGAGTACGAGAGACCCACTTGAAGGACTCGGCAGTGTCTGAATGAGGCAGCGACTTGGTGATAAGAGGACCCGTAAACGTATTCCGCTATACAATTTTCACAACCCACAACCTCGGGACGGCTCGTAAACCCCTCCATCACGGTATGATAACCACATGCGGCACTCACCCAAGCAAACCTGGTTTGGCTGATAGGTGGACTGGGTCTAGCATGCCGCTCCAACACGCGTCTTGGTGCCCACTCTCGCATGACAACAAGCGATGATCAAGTATACCTGACCATGTCGCCTTTTCGCACGAAGGGTCGAAAGCGTTATCGCATCATTCCACCTGAGCGACGCAGTTGTTGCGCAGACCCTCAAACATCCCCACCATGACCATCCCCGTTGGCCCATCGTCCAAGCTCTTTGAGCCACTGACCATTGGCAATGGCAAGATCAAGCTTGACCATCGTGTGGTGCTCGCACCATTGACCAGGAACCGAGGAACACCACTCAGCGCAGAAAGTACAGCTGGGAAGCCAAATCGCATATGGCTTCCGAACGACCTTATGGTAGAGTACTACACTCAGCGTGCTAGTAAGGGTGGACTTATCATCACTGAGGGCGTACCGCCATCTCTCGAGGTGAGCGGAGTTCCAGAATGTCGCGGATCTTCCTTGATCTTCTGTGGTTGGTTTTGAGGAGAGCCGGGACAAAGATATTTTGTTTACCCGCGAAGACGTGAGCAATTCTAACCTGACATGACAGGGTAATGGAATGCCAGGTGTTCCTGGTCTTTTCCTTGAGGAACAGAAGGCAGGCTGGAAGAAGATCGCAGACGCTATCCACGCACAGGGCGGTTACGTATACCTTCAGCTCTGGTATGCAATCCATCAACAAACATTCGAGACCAGGCTGACAAGTAAAGGCATTCCGGACGAGCCAACATCCCACAAATGACAGGCACACCAATCGTCAGTCCCTCCGGTCTACCCTGGGACAACCCAGACGAATGCTTCGCATACCCACCCCCACACACTTCCAAGCAAGCCCGTTACGTCGACAACCCGCCTATCGAGCTCACCGTAGAGCACATCAAAAGGACCATGCAAGACTACGTTCGCACAGCCAAATGGGCTATGTCATGCGGATTTGACGGCGTGGAACTCCATGGCGGTAACGGGTACTTGCCCGAGCAGTTCCTCGCTTCTAACGTCAATAAGCGGACAGACGTGTATGGCGGGAGCCCAGAGAAGCGTTGTACCTTTACGCTTGAGCTAATGAATGAGCTGAGCAAGGCGGTTGGAGACGAGAACCTGGCTATCAGACTGTCGCCATTTGGGCTGTTCAACCAGATTCGCTGCGAGCAGCGCATGGAGACATGGACAACACTGTGTCGCAAGCTGAAGGCGGCACATCCAAATCTGTCATATGTGAGCTTCATAGAGCCTGTGAGTTGCAGTCTAGTTTCGGTCCAGGAGCAACACTGACAGTCATCCCAGCGCTATGAGCAGATCCACAACGAAACCGAAAAGCAAAAGTTCCTCGATTCCTGGGGCCTCAGCTCGATCGACCTCACTCCCTTCCGCGACATCTTTGGCAGCACACCTTTCTTCTCCGCTGGTGGCTTCGATGACACGAACTCCTGGGGTGTGCTCGAGTCCGGGAAGTACGATGCGCTGCTGTACGGCAGGTACTTCATTAGCAACCCAGACTTGCCAAAGAGGCTGAAGGAAGGATTGCCACTTGCGCCGTATGATCGCAGTAGGTTCTATGGGCCATTTGAGGACAACGCGATCTGCTACACAGATTATCCTAAGTGGGAACAAGCAAGCACACCTTAGATTAGGTCGCCGTAGGAAGGCTGAATGATCGCTCGATTATGCGCTTATGGTAGGCAGCTGATGTTTGCCAAATTGGTGTGGTCAGCAATGCTCCGCGGAGTCATGCACAGTAAGTGGGGTTTATAATCTTTCTCGTTAAGCCTACAAAGGCTGAGAAACTGCGGCTCAACTGGCCTTGCAAAGCAAAGAATCATGGATATCATGCACTGCACCTCTGCTTACCTGGGCCTTTTTAATACACCTTATTCTCCCAAAGATTCAATCTTGTTGCGGCAAGGGCCGCTGTAGAATACGATGGGATACTGCGCTGAGTTGCTAGCTAGCCAGGAGAAGACGACTATACACCTGACCTGTAACACACTAGACTGGGTAATTTGCTACGGGCATAGTCCGACCTTGTACGGACCGATTGATACCGCAACAGATTTTGTCAGAGTTCAGTGAAGAACTGTACGCAAAGGGAAGATTTTGAAGATTGTATTGAGGTTGTATTGAGTGAAGCTACGAACAGTATATATAGGTGAGTAGCTGTAAACAACGCTAGTGTAACGTGGCAGTCACTCTCATGGAGGTGAGGTACGACAGGCAGGAGCACCCCAAACCGTGACAGATTTTCACTTTCACTCCGGACACTCGAGCCTAATCCAAAATGACTAATGCTTCTGACGACACCATACTTCCAATGTCAAAGTGCGGTAGCCCAGATCAGCAGAATACAAAAGAGCCAGAGCTTTCTTTTGGAGAGTCAGACTCGGCCTGAGACACAAAGACAGCTTCGGGAGACCTTTGGCCGAGCGATATCTCAAAGTGATCGACTACCCTCTTGACGGTTCTCCAGTAAGGAACGTGGACACAGCATCAGCGACCAGAGATGCAGGCTTCAGAGGGTCACTTCACGAACAGGCGGACGATGTGATACGAGTCATTCTTAATAGTGATAAGAAAATGCTGACGTCCCTAAGTTCTGAGTTGCTTCTCTCAGGGTCGCAGTGTATCAACCAGCCGAAGCGCACCTATGTAAGCACTATCGACTTCTTTGGAAACTTCACCCACGGAAACCATATCTACAAGATATAGTCTCAGGAAACCATATCTACAAGATATAGTCTCAGAAAACCATTCCCGAATATAGTATCGTATCGACACATTTGTGTTCCACAATGACGTCTGTGGTTATTGCAAAGGCGGCACCTTGAGTAAACTACAGTACACCGGAAACCACGAGAGTAGCAGAGCAATTTCAGGATAGCTCGAGATTCTGTCGGTAGAGCTATCGGTAAGATCCGCTTCATACGCTGTCATATGACGTGACTGATGTCGTTCCAGTTATCTGTCTTGCCCCTCATGCCGCCAGAACTGTAAGAGTCGGAGCCAGGGCTGCTGAACGTGGTCTTTATCATGCGGGCAAGACTTGCGCAAACGCGAATTGGAGGTGGCTAGCTATGATGCACCAAGCATTGACGTTCGACAATCGATCTGGCTCGCTTCCAACGAGCTTCGAGCCAAATGAGATGTTGGAGCATCTCGTGCTTCACATCCTTGTTGGCAATCACCGTCGGCATATGAAGCTACTGGAGGTGCTGCGAGGGGCTGACATCCTCAATCGGTGGCAAGTGCATACGTACGTCTTCGATACCTAGGCTCTCGAGGTCAATGTACAAATAAACTGAAACGTCAGTAGCGTACGGCCGAGTAGACCGGACGAGCTGAACAAACCCTAGGAACTCATCGTAGCTTCGCGGAAGATAGAGGGAACAATTGTGGGCCTTTCGAAATTCCTAGATTGGCTGTCTGATCGTGAGCGCACGCGTCTCAACAACGCAGCGGCCTCTCCAAGGAACAGCGAAACGATAGAGTATCTTGGTACCTCAAGAGACGAGCGTGAGTACAGCAAGCAGGAGATTGCTACGCAGATCGGTTTGTACAATGAGCTGTACAATGTCTTTGCGCAACGAATCAGCATAGAGCAGGTGACATTGTTAGTTGCGTTATTCCTTCCGCTTTCGCTAGCTGCCGCTGTACTCTCCATACAAACTCGTTTCGTCGATCTAGGTCTTCTGTTGGACGACTCTTTAGGTGTCATGATTGATACGCTTGCGTCTTTGGTTGCACTCTTCAACGCATACTGAAAGGGCATCTACGACGATCTACTGCACAATATATATCATGGTTTACTTGCATTTCCGAGCTATCCGAGAAGGGTCACAATATTCTGGGTTTTCTTCTGGATTTCTGCCCTGTTAGCGTCCTTTCTGCTAGGGATGTTGAAAAACGTAACCCTCGGTCTCAAAGTTTTGGGCTTCGAAGCCGCCGCAATCTTGGGGCCATGGCTGCTATCGCTTCCTTTGTTTGATCGTTTGTGTTGCAGTGACCATACTAGGTGTTTATAGTTTACACTGCTCCTTGCGAATTGATCGCACCGCCTCCATCATGATAATTACTTCCGAAGGAAGCATCTAAAATTGTTGGTAGTGGTGCACCAGGGACTCAGCGACACGGAGAGCGAAACCTCTGACTGGCTATAATCAAAGGTTGCTGTGTTTGGCCAAGATTGTTGTGGAAATTTTACATAAGCAGACTTCGCTAGTAAGAGCGTGGGAGTAGGTGCAGAAGGAGCAGCTGCAGAGGAGAGAGCGGCAAGGCAGCGTGGAAGTGAGGAAGGTGGCGTACGACGCGCGAGAAGGAGCAACAAGAACAAGAACATCACAGTACATGCAGAAGTGCAACAGAACAAGGGTAGCAACAACTGCAGGCACGATAAAGGAAAGGATGCGAGAGAGTAGACAAGGAAAGTTGCATCTGCGTACAAACAGTCTGTGATGCTCTCCTGCGGAAACGTTATCAGCGCGTACACCACCAAGATCTTTACGCCTGACAGATCTACGTAAGCCGATCTGGCCGCATAAGGAGTTTTACAATCGAAGTCAAGGTGGTATTCATACATCTTGTGGAACTCTAGGGAGATGCAGGCCAATATCAGAAGGTGTAACTGCATGAGCAGTGTCGGTCGGAGGCTGTGGTCAATGATTGAATTACTATCCGTGTTGGCCGATTGTGTTGGTGTACAGGAGCTCTCGGCTCAGAGGTAAGTGCACTTGCCTTCGGGCAGTGCCTTCCTCAATAGAATATCATGTGACTTAGGCCATGTAGTTACAGAAGGGCTAGGTATAGGATCCATATTTTGAATCCTCTGGTCAAAGCACTGTGCGTAAGCTTCCCATGACTTCTGCAAAGTCAAGATCAAACGATCGTTCTGTATCGATACCGAGACCGGGAAGATTGAGTGCTCTCGTACATGACCATTCGAATTTCAATAGAATCTTATTCATATGCTATTTTGAATTTTTCTATATGTCTATATCTGTATCATCAAATCGAGCGACTGGACTCACGTAGGCTTCCACCTGAGCAGAGTGAAAGAGTGCTTAGGGAACGTGAAAGCACCCTTACCATCCCATGAGCTCTCCTTGATACCAACCTGCTGGTCTTCGGCGGTGTTAGTGACCTGGACATGCTCACCAGTAACAGTGTGCACCTCAACCTTATCCGCCTTGATGCCGCTCAGGTCAACCTCGAAGTCTTTGTCCTCGCTGACATTGGTAACAGCCAAGTTGACATAGCCATCCTCACCAGCAACAGCGCAGGCATCGATGTAGGGAGTCTCGATAGTTCCACGGATCCAGTAGGGGTTGGTGCGGCCAGTGTACTCAGGCGATCTGACGTTCAGAGCGATGGTGTGGCCGCGCATGTACTTGCTGAAGAGAAGCAACGGCCACCAGATGGTCTGCTTGATGAGGCCGTCCTTGGTGGTCATGAGAGGCGAGATGACGTTGACAGACTGTGCAATGTTGGCCATGCCCATGTCTTTGGCCTGGCGGATGAAGGCGTTCAGGAAGACGGCAACAGCAAGGGCGTCGGAGAGAGTGTACTTCTCCTCAGCACCCTCCTCACCAGGTGCACGGACAGGATCCCAGACATTCCACTCGTCGAAGCAGATGGTGGGTCTTGGGACGGTCTCAGGAACCTTGTTCTCAATGCGGGCAAGGTCAATGAGCGCACTTGTCATCTGAATTGCACGCTCCGCAGCCCTGGGTGCAGTAGCGTTAGGCAGGTGCTCGTTGTCTGCTGTGTAGATGTGGATGCTGTGCATGTCGATGAACGACTTGGTGGTGTCACCACTCAGGCCATGAACAGACCACTTGACGCACTGGTTGAGGACGTAGTAATCCCAAGATGAGTAACCGGTCTCACCGCAGAGGATAAGGGTGATGCTAGGGTCGAGTAACTTCAGAGCCTTGGCCCATTGCCATGCCTTCTTTGCGTAGTCTTCCTTGGTCATCTGCTCGACCTGCCATGGTCCCCAGCACTCATTACCGAGAGCCCAGTACTTGACCTGCAATGAAGGTAAGTAAGTAGTAGACGATATGATGGGAAGTTGCGTACATTGTAAGGCTTCTCACGACCATTCTTGCGGCGCAGGTTAGCGTAGTATGAGTTGCGGTCCGAGTTGCAGTACTCGAGCCATCCCAAAGCTAGAATGATACACGTCAGTACTCAATACGAGAGACGGTGAACACGAGCGACTAACCTTCCGCTAGGGTTCCTGTACCAAAGTTCAAGCAAAGGTAAGGCTCAGTACCAACGACTTCACACCATTTCATGAACTCGTCAGTACCAAACTCGTTGGTTTCTGTGCCGATCCAAGCAAGTTCTGGCCTGTGCCGATCGTTAATAAACTGCATGCATGAAAAATTCCAGAACGTGTCGATCGATCGCATCGAAACGATCCCAACATTCAAGTAACGACCACCCGTAAACGGAAATGAAGCGATTGCCTTACCTCGCAGGCCTCTGGTCTCTGGGGCCAATGCCATCTCTCCAGTCGTAAGTTGCAACAAAGTTACCACCTGGGTAACGGACCACAGGCACTTTCAGTTCCTGAAATGCCTCAATGACGTCTTTCCGGAAACCGTTCTCGTCTGACAGCGGATTGCCAGGATCGTAGATGCCGCCGTAAATGCAGCGTCCCATATGCCTAGACTTTGGTCAATGCGGCTCTGCGCACAACTTTGCCTCTCGCTAGGCTTATTGTCTTGATGCTTACTCTGTGAAACCTCCATATATGTTCTCGTTGATCTTTGCGATCTTGTTAGTTGGGTGAATGCTGATCAAGGGCTTCTCGCCTTCCGGAATGCTCGTGAAAGTCGCCATGTTGGTATCGATTTTGGTAACGATTTGGTTGGTGATTTGGACAGAATACAAACACAGTGAACAAAATTGTGACCGTGAATCTCCGTGGATAGTGGCATGATACCACGTGAAGTCGCTCAAAGCTCCGATGTATGCAGTGAGCCGCGGTATGCGCCGATGACAAGTGCCGGAAATAGTTAGACCGCCATGTATGTGATTCGCGGATAAAAGCTGCCCAGCATTGCGACGGAGCGATGGCACTCTTGTTTGCGCCCTAGCCGTGTACGGGATGCTTACCGACGCCATACAACGAGCCCCAAATCTTGGCCTAAGAAAAGCCACCAGTCGTCGCTTCATCATCTTCCCGGACCGGAGACACTTGCCTTCATCAAGCAATCGGAGCATACGCGCCGTGCAGGAGATTGCGGGCAGACAGTGCAGCTAGCGACGAAAAAGCGGAGGTGTGGAGAGACCTGGGGAACTAGGTTCCTGGGTCATTCGACACGCCATCCTCGGCATGCGGTAACAATGTAACAACAAGCAGGGCAACCCGGCACTTGCTTGAGAGGTATAAAGCGCGTGTGGATCGCTGTGTGGGGTTGGTATCCTCTTGTTGCAGCACCGCGGCCTCAAGAAAGTTGATCATTCACGATGGCGCTTCCTCCTAAGTGGTACCAGGTAAGAGATTCATTCAGTCCACAACGCGGAAAGAGCAAACAGCAAGCAATCATCGAAGCAAACCTTGATGCAGTGAAGATGCCTGCGCTTCGAAGTGGAAGCTGCAGATACGCAACAGACTATCAAGGGTTTCGATAGTTGTCGGTCGCAAACCGTCCAAGCTCAACCAGCAATCTGGTAGCGTCTAGTAAGGGATTGTATACTGACAAAATTGCAGTTCCTGGTTGGCCTCTTCGCCTCCCTCGGATCCCTCCTTTACGGTTACGATTTGGGTGTTATTGCGCAGGTCATCGCCTCGCAGTCATTCAATGCTGAATTCAAACCCCTTCCGAACGAAACAGGTGCGGTAGTATCGGTCTTCACAGGCGGTGCCTTCTTCGGTGCTGCTTTGGCCGGCCTTGCTGGTGACAAGCTTGGTCGTCGATGGACCATCTTCATTGGTGCTGCCATCTTCTGTCTCGGAGGTGCTCTCCAGACTGGAGCCCAGTCTCTTGCGTACCTGTACTCTGGACGTGCTATTGCTGGCCTTGGGTAAGTCCCAGAATGGTGAAACAACGAGTTCCCAGCAACTGACAGCGTTTTAAGTGTCGGTACTCTTTGCATGATCATTCCCCTGTACCAGGCCGAGTTGGCTCACCCCAGCATTCGTGGTCGTGTCACTGCTCTCCAGCAGTTCATGTTGGGCATCGGTGCGTTGTGCGCAGCCTGGATCTCTTACGGTACCTACGTTGGATTCTCGCCTACCGACAACGGTCAATGGCGAACTCCTCTCGGTATCCAGGTCATCCCCGCTGTTCTGCTCGCAACGCTTATCATGATATTCCCTGAGTCGCCGCGTTGGCTCATAGATCATGGTAAGGTTGAGGAAGGTCTCAAGACTCTTGCCAGGCTCCACGCTCATGGCGATGAGACCGACCCCTGGGTCCAGGCCGAATTCCAGCAGATCCAGGATACTATTACCTTCGAACACGAACATGAGGCGAAGTCGTACACCGAGTTGTTCACCGACAGGTCTTGCTTCCGTCGTCTTTTCCTTGCCTGCGCCATTCAGGGTTCTGTCCAGATGACCGGTGTCTCCGCTATCCAGTACTACTCTGTCGAGATTTACTCTCAGATGGGTATTGCTGGTGACGACACTCTGAAATACCAGGCTATTTCCTCCATCATTGCTCTGGTCGCTCAGGCTTTATGTATCCTCCTCATCGACAAGTTCGGTCGCCGCTGGCCCCTTATCTTCGGTAACCTCGGAAACACGGTTACTTTCATCATCTCTATCATCTTGCTTGCTGTCTTCCCTCCCGGCTCGAGCAACAACAGCGCTGCCGCTTGGGGTTTCATCGTTACCACCTGGGTCTACAACTTCAGTTTCAGTGCCACCTGTGGGCCGTTGTCCTGGATCATCCCCGCTGAGATTTTCGACACAAAGACTCGTTCGAAGGGTGTCGCGCTTGCTACGATGGTATCGTTCGGTTTCAACACCATGATCGGACAGGTTACCGGAATCGCGATGAAGAGCGTTGGCTGGAGATTCTACATACTGTTCGTCGTAAGTCACAGCCACCCTGATTTTGACAACTCAGTACTAACAGAATATTAGGTTTGCAACTTTACAAACGCGATCTTCTTCTACTGCTTCCTGCCCGAGACCGCCAAGCGTCCTCTTGAGGAGATGAACTACCTCTTCACCAACGCTCCTTACTTCGTTCCTGGCATGAACAAGCGTGACTGGCAGAGCACTGATATCGAGCGCCGTGTCGCAGAGGTCGAGGCCAAGCAGGGATCTATTTCCCATCACGAGGGTACCTACGAACAGAAGTTCTAAGCGAATGACTGAGAAGTCACGGGCTTGACATTCAATAGCTCTCGATGGGCCGATCGGAAGTGCCAAGTAGCAGTAGTAATAGAGTTGTAGCGATGAGAAGAAGACAATGTAATTCAGTCTATTCTGGACTCAACATACTCATGCATACTGCGACTTCCTGATTCAATGCCAAAGCCCAAGAGGCCGTACACATGCCAACACTGTGCATTGCTATTCTCAAGCTGAAACTGGGCAGCCGCAATTGCAACGCAGTCTACAGGATGGAATCGACTTGCGTTGTGTACATGAAGGACTAGTTGGTGGCGCTGAGGGGTAATTTCGATAGATATGCGTACCGTCGTAGTGTGTGTAGAGGTCGGCGAAGCCGCCGACTTTTCGCAAAGATGCAAGCCGCACTTCATTTTCGGTCTGTGCACACACGTCCACACGCGTTTCTTGAGCTTCTCTTCAACACCACTTGTGATGCAGATGTGCGACACGCAAAGATACTGACGCTCTCGTGCCCGTACTATGGCCTCTGAAAGATTCACTGCAAGGCATACGGATTTCGCTGACGCCTTGCATCTTTGCTCTTTTGAATACCTTCTCCCAGCCACGATGCAAAGCAGTACTTTCTTCACAGTACGGCGATACGCGAGCAGATCGTACAACAAGCAACGGGGCTCCAGAATAGATCTGTACTAAACCTTCATCTTATTTGAGACGTTTCTCTGGAAATTGGTCTGCTTTCATGCCGACCTGGATCTCCAGAGGTATGCCAAGGCAACCTCAACAATGCATCATAAACATCAACACCACACGTTCGAACTCATCTCGTAGGGCTAGCCCCACCTTACTATCCAGATGCTCGATAGGTTTTGGAGATTTCAGAGCAAGCAGCTATCTCCCGCGCCAGCGTCTCATATATCAAATCGACGAGTGGCAATGATTTGGTGAATAGTGGAATGCGCCGGTTGTGGCTATGCCGGTTTCAGATCAACCTTCATACGTTATGCCCCGAACCTGCATCGCAGCACTCTGGAATTTGAGACTCGACGTTCGATTTCTACGCTTTAACACAACAAACACTCGCATTAGTATCAACGCCGGCTATTATATCGACGCATCGCTGGACTCGAACGCACAGGCACAGGATGTGGTTTAAGAAGGAGAACGACGTCGAAATGTCGGGGATGCAGGGGCAAACGCAGTATGAGGGTCCTCCAGAAGAGACAGAATACCGGCCCGTGAACTGGAAGAAGATCTTCCTGTCGCCAAAGTACATACGTATGCTGCTCTTGAACCTGCAGCCCTGCGCGGACGCTAACCGAGTCAACAGCATGGCACATCTTAGGAATAGCTATCCTCATTGTGACCGTACTGCTGTTGCTGCATCATGATGAGGTCGTCTACGTAAGTTGACACCGCTCTCTCAGTTCTTGTGTGATGATGTTGACGCTGTGCTTCTCCAGAAACTTCGCCCCTTTTCAGAAAAGGTCCGTGACCTTCCCGCCGGGTGGCTGATCCCCGTCGCCATCCTAGTCGTCATATCATTTCCACCGCTCTTCGGTCACGAGATCATTGCGCTGCTATGTGGTGTCGTCTATGGACTATGGATCGGTTTCGCTGTTGTCGCAGCAGGAACATTCATCGGCGAAAGTAAGACTCTCTTCATTGCACGTGTTTGGTATGGTACTGACAACCACATAGTCGGCACTTGGTTCGCATTCAAGCACCTGTTCCGCCGCAAAGCCCTCAAACTTGAGCGTACAAACCTCAACTACGGCGCCATGGCGCGCCTCACTCGTGACGGAGGTTTCTTCATCGTCCTTATCATCCGACTCTCCGCGATCCCAGCGCACTTCTCAACCGCCGTATTTTCAACCTGCAACGTCAGGTTCTGGCACTTCGTCGTTGCCACTCTACTTTCTCTGCCGAAGCAGATCTTCCTCGTATACCTAGGTGTCCTCCTCGTTCAGGACAGCGACGACAATATGATCAAAACCATCATGTTCGGCGTGGTGTTCTTGATCACCATCGCGATGGGTGTCTGGATCTGGATCAAGATGACCAAGATCAAGAAGGTGCTGTTTGACGAGCAGGAGGCACGGCGAGTAAAGAGGGCAGAAAGCCAGGTACGGATCGTGCCAGATGTGAAGAGTGCATTCGAGAGGCGGTATGATGAGGGGCCGTCGGAGTTCACGTTGCAGCCGACGCAGCCAACAAGGATGGTATGAGCGCTGTGCGCCGTCCGTCCATCGGACATTCAAGAAGCTTGAGCTGGTTTAAAGATTCAGCGTAATGACACAACGATGTTTGTTCTTTCATTCTCCTGGCTTTTAAGATTTTATCGATCCCTCCACACCAATCCCGCCCTAGCATCGTCCTCAAGATCTACAGTATTTGCCCTAACCAACTCCCTCACATCCGCACCCCCCATAACCCACACCACCCTCCACGCCATCACGCACAATCCCCCAATCACCGATCCCGGTATAACCAACCTCGCTAATATCCTCTCCCACGTCACTTTCCTCTCCTTCCATGTCCTATATCCGTGTTTCTTCTGCTTCGCCCACTCCATCTCGATATCTTCATTCAGGATTACATTGTTGCTAAGGCGAAACAATAGGTCGTGCAGGATGATCATGATGGCTAGTGCGGCTAGGGCGCCGTAGCCCCATAGTGTTTGCGTTTCCCAGGGCGAATGGGCGCGCCGGCCCAGCATATCGTATAGATTATCGAAGCACTGGACCATGATGTGGATGATGCGCGGGACGAGGAACATTGCTATGGCTGTACCCACGACCTTGAGCAGCAGTATTGACAATCTCGTTATAGCGTTGATGGTATGCCGTAGAAACGCCCGCGGTAAGGATACAGAACGGCTTGCATGATGGGTTGGGTCCATTTTTGGCAGGACCAGCATCGTGTCGTAGGTCAGATGCCGTGGTAGTGTCAAGTCGTGGATGGTGGGTATCGTCTCCATGCGCCAGGTTTGCAATCCCTGATATGGAGTTTGCCTTTTGAATATGGTTGTTTGGGCAACGATCAGCGTCGCAGTCCTGTCCCTTCCGCGAAGAATGTCGTTGCTCGAGATATCCCCATTGGGTCTTCTTACTGCAAGGCCCTTGCGGAAGCAGACAATGCGTACGCGCGTTTCGGTAGTACGAATAACCTTTTCCAAACTCTCTCTTTGCGCAGTCCAGGGTAATCTTTGTTGCAGGCTTTCGTGACCAGTGAAGTAATCGTAGCTCTCAAAGGGCGGTCGTGACGTTGCTCTTCTCTTGATGAAGGGTCCTCCCCCTTTTGCCCTGCAGCTGTCCCAGTCGCAGTTGCACGAGCGCTCCTGCCAGCGGCTACGAAGCGGCAAGACAGCCCCTGGATATATCTCCCAACGGCACGAAGGATACTTGCTTACTGCGCGCTCTTCACGCGTAATGTCGCAAACGATGCCTCGGTACGATTTGCGTTGTGGTTGTTCGCGCCAAGCCCCGCGTTCAGCTCTTCACCGACTCTTTCTTGTCCTACTCTTACAGTACTCTCACGTCGCACCTTCAGTACTTGCAGCCAGCGTGAAAGGTGTAAAATCGCCCGCAAATTCGCGGTCTCACAAATGTGCGCGCAATCTCATTTTTATCCTCCCGTGTTCGTTCAGGCACGCCGTTGCTGCGCCTTATGCGGCCCGCGTGCAGCGCCTCGCCTGCCCCGCATCACGCCAACCCACAAACGTCTACTCAGCCCTGCACCGCTGCGATCTGATAGGTGTAGCGCACAAGTGTAGAGGAAGGGGGTTAGTACCAAGACGGGAGTGATAAATTGCAAGGTTGAATCAAGTGGGTGTAGAGTTAGAGGATTTGAAAACTTTGTTCACGTGGTGTGGATTTTTGATGTTTTGGGATTGCAACGCTACTGGTAAACGATGAGGAGTTGTACTCTTCTCAATTACTACAACCCTCCATAAGTATTTTGTCAGTTGCACACTGCTTCTTAACAGTTTTACCTTTTACCACCTTCATTGCGAACTCAGGTAGTGTATCTGAACCACGGTACGTTGTCTGCGAGTTCTCGCTCCAACAACTTCTGCTCCTCGGTCAATTCTTCAGTGCCTCTTTCCTGCGCAATCTTGTCCCTTTGTGCGTTCTCAAGACGGCACCATGTTGACATAAAGGAGGTGAGGCAGAAGGCCACACTATGGGTGTCAGCAAGTGCTTCACGGAGAGGGCTAATGACTTACGTGACGATGGCAATAAGGAGGCAATGGCCCTTAATGTATCGAGGTCCGTCACGGCTGATGTAGACGTAAGACGCAATGATACCTCCACAATTGCCTCCCATGACCTGTCATCCTGTCAATACAGAGGCATGTGAGCTCGGCATCAAGCGTTAGACTTACTTGCATGGCGATTCCTGTTCCTCTTTTCAAGCTGCCCCCAATGTTCGCACTGTTCCATGCCATACCAAGCGGAATTTGGGGATATATGCCGATCGCGGCAAGGACCGTGCCGGCATACTGCACTTTTGGCTTTGCGGTAGCAGCGAGCATCGAAAAGCCGGCGATCGCGACGAGCTGGAAGCCCAGCATGAAGATGCCTCGCTGACGGACGCGGTCGGCATACCAGCTGGCTGCGATGGTAAAGAAGCAGGCGCATACATAGGGAGGTACGGACATCAGTTGGGCATCGTTAGCTGAGTAGCCCATGTTTCTGGTTTGTGTCAGTGGGTGCGTAGGAATGGAGGGGGGGGGGCGCACTTGATGATGGTAGGCAGAAAGAGAGCGAAGCTGTAGATGGGGCAGAAACCCGCCATGCAGATGAACATGAAGATGTAGATCTTCCAGTCGCCGATTGCTTGCCAGACATATTTCATGTCGAAGTCGTTGGAAAGGTGGCCATGATCTTCGTGGAGGCGGCGCTCGACTTCATCACGCTCTTTGGGTGACAAGAAGGTTGCACTGTATGCGTCAGCCCATCGATGAATCGATCAGCGGGTGGGTATAGTAGAGGACGTACGTTGAAGGATAGTCGTAAATGCACCAGTATGCTATCATACTAACCAAGATGCTCAGAAGCCCTTCCAAAATGACTACGTTTGTTAGTACAAAGCAATCTCGGATGGAATAGGCAGGCATACAGATCCATGACCATGCAGATTTTCCACCGACGCCAGACATCTCGGCAATGCCTCGAGCCAATATGCCACCGAATGCGCCTGCCAATGTCGCAGCAGAGAAGAAGAGCGCCATGCGGAAGCCGCATTCGTGTCGTTGGTACCACTGGGAGATGTAGTAATTGACACCAGGGAACAGCTGTTACTTTGATGAGCGAGCGCAAATCGAACACGAGGAAAGCATGAACATACCCCACCTTCGAAGAGACCTAAGAACACGCGAGTAGCCATCAGCCCAGAGTAGTTCGATACGAAGCCCTGTGCAATCATCGCTGCGGACCAGAAGAACATGATGAAAGTCAGCCAGATTGACGGGCGCAGAAGCTTCATCATCATATTTGATGGGATTTCGGCTGCGATATAGAACGGGAAGAGTACCGCAAGACAGTCATTGTATTGCAGCCCGTAGAGCTTCAAGTCTTGTTCGAGATGGTCGAGGCGTGCGTTGCCTATGTTGGTCCTGTCGAGGAAACAACTGTTCGCAATGTTAGACACCAACTTAAAGTAATAAATGATTTGGTCGACTGACAGTAGGTAGATGAGTGACATAAAGGGGATGATGTGCCAGTCGAGCTTGCGTAGCAGCTTCTTGGTGGCAGCATGATCAAAACCTTGACTCTCCACCTCTCCAGTAGAGAGGTCTGGGGTTATGGACATGGCAACCTTCTCGGTTGCCTTCTCTTCTGACATGATTGCGATCGTAGAAATGGAAATCTGGGGTACTCATGGGTCAATGTCCCTACCTTAAGTACATGGTTCACAGGCTGAGACCCTGGTATGTGGGTAAGGATGTGTGCACCTAGACCTTCCAAAACTAAGCAGCCTCCATGCAGCTTATCTGACTGCTCCTCCAGAGTCGTGAAGCAACTGGTGCAGATCATTGAGCATCGTGGTACCCTTTGACCTCATTGAGGGTAGCACCGTAAGGCGGGCAACGTTGTGCGACCGTAAGCATTCTGTCAATGGCGGGGGAAAGATCAACTGCTCGGTCGATATATCGTACAGAATTTGCATGCCGGCCATGTGCTTGAAGACAAGGGAAGAAGGTTTTCTTATCTGACTGCCTCGGAGTATTGGCGTTGCTTGAGTAGTCAAGCAATTTACTGGATCTGTAGGGCGGCTGACATGCAGCTGCAAGCCCAAGACACGTTTCAGATACAGGTCTTTCTTGCGCTGTTCGCCGGTCACCCGCGACAAGGGTCGTTTGTTGGCGCTTCAAGGTTTTCTGGGGCATGCTCTTCATGAGCAGGGTGTCGGGAGGTCCAGACTGCAGAGACTAGCTGGGGATCCTCCAATGAAGCCAGGGATACGTTTCGTAGTTTTTAGTAGATTTGGTGCCCTTCAGTGATTTGCACTTTGATCACAAAGAGTTTGCCTATGGTGTTCTGCATGAGGGCAAATTTGCGAACTTACAATGTAAGAGGCGGCAGGCAACGGCAAGAGGCAACGGCAAGAGGCAACGACATCAGCGTGGACGACCTCACATCGCGAACAAGCCAGCCATGTGCATCAGCTGTTCAAAATCGAGATGGAAAGGTATGTTTTATCATGGAAACGAGGTCAAGATCGATTGTGGAGCAATTCAACACGCTATCACGTGTACTCGTCTTTAAGTGGGGCCCAGGCCCTTGGCGAACAGATTGTAAGGCAGCCGTCACGGCTCAATGTTGACACAGCCTCGCCCAAACATCAACATGTCTATTGACGAGCTAGACACGACGGAGTGCGTTTCTCGTTGTTCTGACCGTATAACCTGAATGCCCCTGTGTACCTTTCATCATCCCTTTCCTCCAGTCTATCCTGTCATCTCACCATGGCCGAAGCAAGTACGTCTTCTGAGGATATTGCACATGACGACATTTGCCCAGTAAGCTGCTTCAGCCCATTCCCCAGTCTTCTCGAGCTCATGATGCCCAGATCTGTCAGCTCCTACTCTTCACGCCTGTGAGGACACGCTGCAACCACCTGTTGTGTGCATCGTGTATGGCACAGTGGGCTGATGCCTCTACTACCAATCAAATCGAACACTCTAGTTGGGATGTTGATCTTGCAGACTTTGATCCAAATTATGACCCCATATACGATCTCGAGGCAAATTGCCCAATGTGCCGCACGCATATCATAGCTTCGCCTGATCATACGCTAGCCAAGCAGCTCGAGTAGAAATACCCTACGACATACGCCGAAAGACGGATAGAGGAAGAAGTTGACAGAGGGAGTAGAGTAGGTCAGAATGGTGTCGAGGGTGTCATGATCTTGATCGGCAATAAGCATAGGCTGATCAGAGGAGGCGACGACGCCAACCAGCACGACTGGACGTTCTTCGTCAGAACATCAAGGTCAGAGCTTATAGAGGAAGTGCGCGTAAAGCTGGTGGGCCTCTTCACTGTCTACAGGGTAAAAATAGCTAACATGTGAACAGCACCCTCCCTTCCGTCCTCCCCGTGTCGTCCTGCGCTGTGCACCATACGAAGTTCGCCGGCTGGGTTGGGGTTACTTCACGCTCACGCTCGAAACCGAGATTATCTTCAAGGCACCATACATCTGGGTTGTTGGCAACTCTGGAACAAGACAGCGGGGCCTCGAGCTTACGTGGACGCTTGACTTTGAAGATCGAGGACGGCAAGGGAGGGTTAGGGCGAAAGTGAAGAAGCTTAAGGAAGAGGGTGGACTAAGGTTACGCACCAGACCAGTACCAACGGTCACGTCTAACGACGATGATGATGACGAAGAAGACTACGAATCCAATGACGAGAACGAGAATTTGTCAGAGGATGAAGAAGAGGATACCAGCGTGTTTGTGGAGACACCAGGACGGTAGCCAATTTTCGTCTGGGCGCTGCAAGTCTTTCAGCACGAGGATCACAGTCTGCACGTGAAAGCGAGCAAGCCCTTCAATTGGAGTCAAGCAGACAATGACAAAGTCGAAGCCGTTATACAATGAGTGCGTTGCTGGACCGAAGCGGTAACGTCTTGGTATGAATCAACAGCAAATGAGTAAAGCCAACTTTTTTCACCAGCGTACGCCGTTCCTTATACTACATATTGCTTCAGATTTCGAACAAAACCAGTCACTACTGCTCTGCAGCTTACGATCTATTTCAAGTGTCCGGCGTATGGGTAGTGCAGACCTGCGGTTGGGTAACAGCAGGCTAAGACCTGGCTTCTCAAGCTTAGCCATGAGCTTGTTTGGGAACTCTAGCGCGCACATCAGTTTCTGCGCAAGAACGTTTCGACTTGATTTGCTGACTCGAAAGCAGACGATGATCGCTGGAGGGATATGACTGCTTGGTAGGCTGCGGTCACCATGTATAGTCTGTACAACGCATCTGCTATAGCCATTACTCAGCGTCGCCACGACCTGAATCGGGCATCAACCTCAATGGACACTAGTGCGATGGTTTTGCGATTTAGGGGCTGACCGAGGGTCCAGCTCCAGCCACTAACGTGTAACGTGGAAAGCCCAAAATAAGCTCTGGTATGCACATCGCTGTATCTACAGCCCGTGTACAACATACACTGCATTAGCCCCACATACGATCCATTTACATCCTTTGGAAGACAGCTAACAGTTCTCGTTGCTCGATCCAATCGCGGTATATGCTGACCACCTCGGTCACAGGCTCGGTCGATCCGCAGGGCTGTTCTTACATGCTCCACGGACTCAAAGCTCGAGCGTGCCTTTGGGTAAGCCTGAAGAGGCTCATCCGGTAGCTGTATGCCTGTGTTACAGATAGGACAGTCAACGTGGAACGTTATATAGCGACAAATTGCGCTGCCCGGTAAGTGTCGATCCCCATCCACTGAAAGGTTGCTTCACACCGATTGACAATATATCGCTGCAGCCATTTTGCATATCCTCACATTTTGCGCGATGGACCTTAGCCGATACTTCAGCGTCAGGAGGCGTCATCGCTCTCGAGACACGCAAGACCTGGAAGACGAGAACATCAAGAGCTATTTACCATTACTGGCATCGCCCATCAACGAAGTTGCGCGCGAGGCGCTATTCAATCGCGCATCAGATGTAGAGAAGATGACTATTGCGACGAGTACAGCAGAGAGTTCGGCTACAACAATGCTTGCAGGCAACGGACGTACAAGTAGTGGAAACATCGTCATCTACAAGCCGCATCATGAGGCTAGTAGTATTGAGTTGTTCTACGACTTGTTCTTCGTTGCGAATCTAGGTATGTTGGATGCATGTATAGCCAGATGATTGACTAAGGAGCCATAGCCTACTTCACAGCTATGCACCAACACACTGATGCTCAATGTGAGTTCCACACACTGTTGCAGGTGCGAGTCACTGATATCCACACAGCACTTGTCAACTACTTGAAGCTGTTCACGCTATTGTGGTTTACCTGGCTCAGCACAACGTTATTCGACGTCCGTTTCGGCATCGACTGCGTCTGGAGTCGACTGCATAAGGCCATCCAATTCGGGGTCTTCACTGGCTTCGTGTTCGCAGGGCCTGTCTTCGACAAATACAACAACAGCTATGATGGGGAGTCTTACAGGCATTTTGCCATTGTGCTTGTGGTGTCTCGCGCGTGCATCGCAGTCCAGTACGCTGTGGTCATGTGGCAGGGACGAATGTTCCGCCAGACACTATTGCCACTGGGTCTGAGCACTGCTATCTACATAGCTGCGGCTGCAGCGTATGCCATTACCTTAGTTGTATTTCGCGACTATGGAGTAGGCTTGGACGAACAGATTACTTGGTAAGGCCGAAGACACCCGTTGTGATGATCAATTTACTGATGAGCGGACAGGGTCGTCATTGCCATTGTTGAAGGACTGGCGATCCTTCTCATTGCCATGACATGGCGTATTGTCAGCTTCAAATACACGCACATTGTCGAACGCTTGCAGTTGCTCACACTTATCATCATTGGCGAAGGCATCATTGGTATGGTCAAGAGCGTTGCTTGCATTACCAAAGGGCAAGCCAAGAACAACTCTACCGAGCTCGGTTCTGTAGTATCGGCAGTTGTGCTTCTGGTAGGCTTTTCGGATATCAAGACTCGAGCAAGCCCCTGACCACCTGCAGTACCTCATCTACATGCTTTACTTCGATCAGTTCTCCGAAGACCGCTTCGGCACCCTGCGTCAACAGATCTGGTCACTGCTTCACTACCCGCTTCACATGGCGATCGTGATTTGCGTTGAAGGAAACACTTCCTTGATCGTCTGGAACTCGGCAGTCCAAGCTCTCAGGTTCATGTGGAGCCTCGAGTGTGAAGACTATTCCGACCCCGCTGACGACTTCCATGACGCTTTTGCATATGTAGCTTATCTCAACCAGAGTATGCACACTATCAATGACCGTTTTCGAAGTAAGAAGTGGGAGAAAACATACGATTGGAGTCTCAACCTGACAGCAATCAACAATTACACCGACACTTACGGCTTCAAGAGCGAAGCGTGGAACAACAAGACTGGTGAGCTGGTTCGTACCCTTTTCACCAAGGCCCAAGTCTTCGTCTTCGAAGCGCACGCCGACACGCTTGCGAAGCTCAACGCTGTCACACCCATGAGACAAACAGCCACCCAAGACACCCAACAGGAAACACTGGTTCGTCTAGACGCGATATACGATGTGTTCAACGTCACCGTTATGTCGTTCTATATCGGTGCTGGCGCTATGCTCCTTGTGCTCGCGATTCTGTACTGGTTCAACAAGATGCACAAAACGAAGTACGAGTTCGGGGAGATGATCAACCGCGTAGTTGTAGGCTTTGCACTTATTATCGTTGGTGTTGCTGCTGTCATTGGCGACAAGTCGACTGTGGGCTTCAAGTTTAAGGCAAGTCATTGGATGATAGCTATTGTGGTGCTGTGTTTCGTTACTGGTAAGTCACTTCTCTCTCCTCTTTCCCTACATCTACGCTACATACCCCTGAACGTTTCCTCAAAGAGCAATCTGGAGGAAGCTTGACAATGCTGACATCTCTAGTAGTCCTCTTCCTAGACAATATCCTCCTCGCACTCTCTCGCAAAACCTCCCGTCGCAACGCCCGCCGCGGCGCCTCATGGGGCACCTCGACAATCTCCACCATCGACACCAGCACGCTCAACCTCCTGCCTCGGCACTCGCAAAGCCGTAACACCTCTCGCTCACCATCTCGCTCCGCACCACTGAGCAGAGTGCCCAGCACGGCCAACGTCCCGCTCACACGCACACAAACACACATCTCCGTCCCTTCGCCACCCGTCCACACTAACGAACATCATCGGGGTCGCTCCGACGCAAATGAGACGAGACACAACATCGTTGACTTCGCGTACCACACCCCATCTCACTCCCATTCCTCATCAGAGGTAGATCAGATAGGCCTCGCCATCTCTCCACCGCTACCTGAGCGCAACCCAAGCAGAAGCCAGGATAAGAAGGGGAAGGGGAAGGAGAAGGGGAAGGGGAAGGAGAAGGAGAAAGAGAGGAGTCGGGGGTATGAGAGTGTTAATTGGAATGGTGAGCAGGGGAGTGATGGTGAGCAGGGGAGTGATGGGGAGGATTTGAGGAGGTTGGGGAGGGCGCGGACAAGTTGAGGAGGGCAAATTGGCTTTTTATGACTTGTTTTACGTTCTCACTGTGGGGCTGATAAGGTTTACTTTGGATTCCAGCGCGGCGTTCTGGGAACTTCATATTCGTGTAGACTGGTCTCTTCTGATAGAATGATGACTGTACCAACACATACATGTACACAAGATCGAAGACTGCGGTCTCCAAATGTTTTCAAATACAATCTCGACGCATGCCTCTTACATCTTATTGATCTTTACCTCATCGATACTCGCATCTTGCATGCTTCAGACAAATCGACATGAGTTGCGTCTCGTCGCTCCGTCATTCCTGCAATGTATTCGAGCCAAGTGCTCTTCTGCAACTTTCGCCTCGTGTCTCATAAAACGCCACAGCTTTCAAGATTTGAGCCATGCACAGCTACTCAGATGACGCCAGCTCCGAAGATCCAAGCCTGTAGGTCTACCGTCTGTCAACCTCCACTTCCCCAGACCCCAGATATCAAGGCACCAGGTTGTCCACACGCATCGGCCCGGCCTCGGCCTCCCACTCTTTTCCGGCATGCATTTCGTGCGCCATGTTTCACGCACATCCTCAACTTGCGCGTCGCCAAGCGCACCTCCTCATTTCATGATTCTCACAGTCGTTGAGGAAGCACTCGAAGCTTGCTAAGAGCTCCATATCCCGGCGCAACATAAACCGGCTCGACGTCAAACCAGCACTCCGGGCCCTACTGATCCGCACGGCCGTCGCACGTGGATGTAAGCGCTTTACGTAAGTCAGGCAGCTCCGAGGTCTAACGCCCATGGGGGAAACCGAGAAGCTGGGCACCCCCAGTGGAGGAAAATTACCGTGGGCCCACATGTTGCGAAATACTTCGGTTTGGCAGACGGTACACGGCACAACCGGTGTGTATCGAGGTAGCAGCGGGGCGGAGGCGGAGTGGAAGTGTGCGTGCGACGTCAGCGGCTGATGGGGGCCGAATGCGAGTTTGTCGTGATCTGTGCCAAGGCCTGTGGCTTGGTGAGGCTTGCTGTGTGCAGAGACGCAGGTGGGCAGGCTGCACACGCAACAACAACGTAAGGTCTCTTATCTTGGGAAAGGATCCAGTTTGATGGTGCAACGTGCGACCGAGATCAACAGGGACAGAACGGGTGGGATCTTTATCTTGGCTGGTGGGCCTGCGTAGCATGGTCGACCGCCTGGATCCGCTTTTCCGTGCAAGGTATTGGTTTCGAACGTCGGGCACGGCAGGCACATCGTATGTGCTCATTTACCGCTTCGCTGAGTGCTGCCATTTGCAACCGTTTTTCTTATACTCTATGCGCGCATAGTCAGGAGTCCATAGCGTGGACGGTCGCAACGTGTTTGTCGCTGGAGTAGATATGTCATTGTCGCAAGGGGACATTTCGCGCAAAGGGTTCGTATTGGCTCGAAAACAGTTTTACTCGTGCTTGTACTGTATTGGTGTGATCCATCAAAGTCTTGCAAATATGACTTTTCTGCTTGTCGCAAGGGTAGGAGCAGCAGAGTCTTCCATCACCTGACACATTCCAATGCTGAACTAAGGATTTGAGCAAACGAGTATTGATTCGTTATGAAGCCAGAGCGTGCACGCGCGGGCACAAGGGTATCTATCCACCGAACGTTGGATCATAATCATAGCAAGTCATTGCGACGAGTCGCGTCAAGCTTAGGCCTCGGCTCTCTTGTCGACAGGGACGTTGCGCTTGAAACCAATGAGCTGAAGCATCTCGGTCCAGAAACCGACAGGAGGAGTGATGAAGGATGCCTCATAGATGTCGATGACGGGTGCGTCCCAGACAAGGTCAACCTCATGCGGCTTGAGCCACTTGGTCTTCTTGAAGAGTTTCCAGAAAGTGAAGGTGATAGGTGCAATGAACACCATGGTGTAGTAGGTGAAGAGACCCTCGATCGTAAACTTGCCAGGCAAGAACGTAGAGTAGCCATATGCGCCGATCACACAGACAAGGATAACGAGGGCTACGATCGTGCCGTAGGGTTGAAGGTATCCGGTGTAAGGGAGGGCCTTGCGGTCGAGTCCCTGGGCTTTGCAGGCGCGGTAGAAGCACAAGTAGGTAATGCACATGGTGATGAAGTTGATGAGTCCACCAGCTGTGACGATGTTGACCAACCAGTTCAGAACAGTTGCAGAGCTGTCTGACAACTGCAAAAACGACAGGAAGGGGAAGATCATGACAACGACAAAGCAGTAGATGGGTACACCACTCTTCGTGCACTTGCGCAGGAACTTGGGAGCGCGGCCTTCGATCGAGAGCGAGTACAGACTGCGAGTGGCACAGTATGTGTAGGTGTTACCAGCAGAGAAGATACTGGTGATCAACAGAGCGTTGACAAGATGAGGAAGTCCACCGATTCCCAAGTTGCCCATAGCAATGACGTAGGGAGAGGCAGCAGCACTGCTCTCTCCTGAGGAGAGGACATCGGCAAGCGTGGGGTCGTTGTATGGGAGAACGATGCCAACGCAGAGAGCTCCGAGGATGAAGAAAGCGCCAAAACGGACGTAGACGGTCTTGAAGGCGTTCTTGATGTAGACACGTGGTCGCTTGGCCTCACCGGAGACCATGGAAATGTACTCAGGGCCGACAATACAGAACGAAGCAGCCCAGAGAGCACCGAGGAAACCTTCGAAGCGGCCGAGATCACCGGTGGTGTACAGACTTCCGAGTGGGCCAGGGTCGCGCCAGTGACGGAAGCCGTACGCATCCTTTTGGGGGTTACCACCAACCATCTGCATATCGTCAGTTCCGTGGGATGCAACCTCAATGGTGCGCGGCCGCTTACCGTGATGAAAGTGAAGCAGTACAAGATGAGGATCAGAATGACTTTACCGCCGGAAAGCCAGAATTCTGCCTCACCATACGCCTTGACAGCCAAAACGTTGCAAGCTGCGTAAAGCGCAATGACAGCAGCGCAGACAGCCGCAGCGGGGATATCGTCTCTCCAATATTTCAGGACAATGTTGAGCGCAGTAATCTCGAATGGAATAAGCAAGGCCTCGTAGAGAAAGAAGTTCCATCCAGCCATGAAGCCTATTTAAATCAGTTACATGGACCATGATCAGTGGGATTGTGCTACCGACCAAATGCTTCGTCTACCCAGTGGCCAGCCATTCGAATGAAGCCTCCGCTGACGGGCATGTAAGAAGCCATTTCGGCCATGGCATTGTTCACGAGCGCAATCACGCATGAATAACCAGTGTAAGCGAGCAGGATACCGAGAGGACCGCCCTTATTGAGGGCACCGCCGATGCTGACGAACAGCGCTGTACCTATGGAGCCACCAATAGCGATGAGCTGGATCTGGCGATTTCCAAGATGGCGTTGGAGGTCATCGGAGTTATCAGTTACCGTACCATGTTGGATATCATGGTCGCCGCCGTTGTAGGTTTCGCGAACGAATTCGTTGGAGTACTTCTTCTCCGCGGTAGTCATGGCTGCAAGGGTGGTTGTTGCGCAGGTAGTGTTGCGTGGGAATGAGGTTGCTTGAGGAGTTGTCGCTTTGGTAATGGGCAATGTCGCGTGAGGTTTAAACAGGAGTGTCGCTTTGGATGTGGCGCAAGGGAATCGACGTCAAGTCGAGTGGATGAAGGAGCCGAAGCTATAATAGAGTCGCACTGGAGGTAGTGGACGTGAAGTGAGCTGTATCGCGGAGTGAAAGTCGCGTACCACTTTATCGAACCAGTCTCCCGGGGTAATTGGCACAGTCTTTATACAAAAAGCAGGCGCAGGTTATCTCTCCAGCACCCTGCTGGTGGATCTGGTCGATGGTGAGCGAAGCATGCGACTAGGGGTTGGAAACGGTAAAGCGCAGTTCTGGGTATACAGAGCCAGCTAGCTGATTGCAGCGTAGCGGATTTGACCTATGGATCATTGGCAGCGGCACAGAGTTTTCACAACCCCGGACACGCGAAAGGCCCCGCTCGTTGCGTCTCCAGGTCGAATGAAGGCCATCAATTCGAATGCACCAAAGAGTGGCGGTGCCTTAGTCAGGCGACCTGTGCGAAAGTTTTGCTTCGTTGCAGCCGAACAGCGAAAACAGCTTACCGTCGACGAAATAGACGGCGCCTGGATCAAGCTGCTGGTGGGCTAGGGCCGTAAATATCCGCCAATATTAATGGAATCGCTCCAGTGAATGTGAATGCTTCAAGTCGCCATCCCCGCTGCGCACAAATGGCCACAACTGTTCCTCCATTGCGATGCAAGTCAATTACAGTTCGAAGGCGCTGATGTGCCGCCAGTCTTAGCGGCCATTTGTCACAACTGATCACAGAGAGGGCTGAAGTCTGCCTCTGGCTGTGCAAGCGCAGACGAGGTCCTAACCCAGGCATGTTTTGACGGAAACAGGTCGTCTGATGCTTGCTCAGAGATACAAGCCTGAATGAGCCCAATGGAGCAACGCATTGACCTCGCTGATGTCGAACGCATCTTTTCGACATTTTCGGAAAGCAAATCAGATGACAGCATCGAGCGGCTCAGACAAAACATCCCGACCCTCGTTGATGCTGGTGAAAGCCAAGAATGACAGGGATGCAATCTTCGATTCGCGTGCCAGACGTTGTGCATTGCCTGAGACACTCTGCGGCTATGCCGTTCCTACAAAAGCAAGTCGCAATCGACGGCATTTGCGTCATCTGTCTGCTTAGGTTGAATATCGTGCATGTGCCTGGATCGCGCGAACGTGTTCGAATTTCGGTCTATCGGAGAACGATTCGTTGGTATAGGTGTAGCGTTGTGTTGAAGGCTGCTATCGACATTGCCGGTCCTCAACCAATTGCATACGAGTGCTGAGTCCAACGGTGCCATATTTCAGTTAGTTGCCTGTGAACATCAATAAAAACAATGAGTGTAATTCAGCGAGTGTGATCTTGAGGACGGCGTTTCTCAGGTCTTTTCGAGGCCTAATGGCTGCAGTTTTCCTCCAATCATAGCCTCTTCGGTGTACACTACTAGCTGACCATCACGTGACGCGCTCGCAGATCTAGATGGAGGTGAGACAGGCGCAACAGTTTGGGATGCAATAAGATGAAGTGAAGAAGAGCGTAAGAAAGTCTGGGGCGTGTCGTGGTTTTGTGCATACGGCAGGCATCCCGGAGTTCGGATAGGCGGCCGTAGCTCACATTTGTTTATTCCGTGACGTTTTTAACGTTTTTGTGGAGAAGTTCGCTCCGAGAGGAAGGCACGCTCAACAACACCATAAAACGCTGGTATGAAAATATGTTTGCCCCGAACCTTTCGCTTGTGCCTTTGTGAAGGTGTGTGTTCTGGATAACTCTCACATCACGGTGTCGCTCCGTATCGCCAGTGGCGGCCCAGGGCACAGGCCCATTCACTCGCACTCCACTGGTGTTAGTGCCAGCCTCCAAGCTTCCAAGGACTCTGACAGTCACTACTCTTCACCGTTCACCAGCACATATCAACCGAGTTTACTACAGTGTTTATACGAACCCCAGTGCTGGGTTCAGTCCACCGTTGCCGCTATCTACTACGCCTCACGCGTAGACTAACAGCGGCTTCATGCAGCCACTACTCCCCCCGCACTACTGAGCAAGGTTCTCGATTGCGATGCCTAAATGCGTATGCATTTCGGTCTTAGATTGAGGCTGGAAAGTTCTTGAATCTCCGCAATCTTCTGGTAAAGATAGCTGTATTCGTCCAGGCTGACCAGGTAGCGGAGCCGCACCTCTTATCTGGACACGATGTTTTCCGACGGACAACACACGCTATTGCTGTTACTCTGTCTGTGCGGGCCCGCATAATATTACACCTTTCTCGAGAGCTGTTGCGATAGGTGTCGTATGATCAAGATCCATCAAGAACCCCTCCGGCTGCCCAGTGATAGCTTCTTATCTTGTGGCTTGATGTCAGTCTGGGCCAACGGCTCGACGAGATGATGTATGAACACTATTCCTTGGCTGTCAAATCATTGATGTAAGTCTTGCGTCGATGCTCGCCGAAGTCGTTACAAATCGTCGTTTTCTTTCTTGCCGAATGCAGCACCTACTTCGAGCAAAAGATATGCGAATCTGAAATTTCTACGACCTCGATCGACTAGACCTGGAAAACCTCGCAATACTTAGCCGCCTCTGCCTCAACATCATACCCAAAGAGCCACCGAGTTATCATCTTCTCATGACTATCCACATTTTGTGGCAAGACACCATGATATCCCAATGCCCGTATCTTAGACTCCAGCTCCTCAATCGGCATGGGAAAGGTAATGGTGATCAGTTGAATCGCCTTAACCCGCGGTAATCTGAACGACTCCCATCGCCTGAGGACTGCGGGCACACCGCTCGGTGTGACAGGCTGCTGAACTCCAGACAGGAATACACCAAGAGAAGCTGCATCCTCAGCTGCTGCTGCTGCTCCCTGTCCATGGTGTGGCAGGTGTGGGTGGCAAGCATCTCCGATTGCAACAGCTCTTCCTTTGACACACGATGCTAATGGCTCCCTGCAGCAAATCGTCCAAAGCAACGGTGTCACTGCGAGCTCGCAGAGCTTCTTCACAACCGGATGAAAGTTCTCCGTCAACTTCTGTAATTCCGCTCTTGAACCCTCGACACTCCACTTGCCAATCGCGTCCCTGTTCGTCTCCATTGCTGGGTGCATGAGCAGACAGTAGAAGGACTCGCCCTCATCCGATTGCGCGACGAGGAAATAGATTCTTCTCTCGGGAATCTGGTAGTACGACAATCCTTCCTCTTCGTTCTCGTACACGGCCCTCAGGCCTGGATCAGCCATGATCTTATCGCGCGGGACCATGAAACGATATGCTGTACGTCCAGCTTGCAGCGGAGGCGTGGTGTTGTCGGTGATTTCATCGATGAGCTTGCTGTGCACACCGTCTGCCACCACTACCAAGTCACTGACTACCTCCTCACCGCCCTTGAAGACCAACCCCCCCTCTTCGCAATCTAGCGCAACCGCTTCTCGGCCCATTCGGACTTCAATCGGTACTCGGTCATGCGGCGTTTCCGCAGCTATGTTCAGCAAGCCCTCGTGCAACGCCTGTCGGCGCATCAACAACCAGTCGTACCCAAACTCTTTGCGGTTGTATTTGAAGTCAATGTGGTGCATCTGTTTCATGGTCTCGCCGTGAAAAATCCTCTCCTTCTTGTTGAGGCCCGGTTTTGCTTTTGCGAAATCGAAGCCCCATCTGTCGATGATGCGATTGATGTTTGCACCCATTGCAATGGCGTTCGACAGTGGTAAGGTCGTGCTTGTGAAGGCCGATGGATACTTCTCATACACAGTGACAGCATGACCCGCATTGCGTAGGGCTATTGCTGCAGAGAGGCCACCTGTGCTATGTGAGATTTCTCTTCACTGGGAATGTCGCAGCAAAGGACTCCCTACCTATACCGGCGCCTATTACGGCGACTCTAAGCGGTTGACTGGGTTGTGCCATTGGGTATCCCGAGAAATTGTCTGCAAAGTGAACTGTTTGGAAGAGACGAGACGGCTGAACTGTCTGTGAGATCGGAAGTAAGACCTGGTGTACCTGATCCCTCTATATAAGCAGGGGATTATGCCGGAAGATGTACATGCATCTCAATCTTACTGCATGCATATTTTGTGACGGTTTATGGAGTAAAGCGGTCATGTCTGCCACGTGTGTTGGTGCAGTGCTCTTGCCTGTTCCAATAGCACTTTCTGTCTGAACGACAGATACGTCATGTAAACAGACCCCGCTGGGGGTCGAGAGTGAGACAGAACACTGAACAACAGAACAACAGAATATACTGATTTTACTGCTTCGCGCGGTTACCCCTGACTTACTGCCCTGCGCGGTTACACCTTCACTTATTGCATTTACTGCAACATATTTTGAGACTCCATTTGTCACACGATCCACCACTACAACCTACCTGCACGTGAAGTGGGCCGATTCGAAGTCACAACAATATGCTTTGCGCTTTCTATTATGCACACAACTCTACCGACAACTAGTCAGTTGCATGCGACGTTAGAGAAGGAGCTGTGGCGGAGCTCTCATGTTGCAGAAAAAGTGGCGGATAAGCGACCGCCAAAATCACGAGCAACAGCTTATAACTCAGCACCACAACACTATTAATTGCTCAAAATTAGTAATATACTCTCTACACCTGGGCTGAGTATTCCATTCAAGTTTTGGTAATTACTTGCATTGTTCCGGGGGTGCTGTTGCCTCGAAGGACAGAATCCTTATAGCCCGTTTTTTCTGCAACATGAGAGCGGAGATATGTGCCTTCCACGAGGCTGCCCCGCACCGATTGCCCCACCTGAACACCTTCACACAACAAGTCTGGTGAGGACACAGCATTAGAACACTAGAACACCTATCGCAAGCCTCGCTCCCTTCGACTTCTCGTCAAATCTCCTCCTTGCATCTCCAAGCACATCTTGTGCTTCCAGCCACCGTCTTGCACCTAACCTACCACCTAAGCACACGTACCAGGTCACACGGTCTCCGCACCGTATCACTAACAGCACGCATAAGACAAGCAAGAGGAATTATTCAGAGAGGCTGTCTACTTCAGTTTTCTCTTCAGTTATTCAGCCTTTCTGGAAGCCTTCTTAAACAAAGGACAACTCAGATCTTTACAAAGATGTGCCGTTGGTTTGCATACATCTCACCTACAGAGCCATGCCTATTGTCAGACGTCTTGATCACACCTGCCAATAGCATCAGCAAGCAATGCTCAGAACACTACCTTCCAAAACTGCTACCACATGGGGAGGACAAAGAACTCGACCACACCTCAGATGAGCTCCTGCGCATGCGCAACTCGTTGTTGAACATGGATGGGCTGGGAGTTGCCTGTACGTATTCATCACATGTACTCAAACATTGAATCCCCAGATGCCACGTTTCCATTTCTTGTCCTCCTACATGTATTCTATCCTTGATCTCTCAACTCACTGGCATAATGTTACAGGGTACACCGAGGCAGCGTCGTCCTACGTTAAGCACGTCACCGGCCTTCGACCGGCACTCTACAAGTCTCAAAGTCCACCTATCAACGACTTCAACTTTAAATCACTGTGCGAGAACACCGAAACCCACTGCGTCTTTGCCCATATTCGAGCCAGCAGCGGCAGCGTTGTCACTCAGGTCAACTCCCATCCCTTCGTCTTCGGCCGCCATGTCTTTATGCACAACGGCGTGATTTCCAATTTCTCTGCCATCCGTCGCGACTTGACAGACATTCTCTCCTTCGACGCATATTGCAACATCTTCGGCTCCACAGATTCCGAACACGCAGCAGCACTCTACATCACAAACCTGACCAACCACGGCGACAAGTCAACATGGGAAAAGCCATACCCCCTCAAAGCCATGCTCGCTGCTATGCGCAAAACCGTTCTGCAGATCCTTCAACTCCAGCATGCCAAGCTCGGTGCCGCCAACACTCCCAGTTCCCTCAACTTCTGCACCACCGATGGCACAAAGCTCCTCGCAATCCGCTTCCGCAATCACGCTACCCAGCAGCCGCCCAGCTTGTACTGGTCCGAGTTCGCAGGCCGCACGCTGAATACGAAGTACCCGGGACACCCTGATGGCGAGGAAATAGTCAACGAGGAAGCTGTGCTGGATAAGGGCGAGAAGATTGGTAAGCACACGATAGTCGCCAGCGAGCCGACAACGTACGATGAACATGAGTGGCATCTGATCAAGGTGAATCATGCGTTGCTGGTTGACGAGGAGGGTGAGGAGAAGGAGGTGCAGCTTGAGTATGATGGGGAACTTAATGCTGCGGATCCGAAATTTGATGCGAAGAAGTAAGCAGCGGAAGTAATGGGTCTCGTACGAGCTGCTGCCTTGACTATCGCACATACCTCAATGTCGAATCAATCACCAAATTCCTACTTCGTTGGTGCATATCCAAGAACTGAGTGCCCTCTCACCCCCTCCACTACACAGCTTGATAATTCGCCATGATTATGTTCGACGTTTGGTCGAGCGATTCAGCACGGGCTTAAACTCTCACAATTTGCTTTCACTTTCACTTTCAACCCAGGCCCACAAAAACCATCCCGTGTCCGCAGCATGACAAAATCTGCACCATTGCGAATCAAAAGATCACAGATTGCATGTTATTTTCTCATACGGCATGTTCACTAACTTATTTGTTGATTACAGCTGACGACATCTCACTACCTATACGCTCCCCCACCACTCCGATCCAACACTCCCAATCCCTCCAACGTAATCCCACTCCCCTTCCTATCCATCGCCTTCTCCGGCAGGATCAACCCCATCTTCTCCTTCTCCTCAAACTGCCGCTCCAACTCCGCCTCTCGCCTTGCAAGCTCCACCTGCTTCACGCGCTCGCGCCGCGCTTTGGCCTGCAGCTCACCAAACGGATCAAAGCGCTCACTTTCAGGGTCTTTGAACGGGTTCTTGATCCAGCTTCCGCGGTCTGTGAGAGTGGTTGATCGTGGTCTGCCGGCGAGCACGTCGTATGCTTTGTTGAGAGGAGGGTCGGCGAAGGGGTTTGGTGTGGGCTGGGGCATGGGAATACGGGAGCCGTCGCGAGTCGAGACCGTTTCTGGGCGGGAATAGGAGCCAGGGCCGAAGAGGGTGTTGCTGCGGTCTGAGGATTGGGTCATGTGCGGGCCGCTGCTTGCGAAGGGCGCGATGGTGCTGGTGATGTGCGCTATTTCTGGGGCGCGGAGAGCGGCGTAGTTAGCTGCGTCGCGCTCTAGTTCGGCTTCGAGCTTCTCGTTTCGTCGGCGTCTGCGCCGCTTGCAGTAGAACAGGATTCCAACGACAAGTGCGATTGCGCCTACGTTGGATTAATGGCTGTTTGCGTTCGACTCCTAGAGACGTGACATACCAATGGTACTGAGAGTGATAGCGGCAGCCTCAGCACCCTTGCTCATCAACGTGGGCTCAGGTCTTGTTCGTCGAGGAGGATCATTCTCGGAGACTGGATTACCAGTGGAATCTAAAGGCGGTGGCGGTAACACCGAGGTTGTAGTAGTGGCGGGTTGTGTTGGTCGGGCAATTTTGCTCGAAAAGACTTGCGGGGACGTGGAATTCTGAGAGATGGGAGGGGCAGAAGAGGCAGTAGGAGTCGGCTGTGCTGAAGTGACCGCCGCTGTTGACGTATTGGTGACTTGTGGTGGTGGTGCAACATCGCCAATGTCTCGCGACGTAGATGTCTGTGTGAATGCTGGCGAAGGGGTCGACGTTAAAGTGCTCGATGTCTGACTCAATGTGCTCGATGCTGTCTGAGTCGATAGCTGACTTGATGCAGTGAACGTTGAGCGAGAGCTCGAAGTGAAGGATAAGGAAGACGGATTAGATGTTGATGTCGATGTGGGCGAGGCTTGACTCGAGATAGTTGCTGTACTGCTCTCTTCTGGCGACGGTGGCTCATCATCATCAGAGTCCGAGCTGTCACCTGGAGACGGTGCCCCTGTGGTGGACGGACTACTACCAGGTGAATCAGGGCTCTCTAGGCCCTCTGTGCCTTCCTCTTCGCTCCCAGGACCGACAGCACCAAGACCAGCCTCTTGTCGCTTTGCACGTGTTGCCAGTACTTGGATAGGTGAGGGACGTCGAAGCTGATAGCACGCCATTCTGGAGAGCGTCGACAACAGTATTAAGAAGTTATACACGGAGAGAGCGCCACAAGTGAATGTGTGCTAATAGGCAAAGAAAGTCTCCAGGACGACGAATTGAAAACGAACCCGATCAACGGAGCAAGAAAATATGGCCTGATGTTCAAGAATGGAGTTGCATCCCAGCTCAAGCGAGAACGGAAGGAAGGAGAAAGCGTCGAGAGACTGCGGCTGCCAATGCTTTAGATGCGGGCTGACAGCCTTGGGAGTTTGCCGCCCGGGTCTACTTCTCCTTCATGCATTGTCTCTAGTCTCCACACCTGTGGGTAATGCCGTCATCAAACAACGACCCGGAAGGCAACCTGCGAAACGGAATCTCGAGCACGGGTCCGAGATCAGCGTCCTTGAAACTAAGATCTAAGGCCACAAGACAGCCAAGACAAGAGCTGTGAGAGCGAGAGATAGGTAGGGACGAGTACCATATGCGATCATGTGCAGCATGGCATGAGACAGGTTGGTTGAAAATGTTGGTTGTCTATGGTTGGATGCGGCGATAATTCGAAACGTCTTGGCGTTAGGTGAAGCGAAGATGGAGCACAACGGCCTTCACAACGCCTACGAAGGTATAGCAGCGGCAGAATGACCGCGATCGTACAACTGCCGAAGAGGACTGTGTGAAAGCGCGCAAGAAACACTACGCTCAGTAAGGTTTGGTACCGCTTCTTTCAGACGCGCCGACCGTGGGTAGACGCGTGCGCATCGCGCCAGTTCTGACTGTAGGGCCGTTCTTCGGTATCGGTACGCACAAACATGCAGAGATATGTATGCAGCTTACTGGTCTTTGATGAAATGACGCGTAGATTGATAGTGATGGTTGTGCAAGGAGGAGCGAAGGGCGCGTTCAATTCACGCCAGGACCGCGCACTGAACGCTAACCGCATTGGTAATGAGTACGGCCTTCGCACTTCCGCACAAGGAACTACGAAGCCGACCGCAACTGTAGTGCTCCAATCATGTTCGTCCACTAATGTTCGAGGGTAAGGTGGAAGGCACGCATATGCGTTCACATTATCTGGGGCCGGTCCACCAGCACCGTCATGCATGCCAATGTGCGAACCATCAGGTCCGTCCCTGTGACGTTACTTGGCAACTTGCGAAGCTTCAACGCGGGGCCGGAATTATGGGGCACCGCTTGAGTAAGACTCGAGTCGAGATCATCATTAAGTACGTCTATGCTATATGTTACACACGCCTTAGTTCGGTACCTGCCTGTCGAGACTCTGCCCTAGGCTCATCTCATAGTACACTCCACGCTTCGCCAGCAAATCTTTGTGCGTGCCGCTCTCTACGATCTTTCCTCTTGCAAACACAATAATACAGTCAGCATCCTTGATAGTGCTCAGACGATGAGCGACTGCGATGGTGGTGCGACCGCTCTTCGCTTTCTCGAGAGCAGCTTGCACGATCTTCTCCGACTCTGTGTCTAGTGCAGACGTGGCTTCATCCAAAAGTAGCAGACGAGGCTCGCGAATGAGCGCGCGAGCAAGGGCGATGCGTTGGCGCTGACCACCAGAAAGCTGTGTGCCCCTGTTACCACATAGCGCTGCGAAGCCCTCGGGAAGCGACGTTATGAAGTCGTGAATGTTGGACTGTTTGGCAGCAAACTGAACTTGAGCATCTGTGACTTCTGATTCGATACCCATGGCAATATTGTCCCGGATCGATCCTTGATACAGTACAGGCTCCTGTTGCACAAGAGCGATGTCCCTTCGATACTTGTGGGGACACAGTTCAGGTAAAGCGGTACCGTCGCACAATATGCGTCCGGACACGGGGTCGTAGAAACGTTCGAGAAGCGAAATCATCGTTGACTTGCCGCAGCCACTCGCGCCGACGAATGCAATAAATTGGCCAGGGTGAACCTGTTGTTATTGTTGTTAATGATTAGTATTGAAAGGTGCGGCGGTGCAACTCACATCAACGTCCACGCCCTCAAGCACTTTGGCACGAGGTCGAGACTCGTACGCGAAAGCAATATCTTGAATCTCAATGTGTGTTGGGCCTTTGTCTTTGCCGTAGTCGAAGGGCGGTTTCGATGCATCTTCTTGTACAGCAGGCTGCAGTCGACGTAGCCAGAAAATGTAGTTGGCGGCGGTTGTTGTCTTGGTCAGACTTGTAGTGTACGAGAAGAAGGCAGCAGCAGCTTCTCCGGAGAAGATGACTGCGATGAACACAGTGAAGAACTGCGTTGTTGTGTACTCGTAATAGCTGATGAGGCGGCCACCGTACCAGAAACCTAATGCCATGGCTAGGAAGGACACCGATTGCGAAAGGGAATACCAGAACATGGTCCACACAAGAGCTTTTGTGGATCGGAGAGCAACGCCGTCCAGACGTTCCTGGTACTGTTCCAGGATGTACTTCTCTAATGCTAGACTGGAGACTGTACGAATCGCAGAGACTGCCTCGGCGGCCAAAGCCGCGCTGCTAGCGAATCGCTTGCCGGTCTCTTCTTCTAGTTTAAACTCAAGTCTGATTCGAACGTAGCCAGCAGACACGAGTGGCGGTAGGGCTGTCAAATTTGATCAGTTATGAATCTCTTCGAACTGGAGCATACAAACCTCCAAAGACGACCACTAACCCGAGTTTCCAGCCGACAGCTATGGCCAAAATGGAGCTTGACAACACGTTGACGATGTTGATCAAGATGAGCATGACATTGAAGCCCATGGTTTCTAGGATACTCGTTGGGTAAGAAGAGAGATTCGAGGCTAGCGCTCCACCTGCATTGGCTGGATCGTCGAAGAAAGCCATGTCTTGTCTCAGAACAAGGTCGAAGATTTCGCGCCGGTACCTCCTCGATACGTGCTGATCGAACGTTAGCCTTGTAAAACCAAAAATAAGGAGGTGTTATCCTGCCTGCGCAACGATGTTGCTTGCCCATCCTATGGCAGCAAATACTGCCAGATTACCAAGTGCAACAACGAAAAACATCAACGAGAAGAAGTCGCCTTGCTTTACAGCTGGTCCTGGGGCTAGTTGGAAAGCCTGAACTATTCGGGAGAAGAGAATAGCTTGAGCGGGGTATGTCGCGCCTCCGGCTAGAGTCGCTAAACTGAGAACCAAGAACCACTTGTAAAGGTGCTTCTGCTCCATGAAAATGATCCAAATGCAGTGGAAGAGATTGTAGTGAATGCCGTCCTTCGCACGCTGTTTCGCAGCGTTCTCGACGCCAGACGCCTGCGTCTGAGTGCGGACAAGCTCGATCCTGGCGGCGCTTTCCTTCTCTTCCATGCTCTCGTCGTCTCCAGCACCAGCGTTGCCAAGATCTTGCGCCCTGACAAGGCGAGAGTATGCACCGTTGCGAGCGAGCAGATCGCCATGAGTGCCTTGCTCAATTACGGCCCCATCTGCCATGACAGCTATGTTGTCTGCGTTACGAACCGTGGACAATTTGTGCGCAATGACGATTGTCGTTCGATCCTTCGATACCCGATCGAGGGCTTGTTGCACAATCCTCTCAGCATTGGGATCCAGTGCACTTGTAGCCTCATCTAGAAGTAGAACCCTAGGCTCAGAGACGATGCTGCGTGCAATAGCGAGTCTTTGCTTCTGCCCACCAGAAAGGTTCATTGCTCGCTCGCCAAGCTGAGTGTCGTACCCTTTCGGCAAACGTTCGATAAACTCATCGGCGTAGGCATCCTTACAAGCCTTTTCAACTAGTGCACGTTGTTCGGCTGCAGGCAGATTGGCCTTTGGCGTTCCAAAAAGGCCGTAAGCGACGTTGTCATACACTGTTCCTGCGAACAGCACGGGCTCTTGCTGCACCAATCGAACGTTCGTTCTCAGCCAATGCAAGTTGAGTTCTCGAATATCAACTCCATCGAGGAAGATTGTGCCACTCGGCTGGTCGTACCACCGTTCTAGTAGGCCAATGATGGTGGACTTTCCGGATCCACTTGCACCGACTAGAGCAGTCGTCTTGTTAGCAGGAGCTGAAAGTTGCAGACCCTTTAAGACGGTAACGTCAGGCCTAGCAGGGTAGGCAAAGCTCACACCCTCAATCTGTATGTCACCAGTGCATGTTTCAGGAACTTTACCCTCTTCGCTGAGTGGGTCGATCTCGGACTGTCGATCGATGGTCCTGAAAATCTCTTCTGCCGAGGATGAGGCTTTGGTGAATGCAAGGATTTGGGGTGCAATCTGAGTCATTGCTGTCGCAGCAACAATGACAGCAAGAATGACTACGAAGCTACAACAAAGTCAGTGGTTGTTCAGGGGCCGACAGTGTAGCAGCTTACACATCGCCAGACTCACTGATCTCACCACTCTGGTACCGACGGATACCCTGCCAGAAAGCCAAGGCGTAACCAGAGTACACGCAGAAGAACTCAGTTGAGAATAACACTGCGTAGTTTGGCGACTTCTTCATACCGACTTCCATAGCATCACCAAGGAGCTTGTCGTATCTGTTGGACAGGAGCGGGTTGAGCCAGAAAGAGTGGACCGTGCGAACAGTCGAGAAAACTTCTTCTGCAATCAATCCGGCCCTGGAGTATATGGGAAGCATCTCTGCCTCATTCTTCGTGTCGATACCGATGCAAATACTGGTGACGATTAGAATGGCAGGAACAACACCCAAAGTGATCAAGGTAAGCTTCCATTGAACTGCAAAAGCGACGATGAAAGCAGTTACGAAGGTCGATACAGCTTGTATGGTCAGCGTCAACTTCTCCGAGATGCCGTTGTTGACATTATTTCCGTTAGTCGTAGCCTGAACGGTAACAGATGCAGCTGCGTCTGCGTCAAAATAAGCAATGTTCTGTCGGAGGATGTGTTTGATGAAGTCGATTCGCAAAGCCTTCGTTGTGCGGATCGCAGATATGGAGATCAGTACCTAATGATATCAGTAGATGCAAAGATCCAGCACTTGGCTGACGGGCTTACTGAGTGGATGTAAACACAAGCAAACTTGGCAATGAACAGGTACACAAAGTAGAGGCTGCAGGTCATGAGTATAAGCTCCACCAAATCTCGCCACTTGTATCTCGTACGTGTATTTGTTGACTTGAGAGCGGTATTCAGCTGGTCCAATTGTCCCAACTGCAAAGCCATTGAATGCGGTAACGAACTTGCCAAACACTAAGTCCATAAGCGGTAGCAGAGTGCCAGCTGCAATGGCAGCAATGAAGGCTACGACATTCAGCAGCCAGGTTGTCTTGTCCGCATATCTAAATACTCGCTATTATAGTGTCAGATAGTTGTATTTATGAAGTATCTGTATACTTACCAGATACGGTCCCATTCCACCTTTGGTTTCATCTGGTTTCGCGTCATCATCGACTGAGCTGGAGCTTCTCTTTCTATCTTCGCTCTCGTGCCGTGGCGGCGACAACTCCGTTTTCTCCTCCAATGGCATAGTAAGTGTTGATGGTGGTTGTACGGTTGTACAGACCCTCTGAAGGAGAGTTCAAATCATTTTGATGATGTGCAAGTGGTGACGGAAGCAGCATTGGCAGCTGCTCGGAGCCCGCGCGCCGCGCCGAGACAAACAGGCAGCTGTTTGCTTCTGCCCGCGCGCAACGATCGCCAAGGCGGCGGGATGCTACACCGTTCTGGGAATCCGAACAATGCGAAAGCCCGAGCGGAAGAGGAGAGAAGGGCGGAGCCATTCACGTAATATGCACGTGATGTCACGTCAAGAGAGTATGACTCCACCCTTCTCGCGTTCTGGAGGCCTCCAGCATCATTGGGTCAAATGCTCCTCTTTACGCGAATGCGACGCTGCCAACTTATGAACTTTGTTACATTCTTTGCAACGATCGAATGTAAGCTTATCGCACGTGATGACGTAATCGCCTTCCGCCCTGGGCCTGCCATTCGCATTCTGAATCGGTAATCGGTACCTAACGAATCTCATGCTCTACATTGCGAGAAGTTGGTTGTACTAAGCGACACAATCTCGATCAGATCTCTGGAGGACTTCAGTGTTGTTTCTGGTCGTGACAGGGCGGAGGACAAATTTGCTTGCAAGACTCGCGGAGGACCGGAAGTCTGCCCGTCCGGTCCGACACAATCCTTCATCACCAGCCACCTTCGTCGCAATTCTCGCGTGCCGCGCGATCAGCTCGCCAATCTGCCCAATATGAGCGAGGAAATGGACCTTGATGGGTCGAGCACCAAGCGTGCGGTATGAAGAAGCTACAGTCGCTAGACGTAACACGCGCTCACGATTCTACTAGTGCGACTCTTGCAGAAAGCGAAAAATTCGATGCGACCGAACTGTACCATGTTCAAATTGCAAGGCAAGCAAACTAAGTAAGTGGATGGTTCGAATACACACGTCGTGCTCGCTTTACCATGTTCTCCACTTGAGCCTCAGCCGGACACCCACCATACATGCAGGACAAGCGAGCCAGCAAACTCGCAACAGCCTGCTGAAGCCTATGATGGACTTTGAATTGAGAAACATCCTTGCAAAATCATCGAACCGGGCTACAGCAAGGTTTATATTGCCTTGATTTGCATAACGTTCTTTACTGGTAATGTTAATAACGTTTGAAGCTTGTACGACGACAGCTCCTGTACAGAAGACAATCAGGCAGCGAGTCCACATATCTGAAGAGTAGTAAGTTGGGCCCCTGAGCTCACCTGATCTTATATTACACCACGTTGAGTGGATGTTGTCTATGGCTGTTTCTTGCACGTCCTTGGGAGTGCTGACAAGCACAGCGAAAAGAAGATCGACCGCATCGAAGATAGACTATCCAGAATCGAAAATGTTCTCGCCAAGCTTGCCTCCAAACTGGGCGATCTGGGTTTGCAGAATGAATCCGTCGAACGAAGCAGTCAGTCACGACCCAGTCGAATCGGAAGTCGAGTAGGCTCTGGTAGGAGTCCAACAATGATAACAGAATCCACTACACCGGCGCCATTCGAGGGTGAAACAGCGATAAACAGTCAATCTGGCTATGCTCGCGAACTTCTCACCAAGGTCGTTGGCAGCACTCCTTCCATTGGTCAGAACGAGGAGATAAAGTCCGCCTTGAGTGCGCTTGGAGATATAGTTACACACCAAGGGCATGTCACCGTACCTACAGCTTCCACCACAAACTCTTTGATCAACCGTGCGCTCTCAGACGTTGATCCAGGCAAGCTGGAACGACCGCCCTGGCCTGCTGTCAAAGAGATGCTTGAGAGAGCTTTAGGTAGGTTGTGCGATTTGACTTGATCTCACGCAATTGCTGACACAAGCAGAATACCCAACGATGGCATTTGCAGTTATCTTTCCTTTTCTCAAAATGCGCAACTTGTTCGAGATCTTTGAGAATGCCTACCAGGATCCAGCGCATTGTGGCGCTCCGCGTCGCATTTTGGCCTATGGAGTAGGATACAACCTGTTTACTGAGTTCTCGGCAATGCCCTGGTGCACTGGCCTGGATCAGAATCAACTGCGTGGGTAAGTACCTAGCATCTGCTCCCTTAACGATGAACTTACTGACACGGATTCAGATACGCTACGATGTGTAAGTGTTCCGGTTTTGATATCATGCGTTCGGTACACTGACATAATCGCAGGCAAATACCACATGGAAGTAGCTATCAGCCAGCTCGATGTCTTCATACCAGCTAGCTACGAGAACGTTATGGCTCTCATTTTGGGTGCTGCTTGTGCTATTGAGATGTGCAAGCCGTCACTTGCGTGGGTGTTGACCGCTATGGCAGCTGGTCAGAGCCAGAACTTGGGCTACCACCGTTACCAGACCTTTCAGAATGATGAAGAAGAGGAACGGAACTCTAAGGTTCATCTGTTCTGGATGATTTACATGTTCGACAAGCAACTCTCATTGCGTCTAGGTCGCGCGAGTGTCATTCAGGACTGGGACATGTCATTACCATTGATCACATCGACACCAACACCAGCAGCTATGGCCCTGGGCGCGAGTCAGATGATGGCTTACTGGATCAAGGTTGCGAAGGTTCAGGGGCAGACATACGAGAAGCTCTTCAGCCCGGCTGCTTTTCTTAGGTCACCGGAAGAGCGTACCCGTACGGCTATCGAGCTTGTCAATGCTATGAACAAGGCGTGGTATGAACGTGGAGAGGCAAGTATCATGGACTTCACACCTCTGACTACGGGTGAGGATCTGACAAAGCGGAGGAAGATAGCGATGGCAAGCCCTAACGATACAGAGTTGCCATCAAAGCGCAAGCGTTTCGTGCAGCAGCCCTTCGGGATTTCGCTGCCGCCAGGTGAATATATCCAAGGTATGATCATGCTTTGTACATGATCCACATCGGCTGATCCTCTCAGGTTCCTTCGAACGAGTAGAAGACGTGTTCTTTCACGCGGATGTCGTCATGCACTATTCAACGTGTGCTCTCATACAGCGTGCCGTCAGTTCTGACAATGTCACCTTCAGCCAAGAGTGTTTGGAATACTCAAGAGCGGCGCTTGTTGCTCATGAAAGGTGTAATGCTCAGTTCAATACTAAGGGAAATGAAGAGCTCTGGTCAGGTTACATCCATTGGTCTATCCTTCAGGTGAGCGGACGCACGACAGTTTCTGAAAAGGCAAGAGACTAATAGTTGTGGCAGGCACCTTTCACTCCGTATGATGTGCTTACTTCTGGCGTTCGCTGCAACTGCTAACGCGATCTCAGGTTCATCGTTGTCTTTTGTGACGCCATCCAGAAGTCTGACGCAGTAGATCTCGAAACCCTTCAACAATTCGTTGCGAGTCTCGAATCATGTCGAACAGTCTCCGAAGGTGCCAACAAGCTCTACAAAATGTGTCACCTCTTCCTTCGGGTTGCAAAGCTCTACATTCAAGCAAAGAAGAATGACGCGAGGAGTCAACCGCAGACTGTGTCTAAGCCCTCTCCTAATAACTTCTACACGACAACAGACGGAACTCAACTGGACCTCAGCACCATGACACAGTTTGATCCTTACTTGAGCGCTCTTGGACTCGTGCCCAACTTGGCCTGGCCGATGGCTGGTTATGCTGATACGCCAACGGTACCGACAGCTATGAACTCTTTCGCAAACATGCAAAACGCGGCGAGCACGCAAGGAGTGGACGCCTTCGGTGTGGAGTACGCACCCAATGGTGCACCCCAGAACGCAGTCCAGGACTGGTTTTCGGGGTCGCGTTACTTGATGAACCTCATGGAAGCCGGCGACGGCATGCAGATATCAGATATTAATGATTTTGATATCCAGTTGTGAAGCAGCTGAACCTTTGTATCCTCTTGCTTACCGTGTCCGTGCTCGCAATGCGCATGCGCCGCAATGCGCATCTCGGCATAATAACAGTATACTTTCTACCTCCCCTATCTCAACGCCACAATGTCTGTGAAGGAAGCTGTTGCAGAGGGACGTGCAACTTGTCATCACAATGATTTCTCATATACCAAACTTGCCGATAAATATGGTGTAACGCGCTCAACTCTGATGCAACAATTGAACGGGGAATGCGCATCAAAAGAGGACCAGGCACTCAGCCAATGATTGATGCACCCACGCGATGAGGCAGAGCTAGTGCAGTACATCAGAGGACTCACAGAGCGACACCTTATGCCTACAAAGCAAATGCTAAAGAATTTTGCAACTCCAGTTATTAGAAGAGAGCCTAGCAAATCCTAAGTTACTGACTTCCTCAACCGCAACAAAGATACCCTTATTACCGCATGGACCACCCCAATGGAGAAGGATCGTCACAAGGCCAACTGTGGTGAAAAGTACCGCTTATACTTTGAGCTTCTGCACCGTAAGCTAGCCCAGTACGATCTGGAGCCTGCTCACACATACAATATGGATGAGAAAGGCTTTGCTATTGGTGTCACTGGCAGGAGCATGAGGATCTTCGACAAGGTACTCTACAGCAAGAAGCACCTCAAGTGTCATCCTGACATGGCTTGCAGCCAACAACAACCCTACCAGTCTTTATACTTGTGTTAGCACCCATTTGTCAGCACCCATTTGTCAGCACCCATTTGTCAGCACCCATTTGTCAGCTCCCATTTGTCAGCT